TATGGCAACAACCGATCATTCCGAGCCAACCACCCCAAAATCCACCTAGGACAACGCTCACGAACAAGGTGAGCTCGGGAATTCGATGTGAAGCGTTTTGGCACGACACAGCCAATAATTTGTCGAATAGAAACAAGCAAAACGTGCACACGGACCAAAAACCATGAAAATAGGTCGTGCATGAAGTAGAGAATGAAAAGCGATTCAATAGTTGTAATTTACGTTCTGAAAATAATGTTGGAAATGAAAAGTATAACAGCAAGGCTAAATTGACCACTCCGAAAATGATGATGAAACACAGAGTGAAGAATTTGGATCGAGTGAAATACATGCCACATAATTTGGCCATTTTTTGCTAGTTATTGGAATTGTGTATGTAATTTAATGGAATTCCAAACTTGAAATTTTGGATCATTGGATGACAAGTTCAACATGGGGATGGATATAATTTGGCAAGGAAATGAACAATCACACTCATGTGGTTCAACAATTGTTTGGATTGTGGTGGACAACCAAAATTTACTTAAAAGGGTAAATTGAACAAATGTCCCACATGATGCGTTAGGTTGAATTTCCTTCATTCGAATGAACGTGACAAATCATGAATTGAGTTTGCAAAGACAGGCAATACGGACGTTCAACTTGAAAAAAGAATTTCGAAACTACAAAACCATTTGAATGCTTTTCGCAGTAGGAAGGACTTGTTCCCGTTTTAACATTGCATTCTCCTTGATTCTCCTTACCTGTTCAACCATCACTTGAGTTGCCAAGCATCATTACAAAAAAACAATCACACTCATTATTCACTTTTTCAATCTAACTATTATTGTATCAATCCTCGGACCATGAAGAAGGTATTGAACACAGCATCATCATCCTCTACCCCTTCTTCAATCATGATCACGAAACTTTTTGATCAATTTAATTTTGTAAATACCTTTACCAAACAAGTGATTGGAGAGCATGAGGCTCCTATTACTTCTTCATCAACCAACAAGACAACACATCTCGTCGGAACCACTCAATCACGGCAGGTTCCTCATGCCATGTATTCCTTTGTTCATCCAACACCGTTAGAATTACCTGAATATGAATATGATCACTCGACTGGAAAGCTTACTTTGGATCGATTCAATAGACCCAAACACTCAACCACGAATATTACTTCCAAGTCATCATCCCAAGAAGAAGATGACGATGAATGGTCTGGCTTTACAAAATTTGAATTTGTCATTGCCAGTAATGAAGTCGCTCGGGATTGTTTCGGAGTGGATTTATTGGAACAACAAAACCGTTCAAACAAATCATTCATGACTCTTCAAGATTTAGAACAGATATGTGCACAAGAAGAGAATCGGAAATTTCCTCAACGTTTGGCCAATATTCTCTCTGGTTATGAATTACTTTCGAATACTCAATATTATGCTCATTGTTATGGAGGTTTTCAGTTTGGACACTATGCCGGTCAATTGGGTGATGGAAGAGCAATTAGTATGGGTCAAATTGATGCTTCATCATCCTCGAATGGTAATACTGGTTCATCTTCTCCTCGATTGGTTGAGCTGCAGTTTAAGGGTGCAGGACCAACTCCATTTTCGAGGAATGCAGATGGTAGGGCTGTATTAAGATCTTCCATTAGAGAGTTTTTAGCGAGTGAATTTATGAATAAGATTGGAGTGGCAACTACGAGAGCATTTAGTTTGGTTCGATCGAAGGACAGAGCTGTGTTGCGAGATGAATTTTACAATGGAAATCCAAAATATGAATATGGAGCTATTGTCATGCGTGTAGCTCCAACGTTTGTTCGATTTGGATCCTTTGAGGTGTTCTTATATCGATTTGGACAACAAGAGCGTGAGTTCTATGAAAAAGAAGTGAAAAATATTGACATTTTAGCGAAATATGTCATTAAGAACCATTATTCACATTTATTGACTCCAGATTGTATAGATACGAGTACCGGAGAGGTCACACTAAACAATACCGTTCGAGAAGCATTTGCAAAGGAAGTGGTAAGACGAACTGCTAAATTGACTGCCGATTGGATGTCGAGTGGTTTTGTACATGGCGTCTTGAACACAGATAACATGTCCATTTTGGGAGTTACCATTGACTATGGTCCATTTGGATTTATGGACTATTACAATGAAGACTTTGTACCAAACAATAGTGACGATGAAGGACGCTATCGCTACAAGAATCAACCTGCCATTTGTTATTGGAATTTACAAAAATTAATGAGAGCATTGATACCAACCTTCTTACCCGACTCGACTGACTACTTTACCAAGGTCCTCTCCATTTATGCTCCACATTTCGAGCATTATTACTTGTTAAATTTCAGAAAGAAGCTTGGATTAATTCCGTATAATGTACCCGAAGTGGACACCAAAGTCGATGTGACTGATTTCAACATGTTCCAAGGTGATAGCGACTCTTTGAGAGAAAAAGACTGGGAACTCATTGAGGGTTTACTTGTTTGGATGCACACATATAAGGCTGATTTTACCAACTTTTTCAGAGCTCTCTCTGATTTGGACAAGAATAACAACGAGCCCTCAGAGACCTTAATTGAAACACTAATGGCCACATTGGAACCAAGAGTGAATAGTAGCGCAAGTAGCTGCAGTAGAACCGGTCAAGTTTCAAACACGAATGTATTAGATACCAATGACTTGGAACTGGCCACTCAATCACTCAAGCAAATTCTCACTCAATACACACAACGTCTCTCTCATGAATCCATGTCACACTTGTCCAACGAAGACAGAAAATCTCTCATGGACAAGATGAATCCAAGATATATTTTACGAAATTATTTAGTACAACAAGTCATTGAAGCTGCTGAACGATTCGATTACGAACCTCTCTACGAGTATTATGATATTTTGTTAAATCCCTATGTGCAACATCAGGATCCAGAGATTGATCAAAAGTATGCTGCTAATGCCCCAGTGAGTGCACGATGCTTAAAGTTGAGTTGTAGCTCTTAAGATTATAATATTTCAATGTGAATATAAAGGAAATTGTTATGAATACTCCATTACAATAATTCACGGGTGGCCAACTCCTTCAGTAAAAATGACCAAGATTCGAGACAAGATTCTTCGCGAGCGGACAAGGTGTTTCAGCTCATTTTTCAACCCCGACGATTTTCGAAAATTGTTATCAGAGATAGTTAAACACAACAAACAAGCCTTCAATAAATCTGATTTCTTGAGAGTAGATTCTCTATGCGTTCTAGTTATACATACTCTTTGTTGGTGAAGTTATATGAAGTAAAAAGTGAGAACGAGCCTTTGAAAAAAGTGTGCATTCGTCAGAGTTGATTTAAACACAATTCTCATCATTATCGATTACAACTTTTGCAAAATACTAATTGTTCACACATGTTTAGATTTAGATTTACCGAGAAAACTTGTCGATTTGAATGAGCTTTGTGTGAATTTTACACTCTCAGTTTGTATCAAAACAGCACAGGAGCAAGGCAGGAATTTTTGCGTTTGTAAAAAGAAAAATGGGCATGTTGCTGCTGTTCACTCAATGCAAAATTTAGTACTCCACAAAATATCACAATTTTCGGAGTGGATTACAAGAAGCCTCTACTTTGCAACACACCAAATATATTACTGAATATATTAAAAACAATTCAATAGATACATCATTACCTATTACTCTCGCAATTCAACGGCAACCAAAGGGTAACCAAGCACAATCAATAACAGGACTTAACTTGAATAATTTAAGATCAAAATTGCCTATTGAAGGGCATGTGAATTTGCCAAAGAATTTTTCGGAAAGTTTTCTGAATTTAATCATGACAATATTGCCTTTGTTGATTCTCTCCGATTAATGAAATCAGAATCGACTTTACACAATTGTCTTCCTTGGAAAATGACAAAGAAAGGGAAATCTAAACCAGTTTTTGCTGAGGATGATAATTGAACACTTTAATTTAGGAAATGTCAACAATTCACATTGTGCATTTTATGATGCTATTGGATTGCTTAATATTTTGATCAAGTTTTATGGAAATCTCGACGATGCATTGAAAGCTATCGAGTACTTCAATACCAACCAACTTAAAAGGAAAAGAGAGAAAATTAATGACAGTAATGATGATGAACACAAAGCAAAGAAGAAAGTTGGATGTAGATGTAAAAAAGGAAATTGTTTGAATTGTAATTGTGCCAAGCTTGGAAGAATATGTGATGCAACTTGTGGGTGCAATTCAGAAATTTGCAAACGGAGACAGTGTTAAGTTTGTTCCAACTACACGGAACTAATATTGTGTTCCTGTTGTTCTGATATTGTTTGTGAACGATGCTCTTACAATGGAGAATGTCAACGATGTTCTATATTCATAGTTTATCATTGCAAATGTTGTCACAGACTAACCAATGCCGTTTCTAAATACCTTCAATGTCAAAATTCAACATGTTGCAAATGTAAGATCTGCCATCCAAACATGCCAACATTGCTGTGCAATTCATGCCACAAGCCCTGTTTATCACTAACTTCATGCAAGGATTGTGTCTTGAAAGTATGTAATGACTGTTTGAGAGAGAGATGGTGTCGATCATGTGGTTGTGATGAGGGGAATGGTTGTCTTCAACTCAGTCACAATTCCAGTCCTCCATGGACGTGACAAATTTTTAAGAAGTAGCTACCATGGCTCTTGTAATGCCAATTCAACATATTGACGCACCAATAGTGATGTGGTGTTTCCTTTATGTGTCAGAAACAATCAGTTGCATTGGCAGGTTTTGATGGATTGAAACCATCATAAAATCATCCTATGATCGTTGTGTTATTAAAATTCCCAGCGAAAAGTTTTCTCGTAGCTTGACGTGTTCACGAAAAAATACGCTCGAGTTGTCCACCCGTGCAATAATTAACTCAAAAAAAAAATGTTTAATTTTCTTTTTGCATCATCCAAACATGACCTCTCCGATGAATCCATTAAACATCTACTCAAAATAACCCGAGAATTTTTAAATAATACATCTACAGATCCAACGCTCAAGCTTGACTTGTTAAAAGAAATTGTAAATTCATTGCAATCCATTCAACAGATTATTGAACGTCAAGCCTCCTCCGTTCAATGCAAAACGAAAATTTTCGGAATTTTGGAAATGGATGCAGATCTAATCGAAGCTGAAATTGCTTCATTAAAGTATTCAAATCATGCTTTGCAAAAAACGACAATTATGGAAAAGATGGCACAACTTGGCGAATTGTTTTTTCGGATCATTTGGAAGTACAGAGCAGATTTGGTTGTACAATGTTTGTCCGACAATCCACTGACATTGGATGGTTTACTCAAACGCAGCGTTTTGAAATCTGTACTTTCCATATCCTTTCATGTATTACTACAGGCTACCTCACAAATGATGACCAGAGGTTCAAACAAGGAGGAGCAAATATTGAAAACGCTGCAAGAACGTGCAAGAACAATAATTTTGGATATTGTCTTATTTCATGAAAGTTTGGAATGGATCAGTGGAACAACAACTTCAAACAACTTGAGAATGGAGACTAAACTTGAAGAGCTCACAAAGAAAAATACACAAGGACAACGATACTCATTGGATTTAATGGCACTATGTATGCATCATTGGAGACAACAATGTAAATCATCGTGCAATGTATTTATTTCTCACAGGTTTTTATCCCTTCATATGGAAAATATTATTTTATTATTTTCAAGAGTTGAAAGGAAGCATTTCAGAGATTCAGTACTTTTCAGCATTTCGAGTCTGGGTAGTATCAATCTTAACAAGTTCCAAGTGGTACAGGATACAAATATTCTTTTTAAATGGGTTTGCACATGTTCGTTAATATGTTGCTTTAAGAACAATGTATCCATCTCGATGGATTTTTGTAATGTTTTAATTTCCAAATTTACTGACACGGAACCCCTACAGGAGAGTTCAATTTTGTTGGAATATATTGTGTCACGCATTGAAAAACTATATGAAATAATTATTCCTACACAAGACTATAATAATTCCAAGCTAACATACATTGACAACCTATTAATTTTACAACATTATCCCTTTGACTTGTTAATAACCATCGAAAAAGGTAATTCTTTCGAGATTATTTTAGGAATTGACCTGATTGTCAAAACATTGCTGTTGAATGAGTTAAACCTTAAGGACAACCAATGGGTTTCCAGAGCAATGCAGTTTATTACACAATTTAACTTGCAAGAAGCAGTTGTTGAGATTCTAACACGTTGCATGATAGAAATAGGCCATGAAATTCCTCCGAAAACGTCACTGCGTTCCTTTCGAGCGTACTATTCAATCATTTTACACTGTTCAGAGATGGAAATTGATAAATTCCAGGTCATTGTTCCAAAGCTCCTGGAAACCATAGACACTATGATTCATGAAGGAAAAACCATTAACAGAACAGCATGTGACCGATTACAAAATGTGTCAGATTTTTCATTACTTGTCAAATCATGCCTTGACATGTTTTGCAACTGTATGAATGACATTTATCCTGCTCGTTCTAGAATTTTACTGTCCATCATGAGTTACTCGCTGGCCCAATACATGACACCGTTCCAGTTCCAGCGAGATGGCTCTGAAATTATTTACAAACAATTACTGCTCTTAAGCCAGTTTGGTCATGTATTGTTCCCACCAAGCATTTTTCTCCAGCATAATACCACCTATCCATCATTGATGTTATTGCATAGGTTTTTCAACTTTCTCATTCTGAGACAACCATTCACCCGAGAGGCCATGAATGTTGATTTCTTTCGACTGTGTTCAGAATTTGGATTTCAGGAGATGGTAGACAGCTTTTTGAAACAATTGGCGTTTATTGACAATATTCAAAATGGAAGGAATTTTGATTGGCCCATGAAAAAAGTCAATGGTTGGAATGAAGTGTTGTATGCGAATGTGATTCGAAAGTTTAAGGATCAACTTGTGAAAGCCCAAGCTTTACATCTACTTGTGGATGTAGAAATTCTTTTTACTGATTCATTTGTCCATGAAATCGAATGATGGAAAAAAGTGCTGAACTGTCATTACTTTTGACGATCGGTTGAAAAACACAATGATATTTGTAAAAGGAACAATTACGCATCTTTAATCAGAATTGAATCAAGTATTTCTGACATTTGACTTTTGGCATCTTGTCGATCCAATGCATTGATCATGAAATGTTTTGTAATTTGTCCTTCTAGATCCATTTCTAAATATCGATCCACAATAATCTGAATGAGTTCATCGACTTGGTTATCACTAGAAATATCCACAGATATGGAAGCTGGTAGCATGACAGATCGTAGAATGCTTAATCGGTTTTCCTGAACGATTTTCTGTTTAAATCGATCCACGTTAGTAAAAACAACAAAAACATCCTTGTTCTTAATGTGTTCACCATTCAACAATTCTTGAAACGTCGTTAATGACTCTTTAAAACGATTAGTTTTAGGATCTTCCCAACAAGATTCATCAAATTCTGCTAAAGAAATGACATAACAGAGAGCTTGACAACTTTTGAGAACTGCAGGCCACTTTTTTCTTTCACATCGATTTCCTCCAACATCGAGTAATACGAAGGGAATGTCATTATATTTGTATTGCTTTCGTACGACACCAGTGGTCTTTTGGACAAATTTCACATAATCCTCCTCGGTTGGTGTATAGCTGTCAGCTGTCAATCTGGCAAATTCTTGGACATAATATTCAATACAGTTAGAAATTGAAAAATTGAGTTCACTATACAAATGTAAATTATTCAACACATTCCGCACCTTCTCATCTCTCAATAACTCCATCCATGTGCTTGGATCCACAATTCGATCTCCTAACATTTTATCACAACTATGTCTCTTTAAAAATGTTTTCATTTTCTGCGACACATTCCAATCCACAATCGCCACACTCTTATCTTTTTGTTCTTTCAACACTCCCTCAAAGAAAACTCTCAACACTTCCACTAAATTCTGTTGAATAAATAATTTGGAACTTGCCACTGCTTTTGCATGACATGCTTCTCCAAAGATCATTTCACATTGTCGGAACAGAGTTGATTTTCCACTTCCACAACATCCTAAAAAACAAATCTTTTTCAAAGGAAGGGTCTTTCCATTTACATGCACCACAGCATGATCATCATAATCAATATTTGTGGACATTCTCGGAGAAAGAGGTCCATTCGAGTTTGGAATTGGAGAATTTGGAGTTAAAGAATTTGGAGTCAAGGAATTTGGAGATGTGGAAGAAGGAGGTGTTTTTGAAAAGAAATTCTTTTTGGGAGATGTCGATGGTTGGGAATCTGTGTTTTGTTTTTTGGTTGGGATGGGAATGAACATGGCATTTGATTGATGTGGAGGTTGTAGGTTGGAAGATGAAGACGAGTACGAATTGAACATGAAAGACTCATCGGATTCTTCTCCGCGTCTACTTTTGAACGAGGGTAATGGCAGAGAGAATTTTCTTCCTGTTGGGTGTTGTTTTGGCATTTTTTAAAGGCTATTAGTTGCCAAGTGTGGCTCAGTAGTCAAACCTCGACTACGGCAACCTCTGGTCGAGGGTTCAGTTCCGGTCCCCTACCGAATTGTTGAAGGTGGCTTCTGTTCGTAACGAAGTTTCTACGCTCTGATCCTGGAGTGCCTGCGAAGGAGACTGCTCAGCCCTGTTCCGTGCCACTGGCGCAAAGTCTAATAAATATCAAATTTTTTAAAGGCTATTGATGGTCGCTAGAGTTTATGTCAGTTGTCAACTAGCGTGTTTCTTTCTGATACACAAAAGCACCATGAATATTCTCTGGTTGCATCTTGAGAAAAAGTGATGCTTCGTTATGCTGAAAGGTCTTGTCTTTTTTGTTCCCAAGTCGACGAATAGGTGAGAGATATGGTTTTCACATAAAATTGACTGTTGACAATTCAAAGTTCATTTCATTACCTAAACAAATTACACTGAAAGACATTTCACAAGACGTCAGATTGGCTAACCATCTAGCAATCCCTTTGTTGCCGAAATAAGAATATAAAAAAATTATTAATTTAATTAATGTCAATATTTTTTATTTTTATTAATTTTACAATTCTTCAAACATTCCAATTCAAGATGGAATCTCAATTTCTTAAAAAAAATGGCTCCTTCTATTCTCTCTCAAGACTCTCTTTCTCTTATTGCTTACTTTTTAGATTTGAAAAGTCTCGTTCCATTTCGATTGGTGTGTTCCGAATGGAATTTTTGTCTGTCGGAACGATTTGATGAAAACATTAAAATCATGGAAAATCCAATTCGTAATCATGATGAATTTAATTTTTTGAAATTTGAATTTTGGATGGGCAAGTGGAAATATTGGCTGGATCATTATCATTCAGAGCTTTTAAAGTTTAGTAGGAAATCCAAAGTATTATGCCCTTTTATACGTATGGAACTAGAACATGTGAACAAACAAATTCGACATTTGGAAAACAAAATCTCAAAACGTAGAATGGAATGGAAGCAAAACAAAGTATTGGATCATCATCAGCACGGGTTCAAAGTCATACACGTGAACACTTTGATTCAAAATTTTAAGAAAAGAACTCGATACCTCTTCAATCAAAGGGTGTTGAAAGATACAGTGCTGCTTCAAGAATTTGTGGACGCTCTTAATGATGAAAAAGATGTGCGCCTCGAAAATATCAAGATGATGATTCGAATTTGTGATTTAACAATTTCCAAGCAAGGTGTGAACAAGTTGTTGTATCTTGTCAAGAGTGAGAAAATTCCAACCGATAAATATTTGGCCTTGTTTAGAAATTGTTGGAGCCAAGATGAATGTGAACAAATATTGAGACAAGTCATGAAACATGTGTGTCATTTGAATTTTGAATTATTTGAAAGAATCATGGAAGTAACAAATCCTTTGAAAATTACTGGACTTGATGAAACTGAATTGACAAGTGCCATCTTTCATCTCTACAAACAAGTCATTCTTACTGAAGATGCTAAAAATATTGAAAAGTTGACATTGATTTTGAAAGAAAGAGTTTATGGTCTGTCAGACTCTCTGGAACCACTACATTCAGCAAACTTTGAAGCTTTTTTGAAATCATTTAGAGATACCAAATATACATTTGACACATTTTGGAATAAGCATCAAATGATTGTCGAGTTGTGTCAATATTTCAATGTAACCATTCCTGAGAGTGTGGCTCATCATGAATTATTGTTACATAGTTCATGCTTTCATCCAATAACAATTCCAGGAGTAGAAGCTATTAATGATAATGCTGAAGAGGAATCTTTTGAAATTCATTGCGAGACAACATCTCCACGTGGAAAAGATACCAATCATGATGGTGAAGAAGAAGAATCAGACGAGTCTCAATCATCATCATCCTTTACTATTATTGATTATATTATTCAAAACACCTATGCCAAAAATCAAGACAAAATCAATAATCTTGTTCACACAGAGTTTTCGAGATTGGCCAAACGTATCGTGTTTCGAAGAACGAGGTTCTATCGAAACTTGTGGCTGAAAAGAAGAATCAATTCCGGAAAACTTAGCATACTTCCATTTCATGCCTTCTATGAAGTGCTGGAACATTTGTTATTGACCTATAACGTTAATTTGTTTGGAAGGTCTCGGTCTAGGTCTCTTCACAATTTGATCATGACATTGATCCATCACATGCCAAAAAGTGTCGATTGGAGTAGGATCATTGAAATGATGCAAAATCAAATGGAACGAAATAATGGAAACGACATGTTTGAATACTTTGATGAGAATGATACTACTGTGTTAAATATCAAATATTTGGAATTGTATGAAGAAGGATTTTCCAATCAAGCAGTGAATAGTTTCATGACGTCCAAGTACTGATGAGATATTTCGTTTGCCAATTGTCATGATCGTAAATTCGATGATGAAGCCTGTTTTTGGAGTTTTTCGAATTTTGTCTGTTGGATAAATCTCATCATGCAAAAAGAGAATGTGGATACTAATATATTAACAGCAATGGCTATCTTTAGCGTTTGGCACCCCACGATTGGGATCTCTCACTTCCTTTTTCAGAGTGGCTACAGATTTAGATTTTTCAATCTTCTTTGGAAACTTTTGATGAACTTGTTTGCTATCCATTGTTCTATTTGAGAATTGAGAGGCATAATCATCATCATCATCAGATAGAAGCGAAGCCACTATATTGGACCAACTCTCAAACGTCAGACAAACGAATGCATTTGGACCGTTCCTGGGTGTGGAGCAAAGATTGACAGACCTAAGGAACACCAAATTTTCAGGTTGTCATCCAAACATACTTTGCAATTTCTGTATTTGTAGTTTATTTTGTGTGTGACACAAAAAGAAATAATTATACACCCACCAAATGATTCCTCAACAACGTCCTCACAACAACAACGACCAATGGGGTCTCTTATCCAACATTTCGCTCACTACAACGCCCATGGCTAGTACTGGTGGTTATCTTGGGTCTTCCACAACAGACTCCGTTCAACACCACATGATCATGAATACTCATGTGAATACTCATGAGCACCCAATGCAGCAACCTGTAGAGAATAACGCTGACGACTCTGTGTTACAATTCATGCTTCAATGGCTTTCTCACAACCTCGATCAGCTTCCCATCGAAACTGCTATTTCTATTGTCACAAAGATTTCTCAATTAATGAACACAGCTAGTGGCGAAGACAGATCATACACAGGTTGCAATGATCCTTTAACCAATTTTCATAATCATCCTCAAGTTCAAAATAGCCGGTTCATCGAGAATCTTGCACCTGTGCCGTTTTGGAGCACAACTTCGTCACCAACATGCCAACATTTAAACAGTGTGCATGAGTTACCACGAACAAGTGACCGTGCATTTCCACAGGCTCCACAACAAGATGTGTCAAACCAACCGCATGTTGTACATGTGATGACGCAAGATGGCACTTTCACGACCTCCCAACCATGTCCTTATTACTTTCAGCCATTGGCAAGTGAATTTTGTTCTTCGTCAGCACTCTCCTCTCCATCTGTGAACACTTCAGTACCTACGTCATCTCAAGACTGTGATCGTTTGCACGGTCTTTATGGGAACGTTGCAGAACAGCAAGAATCAAGTTGCGACGCAAACAATCACCAAGTCACGCCACGACTCACGTCCATGGCAAACCATGGCATTTCCAAGCCACAAAAATCAAAGAGAAAGAAACGAACCACAATATCCACTCAAGACTTGTTGCTTAACCCATTCTGTAATCTCTCGGTGGAGTCGTTTAAGAAACATTCAAGTGGAGAGAGGAAGAAAAGAGGAAGGCCCAAGAGAAGCGAGTTGAATGAACTCGACGCTCCAGAGATGAACCATTCAAACCCTTCCTTTTCCCATCATTCCACCTCTAACTTTACATCAGTCTTTTACACCAAAGGTTCCTTTCACAACATCAATTTTTAGATCTTCATATCTTCCCTTTCATTTCCTGTTAAATACATTTTCCAAAATTGTAAGTTGTAAAAATATTAAATCCTGTTCATCATACCATCATCAAAACAAAATGTTTAAAGGAGTATTATGTTGCACGTTACTTCTTGCGCTATGCTTGAACCTCCTCCATCATTCGTGGGCTATTGAACCCCAAAAAACTTGTAGGGCTCTTGCTCTAGGTTCTGGTGGAGATCGAGGTTCGTTTGAGATTGGCGTGCTGAAATATTTAGGTAGGTGACACTATTTCTTTTGAGTCTCATTGAGAAGAGTAAATAGTGGAGAAGAGGCCTTCTGAGGAAACTCAGTATCGAGTTGTCACGGGAAACAGTGCTGGTACGTGTAACTATTTCATGAGCAAAAAGAAAAACCTCACAGGTTAATTATCGATCATTATGCAATAGGAGCCATCAATGCAGTGGCCTTTAGTCAATTTCCGATTGGAGAAGAAGCCAAAGCTCTCCAATATCTTCTCAACGAATGGACAAGTATTCAATCCGACATGATCTATCAAAATTGGAAGCCATTCGGAATTGTTCAAGGCTTCTTTCTTAAAACTTCTCTGTTTGATTCTTCACCCTTAGAGAGCTATCTTGCAAAACATTTAAATTGGACCTTATTGCAGAAAACCGATCGATTCTGGAAAATAGGGGCCACTGATCTCTCTACCTTCTCTTACCGAGAATTCAGTAGTGAGAATCATTTGAATTTTGATCAAGTGGTTACAGCTGTGAGAGCGAGCTCGGCCATACCTGGCATATTCTCTGCCGTTAACATTCAAGACTCTCTCTATGTGGATGGCGGAGTGAGGTACATGACTCCCATTACGGATGCCATTGAGAAGTGTAAAAACATGACTGTGAGTGGAGGACAAGTAGTCATCGATGTCTTGTTAGCTATTAATTCCATTCCATTTCCGAAAATGTTTGATTTTCATACAACTCCGTTCATCTTATTAGAGACCATGTATGGATCAATCATGGATATTGTATTGAGGGATTTGGAGAGCGCAAGGCTTGCATATAAGGATGATCCCTCAGTTGAAATTCGAGCTTTCATTCCCAATGAGTGGCTCCCAGGATACTTTATCGGGTTTGATCATGTTCAAATGAAAATCATGATCCAGAAGGGTTTTGAAACTGCAAAGAAATTTTTTGAAAAGATTTAAGTGTTTTTTTCCTTTTCAGCAAGGATGAGGGGTGGAAGAAATCGCCCATCCTAGCACACAGCTAATAGCCCGGATGGGGATGATTGCTAAAATACTGCTTAATTGCAGCAACTCCAGCAACAACAGCCACCAAACAATCCCGAAATTTTTTTATTCCAGTAATTGATAGATTTATATGTTGCTTGAAACACACTCAAGTTCTGGCCAACTTTATTCATAACAAGTGACTTGCGGCAATGTAGACCACAATGTTGTTGCGTTCAACACGGAATGTTTGAACAATAAATCTAAGTATTAGTTGTCACTTCGGTATTATGTAATACGCTTGATGTTTTGGTTGGGAACACTACAACGTCAAACATTCCGAATGATCACTGTTGGTGACTTTAGTTGCTTGAACGTATATTCTTCACATTCAGTATCTTTTACCAAGATGGAATATTGATGATCATCTATGTTTCGCTGTTGTCTTCTTTCTTGCAAACAACCTACACTGAGAGATCACTGTTGTCCTCCAATTGAATGTAATCATGAAAATGTCTACTATTTTCAATATTGGACAATCGATTGGTTGAACAAGTACATAATTCTCAGTATCAGTAGGCAAAATGTTTGAAGAGTTTCACAATCTGAATTCAACAATACATCTAATCCTGCAATTTTCAAATTGTAGATCATGGTGTAAAACGATGGAGCCACGTATTTAACTTTTCCTTGGTGTCATTTATCCACTCACGTGTATTATTCGAGGTGTACGTTGATTTTGGAATTAGACGGGCCACCACCGAATTTGTTTTCTCCCAATCCTCATCCCAACCACGGTGAAGCGTATTTCTCTCCACTCTCACATATCGACAAGAGCTGTCATTCATTTGAATTCCAAATGTGAGCTTGTATAGTTGGATCATTTATGTTGTGTTCAGTGGCTTCTCTATAAATCAATCCACAGAACATTTCCACAGTCTTTTCAAAGTTATGTAACTGATAGACAGCCCCAAAACTTATTCCAATCTTTGACATCATCGACGTCACGTGAGTTTCAAATCCAAAAATTAATCACATTTCGAAAATTATTGATATGAATAGTTCTTCGACTCTTTAGGTTTTAGTGTGAGGTAATGAAATGCCGATGCTTCTTGGTGCATTAATTGTGTTGCCTTGCTTGCGAGAAACGTGCAGCAAATTTACTATCGCCACTTGTTAGTGGCCACGTTGTTGTTGGTGAATGCTTTTCATTTTTTTAAAATAAAAATTTTTTTATTAGCAATCAGCCGCTTCAGCGAGTCCAGCCCGCCCAAGAAATCCACTTTTCCAAAACGCTCTGGAAATTACTAGCCGGATGCAATTAAATTATTAGCTAATAATACCCCTCCGTTTCAAGAGCTTTTCTGTTGCGCTCTTGATTCTCTTTTACAGCCTTTTTAATTAGCACCTTATTTTCCTCAATAATTCCCTTAAATTCAATCATGAATGTATCCAGTTCCTTCGTCTTACGCTCTAATTCTTGCTTTTTCAGTTGAATTGAATATCTCAGGTTTGATAGCCGATTTAACACTCTGCTCGAACACAGCAATGAGGTACATAGAAGTTGGAAATCATTGCGAAGAGCCTTGTTTCGATAATGTAAACAACAAGAGTTTGGAATTAATTGGAGGAAAACTAATGGGTTTGTAACTCACCAAACATCCATCCTTTGGAAAAGGATTGGTGTTTGAGGGATTTTCTGCATATTTTGTCATTAGACTTTATTGAGCAGAGTCCCGAGCATTTGAAAAGGGGTGCAGAAGGTAAAAAACTCCAAAAACCGCTCAGCGGAAAAAAAGGAGAAAACCAGAGAAACGCAAGGAAGTAAGAAGGAAGTGATGAAGAAGAGATGGATTGTGATCAACTCATATTATCATAAATAAACCAGGTGTCAAAGGTGGTGATAATGTCACAGTAATGTAAAATAAATAAATATTAAAATAAGGTTATAAAAATAAATATTCAACTACTTGTCGAAAAGATTCGAACAAGGCAGTCCCGCACTGTCATAATGTCCTTCCTTACCACAAGAACATTAAGGATCAGCGAAAAAGGAACTTGAAAAGCTTAAGAAAGCATGATAAGGGTGGGAGTGCGATGGGTGGGAAGTCACTAAGCAAAGCAATGAGAGACGAAGCTCGAGTATGCAGAAAATTTTTTGAGCATAAAAATTTTTGAGTATGCTCAACCAAACTCATTTATTGTTTACAATCGAAACATTCCTGCCCTTCACTACGTTCAGAACAAATCATTTTCAACTTTGCAATCCATTCTCCTTCGTTGAACGTTGGACAAGCGTTTGTATTGGTTTGGAGGGGTGTAACAACAGCCATAAGGTTTGTGTTTAACTTTTCTCCACTCAAATGAGGATCATCACCCTCTTCATCAAGAATTACATGACCATCCACTTGATTCCAGTCTCTGTTTGTTAATTTCTGATGAAAATTTGAAAAAACACAGTCCGTACATAAGGTAACTCTTACGTGCTTTGCGAAAGGATTTCTATTCAATACCTTCTCCACATCATGTTCAACAGTGGGACCTATTGAAAGATCAATAAAAAATCCATCTCCCTTAATTGTTTGAACGCTCTTTGTTTCATTTCCTACGAAGAGGGGTTTGATGTCCATTATACTACTATTTTTTTCGTTTACGTTTGTCCTTTGTTATAGCGGGTTCTACAAAATAATTAACAACAACAAGCCTTAATACTTCAACGTACTATTTACAACCATACATCGCAAAGTGTCTTTGAATTGTATACTATCTGGCGTCATGAGGTGTTGTTTTTTTTTTAGGGGTTTTCGTGGGAGCGCCTTCAAAATGAACTAGTTAACAGATGTTCCATGACTAAGGAAAGAAAATGCCAAGTCTATCGTCCAAGTTGGTCATTGAGCCTCTGTTGTTAGGGCTTGTGATGGTTTTGTGGTTGAGATCATCAAACAACAGAGGTTGAGTGAAAGCATTAAGGTTGATGATGTTGAATAAAGTTTGAAATTTATATCAACATATGAAATAATAAGTTGTGATTATAGTCTCACCGACATGATGTGCAAATCCCAGAAAATCCTTCTCGCTTCCAAATGACTTTATGGCGGCGCAATTGGTACTAGAAACCTGTCAGATATTCGTCAATCCCACGTCAGCTGATCACAAGGAATCAAAAATAAAATGAGTGAGTCTCTTCCTGATTGGTTCAACAAGGGCAGAGGGAAACCGAAGCAACAAGTAGTGCTAACTGAAGCAACAACAGACAAACTGAAACGAAAGATAGAGGTCCTAGGACTGGATTTAGCTCAGAAAAAACGTACACCATTATTCGCTTTAGCTGAAGCTAGTAAAACAACAGCTTGTTCTCAATTATGGTCCTCCATCATTTCATCAATTACAAAGCAATTACAGGAATTCAATTACATCAATCAAACTAATGCAGAATTAAATATCTCGTTAACGCTTTCTGATCCAATACACCCAACAATGCGGTACACTAAATTCCGAATCATAACACTTGACGAAAACAACAACATGGTCGAAAAGAAACATAATCGATTGTCCATTGAAGAAGTTGAACGTAATATCATCAACACTGGTTTAAGCAAAAAACAAATTAAAAAGTTGTATGAAACAAAATACATTCCATTCAGTGACCGAACCATTTCGAAATATCGGAAAGGGATTAAGGATGAAATAGCAAAAGAGATGATCATCATCAAAAGCAACAACGATATCAAAGGCTTTGCGATTGATCCAATTCAGTCTTTTTCAAAATTATTAACAAATACAAAAGTAATAGAAGTGATACGCTCGACAGGAAAATGGTTGGAACATGCTCCGATTTCTGGATTCAGAAGCCGAAAATTTGGATTTAACAAAAAAGGAGAATTTAAAGTTTATTCAATGGCAAGAGTGTCCACTGATGCCCATAAATTAAGTAGGAAAGTGAATGAAATACTTTGCTTTTTAGGGCTTGTTATTTGCGATGCTGCACAACATCATAGTAATTACAAATTATTGGCAGCGTTACCTAAAAACAGCGACAATCATTGTACATTATTGAGCTCATTCAAGCCAATTGAATCATTGATTGCAAAATTTGAAAGCCATCGGTTTATATTTGAATTACCAATTGCTCTATTTCAGAAAGATTCGTTTTTGAAAAATTTTGTGAAAACCTGTACCTCAGAGAAAATTATTATTCGGTTGCAATTTAATGTAGCAATGGGTGGAGATTTAAAAAACATGCTTGCATTGCAAACGGATGATAAGAATAGAATATGTTTTGTATGCCCTATTGATTATGAAACACACAAACAATTCTTGTTTTCGCTCAAGTGGAAAAACAATAATCGAGCTCAAGAAATACTGAAAATGTTGTTTCAGTCCAAAGAAAACACACGAAAATCATTACGAGAGACAATTGAAGGCAAAATCCAAATTGAAACCTGGGATTGTTTCACTGAACTTTTTACTGACAAGGGACACCGACACCCTGGTTTAGGTGATATTATTTTCGCCAATATTTCCATTTTACGAAGAATTCCTGACATTTTGCACCAATTCATGAGATTGGGAGAAAATCATTTACAGATTGCATTGCATGCTGCATTGAAAATTTCAAAGCAATGTCAAAAAGAGTTGAAACAATACTACAAGGACAAAGGATATTATGGCCAAAATGACAAAATTAATTTAATGGGAGACGATGTATGGGAAACATATGGCAACAAAATTATTGAAGATATCACTCAAATCATGGAAAAGCACGCAAGTAATCAACAACTCTCTACTCTTGCATACGTTTGGATTGGAAAGGTGACAAGAATATTTCAAGCAGGATCTGAACTCGTTAAATTATTGGTACAACCAACATTTTGCTCAGACAATGATTTACACAACGTTGCAAAGAAAATTGACCATTATATTTCTGTCATTGTCCCTGTTATTGGAGACACAATAGGCACGTATTGGAAAATGCCTTATTATTTACACATTCTCCAAGAACATGTGATCATGTATTTATTTATTTACAGAACATTGTACCCATTTGCCATGACAGTGCATGAACGACTGAACAAGTATGGCAAAGATATGTTCGCTCATACTATGAGGTTTGGAGGGAACGGAAATCCCACGAGAATTTATCGTACCTCTTCCAACGAACAGCTTGTGGAAGACAGATACCTTGCAACCCTAAACCAGTACTATTACCTCTTCTGCTGCATGACAGCTAACGAATAAATTTATTTTGTGCTTTCATGTTCATTTTTGACTTGACGAATATCTGACAGGTTTTTAGTGCGCTTCAACGTCGGATGCGCCGCCATAGCACCCACATTTTTAAAAGCACTCACTAAAAATGGCCCACCATCAACCTTTGGTAAAAAACAAAATTGAAGAACCGTGATGTAAAAAGACGTCATGGAGATGGTATCTTTTTTAAATTCGATCGGGTATCTACACAACATGAACCTTTTTGAGAGAGTTTAATATCATTCTTGTGTTAGAGATTATTCGCATCTTGATTTTTAGTAATAATAACGGAAGTAGCAATAATGGGTGGACTGTCTTTTCTCTCGTTGTAGTTGTTTGAATCAACAACTAAAAGAAATAGGTCGCTTCATTCCTCCATCATGATGAACGACTTGAAACAGCCTTGCTCCTCTCCTACCAATCGATACTCGGCATCTTCATCACGAAGAAAATTTTCTCTTCCTCTCTTCCGAACGAAACAAGAATGCGAGCAAGAAGCATTAGAATTTGCTTCCAATTTTATGATCATTTTCGAAGAGATGATGAATAACGAGGTTGCAAGGGCAGAGTTCAAACACTTTTTGAAAGAAGAGGCCCACAATGAGGAGCCTATTAATTTCCTAGACGATCTTGAAATCTATTCTAAAGAATTCAAGAAGACCAACGACTGCTTCTTGCAAGACGATGTTCAAACTTCCTCCAGTACTTTCAAACGCGTCACCAAATTGTACAATCAAGCTCACAAAATCATTGAGAAGTATATTGCGTTTCAAGGACATAGTGAACTGAATTTGGGTCATTCTCAAAACTCTACACTACGAGAATGGAGTAAAATTGAGTACTTGATGCAACTGATCACGTCAACACAGGAGGAAGTATCTGTGGACACGACTGGAAGCCCTCCTAGCTCACCAAAAAGCCCTACATCACCACTTTCTCCAACCAACTTATTCTTTTCAAATTTCCCTACTGTTACATCTTATGGTGCTCAAGCCAGACGCGAACAGACTCATTCTAAACCCAATCCCAAAAGAATTCTCTATAATAGAGATTTAGTACGTCAAATGATGGAATTGCTAGACGCAAAGCAACTGTTTGAATCTTGCAAAGTGAATGTGAACTTGGATTTGAAATTGGATCAATTTCCAAGATTCACACGATCCAAATGTTGCCATTTGTTTCTCTTTTTCAACGGAGAATCGTTTGCACGAACCATAGCTGTGGATATTTCAAAAGGAAGAAACGTGGATGTGAGATTTAGACCTAAAGATTTTGAGACACAACTCGTAACAGATAAGGACATTTATTTCGCCTTTTCCATGTGTGAAGACGATCTACACTGGGAATTGGTATATGACAGCAAGCAAATCAAGTTGTTTCACTCAAAAGCAAACTTTTTATTTGGCAAAGATCCTTCCTCAATGCATCTTTCAAAATCAGTAATGACTCTGCCATTCCCTGTTGAACAGATATGGAATGCATTTTGTCATCAAGATTTTAGATTCAAACTTCACGATCGACTATTACCAGGAAGTTGCTCTCTTGAATATATTCCTCCTGTTAAATCCACTGACACTGATCCACAGAAAGGATTAGTGATTGAGGAACGAGAAGACCTTTACAATAGTGATGCACCACCTCTTGGGATTGCCTTGGGATTCTTGGGAATTGATGCAAAGCTTCCATTGGTCAAGAAAAGAGTTTGTTCAATCTCCCAAACGTGCATCTACGATCCACATGCACAATGCTATGTAAATGTAGGTCATTCCACATCACCTCTTTCTCATTCTCAACAATACCAAGATTTTGCACGTGAGAAAGTTGTCATGGACCTACTATTCTGTCACATGTTTTTCCGGGTGAACATGAATACAACTCGATTCGTTCAAGTTTATTACTTGGACCACAAACTTCCTCAAGCCCTATCACAAAGCATCATCACGAAACAGTCAAAGACCATGTTTGAAAATTTTGAAAGCACCATACAACAAAGTAGATGCTGCCAATCATCATGTCAGAATCATGTCACCCCTTCTCCTTCGTTAGACGTATTCAAAATTCAAAAAGCCCTCGACGACAATTCTCGTCTATATCCCAACCGATCTTGGTTCAAAGAATATGAATCAAGAAAGAAACAAACTATCCCACCCTCAACCGATGATAGTGTAGCATTCCCTCGAGTTCATACATCAGGCAGAAAGAGTTCCTACCTATAATCACCTTTATGAAGCACGTCTCGTACTAAAATGTTGTACAACCGAGATAAATCATCTCCAAACAGCAATTTTTGAACTAAGCCGAGATCCATCTCGCGCATAAGTGATCTATGTAAGCTGTATGTTGACATATTGTGACAAGAGAGCTAAGAAAAAACAAATCTGACACCAATCAAAGATCACCAATGCGTTTGTTAAAATCAATCGAGTCGTCAGACAATGACAATGCTCACAAGAAGGGAAAGCAGTCTCTCATTTCTCGATATATGGTGGTCTTTGAAGAAGTCATGAATAACAAAGATGCACGGAATTGCTTTAAACAATTTTTAAAAGAAGAAACACATAGCGCAGAAGCTCTACTTTTTTTGGAAGACCTGAATACGTACAAAACCGAATATCAGAACACGAACGTAGAATTTGAAAAGGATTCGTTTGAGAAGAACAGCAAATCAACGCGGAAGATGGTGCTTCATCTCTTTGATCAGGCCAAGCGAATCATTACTACTTATATAGACACATTTTCGATAACAGAGCTCAACTTGGGCCATGGTAAAGCCACCATTACAAAGAATTGGGCTAAAATTGACTATCATGCCAAAACCATACTTCCAGATTTTTCAGGTTGTGACACCACAAGCAACACTTCTAACGCCAGTGCTTCAAGCAACTCTAGTCCGAAAAACTCTAATTGGGACAAAGAGGGATTGAGTCAATTATTTTTCATGTTGGAACCATCAACATTGTTTGATTCATGTGAAGTGAATGTCGTTTTGGATTTGAAATTGGACCAATTTCCTCTCTTTTCAAGATCACAGTTGTTGGACAAATTTCTGATTGAAATGGGAGAAACATTCAGTCGAAGCATTGCCATTGATGTTTCAAAAGGAAAAAACATTGATGTTCGATTCAAACCCAAAGATTTTGAATCAAGACTCTTGACAGACAAGGATATTTATTTTGCCTTTGCATTGTGTGAGGATACTCCTGATTGGCGCTTGTTTCTTCAAGAAGAAGGAATTAGCTGTTATAGTTCGAAAACTCTTTATTCATTTGGCACTTCTGCACTGCATGGTCTTCACAAAAATGTCTTTACATTCCCCTATCCTCTGGATAAAGTGTGGTCTGTGTTCAGTGATCGAGACTCCCGTCTAAAAATCGATGAAGGAATGATGCCCATTTCACAAGCATTTTCTTATCAAGCTCCCCACAACACAAATAACAAGGCACTGGTGGAATTAGTGGCAGAGGAACGAGATCAGTTTTATGACGACGATAAGCCACCTCTTGCTCTCTCCCTTGGATGTTTTGGAATAGATGCAAAAATGCCATTTGTCAAGAAGAGATTTTGTTGGTATGCAGAGACGACTATCTATGATCCTTATGCAGATTGTATTGTGACAGTGGGGCATTCTACACGTTCTTTTTTACATCCAAGAGAACAGGAACTTACACAAAACAAAGTAATCATTGACATCTTGTACTGCAACATGTTCTTTAGGGTGAATGAAAATACCACTCGATTTATTCAAACAGCTTACTGCGATCCAAAACTTCCAATGACTGATGGATTTATCGTCAATGCATCCATAAAATCTAGAGCTAGACGTTTCCGAAAAACCTTTCTCAACATTTTAGAAACTGTTGAGGATGATTCTCCCATTATGCAAGCTGATTCATTCAAAAGTAAGCAAGCCATTTTAGACAATCAACGTGTGTATCCTAATCGATCATGGTTCAAGGAGTATGAATCAAGAAAAAACTAAAGCACGAATTTAAACTTCTTAATTTTAGGTCCAACAGGCTCTGTTGTGAACTAATGGAATGGTGGAGTGATTATTTAAGTGCAAATTAATGAAAAAAATAAAAATGCTGACCAGTTAATCTCTTTCAACATCACGCAGAGATTGGAACGTTATTGCATGATTGAGAATGAAATCAAATTCTGGTCAATCAATGGAAAGAGATATCTCAGCTATTCCGAAGAGAGATTTTAGTAGTACAAGGGTGTACTTTCAATGAAGTATAGATGCATAAAACTATTCGAGCCACAACAAAAAGAGTCATCAGGATGCCTTCTCTATTCGGAAAGAAGACTCGCATCAACAATGATGGAACTTCTCATCATCATTCCAACAGCAGTGAATCAATGGTATCCCGTTATATGGTGGTCTTTGAAGAAGTCATGAATAACAAAGATGCAAGGAATTGTTTTAAACAATTTTTGAAGGAAGAAACTCATAGCGAAGCAGCCTTGTTGTTTATTGAAGAACTCGAGGAATATAAAAAGGAGCACTACAATGTAAGGACAGAATTGGGAAAGATTTGTGTCTCTGAAAAATCAAACCACAAAATATTCAAAAAACTGGTGCTCAACTTGTGCGAAAGTGCTAGAAAGATCATGAATCAGCATTTTGATACGGTGAGCATACAGGAGCTCAATGTTGGGAAATCAAAAGCAATTGTTGTTCAAAATTGGGCTAAAATTGATTTTCAAGTGAAGAATATTCTCATGACAGACAATAACGATACTGTCAGCACAACTTCAAGCAATAGTGACAATGGCAACAATAGTAACGTTTCCCTTCCAAGATGCTCATACTATGACAATGAAGGATTGAAACAATTATTGTTCATGTTGGAACCATCCACACTATTTGATTCATGTGAAGTGAATGTCATTTTGGATTTGAAATTGGACCAATTTCCCCTCTTTTCAAGATCAAAGTTGTTGGACAAATTTCTGATTGAAATGGGAGAAACATTCAGTCGAAGCATTGCCATTGATGTTTCAAAAGGAAAAAACATTGATGTTCGATTCAAACCCAAAGATTTTGAATCAAGACTCTTGACAGACAAGGATATTTATTTTGCCTTTGCATTGTGTGAAGATACTCCTGATTGGAACTTGGTTTACACAGAACCTGGTTTGAGTGTTTTTCTCACAGAAACAAATTATGTATTTGGAAGTGACTCCATACCTCGGTTAAGTCTTGCTAAGAGTGTGATTTTAATTCCGTATCCTCTTGAAATGGTATGGTCTATTTTTTGTGACAAACAATCAAGACTTCAAATGGACGCTCACATGATGGATGAATGTCAGACACTTGAATATATACCACCTCATACCACAAACAAGCAATTGCAAGAGTCAGTTTCAGAAGAAAGAGACCACTATTACGATTGTGACAAACCTCCTCTCGCCCTTATCTTAGGTGTGACAGTGGCAGATCTCAGAATACCATTCTTCAAAAAGAGAGTATGTTCTTGCACAGAAACAGCAATCTATGATCCCTATGCAGATTGTATTGTACAGCTTGGCCACTCGACAAGTTCTCTTTCACACCCAACTTATCAAGACGTCTCCAAGGGAAAGGTGGTTATGGATGTCATGTTTGCCCATATTTTCTTTCGAACCAATGAAAATGTCACTCGATATGTGCATTGTGCCTATACGGATGGAAGAGTTCCATTACCATCCAAGCCATTAGCACAAATGATGTGGAAGAAGAGATCCAAAACTGCTCGAAATTCCTTTCTCAAACAGTTGAAAGACCACAACTCTGAAATGCATTCTCTTGAAGATTCTTTCAAATTTAAGCAAGCACTTTCAGACAATCGACTAGCATATCCTGAAAGATCATGGTTTCGAGAATATGAATCAAGAAAGAATTCTCCATCATTGCGAACATTTGACATTTTGTAAACCTTGTTCAATTTTTTAATTTATTGTCAGAAGAATATGAATCGATGAGGCACACGTGATGAGAAATTTCTATTCATTACAAATACAGTTCAAGTATTCAAATGGTACGATCTGAAATGTTTGCAGAAATGCTTATATTTGTAGAGAACTTTGCGTGTTAAATGTGAATTGAGAATAACAACATTTTGGAACATGATGATCCAATTTTAGATCAGTTCGAATTCCAAAAAAAAATAAGATGAAATCGAAACAATCACGTTGTCAATCCTCCACACGATCGTCATCAACAACCCATTCCAAACCGTCCCGAACAACACCTTCTCAACAATTTCGACAACTCTCTGCAACTCAATCACGTTCATTTTCATTGAAAAATTCACCACCAAGACCCACTCAACAATCCACACATAAAATTCCAAACTCAGTCCTAAGTAGAGCTCATGAAAACACCTCATTCAAAAGCGTCAGAAGAGATCTATTGGGACATGCTCACTCATCCTCTAATATCATGTACAGCTCTAACAACAAGGCTCATTCCGAAATGGAAAGAAATTTGTCCTCCAATAACTATCACAGCTCAAGTGTGAGACAAAAAGGAGGTTCCATTGCAAATTCTATGAAAAAGCTTCATTCCATTCAGAACAGTTCTGCAACAACTCATGTCATGAGAGAAATGAGACATTCTGGTGAAGGATATAATGCAGTAGTGGCCTCGTTCGATAAGAGAACTTTTCAAAATCCATCTGAAAAGAAACAAATTAACATTGCCAGAAGAAATTTGAAATAAGAAAAAGATTGACTGTGTAAATTGTGTACAATATCATGAATTGTTTGTAATTGTAATTATTTATGAAATTATTTATTAAATTATTAATAAATATTGAAATCTTTAAAAAAAATGACTTCTATTGATTTTTTCACCTATTTGATCGGAAAGTGGAAGAGAAATTTGGAATGGAGAGAATTTGGTGGAATTTGTACGTGTTGCATTGACTACTTTTCAATATGAAATCCAATCATGATTGAAATTTAATTTCGGAATGATGAATTTTAACAATGAATTATATTTACAAAATTTAATTATATATTTGAAAACATTTATAATTTACAACAAAACATCATCTAGATCAACATTTATCAACAAGTAACACATTCCTTCAATTTGAAGAAAACACCAAATACGAATCGACTTACATTTCCGAATCTTCTGCTGCTTCATCAAACACACAAACACCAAACAATCGTTACGTTCGTTTTTCTTTTGGAAATTCACCTCAAGACATGAAATTTGCGTATGAAATGATTTTTCAACCATTGTCAAGCTCTTCTTCCTCCACCACAACGAATTTACAACCAAATCATAGACTTTCACAATCTCAACAAGCTCAACAAGAAATTCAACATTTTCAATGGAAATATCTTGGAAATATTTGTAAAGGTGAATTTTATCCGTTAAATCAAGTTGCCATTTTAAAAGTGATCATGCCCACGTCGTTTATTACGACCACCTATCGAATTTTGGATGAAAGTACCATGGCTGTCGTTATTGTGGAGGTGGATGAGAAACAGCAACCAACCATTCAATATGGAAATATGTATCGATTAAATTAAACACACATTCAAGTCTCTAACAATTTTTGAATAATTACGAATTTATTATGTTGTGATAAATTGGCTTTCTGAACACGACTAGTATCCAGAAGTGAAACCAATTCACACAAAGAAAACTTGAGGCAATGACAGAGCAATTCAAAACCTCAAAAGTTATTTACACACGAGCGAGAGAACCTAGCAAGCGAATGACAAGCTCAAAAACCACCAAAAAAGAAATGTCATCATTCTTTCACACTCATTGTTGTGATTCCTTCTTCTTTGGGTTGGTAGAAAATACATGTCTAATACTCTCAGAAATCTTCAATCGATCTTCCTTAGCATATCGATGTAACAAAAAGTTCTTGTCGGGTTTTCTTCCACCTTCAAAGTACAAGGTATTACAAAAGTGTCTCATAAAGTAATACATTTGACGAGCACATGGAAGAATTTCCTCTTCAGCCTTTCCAGTGTAATACACCAGATTGGAATTCCACTTCTCGCCCAACTTTCTCAATGATCTTGCAACATAAATGGCAGCACAAGCAACAGTACTTGGTGTGTAATTCAACATGTTCATGTCATACAGGGACATGTCATTCGCAAAGGAAGCAATGAAATATTGAATATCATCGAATTGAACACTGCATTTGAGATATCTCTTGAGAAAGACATTCGAGCTGGCAATGGTCAAATTGAAATCCAGAGTCTTCAAAATGAGTCGTTCCATATGAAGAATTTCTTCTTTCGAATACATTCTTCGAGTCATTTTGATTACTTGTTCTGTAATCAATGGTTTCACTTCCTCATATTTGGAGGCTATGAAGAGAGAGGTCACAGCTACGAGATGAATCTTATCAATGGCCACATCTGGATGAGCACTCAAAAATCGATCAAAAATGTTCACACATAAATAAATGCATTCTTGAGACATGGCATAATGGTAATGAATAGTAAAAAGCCAGTTAATGGTCAAGACACGAGTTTGCTCATTGAAATTTCCCTGAAAAGACATGTAACTTGGATTTGGCATGTATTTGTTTTCAATGGATCGATAATGTGAAAAAATGTCCTTGACATATTCGACACACGATTCTGGCTTGTCGGCATCAGCAGCATCGACTTTTGGGCTCATGATCATGGCATCGACTGCGTTGCCATTCTTTCTTACTGGGAGGTGTATTCTTTTTCACAGCCGTCGAAGTGGAATTGGGTTTTACCATAGTTGGAACAGTAACAGCTGACTTTTGTGCCATATTATTCATCGTATTCATGGTCGAAGCAGTCTTGTTGGAAATGTCAACCAAAGCACGTCTAGTGGTGTGTTGTTGAGAAGAGTTAATAGTGCCAACAGAAGGGAGAGGAGCGAGACCGAAATTCATCGAAGCTCGTTTCTGTTGTTGAGAGTCCAAAATGGACATGTTGTTGAGATTGTTGGAGAGTTGATTCTCCGTATCAATGTTCATCATCATGGTGGTTTCTTCGAACGAGGATTAATTCTGTTAGAGAAAAGTTCGAAAGTGAATCGATCGAAGAGGTGAAGGCAACGGAAACGATCAAAGAGGGTCGAAGGGATTGGATGAATCATTTCGAATTTGTTAACTATTACGACTGTGAAGGCTGTCAGCAATACTTACAGGGAATATGATTACGACGAATGTTTTTTTTGATAATTATTTTAATTTTGAAACATTCAGACATTCATTTTTAAAATTTTTGTGTAACGGCTAGAATTTTGATCCATAACCGAAAGAGTTTACAAAAAATGAAAATATTGAAAAGTGATGCTTTCGAAAGTTACTTTCTTTGATGAACTGGATGCTCAAAGCTGACCTTTCCGTACTCTGAGAAAGAACCATCATAGAGTCTGAGTTGGTCCAATTCAATTCCAAGTAAATTGAGAGAGTAAAGCAGAGCACAAGCAGTTACACCACTGAAGTCATGAACAGAAAAAATGTAAAGAGCTTTCTCAATGAAAAGAACATACCTGCCACAACTTCCAATAATTGGCCTGTCAATGACAACTTTTCCATCTACTTCCTTAATGCTGAGTCCAGAGTTTTGGAAGAGCTTTAAAATTTCTGCGTGGCTCTTAAAGGTCTTGTCCTCTGGATTGACCAAGGTTGGGAACGGAATGTTAAAGCTGTTTGGAATGTGACCGCTTTTCAAGTTTGGACGAGGCTCTGGTTGGATGCCATTAAATCTCTCAGCTGATCTTGCATCTGTGTGAATATGTCGTAGCAGGTTCGTTTCGTCAAATACAGTCAAAATATTATGAAATTACAAAGCACATACCAACAATGTATGCCTTCTTGCTATTGAGGTTGTTCACAATATCGTCCAATTTTACAATATATTGCTCTTGGAAATTTGCCTTGTAAGGTTGATCTCTCTTCTCAGGCTTTGGTTGGCCGCTTTCAACTGGATATCCCAGTAGTTTCCATTTTGTGAGTCCTCCATCCAATAAGCTTACGTCTCCCTTGTGACCAAACACTTTAAAAGTAAACCACACTCTAAAATATTGCCATTATTAAAAGTTCCAACCATCATGAATAATTAATTCAAATATTTTCAAATCATTATAAATATGGAGTAAACGATGGAAGTAATTGTGTTTCAATGAATGAAATGATGAAAAACAAATTTGTCGATTTTTCTCATACTACTCTGTATTCACATTCTCAAACTCACCTAAAAGCCGAGGTAAATGCTGTATCATAAACTACAACGTGATCCGTGTTGACAATACCCATCTCTGTTATACTTTCTTCAAACATTTTCACGGAAGGTAACATGTGTGGAAGATCAGTGGTCGGATCACTCAAACCATCAATATCAAAGAACAATGCAGTCGGAATGTGTTCATTCAAATATTCCTTGTATCCATTTCTATTCATAATAGGCATATGCCATGATCCGTCCAATACTTTAATCACAGATCCACTTGCTGTGCCCAGGGTGGATGGCTTTTTATCCAGCAAGGCTTGCTTCAACGCTTGACACGAAATCAAAGACGATCGTTTCATATTTTTTGTTGTGTTTTTTGAAAAATCAATCCGAAAGTATTTTCAATTCCGATTTATTATTTGGCTTCTTGTACATGTTGTGGTAAGAAATCTTCATGGATCAGCAGCATCTATACACACGAGATCTAATTCTGCCGTAGAATCATTAATTAATTGAAAATGATCGTTAAAACCATCATCATCATGAAGCAACGATATTTTACAATGAAGGAACAATTTGAATTAAGCTAAACTCCTTTCTCATCCTTCTCTCATGGATCCCATAGTTTTTTCATTTCTCTTTCCAATTCTTGTTCGTTCATCTCGAGAAATTCTTGTAACATTTTACGACAATTTTCATCCATATAACTTTTCATTTCGCATAACATGATATATTCTTCTTCCCTCGTCGTGGTTGGATGATGATTACCATGGGGATGGTTGTTGCTGTTATTATTATTGTTGATTGAAACGGATGAAGTAACTGTCGTGGCTATATCAAACGGAGAAGAGCCGTAGTGAGCAGAAGAAGGCTGTTGTTGTGGTTGATATAAAGAGAAGGAGCAACTTGTTATGGAAGAATTATTCAAAGCAGTAGTATTGGTACTATCGAGCATGATGGGTTCTCTCCTCCTTCGTTTCATCATGTTATTTGTTTGTTGATGCTGTGTTGTTGTTGGTTGAGTAGAGGATGGCAATGTGAGGGATTGATTCATGTTTTGCGATTGAATCACGAGTGAAGAATGAATATCAATCCTTCTATTCTGTTCTTTGCAAGAGTGTAAAGCGAAGTAATGATGTGTTTTACAACTGAACACTCAATTATGATTATGTTGGTGATGATGATAATAATAATTGTGAATAATTGGGATGCACAAATTGTTGCTGCTGTTCACAACAAGGAAGCAATAAGGAGAACTTTTTTGTTAATTGGGCCAATGAATAGGAAGGATCGAATTTGAGACAAAGAATTTTGTTGAATGACCTTTTATGGATAAGACGTGTGTGAAAAGCTTCTTGTGATAATGACAACAGAGAAGATGAAGAATTCGGTTCTTTGTGTGGAACAACAACCTTCCTTTAAAAAAGATTATGCGAATTTAAGGAGAGATGAAGTACTCTTTTTTTTCGTTGAGGGTTGAGTCACAAGTTCCCCTTAATTAACAAAATTAGAAATTCCTAAATTTATCTAGAGGTTACAACATTAACAGACTTAAAATGTCATGGGTTGGTTTGGATCAGATATATTTACAGTTACAGAGCGGTTTCAAACAAATAAGACAGATGTCTCTATGTAGATTCTACCCAAAGGATTGTGTTTGCCATTGATCTGACCTTCATCTTGATTTCACTAAATCCATTGGCTTGAAAAAAAGCTGGCCCTTAATTCTTCTCATTGTTCGTACATAAGAAAAAAACATGAGAACAAATTGGCTCGACCAAATTAAGGCCTGACTGAAGGGTTGTCCTCGAAATTACAATTTTTATGGCTCTGCGAAAAAAAATGAAATCATTCGTTGCTATTGCTTTGCTTTTGTGCGTCTTGGCTGTGTAAGTGTCGTCGTGTGTGATGATGAAAAGCCTTTTAACCAATGCTAAAACGATGATGGAACGTTATTTGTGTTTGTCATCATCGGATATTTCCACGTTGTTTGCAATCATCATGACGAATATTTATTCTTCTTGATCAATACGATATTTGAACTGAGAGCAGCACTGTATCAGCTCAAATTCACGAGTTGAAGAACGGTGTCATGGTTCCTGTTCATGTTATTGCCAACTCCAATGAGCAATATTTAATCAATTTGAGAAATAATCATCGTGGTGCTGTAGCCTATGCCAGCTCTTATGGTTGTGATGCTCCAGTTTCTCTCTTCGCAAGTACCAAACAAGTACCAACTCCAACCAATTATCAATGGACCACCACTGTTAATGTTTCTACTTCAACCTTGTTGGATATTGATCAAAGACAATTGGCCGATGCTGATCAAGTTTACTACACTTTTACCACTTCTGTTACAAGCCCATGCTCAGTTTTCTTTGTTGTTCATGTTAGACACTCTTTGAACTTGATTCAATTGGAGGATTCCGTCCCACAAATGGGTGCTTTCCAACCAAACAGCCAAACTCCTAACTTGTAGGTTTTGATTGTGTTTTTGAGAATATTATTGACCTATTATTCAATGATGACAATTTGATGATGTTGATATATTGGTTAAATAATTATTTCACACATATGAAACATCTCATTTTCATACTTGATGATTGTCATTCGACAGATATCATTTCTTGGAATATGATTTGGGCGGTAATGACACTCGTTTGGAATCAGTCATGATTGCTGTTACTAATTTGCACATTAGAAATACTGGAGATAAGTCCACATACAATTTGTTTGTCTCCAACACCAACTCGAGACCAATTGAAGGAAAGAGTCAAGTAAGTTTTTATGAAAGATGGCGTGTTGATTCATGTATTCCTTAACACGATGTTGTTCTACCATTTATGAATTTGTCCCCATTGTTTTTCATTCAACAGTGGCAAGGTATTAGTACTACCAATGGTGATTCTGCTGTTGTGATCAACAGATGGGATCCAAAGTTTGTCAATGGAGGTAAATACTGGATCGGTGTCGAATTCAAGCCTGATGGTCCATTCCAAAAGAAGGATGATGCTCACTACTCTGTTGTTGTTCATCCAAACTTTGGCGCTAGAAGATCTTCATTCGACAAGCCAGTCATTTTGTTCGAAAAGACTCCACAATTCACATTCGTCCCACAAGGATCTATTTCTTATTTCAGTGTTTATGTCGATAAGAGTGTTGCTGGTAAGATTTTGAGCCTTGATGCCAAGATGGAATATGGTGACGTTTTGATGTACGTCTCCTCCAAGACTACCAGACCAGACAGAAATACCTTTGATTTCAGAGGTGGAAGAAGAGTCGAATTTAGATATGACCAACCAACATTCATTTATATTGGTGTTGAGGCTTTACCACATGCATCAGGTTTTGCTGCTGCTGAAATTACTTTCAATCGCCTTTAATAAAGTAGTTTTGAACTTTTATTAAGCATCACCTGGTGAGCCATGTCGTGTCTCAAGGTCAGTTACTGTCAGCAATTCGAGGAACTGGACGTTACAGTAGCTTCACAAGAAATAAATGGTTGGCGAGCAACATGTTTTATTTGGAAGAATGTTCAGCTGAATGCAACCCTTTAAATAACTGTAGTAGCAAGGTACCTGAAATGAGTTCGCCCCAACTTCCTGACGGTCAAATGAACTATGTAACACATTCCGATCATTGTGTGAACTATTTAATGACACTATCCATGTTGTCGCCAAGTGGACATCAAACAATATATTAAAAAAACAATCAACAACAGTACTCACATCAACAATGACCATCTCTCGAAGCGAAATTGCTCGCATTTATGGTAAAATTCAATTCGTGGACAGCTTCCCAGATTACAAAGTTGAAGTGGTTGATTCATTCCCTGATTTAAAGGTACAACTTGTGGACCACTGGGCAGATTCCGAAGGAAAATGGGAAATCGTTGACAGCTTCCCAGATTACAAAATTCAAATTGTGAACAGTTTTGCAGATTTTAAAATTCAATATGTAGATCATTGGCCTGGTTTGCCATAAATGTGAAATTTCTTTGAATTTAAGCGCAACAAATTTTAAATGCTAGTAGGAGGAATTGGATAACAGCGCTTTCATCCATTCGATTAAATTAGAATTTGTTTTTCCAAACAATTAGCATTTTCTTTATTTGTTAGAAATTTCTAAAAACGTTGATGAAATTTTTCATTGTGAAGACCAAATGAGTCATGAATAGCCGCATTGTCACATGGATGATGATGATAAAGGTGAGAAACACACACAACCTTTCGTCCACAACTTCACCATTCGATACAAGTCGATGAATTCATCAACTTGTGGATGTGAAAATTCATTAACAATGTGTTCGTTCACACAAACGTTTAAGGACTACTTGTACACATGTTCATTTCATTCTCAAATTCTTCTTCCGTCATGGCTGCCAATCGTTCAAGCATGTGAACACAATGATCATCCATTCGAATGCTTTCAAAAACATCCCAAGACGTCGATGAGGGTAATGATTCTCTCGAAGGATGATGATTGACATTGCTTGTTAATAATGCTGCTGCTGCGTGTTGAAATCGAGAATTCAATGATGCATTTGTAAAGAGTAAGGATGTTCGTGAGGAAGACCAAGGTGAATTCAATGGTTGTTGTTGTTGTTGTTGTAGAGAATCGTGAAAGAATTGATTTTGTGCAGAATTTGTTTCAAGTGGATCGACACATGTCATGGCACTCAGAGAATGGTTCGTATGATGTTGACTCAATTCTGAGAGAGTAGGTTCGATTCGTTTCAGTTTGGTACTAATTGAGAATTGTGTCGTCATGTTGATCGTGGCAGTTGACAGAGTGGTCGTTGTGGTTTGGGAGTAGAAGGAAGAAGTATTTAACATGGTCATTGTGGGATACAGAGAAGAAGAAGGGGATGGTGGAACTGTCGAGTGCATGGTTTGTGTGTCAAATCTCAGAAGATTTTGTCGTTTGATTTTTTGGTCGTTATTAATGTCTTTTTTTTCTGTTGCTGTTATTCTGGTGATGTTTGGCAGGTGGATGCTGACCAGCTTATGACTTGCGTGCAAAACGACATTCGACAAATCCCATTCTTAGTATTGCCATACATGAGCAATGAACATTCTATTTTTCGAGTAATATTTTTCAAATTTGGATTTGGGTTGTGCAATAATCCCTTTTTCATCGAGCCGGCGATTATAGAAGAATCAAGAATATTCCATGATCGAAACTCTCTCCATACCGTCCTCTTATCAAAATAATCTGAATTAGAGTATATCAAGATTCAAGAACTGTAAATGTAGCTTCAAAAACTGTGTGCAAACATCGTGACAACACTTGTTAACAAATAGGTCAATGAGCGTGTTAAACAAAGTGGAAATATTCGCTTAAAAAGGGTAATTAGAAACTTAAAGTGGTGAGATGTCATCAACCTTGTATTATCAACATACCTGATTTGAGTCTATGAAGCATTTAGTTACCGAGTTGAACATTAGGATTTTCGGAAATTCAATTACTGATTCAATGTATGATCGTGATTATTACAAGCATTAATGAATGTATACCCCGAATAATCCAAGCGCTAAAGCACACATGAGTTGGGATAATTCTTAGTTCAATTTGTAGAAATTAGATGATAAAAGAAATAATCTCTTATAAATGGTCAATATGAATTGAAATGGAAAATACAGTCTTGCAATTTCTGCGATCTGATCTACGGAGGTATTTGCTATCCTTTCGTTGTGGTGGGAACTGATGGATGAAAAGCATTTGGTGTGAAATTGAGTTGTGAAATTCAACCAAAGCATCCATTCTCAATCCTGTCTCTAGAGAACTATTAGGCTCAGACAAATCTTATGAATTTAAATTGTTCAAGTTTTGGCTATTTGCCATGAATTTAGATTCAGTTCTCTCCATTGTTTTGAATTCAACTTCAAGCAAACTCTGGTGATAAAATTGAGTCAACAAAGAATTTCATGAATATTGTCATCAATTTATGGGCCGTTGCTGCAACAATGATTTTCTAAAATTATATTATAACTATTGGATGATGAACACAAATTTCGGTCAAACATGTTGTTGTTGTTGTGGATGCTAAGCTTATTCCGATCGTTATCATCATGAGATGTATTTTCTGTATACTCAAATGTTTTTTCTTTGTTGTTCATTGAGTGAAAAGCTCCGAAATTCATTTCATACATTTTTTCTTGAAGAAATTCTTGAAGGTTACAAAAATCATTATTATTAGAACAACAGAAAAAACAACAACAAAACCTCATGACCAAATTACACGGATCTTCAGTGGCTCGGTCCGGTCGAGTACGATATTACATGACTCCTCACGTACCGAAAACAGCTTCCCACAAATATCAAGGAGGATGTAAAAAGTTTCGGAAAGCCTCTTCTTCCGATCGAGAATATGGAAGTGGAGCTCATCGGTTGGAAACAACACCGTGCTCTGATCTCTGCCAAACATCATCCTCTTTCCAATCCTCTAACATTTCTCAACAATTGGAAGAGAGAATGAATGAAACGAAATCTCCTTTTATTCTCTCAAATTATTTTCATAAATGTAACTCCAAAAAGGGAATGGAACGATTGGAATATTTTGATGTATTGTCTGAAAATCGAATGCAAAGGAGCAAACATGACAATGATTATTGTCCTCATGATGCCAGAAATCACAAAAAGTGGCATCGAAATCATCCACAAGATGGATTTTATCAATTGAGAGAAATCTTTGATTTGTGAGCTCACTATCAATATTTGAGGAGTGGCCTTACATGTTTCTTAAAATGACAACCAATTTTTCCTCAACCATTAGATTATTACAAAGACATTCAACATCTCAAATGGAATTGTTTTTTGGTCCCAAATAAGCGTCGTAATAGCAATATTGCATTCGTTCTCGATAGAGTTCATCACTATACTCTGAAACATAGCCATTACATTTCAATGCTTCCGTCACAAGTTCTGGATCGTTTCGCAATTCTTTGCTTGCATATCTCAACGCATACCCATCTTTCTTCACTGCTTCTAACATAATGTCCTTATTGTAACACACAAAAGATGGGTATGCCAAATCGTCAAGACCGAGTTCTTTCACTGCTTGTATCATGAATTCCTTGTTTTCGGCGAGTTCTGAACCAATGTAGGACAGAAAATGTTTGCATCCAAGTTTGACCATTCGCAATAAGAATTGTTGGTCATGACGAAATTTCGTAGGTGCGTATTTGAGGGCTTTTGTGTCTTGCTTAATAGCTTCAACAACAATTTCTTCATCTTCTTGTAGAGTCACATCGAGATATCTAAGAGCGCGTCCATTTTTTCTTACAACTTGCAACATGAATTCTTTGTCAGCTTTCAACTCATTGGACGCATATTGAAAAGCACGTTCGTTGGTCTGAACAGCTGTTAACACAATCTCTTTGTTGCGTTTCAATGTTTCTGAGGCATTACAAATAGCATATCCGTTTCGATGAACGGCAGCTAATACAACTTCATGATCATTCTTCAACTCTTCAGAGACATATTGCAGAGCGCTGCCATCTTGTGTGACAGCCAGAAGTGCAATCTCTTTGTCATTCTTACAACTGTCAGACGCAAAATCAAGTGAGTGGACATTATTGCGAATTGCATTGACAACAATATCTCGATCGTTCTTGAGCTCGTCCGATGCAAACTCAAGTAAAAAGGGAAAATCTTGAACAATGTTAAGCATGATTTCTTTGCTTGAGTAATCAAAATTCTTGAGATCTGGATAAATTAATTGAAGAGCTTTTGACATGAAATTTGAATCTCGAAGCAAATTATTTGGTACATGAAAAAGTGCCTCCTTATTTTGTTTGATTGCTTCTAATGCAATTTCAGTATCACCCCTCAATTTTCCTTCAACAAGAGTAGCTCCTTCATCGTCGCTCCAATCCTCTTGATAAATATCCCCCAACAAGTTTCCGTTTTGTTTCACAGCAGCTAAAACAATTTCTCTATCTTGATGAAACGATATACCAATATAGGCCAACACATCTCCATTCAGTTGGACTGCCTCCAATATAAAGTCTCGGTCGTTTTTAAGTTCACTTGAGGCATGTCGAACTGCAATTACTTCATTCTTGATGGCTGCCATTACCACTTGTTTGTCTCGACAAAATTTTCGAGATGTGTAATCTATTTCTGATCCTTTATGCTGAACTACTTGCAACACAAATTCTCTGTCTTCACGTAGTCGCATTGAAGCGTGTCTTAATCCGATCCCATACTTTTTTAAGTGATGAAACACAAATTCTTGATCATTCATAAACTCCACTGGAAAGAATTTCTGATATTTCAATTCCCGATTCAAAACCCATTTCTTTTTTCCAACTTGTTGCAATGAGAATTTTTGTCTCAATAACATTTCTAATCGTTGAAGGTGGGTGGAATTATTTTCATCATCATCACCACGAAACGACGATGAGTTTGAAAAATGAATCAGGATCAATGCTGGCTGTATCAATTTTTGTTTCTTTGTTTGTAAATTTTCGGAATCATTGTTTTCAGTGTTTGAATCAGAATGAGAATCGTGCTCTCGTTTGAACATTTTTTTTGAACGTAACGCCTGTGAGCTCTTCCATTTCATCCATCGAGTGTGACGTTAAAATGATGGCATGATTGGCTCGAATTTCATCGAACAAGTTGGTTCATCCAATAGAATAACATCAGGTTCTCCAATTAAGGCAAGAGCCATTGATAATTTTCGTTTCATTCCTCCACTCAATTCTTTCACTGCCTTATTTGCCTATCCTAATCGTTCCAATGTTCGGCGAATGTTTTCAGTCGAACACTGTCCTCGAAAGAAATGATAAATTTTAAATGTTTCCACACATATTAATAAAAATCTGACAATGTCTTATACTCGTTATTATACAATACTGTCACATTAAATAAAGCAAAATCTAATTTTTCAAATTCGTAACCTTCCAACAAAAGAACTATCATTGGCAATTTTCGCATTCATTTCCTCTCGCGACGAAAATACGTAGCACCGTCGAAGAAACATTCAACCCTCTAAATAGTAACTTCAAAATTTTGCAGTCATTACTAATCACTACATTTCAGTCGTCGTGTACTCTCATGATCTTCGTCTTTTTGGTCGTATCATTTAATGGTGTCGTGCTGGGTAAAAGATCACATCATCTAAGGTTGATTGTAGAAATAGTTGATTCCTAAACGACTTGTCCTTCACATCATCAAGAAAACGATAAAAAAGCAAAAGAGCAATCATGAAATATTTCAAAATTAAACGTTTAATGGCAAAAGCATTACAATCATCTTTAAATCCTAGAGTGGTGGAATCATTGTTACAAGAAGAAGTGAAAATTAGGAATTGGTTTGAATAATGAACAGTTACTTTCGGAATGTCTTATTTCTCATTTCCAAAGTATTGTGAGAGGGTCGTGAAGAGAAATAATTAATCACTTCTGATTCATCATGATCGTCTCCATATTGGTTCATGACTTTATAATTGAATTGTTTTCGTTGTCTTGTTCCTCCGATGATATTATCCATTGAAATTTCAGAAGAGTAATTGGAATATCCCTTATTGCTTCTTGTGCAGACCATTGTTGTTGTGTTGTTTGATTGTTCAGATGTTTTCAATATTTGTTTTGTTGTTGATTTTCAAATTCTCACATTTTCATCATGAATTTATTTTTGAATTTGTTTCCAGTATTTTGTGAATTTCCACCACAAAGGAGATTCCAACAAAAAATGGATGACAACAAGCTCAATAAATACTCAAGCCAAAACATCTCGAAATTCAGCAATAAAACAAATTACTAACACAACACAATAATAACGACAATAACAATGGTCTCAAGAACATCATCAAACGATTCCTCATCATCTTCATCCACTGATAAAATTCCAACAAAGACTGAATGGGTCCGATCCAAACCCATTGATATTACCAAACGATTACCTAATTTTGATGTTGATCCATGCAATGTTGTGAGTGGAACCCGAAGAAGAAATAATGTGGATTATCATGTCTCTAATTTAACTGGAATGCAAGTCACAGTGAAACGATCATCGAAAAATACTTTGGAAAAGAGAGCCAATTCATCTCACTCGAAAATTACAAAATCAAGAAAGATGAAAAAGTGAATAAATAAATAATACAGTAATCTAGAAAATACATGTGACTTTTCAAAGTTATTCTTCTCAAAGGATGTGGTGCCTTCAATAAGTGTCAACTTGTCATCATGACACGAGTGATAAAATCAATTCTGAAAACTCATTTCGGAAGTGAAAGCATTTCTCAACGATTGGAACAGAATGAATGAAAAGCAATCTTTCTAAGCTGTGAAACATGTTGTTCAAGAAATGTGTTTTGAGTTGCCAAACGAGATGTAAAGTTAAAAATTATTCTTTCTTCCAAAAATAGAAACAATTGTGAAGTTAAATTTCAAGATAGAGAAACAGAATATAAAGCAAAGTGGCGCAGGGGGAGCGCGGTGGGCTCATAACCCACAGGTCCTAGGATCGAAACCTAGCTTTGCTATCTTCTTTTACTTTTCATTTGCTTTAGGAATATGTTGTTATCAATTTAGTTTTTTTTTACATTGCCACGAAAGTGTAGTGACAACAATGGTTGCATAATTAGATATCATTTTTGAACAGGTTAGAATTTGTGAAGCAAACAGCTCCATACATTCTAAGGATCAAAACCCACCTCAACAACCTGGTATCTTGAAAGATTAAAACTTATGTCTTGGATATATGATTGGCTACGGCCATATCACGATGAATGCACCTCACCCCGTCCGATTTGAGAAGTTAAGCATCGTCGAGCTGCATCAGTACTGAGGTTGGAGACAACTTGGGAACCTGCAGTGCTGTAGCCTTTTTTGTTTTTAAATGTAAGATACATACACCCTTGTCTTGAAGTGTTCGTCATGGTTTTGTTCGTCATGGTTTGAGATGTTTAATAAACATTCTTTTTTACGCCATCCTTTGTGACAGCAGCTTGATAAAGTTGAAGAAAGGACAGTTTTTTGCATTGACTTGAAAATCCTGGTAGGTGATGTTTATTCAAAGTTCAAAATCTTTTACAACATTGAAATTTCAAGAAATTAACCCTTCTTGAAGAGGGGATGTGAATGAAACGATCAATTTGGTGGTGGAGAGTGGTTGCTGTTAACGCTTTTATTTAGATACATTTTCAAGTAGCATTGTCACCGCGTGTGATGTTGCATGCCCTTTGTGAACTGTGTGTTGTATCACAAAGGGCGTGACAACAATTCAAGATGCCTCTCATGACTGATGATTGAAGCTTGTGACTTTGTGATTACTGTCTTACCTGCTCTGCAAGGTTGCGAGTGGATTTCATCTTTTTTAGCTCATGTCAACATTGTTTTGTACATATTTCAGACCATGTAGAGCTTCAGTACTTGTGTATGAACATTTTATCTTCTTGAAAAGAGAACTCAAATTACAAGAGCCAAATTATTTATTTGAAAAAGTTTCAAGTGAGCACTTCTAAGTGAATCCAATTGGATTTTATTAACAAAATATTGAAAAGTGTATGATCGAATGTTGTTGAAATGATGGATGCCGTGTTTCACTATTTCTCTCGCCCAACTCCTACACCCAATCTCAACACGAGATAAATGGTGGAATCTTTTTGCAAGTGATAATCTGAAACTGTTTCTCCATCTTCCAATTGTTTTCCAGCATTTATTAAACGCTGCTGATCAGCAGGAATTCCTTCATTATCTGTGATTTTACTCTTCACATTTTCAATCGAGTCATTGGACTCGACATCCAATGTGATGGTTTTACCATTCAGTGTCTTGACAAACAGTTGCATGTTTTTTTTTCTTGTTGTTAAGATTCAGTATGAAGGTTGGAGTGAATGGTTTTTATCATGATTGTTCACGCCACACATGAATGAACCTTAGAAGAACTAAAAATATCAACCAAATGAATAGGAAAATGAACAAGTTCAACTGGGAATATTATTGTTACTCCACTGACCGAGATTATAGCAGATAAGGCAAAATTAACAATGTCATCCTTATTGAAATCAACAAGTCACCTATTCTGGACTTTTGCAAAATTCATGTGCAGGAGCCGATATTTGTTGATGTTTTCTCTTTGAATGTTTTAATATGGATGGGATGCCTGTCAGGAATATGACGACTCTCCCGCTACAACCTTTGGTTGTATGAACAGTGAGGTGCAAGAAATCAGGACGATGTTCTTGAAGTTCTGGTTGGAGAGACAATGAAACTGCACACCACCTCTTGTTTTATGGATTTATAACATTCATTGTTGAAACCATTAGTTTTGTGGTTTTTGAATATTTGAGTGATCGGATGATTGTGAATTTGAACTTTCACAACATCTCTCTTCTGAACTGAATGCATAAGATTCAAAGACGATCATAACAAGCAAAAAAAATGAAAGCACAACGAATTTTAATTCTCACCGTGTTTGCTCTTTTCGCTTGGATGGCGTTGATGGTTCAAGCCAATCTCTCAACAACAACACAATTGGAGGCTGATCCGATGGTTGATATTTCTGCTACAAGTATCAAGAAGGAAGATCCTCTCGCCGAACAATTTAGACACGTTCTGAAGCAAGATTCCAAACTCCGAGATGATATCATGAATCGATTTCAGGAATATTTGAGAGTTCCTACACAACAACCAAAACCACAATATACCAAAGTGGTTGATTTCCTTTTAGATTGGACACGAAGAATTTTCAATGTTAAAGAAAACGAATTGGTTGAGCGTCAAGTTTCTCCTCGTCTCAGAGTTGCGGAGAATGATCAAATTAAATATTATATTTATTCGTGCAAGCCTGAGAAGCCTTCATTCATATTGACATGGAAAGGAAAGAGTCCACAAAAGGGATCAATTATGATTAATAGTCATACAGACGTTGTGCCCGTCGATAAAGATCAGTGGAAGTATCCACCATTTGATGCTGAAATGGTTGAAGAATCAACTGGAAGAAGAGTTTATGCTCGTGGAGCACAAGATATGAAATGTGTTGGTTCTGCATATTTGGAAGCCATTGACCGATTGGTTCAGTCTGGATATCAACCTGATAGAAACTTGCAAGTCGTTTTTATTGCTGACGAAGAAATTGGTGCAGTTGATGGATGGGAATGTTTGTCTCACGATAAACAAATGATGAGCGAATTGAATATCACTTTTGGATTGGATGAAGGACTTGCCAGTGGAGAAAATGAAGATGTCATTCCAATTTATTATGGTGAAAATGTTGCGTGGTAAGTAGTAGAGTAGTGGAATATTATTGTAACAATATTGTGGTAACAATCCTATGTGTGACATGAAACAACAATCTAGGTGGTTTGAAATTACTGCTGTCGGTAATGTTGGACATGGTATGTATAGAAACACAGTTTGGAGATATTTGTTTTAACACGATTTTACTAAAATTGACTCATTGAAACAGGCTCTCAATTTATCAAGGATACCAGCACTGAAAAGATTCACAAATTGCTTCGTGATAAGGTATTCCCGCTCAGAGAACAGCAACAATTGCAAATGAGACTGCAAACCAAGAACCCCAGAGAAAAATCACAACCAAGCACAGTGGTGACTATTAACTTGACTGGTCTCAGAGCAGGTCATACAAGCAAAGAGACTGGAGATTTCACGAATCCCAATGTCATTCCAAGAACTGCAACTGCATTGTTCGACATGAGAATTCCTCCACATATTGACTTGGTTGAAACTGAAGCCATGCTCCAAGAATGGGCCAATTATGTGAATGGAACCATCAGATTTATTGAACAGCCTAAAGTTAACCCAATTACTGATCTTACAGATGCAACTGTGAAGAAATTCTTAAACATTGTCAATGACAGAATGAAGACTGAATTGAGAATTTTCCCAGCAGCAACTGATGCTCGTTATCCAAGAAGATTGGGCATCAATATGATCGGTTACAGTTTCATGCCAAATACCAAAGTGTTGTTGCATGACCACAACGAATATCTTGACGAATCAGTTTATTTGGAATCAATTGTGCACTACATTGCTATCATCAAGAGACTGCTTGATGAGTAACTGAGAAGCAGTGGATATATATAACGAATTTTGATCTTTTTTAAATTATTGAATAAAAATCATTGAACAACATGAGTATGATAATAAAAAAAAGCTTTAATCATTTACTAAGCGTCCAAGCTATGCCTTAAAAATAAGATAAAGTAAAAATCTTAATACTCCTGAAACGGCAACTGAAATTGGAGGTGGAATTGAATACACTGAGTGCATACATAACGACAACAAAACAGCAACAGATGCGTTGACATTGGTTCCTACTGCCGATTTCCACAACAATAAAATGGCAGCATACACAAATCCAATTGCTGATGCGGTAATTCCTGCAAGTACTTTCTGCGTCATTGGATTTTCTCGGTGCTTTCTCCACAGCGGAAGCAATCCCCAAATGAAGAAAAATCCTGGAAGGAAGAGAGCAGACCATGCAATTAAACCACCTTTCCAGCCACCAATAACAGCTCCTACGAAGGCAGAAAAGTTAAATAAGGGACCAGGAAGGGAGTTCATCAAGTCGGAGCCACTTGTAAATTGCTCCTGAGTGATGAGAGGTTGCTTGGTGACAAATTCTGAATGAATAGTTTGGACAATTGTAATACCTCCTCCAAAAACAGCTGAACCCATACGATAGAAACCCTCAAAAAGTACCAAATACTTCCATTTTGTAAATTGCTTCACAATAAAAAGCAGTAAAAATATAATACAGAACGAGCACAACATTATAACTCCAGAAATTGGTTTGTCGTTTCCAAACTTTGAGAAAAAGTTTCGAATTCTATTCACCAGTGGTTCTCTTGGCTGTACAACTTGCTCACTTTCGCTCTGAGGAGTTTCTTGTGATCCATTATTGTTAGTGCTGATGATAATTCTTTGACTGTGCAGTTCGATTGGAGTTTTTGGAAATTCTTGTGAGCTCAATGTAGAAGCAGTGTCAGAAAAGTCGTTTTCTGGCTGTTCTAAACGTTTTTTCCAAAAGGTTGAAATGTACATGTAAAACTTTTTAAGAATCTTTTTCCATGTTGGAACAGAGGGATTGTTTTTCATTTCTTCCAACTTTTGCAATTCTTCTTGTGGAATGTGTTCTTTCATCCTTCTTAAAATAAAGTTTTGTTCAAAATATGAATACATGACTGTTGAGAAGGCACCACAAAACATCACAACGACCATCATCCAATTTTTTTGTACTAATAAAAAGAGAGCACAAGCGAATACCATTAACACTTTGAATAAGGTGGTACTGACGTGTAACTTGGCGCTTGGAGATGTTGCTGTTTGTGTCAATTTCCAAGCAGCATTGATAACTATTGCTAATGCTCCACACGAAAATCCATTAATTAATTTGCCAGCCCACTCGGGAATTTCTGCTGGAATGTAAATGGCACTGGCTACCTCACCAGCAATTAATAAAATAGTAACACTGGGCAGTGAATATAAAACAAATGCGATAATTCCTCCTAAATAAGAATTCAAGTAGAGAGTACCAATTGCTACAATTATTTGAGTGGATGCTGTACCAGGAATGGCCTGAGAAAGTGCAAACAGCTCTGTAAATTCCTTGTCAGAAATCCATCTTTTGGAAAAAACAAATTGTTCCTCTACAAGATAAATCATTAAATGTCATGATTATTGCTCGTTACGAAATACAACTCACCTAAAAGACCAACGTTCGCAACAGGACCTCCAAATGAAATGAATCCAAATGGAAAGAATGCAATAAATAGGTCAAAAATCTTCATTCCAAAGCTTCTTTGCCGTAAAGGAGAAGGTTGAGGTCTACCTGTTTCAATTTGCAAATTTTCCTCAGCTTCTAAGGGTGTGACAGGGTCCAGGTTTGGTGTTAATGCTGAATGAGCGCTACTAAATTTCGACTCAATCAGCGGATGTTCTGTTTCAATGTTTGGAGTTGATTCTTCTCTTTCATCATTATAATCATGTAAAGATGAAGACATGAAATTATTTTGAGTGCTCATCACTTCCTCCTCTTCCATATTATCGTATGGGTTAATATATCGTGCACCTGATGTGGTGGAAAATTGAGGTTGTTTGGTATCGTTATTATTGCCATATTGTAAAATAGACGAGGAATCATGTTCGGAATTTTGATAGTGTCGAGTATGGTCATCAAGATGATACAATATTGACGATGGATCACTCATTGAAAAACCAGTTTGTTGCTGATCCTCATCATCATACAAGCTCGTATTATTTGTGGTCATGAAGTGTGTGCTATTCTGGGTATTTGGATGATGAGGCTCATTATCTTTTGTGAGATGATGATTATTTCTTTCTTCATGAGACTGACTCTCCGAAATTTCTCCCAGGTCCAACAAATTATTTGTTGATCCTGTTTCGGTCGTTGTTGTTGTGTTTGTAGTTTCAACTTCTATTGTTTCTTCTTCGGCACTTGAAAAAGAGTTGTTGTTGTTGTTATGGGTCGAAGTGGTTCGTTTCTTTCGTCGGGCCATTTTTTTAATCCTCAGAAACATGAATCAAAAACTTGAGATGCTTTTGGTGCTCATTCTAAAACAAAAACTGTTGCCAAAAGAGATATTGTCGAGATAACGAGAAGGAGTGGAATTAATCTATCAAAACCTCAACGTTCTGATATTTCAGATTCTCCGATATTTTGTAATTTCGGTTTTCAATTATTTTCTTTGGAAAACTCTTTCAGTTTCTCAAATAACAAAAGAGAACCAAACGAGCAATCACCAAGTATGAGTGATCACATTCAGAACGTTCGACATCGAAAGAACGATTTGACTTTAATACGTTTTCATGCATTTTCAACTCGACGTTGCTTTTTTTGATCTGCTTCAAAACGTCATGCGTCAACGGCGCTTGCACTGATTTTAATTTTGATCATCACCAACAGGCACAGAATCACCAACAAAACAACAACACCAAACAAAAATCCTTTCATCATCATTCCCTCTCCTTTTTATTCCCCAAATCCATCATCATTTTGATACCATTCCTCCTTTCACAAAGGTCTAAATTTCTGTTTTTCATTTATCACACCAACAAGTTTGCAACATCGCCATAACAATCATGAACTCATCTCCTCCAACGACGAACACCACATCGACTCCTACTACAACAACTTCATTGAGTAGTTCTACTTCCACTCCTCTCACACCAAGAGTCTCTGAACTCAAACAAATATGGGAAGCAACCATCCGAAAACATGAAGAAAGTGCCAAGTCATCTGCATTATTTAAAAGACACTCCGTGGCTACTTGCATTACGAATACTGTATGTTTGTTCTTGTGGTTAAATGTTATTAATTTGGAATGGTTAATCATGATGAAATTGGTTTGAATTCATGAACGGATCATCATTATCACGTTCTTGGAAATATTGAATTGATTGGTTGATGATGATTGCGATATTGAACATGGATGATGTATCGTTTCTGATGATATCGCATGTGGATGAACTGTACGATCATCACATTGGCAACTGACACATGTCATGTATAATATAGACCTCAACCACTCCCAAGAATAACAAGAACACTCCTGTCCATGACACAACCTCCAACAAATCCAGCCCTTCCACTTTCACTTCCAGCATTTCCAACATGAATCGCAACATGAAAGACTTTTCTCAATCCATCTCTTCCCGAAACAATCAAGATTCAATTGTTTCATCAAACAACAACAACAATTATTCCACAACATTAACAACACCTTCAACAAGCACGACCACTTTTCGAAAAGTGCCATTACTAATTTCATCCAGCAATGACGATGAACACTACTTGTCAAATTCTTCTGCTATTCAAAGTATGCTTTCTGTGAATCCTTCTGAATTGATGATGAATAATCATACTAACAATAACAATAATAACAATAGTAATTATGGAAGTGGTAGTGTGAGCACTTCAAAAGTGAGTCAAACCATTCTAAAATTCACAGCCATGTTTCAGAAAGCATCTGCAGCTCATTCGAGTAGCCCTTCAATGGTTCAAAAGAGAAATTCGAGAAACACGAGTGGAGAAAGAAGATCATTTTCATATTATCAACATCAGTATACTCAGTCGAGTCCTCAATTAGATCGATATTTAAAACAAAATAATAGTAATACTGAAACCACAGCACCAGGACGAACCAATGACAAGCAAGTGCCACATGTCAATAACTTGAACCTTTCTTTGGATTTGAAAAAATTGGACGCTGCTCAAACAACATCTATTTTAGCAGAAGAAAAGAATGAAAACGTCACAACAACAACTATAGTTGAAACCAACGAAGAAAAGAAACACTCCATAGAACCATCAGGCAGTGTTTTGGAGAACAGTAGAATTGATACTCTTCTCAATGACATTAAGTTGGTACTCACTCCAGCTTCTACATCTTCGTCTGAATGCTCTTCTCGAATTTCATCTCCAGAGCTAGCTCAACAACAGGGCTTGCATCCAATCGGTGACGAGTCACACGCTGTTACAAATGTTATAGATCGAATGGAAAAGAAGGAATCAGTAAGCCATCAAGATGTATCAACAACTTTTTCAGCAATAACGTCGTCTGTGGGATCAATAACTACTCCTCCAACCATCGAAACTCCATCCCAAACTACACAAGAAAAAATTGCCATTGATAATAATCATGCAGTAATTACAACAACACCAACAATTGAAGAGAAAACAATTCCATTAGTAGTGACCACTGTTCCAACACCAGAAACAGATCGTCACAAGTCCACTGTGGATGCTACAACTACTATTCAACGACATTTAACTGTCACATTGAATTCAACACAGGAAAATTTTACCACCTCCAGAATAACTGTAAAAATTGATGTCATTCAGCCATCATCAACAAAAACCAACCTTGCGTTGCCTGAACTATTTGTTGATCAATATTCTCAGTTGGAAGAAGAGGAACGAACACCAACTCTATTATCTCACTCTCAAGAAAGCTCGAACGAACATAGTAGCAGTGACCACTCTACTGAGGAGGGTTCCAATCATCTCCTAGGTCACTACCAAAATGAAATGACAGAAGGTTCAATGTTGAGTTCAATTATTACAAATGAAGAAGACACCACAAATACGGAAGATGACTTTACAATCATGGAAGACGAAGACGAGCCACTGTCACAAGCTCAATTACAAGTTTTGGAGGGTTTTACGGCAGATATTGAGGTGGAGCCAAGCACACCAAGTAGTGGCAAATTTTTGAGTCCATTAAGCTCATCAAGTACTGTTTTTGCTCAAATGGGAAATGTTTTCAAGGATGTGGAAATTGGGAAGAATGAAGATTATGCTCGGTATTTTAGAAATACCAATTTCGATAACTATCATGACAATGTCAAGTCCATTTTAGAAATCAACAAGAAGCGAATGAGCAAGAGAGCGATGAAAAAAGCAGAGGCATCCTACAAATGTCAACAACAAGTCCTAGAAACTTATAGAAAAAATCGATGGGATTTCCGTGAAGTTTTCCAAAGTATTGGTAGCAAGGAATTTGAAGCCATGTTATCTCAAGAGACCTATGTCGATGCTGACGATTTCAACACTGATGAATTTGAACAAGTCTCAATGAATCATTTGTTTGAAGAAAGTGAAAGAACTCTCAATCCTCTCTATGAAGAAGAATTTATTGAGAAAAATCCTCTCTATGAAGAAGAGTACAGCACAACGAATCCATTATTCGATCCAACCGATGACATTACTACCACCATTTACAACTTTGAAGATAGTGAAAGAACATTTGTAGAGAGATTGAAACAAGATTTACCACGAGTGGGAGGTTTAATTTCGAAACTCAAACAAAATCATAGTAAGGCCTTCACAGGAGAAGCTCTTGTGAATTGGATCATGGAAAAAGGATCTGGAAAGTTCTTACGTTTGGATGCTGTATGCTTTGCTCAACAAATGATGGATCGAATGATCTTTAAGAATGTTGAAGAATTCAATCCAACCTTTGAAGACAATTCAACAAGTTTGTACATTTTCTATGAAGAATATGAAAGCAAAAATACGTTGAATATTGACGAGTCAAAAATTGGAGTGTTTGAGCCACAAGCTTCCTTTGTTTCAGTGTATCGAGCATTGACAGAACTTGGCAAGGAAATGAAAATTCATTACGATCTCAGCGCTAAATATGAATCAAAACCAATATTTGATTATCAAGCATTCGCCTTCAGTGAACACTATGCCATGCTGGTGGATGAAGTGAGAAAATTACAAAAAGTAGATCCAAACACCATTGTAGATACAAACTTTAGAAAATGCTTCTTTATGAACATTTACAATATCATGGTTCTTCATGCACTGATGCGATGTGGAAAACCAACAAATTTTTTACTCAGAAAACGATTTTTCCATCAAAAAAAGTACTTGATTGGAAGATACAAATTGTCACTTGATGATATTGCTCATGGAGTTCTTCGTGGAGAAAAGTACAGTAGAAAAACAAGTGGTAATTTCAGTAGCTTGGAGAGAGAAAACCAAATTTCTTCCAAATTTAAACAGAAAGTGTTAGGAACGGAGGACAATTCTGTATTCAGTGCATTGAATAATTTGAGAATTCCAGAATTTGATCCAAGAATTCACTTTTGTTTATATCGTGCAGATATGAGCTCACCCCGTTTCCTTCTCTTCTCTGTAGATAATCTTGAATATGAGATTGAAAAGGCAACTCGAGAATATGTTCAAAGAGAAACCAAAGTGGACGTCGATTCAAACACCATTCACTTGTCAAAAATATTTCAATGGTTCAGAGAAGATTTTGCTTATTCGGATGACGATATTATTGATTTTGTAAGCAAATATTTAGATTTTGTCTCGGTAGCAAAGATTGGAGAAATGAAAGAAACTGACCAGCCAATCCTTTTGAATTACCGATACAACACTTCATTGAATATAGCAGCAAATATTTCACAGGATGACAACAAGGAAGTCAATATTGAACTCGCTCAAGTGAGAACAAATCCAAAACTTTTACCATTTTTCATTTCATACAGCGAGCGAGAAAAATCAGAGGAAAATATATTGTTTTGGCTTCGTGTTGAAAATTACAAACAAATTGAAGATCCAGACACTCGTTTAGTAGAAGCTCGAAAAATATTCGACGAATTTTTACAATCCAACGGTGAACGAGAATTGAATATTAATCGAAAATCTGCTCGAGAAGTCGAAACGGAATTACTTCGTCATGAGAACAATCACGCTGAAGATCCTATTCGCACAGAGCTGTTTTATTCTGTTCAATTAATGACCGAACTTTTAATGATTGACACCTACGAGCGTTTCTTACGAAGTGATCTCTACAGCTCTGTGGTTGAAATTATGAAAGAAGAAATGAAGAACATTGAAATTGACACACCTCGAAGATCTCCTTCCATTACCTTTGGTTCTCGACCTGAGAATGTCTATGAAGGTGAAGTGACCTTTAAAGAATTACAAATGCGACGATCACGATTGGCAGATTTCAATTCAGCTCCTCTCACAAGTCGAACATCTGGAAGAACACCTGAATCACCAGTTGGGACTCCTCCAACTGCTTCTTCATTACCGACCTATTTCACAAATGGAAATAGCAATACAGAAACAGCTACCAGTAGCAGTCCAAGATCCACTCAAAGTGAGTTAAGTAATGCTATCAGTAACACTGATCTCTAAACTTTGAAATTCACCAATTGAGTGCAAAATTAAAATTCCACTTTTAAGGGGTCTTTATTATTTAATAAAGAAAAAAATGTTCATCAATAGTCTTCCATCCGATACCGATCTTCATCGGCTGAAAGATGAAAACAACAGTTCTGGCAATGGCGAAGAGGAATATTGGAGCCTTGACGAATTACGGAAATTTCCCTTTGTGATTCATGGATCTGTAGATTCGATTGATAGAGATGTTATTTATTGGATTCCGATTGATTCAACTTTAACAAATTCCAAACGAACTCGATTACCAAGTCAAAAGAGATGTTTTCAATTTTGTGTTGAGAATAAGCAATATGAAAATAGAAATTTAATTGTTGTGGATACGGAGAGAGGAATTGTTGTGGATTGTTTTAAAGGAACCTGCGATGCGATAAATAATCAGATTAAATTAACGTATCACTTGCACAAACAAGAACATGAGTGTCCTGTGAAAGATTTTGTTCAGAGAAACATTGTACTAAAGATGACGCGAGGCATGAGACAAATTTTGTCGATGGTTGGAAGAGTGTGTAGAATTCACAAAGCCAAAATACGACAACAACAAGTGATGAAGGAATTCCTTGGAACTGAAAATTTGGATCTAGTAACTGATTTATTGGAACGTATGAATGTTATTCATGGCTATATTGAAGAGGACTTGACTTTGATGTATCACGATAACATGAAATCCAATTTAAAGTCGTTACATTTCATGAAAAGAGTTGAGAGCGTACAAGCTGTTGTCTATTCTTTAATTTGTAAACAATGCATTCTGTGGGAAAAGGAATTTCGATCAAAACAACTAAAAACACCTCTAGACAAAGAAGGCCTACGAACATGGCTCAATAATCATGGTTTTGATGATCACAATTTATTCAAAAATTTTAGACAGTTAAAAAAGAAACAACGAACACAAGATCTTCCAGAATTGATTCAGCAACTCTTTGAAACAAAACCAACACAGACAAAATCCACCGAATTAGATGCTAAAACTGCGGGAGAAGAAGGAGACTTTTTACACATTATCAAATCTATTACCTTTCAAATGGTTCAAACGGATGCGCAACTTGAAAATATTGAGCTCTATTCCAAAAGAATGGTTGTTGAAAGAGATCCAAGAACTCGACACCTTATGTACAGAGATTTAGACTATATGTATGAAAATATTGCTACTTGTTTTGAGATACTGAACGAGTACAGAGATAGTACGACCCATAAGGTTCAGAAGAATATCTCAGTATCCATTATTGACAATTCTTTAAATTGTTTTCGAGTTATTGACCCTTCTTCAAACATGAACGCTTTTCAGCAACAATGCAATGGAATGTTGATAGACATGAAAAAGGAACGAGTGATCTGTTCGCCACCCTTGTTTCTTAAAACACAACTGGACAATTCTCTCATTCTTCAGAGTCAAGAACACAAGTTTCAAGCCGTTGAAAAACTCGAATTTAACTCGAAAGACTCATTAGACTTATTTTTCAATTATTTCGATTCCAAATACCCACTCTATTCGATATACAGAGAAAATAACGAGATTCACATTTTGGACGCTTCTCATGGTACAAAAATCACTGATGAACATGCTGAGAAATTAATAGTGGACCTTCTTGAAACCAAACTGATGCAACAACAAGAATTGAGAGTCAAAAATATGCTTAGTATCAACGAGTACACCTATACATTTAGGATATTACCAGATGTTAATCAGATCTTGCTTGTTGGCTTATGCGACTTGTTGACTTTTCGTTATTTATCTCCTTCTCAAATACAGAACTTTTGGAAAGAGAAAATTGGAGAACAGCCAAGCAATCTTGTTCTTTGCATGGATGTTATTGATCGAGTGACTGATACTACTTTGATGGAAGAGTTGAAGCATTGTACACAACCAGAAACTAGTTTCGTTGTATATTGGATCAATGGTCAATATTTCATCCTTAATCGTCAGCGATAAATGCAAAGTACTTTTGGAGAACGTGGTTCATTTTGACATGAAACATGTTACTTGACAGGTTTGACTTTGGAGTTGTTTTGCCATCTACTGTGACGAAACACTCTCGACTAACAACAGTTGCTTGTTGAACAATTTATTTTGCTTATGTTATTGTCACCTTCAATCCATTCCAGCAAAAGGATGATTTGCGCCATCAAAATTATCTAAAATTAAATTCGTAGTTCAAAGTTTTCAAAGGCACTCAAAAAAAAAAGACGCAACACTTGTTATTGTTTTTTAAAGTGTTTCTCTCTATTCGCTCGTGTAATCTAAACACTATCTCCATCACGTTCAATACAAACAAGACTACCGTACAGTTCGGAATTGCTCTTTTCATCTGTAATCACTTTATTCCCATCAATTTTGATCCCATTAGCCTGCACAATGTCCTCGGAGTGTACCGCCATAGTTCAACCAGCATTTGAAAACAAACAATTCAAAAGTTTTACTAGCAGTAGTTGTAGTACTGAGAGTATTAGTGCTTCAGAGTATGCAACTACAATAGCCATGAAACAACATTCAGAAAATGATATTGGCTCGCAACAACATCCCCAATATATTGAAACGTTGTTTGATTTAATAGACGAGGAAGAAAGCAACTCGGATGTAGACAACATGAGCCATATTGATTTTTCAAAATCTACGGCGATGGATTTCGAGAGCACCTCGTCAGATGAGGACACTTCTCGGAGCAGTTGTAGCTTTTACAATGAGGAAGACTCAAAAACACAACAAGAAAAATACGGAGAGCCATCATCATCCTCTCTCGCTTCCGATTTACCGAGTGCCACCGACATGCTCCAAAACTCTGCAAAAAGTATTCTGGCTCCTGCCTCCAAGCTCTTGGGTCATTCTCAAGGACTTATTCGTTCAGTTTTTCCAAGTTTAAGTCCGAGCAGCAATAGCTCTTGGAGCAATATTTCACCTGCAACATCCCCCTCTTCTAACCTTTTCAAACATTTCCATTCATCATTGCTTGGAATGGCTTCTCCCCAATACATTTCCTACAAGAATTTAAATACCACCAGTGTTTCTTCTCCTAGGTTATCCACGACAAGTATACCACAATATTTGTGTAGAAAACAATGGTTACAACAAAAACCATCTAGTACTTCCCAAACTTCTCCTTCCGATTCTCCATTTGTAAATGAACCACGAAAACAAGCATGTGGATTTGGAGTTGGCAAGAAATATGCTCCTCCACGATCTTTGGATGATTCCGACTATACAGAACAATGTGGTGAAGATGCTTTCTTTACTTTTGAAAATGAATCTTTTACCATCATTGGTGTTGCTGATGGTGTGGGAGGATGGATTGACCAAGGTGTCGACCCATCACACATTAGCAATCAGCTCATGCTCAACTGTAAATTAATTTGTGAGAGAGAAATCAACAATCCAAGTTTTTTGTCCAACCCAAACAAAATCATGCAAGCAGCATATGAAATGATTGTCAATGAAAAACAAGTTCAAGCAGGCAGTACAACATGTTGTGTGGCATCTTTTGACAAGAAGAACAACATTTTGAGAACGTCGAATTTAGGAGATTCGACGTGTGCAGTGTTCAGAAACGGTGCTTGTATCTTTGTTACACAAGAGAGACAGCACTATTTCAATTGTCCTTTCCAATTAGGAGTTGTGCCTGCAGAAATTAGTACTGCTTATCATGACTTGCCAGAACATGCTGTAAATGAAGAAATTGTTCTTCAACCTGAAGATGTAATTGTTATGGCAACCGATGGAGTTTGGGATAACTTGTTCCCTGAAGACATTGGCACTGTGATCATTGACCTACAAGATAACGTGTTTGCTGATGCATCTCAGGGCTCAAACGCTTCAACCCCACTCCAATCGCATGAACTGGCAAAACGCATTACCCTCCATGCAAGAACTGTTTCTCTTGACAGAAATGCAAGAACGCCATTTGCTGTGGGCAGTGGTTTCAGATTCATTGGTGGAAAATTTGATGACATTACCACCGTTTGTTTCATTGCCTAAATTAAATTGAATAAACACCTAAGTTCATACTTCTTTACAAAATTAAAAAGATGCAAATTTTAGCTGGAGTTGAACGCTCTGTGTCACTCTTCATATCGCAAAGTTAAGACTTTCAACAAAAATTCGAATGCACTCCAATTTTGCACCAAATAAAAATGCTCGATAACGACCAATTGCCGTCATCATCATCACACACCACAACTGAAGTAGCCACCACTGCTGCATCATCAACCAATGACAATAGAAGAAAAGGAATTGCGCCCATCAAGGCCGAATATTTAATTGTTGTCGAAAAGCATCAGCAACAACTCAACAACAATCCCGAGAAAGCCAACACAACAACATCGGAGGAGCAAAGCCTTGTTGCAGTAACCACTCCCTCTTCCTGCAACACTGATGAAACGCAAACTGTTGATGATTCGGAAAAAAAGAGAAAATTACAAGAGGAAACTAACATTAATCCGAACAAGGCTAAGAAAACAAAAAGCTTTCATAATCGAACAAAAGAAGCTCTTAAAAAAGAGAAAAAGGAAAAACAACCTGAAGAGAATGGAGAGCAGGATGAAGGGACATCAACAGCGGTTCGACCCAAAGACGAATACAACTTTTTGGATCATTCCATTGTCAAGTTGTTGAGAAAGAAGGCTTATAATTTCCAAAAGGCAGATGAAATTACTAAACATGTGGAAGAGTTTGTTAAAAAGGAAGCTGATATTAGATCAAAAGCAAATAGTGAAGAAAACATTCTTAGACAAAGACAACAACAAATTGCAAAACAAAAGATGATCGAAAGAGGTGAAAATGTTGAAGAATGGCAAGAAAAGTTCAATATTCTGACTTACAAGGAAACTAAATACCATCCAAAAGAGGTTAAAAAAGTTGACTTTAAGAGAAAAACATATCTTGCTCCGTTGACAACTGTTGGAAATTTACCATTCCGAAGAATCTGCAAAGATTTTGGATGTGAAATTACAATTGGTGAAATGGCTCTTGCACAAGCAATTTTGAAAGGAGAAAGGGGTGACATTTCACTATTGAGAAGACATGAATCTGAGAAAATTTTTGGAGTACAATTGGCAGGAAAGGATGCATTTACAATGACTCGAGTTGCCCAGCTTATCGATGAACAATTTCCACACATTGATTTCGTAGACGTGAATTGTGGATGCCCTGTGAATTCTTTGTGTTCTCAAGGAATGGGAGCTGGTATGATGGAAAAGAGAACGAAATTAGTGGGCATTGTAAGGGGCATGAAAGAGGTATTGAGCATTCCTGTAAGTTGATTGGTGATGTGTGAATCATTTTACAACTATGGTAATATATATTTCACTTTTATAGGTTTCTGTAAAGATGAGAACAGGTGCTAAAACTGGAAAGAATTTTGCACACAAATTAATGGCAGATTTGTGTGAATGTGGAGTTGACTCATTGACACTACATGGTAGAAGTAGAGAAATGAGATATACCAAGGAGGCTGATTATGATTATATTTATGATTGTGCCAGAGTTGTTAACAATTATTCCCAACAATCAGGTAGAAAAGTCTCAATCATTGGAAATGGAGACATTTATTCTTATCAAGACTGGTATGCGCATGTTGACAAGGTTGACACACTCATGATTGGTAAGTAGTTGAACATTATTGCAATTATGTAATCTAAACTATGTTACAGGTCGTGGAGCTCTTATCAAGCCATGGATTTTCAAGGAAATAGAAATGCAACAAACACTTGATGTGACAGCATCTGAAAGATTGGAAATGCTAAAAAGTTTTGTTAAATATGGATTGGATCATTATGGAGCAGATGACATTGGTATTAGCAAAACTCGTCGATTCTTGTTGGAGTGGCTTTCATTTCTTTACAGATACATTCCTGTTGGACTACTAGAACGTCTTCCCATCAAGTTAAATGAAAGACCTCTACCCTATGTTGGTAGAAATGAATTAGAGACACTCATGGCATCCTCTAATTGCAAGGATTGGGTCAAATTGACAGAACTAGCTGGTTTACCAAAAGTCGGCGATGATTTTGTCTTTATTCCAAAACACAAGAGCAATAGCTATGAAGATGGCGACACCAATGGCTAAACAACTACTGTTTAATAAATTATTGTATTATCCAAACGAATGAATATTAATTTTGCATGAATCTTGTTGTTACTAAGGCTAGTTCAAGCATAACCGTAAATTGCAATTCTCGTACCACTGTAATTACATAGATATTTCTAACAGCGCTACGATGGGTCTTCCTATAAGAAAGAAAACACACATTGTGAAATCTACCTTCACAAAAAAGTACCAACAGCTCCCAATCCAGATGTCCAAATACATCAACAGTTGCGAAGAATGAGTCTACAAGTCCATTATTTATGCATGCGCAACATGACTCACATTCAATATTTCTTGATTTAATTTCACACAAATTCTTCCAAATTTCGCTGATTCACTGATTCGCTCATTTTTTGCTTCTTTTCTTTCTCTATTTCGTAACAGAGGACAAAAAGGTCATGGTTTCAATAGAAAGAGTGAGTGCGGGACATTTGATAGAAACTCCTTCACCATGTACATTTGCAGTTCATGATTATTTTCAGTTTAACAATATTGCTCATTAACGTAGCCTCTTCGCAAAAGATCACCAAGTGAGGCAAAAGAATGACATGGATTCAGCAACATGTCGTGACGATTATATTAAAAAAAAAACAAACATTCATTCACACGTGCAACCTGGGAACCATACTGGAACTCGCTCAGGTGCTAATGCCTTCAAACTACTTTCACATTTTATCCAATCCAATACACACTCCCTACTTTTTCTATTCTTCTACTAATCTTCCTAACTCGTGTCATCTTTATCAAAAATGATCATCCATGACTCGTTCACTTTTTGGAATGACATGTGGCGACCTTTCACTTCCCTCTCCAACAATTCATCTTCAAATACTCCCATCACAAAAACCAATGTCACTGAATGTCATCCCAATCTTTTTCTACTCAACTCGACTTCACGAGAAGTCTATCCCATCATTGAATATGATATTTGTCCAGATACCTATGTGTCCTTTTCCATCATGCTCATTTTCGTCATTCTGTATTGTCTCTTGATGTTAATTGTCACGATAGGATTAATTTGGAAACGTCATTCGGGACATGTCATGGCTCGAAATTTGGGACATTTATTTACAAGCATGATTTCTGGATTTCTTTTCATGTTTGTGTTTTGCATGAGAATTATTATAGGTCGAAAGATTTTCCCATGTGCCTTGTATTCCTTGTGTTTCTTTGTGAGTGGACCTGTCGTGACCATGCCAACCACATGTCGATGCTTGAAAATGTTTTTTGAATTTCGATTGAATTTGTTAAAAACGAAAATATTTGGAGATTCTCAAGAACAGCAAATTGCTGTTCAGATGAATAATATGAAGGATAATCATCCCTCGAACATGCATGTGGAAGAAGGTGGAATTTTGAATAAGAATCATTCGTATACGAGTGAAGGGCATCAAGTGTCAAATGCCACTGCACCAACAACGACATCATTTTCCTCTGGAAGTGTTCCATCCTCAACTGCTTCAAGCTTTTCAAATTTATTTAAATCAACCTCAACAGGACAAGGTGCCGACTTGGTCGATGAAGATTTACTTCCCATGAAAAAATTCGCCACTCCTCTCGAATTGAGAATTCTCAAATTTTATCAATTTATGGTCAGTTACAAATTTGTGGTGGTTGCATTCAGTGCAGTCTTTCTCTTCCAAACAATGTTGTGGCTCATTGTAGGAGGTGCAGATGAAATTGTGTATGCTGTACGAGGAGAACGATCGTTGGTGTCATCTGGATTTTTTGAATTTCGACATGGATGTATTGTGACTTATAGTGTTTTGGTTATAATTTTAGTGGAAGCTATTGTGTATATTGCATTTGAGGTGATTGCATTGATTTTGTGTTTTATTTCAGATCGTGATACTTGGAACATTAAGAAGGAAACTCTAGTTGCTGTCATTTGTCAAATTATTGCTATTTTAGGATTTGTTATTGCTGGATACATACCCATTGTGGCTACCTTGACCGATTATTATGTCCCTTACTTACTTAGCGTGGTTGGATTTTTAGCTGTCGATCTCGTTATCTGTGCTCTCTTACCCGTTTTCTATGAAATTCGAAGAGAATGGCTTTTGGAACGAAAAGACACCACTCTCTCTGACAGCAGCGTCGAAACAGTATTGAAAAATAAGAAATCTTACAAAATCATGCTCGATTTTGCAAGAAGAAGTTATTGTCCAGAAGCTGTCTTGTGTTGGTCTGACATTCAACGATTTAAAAAGACTTCCAATAAGGAAAAGAGAAGAGAGATGGGTCAATTTATTGTGAATACTTACGTGACAATATCTTCTCCAATGGAAATTAATATTCCAAACATTGCAAGGACACATCAAACGTTAAAGGAATTATTGCAGGCATCATCACAAGACGTGAGCGTGGACATGTTTCAACAAATTGAAATATTTTGCATTCAGGATTTGAATGAAGTGTTGCAACGACTTTCAGCTTCGAATAAGATGATTGCTTCCATGATTGAATGTTAATAAATGTCAATCATTTTTTCAAACTCAACTCAGTCTGTTCAAAAAGAGAGTTGTGAAAGTTCAAATTCAAAACAGTCTGATCACTCAAATATTCAAAAACCACAAAACTAATGGTTTCAACAATGAATGTTATAAATCCATAAAACAAGAGGTGGTGTGCAGTTTCATTGTCTCTCCAACCAAAACTTCAAGAACATCGTCCTGATTTCTTGCACCTCACTGTTCATACAACCAAAGGTTGTAGCGGGAGAGTCGTCATATTCCTGACAGGCATCCCGTCCATATTAAAACATTCAAGGAGAAAACATCAACAAATATCGAAAGTCCAGAATAGGTGACTTGTTGATTTCAATAAGGATGACAGGCATCCCGTCCATATTAAAACATTCAAATAGGTTGAGTTAATGAATATTGGTCAGTGGAGTAACAATAATTTTCCAAATACTTGTCCCGTTGAACCTGTTCATTTCCTTCTCATAGTCATTTGGTTGACCAAAAGTAATGTTTTTAATTCTGCAAAGGTTCATTCATGTGTAAACAAATTCGATCATACATTTTTCAACATTTTGTAAATTGTGAAATAAAATCCAATTGGATTCACTCAATGTAATTTGAGTTCTCTCTCTTCTCAAGAAGATAAAATGTTCATCCACAACTGCTGATGATGACCATTGGTTCTTGAAGATAGCATTTCACGAACGATTAATTTTGCGAAAACATGAAATATGTAAATTTAGAGTTCTGTTTGGGAAAGTTAAAAAAATTAGTGACAAAGTTTCATCACCAAAGATCGTGAAAGAGTTACTTCACAATAAATAGTCACTCCATTCACTGTTCTCTTATACAAGTGGACAAAAAAAGAAACGAACTGCAGTCATGTTTCATCTGCAGATGTTATTAGAATTGTTGTCACGCCCTTTGTGATGCAACAAATAGTTCACAAAGGACTTGCAACATCACACAAGCTGTGACAATGCTTCCTTAAAATGTATCTAAATAAGGGAGCTAACAGCAACCACTCTCCACCACCAAACTGATCGTTTCATTCACATCCCCTCTTCAAGAAGGGTTAATTTCTTGAAATCAATGTTGTAAAAGATTTTGAACTTTGAATAAACATCTCCGACCAGGATTTTCAAGTCAATGCAAAAAACTGTCCCTTCTTCAGCTTTAAAGTCAACAAAAAACAAATAATTTATAAATTGCTTATTGAGCTCAAATATGGACCACATAGCGGAACAGTTGTGTTATTATCAAACATCGAGTGATTTGTCTCAAACTGCATTTCTGAAAATGCTTCCGTCAAGAACTTCCAGTTCAACAAGCGACTTTAGGACTTTTACAGAACCACATGTCTTGTATTGAATTCCATCAAGAAGTTCACAAAATAAAAGCAAATGTTTAATTCTTCATTTACATCTTCAACCACTTGTTTCATTAAACAAAAACAAAAGTGTTTAACCGCGCTTTTGAAGCTCGCAGTTCATTCAGTCAAAGACTGTAGCGGAAATGTCGCTATATTCCTGGCAGGCTTTCCGTCCATGTAATGCCATAAGAGAAAGATTCCAATTAGAGGACGCTTTTCAACACCAGCTGAACCGTACACCGTGTTGTGTAATTTTGATTTGCTTATGTACATAGGGAGCTGGTGTCGATCGGCAACTAGATGACCTCATCTCAAACAGTCACGAACTCTTCAAGATAAGGGTTTATCATCTTTAAGTTTTAACATTAAAAAACCAAAAAGGCTAAATATCCAATGGTTGCTGCTTATACGAAAAACGGCTTCTTTTTTTGACCTAACATGACCACGTTGTTTTTGAAACTCTTCATTTGCTTTTGGGCAAAATCATGCATGTAAGACCATGACGAACTCTTCAAGATAAGGGTGTATGCTTACAAGAATGTTTATTAAACATCTCAAACCAAGACGAACTCTTCAAGACAAGCGTTTAAAAACAAAAAAGGCTACAGCACTGCAGGTTCCCAAGTTGTCTCCAACCTCAGTACTGATGCAGCTCGACGATGCTTAACTTCTCAAATCGGACGGGATGAGGTGCATTCATCGTGATATGGCCGTAGCCAATCATTTATCCAAAACAACAGTTTTAATCCTTCAAGATACTGCCAAGGTTGTTGAGATTAAGCAAGTAGTTTTTGATCTTTAGAAACATGTGTAGAGATGTTTGCTTCACAAGTTGTTGCCTGTTCGAAAATGATATCTATTTCTGCCACCATTTCTTGTCGTGTCACTGTAAAAAAAACGACCTGTTCCAAGTTTCCCAACCAAAAGCAACTGAAAAGTAAAAGAAGATAGCAAAGCTAGGTTTCGATCCTAGGACCTGTGGGTTATGAGCCCACCGCGCTCCCCCTAGCCACTTTGCTTTACATTCTGTTTCTCTATCTTGAAATTTAACTTCAAACCTGTTTCTATTTTTGGAAGAAAGAAACAATTTTTAACTTGTTGAAAATGGCATCTCGTTTGACAACTTGAGAAAGATTATTATGCGACTTTCAAAACACATTTCTTGAACAACATGTTTCACAGCTCCAAACTCAAGGTTATTTTTCCTTCAAGCTCGCAGCATATCTCTCAATTGATAAAATCCATCTTGAGGATGATTTCGATGCCACTTTTAGTGATTTTTTGCCTCATTATGACCTTTCCCACAAACATCATCTTTGAAATGTTTGTTCTTTTCCAATCGATTTTCTCGAATATTATCCAAATATTCCATTCTTTCAACACCCTTCTCTGTGTTAAATTTATGATAAAAATTTGAGAGAGTTTGTGACGCAAATTGCTTTTCTTTCATTCTCTCTTCCAATCGTTGAGAAATGCTTTCACTTCCGAATGATCTCCTCGATTACTGGAAGCTGTTTCATCTCGAAACTTTCACAAACCAATTTGATTTCGATAACAATATGTGGCATTGATGAAAACCCCCTTAATTTAAAAGCCTGCCTCCCAAAGTCCCAATAATTCCCTTTCATTCAAAAATCCGATTATCTTTTCAACATCCAGACCTCTCAAATAATCTAATATCAATCCAAAATGAGTACTAGGTCTATCTATAAAGTAGGTACCATCATCCTCAAGAGCGGGATTTAAGAGATCTCTGAAAAATAATGAGAAGAATTTTTGAAATCGAAAACAGCTGTAATCGAATAAACAATTCGTACGATTGTATTAATAAAAAAAATTTATTAAGGAAACTTGAAACTAACTAGGGGCCCTTATCAATAAAAAAAATGATGAAACGCACTCTCATGTGTGCTCGAAGAACGCTCTCCTGCTCAACATCATCATCACATTTAAATATTTATTTCCTCTCCCATAGTAGTGCTCAATATCATAGTATCCGACGATTTTCAACAACGTTCAAGCCAAATGAAATATCTCCCATTCATTTTCCTTACGGGGAATCATATTTCCCAAGGATCAGAAGAGAAAAACGGTTCTATGTCGACAAAACTCATATAATACCCTTTTTAGAGAGAAGTGGTAATGTATTGTTCTTTGCTCGTCCTCCAAGATGGGGCAAATCTTTACTGTTGACAATGTTGGAAGCATATTACGACATCAAAATGGTAAACGAGTTCGGAGAGTTGTTTGATGGCCTGTGGATTGCTCACCCAAAACACCAAACACAATTGAAAAATCAATTTCATGTAATAAGGTTTGATTTATCAATCACTCTTGATGCATATTATCAATCTAATGGAAAAGGAATATCAAACAGCATCAAACAATCATTATACGACAAAATTAATGTTGACATAAAACATTTTTTGTTGGATTATGGTTTAGATGGTACCACTATACTAGATCCACATGATGCTCTTGTATCATTCGATAATCTGGTTTCGTACTTCCGAGAAAACAAGATGAAATTAATGGTTCTAGTTGACGAATCGGACAGAATTGTACACAAATTCATGTTGGAATTTCCTTTAAACTATACAGGAGATGCTGTATTTTCTCCAATTCAATCATTCTTTGAGCGCATCGAACAAGAATCATCAAGCAATTCTGACTTTCGAGCTTTAGTTGTTGGTATTACACCACTTTTGCTTTTTGATTCTCTTGGTAGACAATTCGCCACAGATATTTCACACACATCACAATTCAATGACGCGGTTGGATTTTCCAAAAAAGATCTAGAAAGGGCTGTGAATGACATTGGTATTTCAAACACAGACCATAAACATAACGTACTCTCAGCCATGTACAAGTACTATGCTGGCTTTTATTTTCCAGGTTCAGTAGAGCCTCTTTTCAATCCACAACTTTCATTTTATTTTCTAAAAAAGCTGATACGAGATAATACTTTCCGTCGTGATGTTATTGAAGGAAAGAACCCTACCGTTCGTGACATGATGGATGAAAATGTGAAAATAGGCTCTAGTGTTTTTGACGCTCTTTTAGAATTTCAAATTTTTAAACCTATCCTTCAGCGATGTACTTCAACAAACATGGTTGATTTCCTCGGTCTTGGATACCCTCATACTGACATCTATCCCAGCCCTAAAGACATTCTTAAACCACCTATAGCATATGTCTCTAACAAAACAGTATGGAATCATTTACTATCCTTTATGTATTATCATGGCATGCTTACTCTATTACCATTTAATTTATTTGGTGAAGGTACATTAGTTGTTCCAAATGAAATAGCAAAACATCAATATTTAGATCGCCTTCCTGATATTTTATGCATGAACAATCTTTACATTGAAAGATTTATCAATGATCCAACAGAAGACAGATTGAAACAATTGTTGAAAGAATTTATATTGGATCCAGTATTTGATGTCACAATGCCGGAAGATGGTCTGCAAGGAAGTTTTGAGGCTGCTCTGAACGCTTGCAGCTCTAAATTATTTAAATTGACTTCAAACAGAGAATATACACAAATTGGTGGAATGAAACCTCTCCCACATGGATCAAGCGTTTTAATCGAAACATTGAATAATGTAATCATTATTGAATTTACCCGTATCAAGTTGGACTCGTTGGAAGAATATGAAAACTTCCACTCTCTCTATAATGAACCCATCACTCCAGTTGCATTTAAGAGTGAGTTTGAGGATTTGTTATATGCAGATGAAAAACAATTGCTCTCCATGAACGCCACCTTGAATTCTACATTTATTCCTCTTCATCAACCAGAGATTATCACAAACCAGGAACGAACAACCGTAGAAGACATTTTCAATAATGCTGTTATTCGAGCAAAAGAACAACATGCGTCAAACAATGAGAAAAACAAAGGCAAGACCATTCATACCTTTGTTGTAGTACAAGTTGGATGGCCACTCATTGTACGAAAAGTCGACTAACACGTTCAAAGAGATAAATTTGTGAGAAGAAGGACTAGTCAGTGATGTTTTTGGAACATGAGGAGTCATTCGATTGCGAACTTTGCCTGCCATCTCCAAACTTCCACACCATGCTTGTTTCAAGTCATTCATTTTGTTTTTTTCTTTTGCCTCGCTCGTATCATAAAAGTTGGCACTTATTGAAGGCACCACATCCTTTGAGAAGTATAACTTTGAACAGTCACATGTATTTTCTAGATTATTATTATTTATTTATTCACTTTTTCATCTTTCTTGATTTTGTAATTTTCGAGTGAGATGAATTGGCTCTCTTTTCCAAAGTATTTTTCGATGATCGTTTCACTGTGACTTGCATTCCAGTTAAATTTGAAACGTGATAATCCACATTATTTCTTCTTCGGGTTCCACTCACAACATTGCATGGATCAACATCAAAATTAGGTAATCGTTTGGTAATATCAATGGGTTTGGATCGGACCCATTCCGTCTTTGTTGGTACTTTATCAGTGGATGAAGATGATGAGGAATCGTTTGGTGATGTTCTTGAGACCATTGTTATTGTCGTTATTATTGTGTTGTGTTAGTAATTTGTTTTGTTGCTGAATTTCGAGATGTTTTGGCTTGAGTATTTATTGAGCTTGCTGTCATCCATTTTTTGTTGGAATCTCCTTTGTGATGGAAATTCACAAAATACTGGAAACAAATTCAAAAATAAATTCATGATGAAAATGTGAGAATTTGAAAATCAACAACAAAACAAATATTGAAAACATCTGAACAATCAAACAACACAACAACAATGGTCTGCACAAGAAGCAATAAGGGATATTCCAATTACTCTTCTGAAATTTCAATGGATAATATCATCGGAGGAACAAGACAACGAAAACAATTCAATTATAAAGTCATGAACCAATATGGAGACGATCATGATGAATCAGAAGTGATTAATTATTTCTCTTCACGACCCTCTCACAATACTTTGGAAATGAGAAATAAGACATTCCGAAAGTAATCTTACTATCCTTCAGAACCAATTTTGATCCATGTAAATAATAATTCACCTAGGCATTTTCACCTGTTTTCTATTTGATCGTTCAAGTTCTGGATTGCTGCCAACACAAGATCAAATTAATTTTGCTAAACCACATGCCACCAGTCAAATTCCAAGAAGATATTCGAACAATAAATGCACACTGCTTGTTCTTTTATTAAATCTTCAACACTGTTTCATTAAACAACAACAACAAAGGCTTCTCGCTTTTGTAGCTCACAGTTCATACAGTCAAAGACTGTAGCGGGAGTGTCGCCATATTCCTGGCAGGCTTCCCGTCCAAAATTAACAAGAGAAACAAAAACAAATCTACAAACGATCTAGAACCTTTGTTTCAGTTGCCACGTCTGGAATCCACGCATTTGCAAGTCTTGTATTTGAAAACGTGGCTGGAATTTTCTTTCAGAATTCTCTTTTGGTTGCGCACACTTATTTAAGAGAGTAGTTGGCAAAATGCATTTGAACGCAAACACGTGATGAATTTGAAATGTATGTTTTATAAATTTTCGTAGAATAGGAAAGAGTGATAATAGAGATATGGACAATCAAATGAAATCAAAAATTGCTACAATTGTTTTCTAAAACTCTATGGAGCTACCAGAAGCCAATGTTCCAACAACCATACAGTGATCACGTTCAAAAGGTTCCAAATCCAATTGTTCTTCACAAGTAAAACCAAATTGTTGGAGTTGTTCCACTTCCCTAGCAAATACGACTTCAGCCTCAACCGTGGAATCTATACAGTTAGCCTTGATGGAAATAACAAAGTGACCACCTGGCTTCAAAAAGTATTTAGCATTAAGAGCAACAATACGAGCTTGATCGGGTTGAGCAACGTCTGCGAAAATAGTATCCACAGCTCCTACTAACATTCTGTATCTCAAAGGATGACGAGCATCTTCAATGATTGGAACAATATTTGGTCTCTTCTTGGACATTTCAATCAAATCACGACCGCATCGTTCAGATAATTCAACTCCATAAACCATTCCTTCGGGACCAACCAAGTCTGAACAGTGAGATACTGTTGTACCTGAAGCAGCACCCAAATATAACAATTTAGTACCAGGTTTGATGTAGATATTCTCAATACCACCAACGATACCTGCTCCAATCTTTGAACGGAAAGGACTCCATAATCTGTATTCTACTTTTTGAACATTTTCACCGAATCCCTTTTCCACTGTAACTCTCTTTTCATCATAGACAGATTCACCTGGAACCATATTGAGTGTAGCAATGGATTCATCTTTTCCTTTGACGACATAGACTCCCTCGAAACGATGTGGTTCAACAATGACCTTCTTTCCTCCAGCAGCTGCTCCTCCTCTGGCTCCTCCACGACCACCACCTCTTGGTGCTCCTCTTCCTCGGCCACCTCCACCGCGACCACCCTTGTCAAAACCTCCACGACCACCACCACGGCCTCCACCACGACCACCACCTCTACCGCCTCCACCAGATCTATCACCGAAGCCTCCACCGAAACCTCCACCTCGGCCTCCTCCACGGCCTCCACCACGACCACCTCCACGACCACCACCTCTACCTCCTTTGTCGAATGCCATGATGATAATTTATATTGTTTTTGTTGATGTTGTTGCTGTTGAAAGAAAGCGAGAGCAATGTCGATATTTTTTTCACTTCAATAATTTTGTTGCTTGCATTATCGCTCTCTGGTTCAACAAGAGTTTGTAGAGCAATAAATACGAGCATGGCCGAATTTTTTGAACAACAAGACGATTGTGTTTTGAAAGCAGGATGGTAATTTTAATGTTGAAACAACAAGTGCAACTGAAAGAATTGTGGTTGTTTGGAACGATTGTCTACCCTGTAGTTGCACTGAGAAATTCGTCCCAATGATTTGGAAGGAAGGTTTAACGCTTGACAAAGGTAAACTTCTTACGAGCCTTCTTTTGACCTGGCTTCTTACGTTCTACCACTCTAGGATCTCTATAGAGGAAACCGCTAGCCTCTAATGTAGGGCCAAATTCAGGAATAAACTTAGCTAAAGCTTTTGAAAGACCAAGGAAGATTGCGTCACACTGACCAGTTTGTCCGCCTCCTCTAACTCTTGCCTCAACGTCAAATTGATTCAAAGTGTTTGTAAATTTCAAAGGAAGCATGAGTTTGTAGTGATGACGCGTCAAGTTGAAATAGTCAAGTACAGATTTTCCATTCACTGTGAATAATCCTGTTCCTGGTGAGATTGTAACATTAGCTACAGAAGACTTTCTTTTGCCTGTTGCAGTAGAAAAACCTCCATAAACTGCAGGATGGAATTCGGTAATACCTTTCTCTTCAACTCCAACCTTCATACTTTCGTCGTGAATTGGTCGCAATACTTCATAAATATGGTCAATTTGTGAAGGGAATTCCTCAAGTTTCAAGGTCTTTGCTCTTTCGTATACCATTTCAACCTCTTTCTCTTTGGCTTTCTTTGTTGCAATTTGTCTAATGGACCACAACACAGTTTGCATTTTTGGTTTTGGCTTGGTGGCGATATCAGCCATTGTGTAAACTATTGGCTTGGCGGAAGCAGTGATTTCATCGGTAATAAGCTGAATAGATCTTTGGGATGCGCTTGCATATTTGTCGAACTTCGGTTGGACTGTTAAAATCACCTTATTCAAAATTGATTTGATTTTATCCTTTGGTACTGCTGGAAACATAGTCTCCAATCTCTTCAGTAAGCCTTGTTCATCAGTAGCTTCTTTGATATTTTCATAAAATTCTTGAACATTGTCAAATTGTTTCGATCCAAGTGATTCATAAAGATTTCGCAGAGCTTCATCGTCAAAGATTCTTTCTCGGAAATATTTGTTTCTTTCCGTAGAAATGTTATCTTCGGATACCTCAGAAAGGTCTTGCAAAGTTTGTTTTCTAAGCTCTTCAATTGTTTCCCATCTAGGGTCATTCAAAAGCCATGGTGCGTTTTTTTCAATTTCATCCTGACTCATATTCAAATATTTTTCAATGTTCTTTGAAACATCTTCCAAATATTCGTCATTTAAAAAGTAACGCTTCTCATGAGGAGTTAAAGTGTTCCAGAACGGACTTTTTTCTTCATGTCTTGCGTTATTAACAAGGATGAGTTTGTCTCCAGATAGAGATGTTGGGGATGCAGACATTCTATCAATATCCGCATTCACTGAAAAGTCGCTCACAGCACTCATACCCTCAAGCATGTCTTTTTTAAGAGCAACAGAATCATATTGTTGGAAATATTCTTTTCTATTTTCTTGATCTGCTGTAGTGGCACTTTTCTGCAACAGTTTCTTCAACTCTTTCTTCTGTTGTTTGAAATCATTGGCCAGTTCTTCTCTCGCTTGCTGCTCAGCCTCCCATGATTCTACCACTTTATAGGGGGACTTAGATTCATACATGAATGAAAGAAGACTATCGCCTGCTTTTGTTTGCATATCTCTTTCCTTTGTTTCCATTTCAATAACTTGCTCGTTAAATATCTGTGTAGGTGCGACACTTGTTTTTTGCTCAAAAAGCGCTTGTAATATCTTTAGTTTTTGAGCCTCTGCAGAGTTTCTATCATAAATACTATCATTGGCCTCTCTTACTTTCTTCTTTTGAGCTTTCACGGTTTTGGCCTTCTCCGACTTTTGCAAAGCCTCAAACTCAGAGAAGTGTTCCTCTTTCTTTGTTTCCTTCTCATCTTTCTCTAATTTTGTAACAAATAAATCGAGTAGACTCTTTGTTTTTTTCAAATTTACATTCTTTGCAACATATGGCATGGCATCTTCTACTTCGTAATGTTGAGTCGGATCAAAGCCATCTTTTTCAATGTCTTTGGCATATGTACGTGATTGATGAATAGCCGTTTGTGGTATCAAGAAACGATGGCTGCAGCCTCTTGATGATGCTACCACATGAAGCGAGCGAAAGAGTGAAGCAACCCCAGAGTTTCGTAGCATTTTTTTCAAAAACAAAACCAGGTTGCAATTTTACAATGATACCATCATCATGCTCTCTCAAATTAATTAATTTTAATAAATTATATTAGAGAGCATGATGACAATGAACCGTTTCACCTTTTATCGAATTGAAATTATTCTGTTGTTCTTCAATAAGAGAGCATGATGCTAAGAACACCATAAAAAATGATGAGCCGCAAATTTTTAGCTTCCTCAACCAAGTCCCTGCTCTTTCATCAACTTGGCTCATCTCCTATTTCGTCATCATCAACGTTAATACGAGCAATGACTATCACGATGCTTCGTAGTGAGCGGAGAGAATTCTCATCATCGAGTCATCACTTGGAGGAAAAAAAGAGCAAATCAATATGGGGAAATATTATGGAATTTGTGAATACAATCCGACAGGGAAGAAAGATCAAAAAGGTGGAGGAAGAAATGAAAAAGAACTATTCTAAACTTGTAGCAAGTGCATTATTAGAGGTATGCATTCTAAAATGATGAATCTAACAATAATCATTCAATGCACTTTCAGTCTATTCGAGAACAAAAACGAATGAAATCGGAAGTTGACCAACAATTTGCAGACCTTGCTAAAAAGATGAATGAAGAATTTTCAGACATTAAGAAAGAAATGAATATCGAAAAAATTAAAAGTGAAATGTTTAAGAAACACGGTGGAGATATGACAAGGGCTATGAGAACGGTTATTGAAGGTAGTGTATTTAATTAATTTATTGAATATCAATAACGACTGTCAATGCATCTTAAACAGAACAATACGCAAAGAGTGGTGAAAAGCCAAGTGAAGAAGCCATTACCAACATGGAAAAGGAATTGTATAATCTTATGTCACGAAATGATGACAATTTGAATTCTTCCACACCCAATACTCCCTCAACACCGCCACAAACAAGTGCAACAACGACATCTTCCCCATCAAAATTCAAGCAAATATTAGAAAAAGAAAAGGCAGAAAAAAAGAAATAAGCTATTTATTGCCAATTGTTTCTTTCATGAACATGGTGTTTGAGTTATAAAAACATCATTCTACATTATCTCTAATTAAAAAAATGTTTTCGTGTTTTTTAAACGTTTTTGGATGCTGTGATGAAGGTTCGTATGATGGTGATGATAACATCACACAGGATGGAAACAATCGCTCCATTGACGTAAATTTGAATGATAAATCCTACTTGTTATCAAATACTTTCATTAACCGGCGAATCTATTAATATTGTATTCCGATTGTATGAAATGATGTTTTTAAACTGAAATGATGAACAATGATCCTCCAAACCATATCTTGTGTACAACTGAATATTGGATATGCAATTTAATATCTAACTTTTCCAATAATCAAATTTATTATCATCTTCAACTGAAAAGTAAGGAGAACACTTTGGAAAGGTCATGTACGAAGAAGTGATGCCAATGCTCATCATGAACTCAGAGATTCCGATGAGGAAGAAATGCATCATGGATTGGCACAACATGATATGATCGCTGGCAGAACTAGTATGGATAGAACGTCCATGCAAGAAGAGCACGAACTGGCTCATGATGGTATGACAGATGAGGAATTTGCTCAATTATTGCAACAGCAAGAATATGAAGAAGCAGCACGAAGAAGCAGAAGTGGCAGTACAAACGTTGTGTCATCCTCTTCGGGCAGTAATGGAAGAACAATGGTTGACTTGGGAGAGTCATCTGCATCGAATGTGAGGGAAGAGCAAGACCAGGCTTATTTGAGATCTTTGCAAAGAGATCAGGAAAGAAGTAGGCAAGAGGAGTTAGAAAGGCAACGACAAGAGCAAGAGGAACGTGAACGACAACGACAAGAGCAAGAAAAAATTAGAAAAGAACAAGAAAAAATTGTAAAAAGAAGAGAAAAAGCAACCAAGCTTAAGCCTGAGCCTGCAGAGACAGAGAGTAATTTTTCAAAAGTCCTTATTCGATTGCCTGATTCTTCACGATTGACTAGATCTTTCAGACATTCTGACACCATTGGAGATATATTTGATTATTTGGATGTTACAAAAGAAATAGATGTAGATAAGCTTGTGCTAGTAACCACTTATCCAGCTCGAAGATTTTCCTACGAAGAGCACGCTGGACTTTCACTTGCGGAAGCCAATTTAAGCGAAAAGCAGGTCTCACTGAACTTGGCTGAGAAATAATGTGTAAATTATTGTGTACATACATTGAAATATTTATTTATTGATTGTAAATGTTTAGAGAGAGGATTTAAATTGGGAAGGATCTACTCTCTTAATTACTAAAGCGCTAGCTCCACCGCCTCCGTTACAAATACCTCCACATCCGACTGTCTTCTTATTTGTTGCCAACACATTGCATAGTGTGACAATGATTCGAGCACCACTGCAGCCCAGTGGGTGACCGATGGCAACAGCACCTCCCCAAATGTTTACCTTCTCTTCTGGAAGATTTAAAAGTTTCGAATTCGCCAAAGCCACAGCAGAAAATGCTTCGTTAATTTCGAAATAATCCACATCGTTGACAGTTAGACCAGCTCTCTTCAAAGCTTTTGGAATGGCTAAGCTAGGTGCAATTGTAAACCATTGTGGTTCTTTTTCTGCATCCTCGAAAGATAACACTTCAAAGACATTTTCATTTCTCAAACTTGCAAGATAGGTTGGATTGGATTTCAAAAACTTTCCGCTGACCAGTAAAACGAAAGCAGCACCGTCAGAAATTTTTGATGCGTTTCCAGCAGTCACAGTTCCTCCCTCCTTACTGAATGCAGGTTTCAGCGATCTTAGTTTATCTGCTCCTTTGAATTTGGTAACCTCCTCATCTCTATCAAAAGTGACATTATTAACTTTCACAGGTACAATTTCCTTCTTGAAATTCTCAACATTCTTTGCAGCTTTTTCATAACTCTTGATAGCATAATCATCTTGATCTTGCTTTGATATCTTATGAGTAGATGCAGTGACATCAGCAAATTGACCCATCAAACTCTTATTATATGGATCAAATAAACCATCGTACATCATACCATCAATCACTTTACCATCTCCCATTCTTTTTCCATTTCTATAATCAGTCAAATAATAGGGAACGTTAGACATGGACTCAACTCCACCGCAAGCAATAACATCTCTCATTCCAGTCATGATTTGCAAAGATCCGTAATGAATGGCTTTCATTCCAGAGGAGCAAACCTTATTTACAGTGGTACAAATCACTTCCTTTGGTAATCCCGATCCAAGAGCTACTTGACGAGCTGGATTTTGACCAACACCTCCTTGCAATACTTGCCCATGATGACTTCTTCAACTTGTTCCGGTTTGAGATGAGCTCTTTGGATGGCCTCTCGGAGTGCAATAGAACCAATCTGAACAGCTGATTGGGATGAAAGGCATCCACCACTGGATCCGAGGGGTGTTCTTGCGTAAGAAACAATATAAACAGATTGATCTTTGAACATTTTTTTGATTGGTTCCCAGTGCGTTGGATGACAAGAGCTCTTTGGAAAATTTCAAAATACTTCCTATTTTCCAGTAAGGGATCAAAAGAAAGAGCGAATCGAAAAGCAAAATGTGTTATTTGTTAATGATTACTGTTTGTCCTGATTTTTCGAAAGTAATTCAAGTTGTAGTTTTCGTTTTAGTGCCATGGCAACAATGACAGTAATGTCATCTGGTTTTCCACCGCTGACATGACGTCCTGTTGCTTCAGTGTACGCTTTGGAAAATGGTGTGAACGTATATGGATTCTCTGACAAGCTTACAACTCTGGCCAGAGTGGCTATTTGTCTTGCTTTGGAGAGTAAAAATTGATTAAGCTCATTGATGGCTTGTACATTTCCGACTGCAACTTTTTTCAGCAGATCAGCTTGTTTTTGTTCACTCCACAAGGTTTGTCCTTGGTTAATTACTTGTAGAATTTGCCAATCAAATAAATTGTCAAATAATCCATCAGTTCCCATTACAATAATGTCACCATCTTGAATTTTGTGTTCCTGTAAATCTCCATCCCTAGGTTGATTCTCGATGCACGAACCATTCCTTTCAGGAGGACAAATAGTGAGCTGATAAGGAGCATTGAATCTGTGCTGCTGAGTCTTACTTCGGAATACAACCATTCCATCTCGGATAATGACAAAGCCGCTGTCACCAACATTTAACGATTGCATTATTCCTTTTTCCAAATCAGAAATCATGACCATAGAAAATGTAGTAGAGCCTGCTCGAATTGATCCACTAGTTTTAATATCAGCAAAAACCCTGCTTAGAATTTCCACCGGTGACTCTTTGATAATGAGTTTTGGATTTCTTTCTGTGGGTGATTTACCCCACCAAGACCATCCGGTTGTTTCTGTTGTTTCCTGAAAGTTAGTATTTTGAATAAAATTAAATATTTTGGTTTCTTTTTCTAGAAATATTGCAAGGACTTTAGAAGTGATGGATCTGGAAATTAAGCTAGGGTCAACATTGTACTTTGCCCATCCACCTTTACGAAAAATCCAATGTTCAATTAAATTCATAAATATATCTTTGTGAACACTTACCAACACCGTCACCAACCTAAACGAAGACGAATTTCATTTTGAAAATTGTGGACCATTTCAATTTGTACAGTAATACTTACTCCAATAGCAAGTGAGGATTGGAAATAAGCATCCTCACCAGCGCTTTTCTCTCCCACTTGATCACTGTGTCCAACATTTGGATAGAAAGACTGAGCATTCAATATTCGCTCCATGTGTTTCGTTTTTGCTCTTTTTGATAATCCAACAGCAGCAGAAAAGAATCCATACAATGAAACCGTTGGTGTTGTTGAAGCCATATTATTAAACGCAGCCTCTTCTTCGGCTTGAATCATCATTGCTTGTGGTGGAAAGTTTAACCATCTACCCGAGTTATGATCATCATTGCAATTAAAATCTTTTGAAGCCACTTCCGATGTCTCTGTCCTTTTGTTCATCATCAAGGAACAACTCCTAGTGATTGAAAATGCTTTTGAAAATAAATTATGAGTACTTGGAAACAAGAGATTTGGTGTTGATGATGAGGATGGTGGTACGGAGGAAAGATCTGGCTTTTGATTCAAGGCTTCCATTTTTATTGGCATGGAATTTGAAATAAACAGCGGAAAGAATTTGTTTGAATAAACAAACGAATACTTTCATTCTACATAAACAAGAAGGTTCAAAGAATAAGGTTGAAAGAAAATGATTTTAAGTTGAAATCAGCAGTTCAACTTTAAAAACATGTTTAATCCTTCCCGCCAAGGAAAAAAACGTTAAAGCGCAAAAAAATGAAAAAAGCTTCATCATCAACGGCCGTTAAAAACAAGAGATCGGATTCGCCTTCACATTCACCACCCACTTCACAACAGCTTCCTCGTGATGATTATGTTTCTCCTGTTGGAATGGAAAAACGAAAAAGAAAAGAAGAATTTTCTTCTTCTGCTGCAGAGAATCGGAAAGACGATCGGAGTGGAGAACGAAGAAAGAAGAAGAGGAAAAGTTCGAGAGGTGGTAGCACAAAAGAAACGGAGCACGGTTCAAAGTTTTGTGCTTCAATCCCACTAGAACTGGATGATAGTAAACGATTAGTAATTTTAAATGAAATTTGGTTAAAGCATGCAGAAGACCGATATTGCAAAATTCCAATCGTTAAAGAAGCATGTATGTGTTACCAATAATTTACTTTTGTGTGTGACGAAATGAATCACATGATATCTATATTATCATTAATAATGGGTCGTTTATGAATAATTTTAATTTTTTACAATATTACAGTTGATGAGATTAAGCGAGAATACTTGACAAACACTTTGCCAAAACTTATCGAGAAATATAACGGTACCCGTGTGATACCAAATCTTGTGAACCAAGCAAATAGAAGTAAGGAACAATTTTACGATAAAACAATATCACAATTGGAGAAAGAGTTGCAATTTTGGGATAGCATTGCATCAGCATTAGAGAAAGATTCTGACATGACGAGTAAAATTTCAGATATTAAAATGGAATCCTTCCAACCTAACGTTGAGCAAAAAACCTCAGAAATGCTGTCAATGCTAACCAAGTTACTGAACGGCTGTATTGAATCAACAGTCGTTCTTAATGATCATCTCAACATGTTTATTGAAGCAATATTGCAGGCAAAGAGGGATGCCACTAATCTCCAACAAAAAGTTTTCCACAAGATGAAAGAACAACGAAAGCCAGGATCGAGTGACTCAAAAGCAACAACGAATGACGCTTTGGTGTCTACTATATTAAATAAGGGTAAGAACACTAGGACAGAAAAGAAAGATCAAGCCAATGCACTAGATCCAAAAACAATTATTGGTGAAAAGGACTTTAAATAGAAAGTCACCCTCGATTAAAGATTTGCAACATTGTAATTTATTATTCTTGTAAAAACATTCATTGTTGAGATTTCAACGTTGCAAAAAATGTTCCAAATTTCCAGCAGAGAGCCTATCGATGGTACACTCATCGGAAATCATGTGGTTGTGGATGATTTAACACTCTACAGATTTGATTACTTTGGAAAGGGAGAAATGTCGAGATCCACACCATGCTTTGCAAATTGGTTTGATGCCAACACAGCCTCTACAAGTACCAATCATCTTAACCATTCGGAGGTGACTTCAACACTTCCTCCCAACAATATGGAAAAATTAATTCTTTCACTTCAAGAAGCCTTTTATTTATATTTTGCACTGGGATGTTTGCGGATACGAGTTGGTCAGAATTTGAAAAGTATTCAAGAATGCTTTAAATTATTTTGTGAAATTGAAGGAACCGAGTTCTTCATCTCTCGGTATGCCATTTATCACTATTTTAGATCAAGAGGTTGGATCACTAGAAGTGGAGCAAAATACGGTTGTGATTATGTACTTTATAGAAAAGGACCCCACCAAGAACATGCGAAATATGGTGTAAATATTATTTCTGCAAAGAAGTTAGCAAACATGACTTGGAAAGAACTGCAACACCATTGCAGAACCTCACTCAATGTAAAAAAAGATTTACTTATTTGTCAATACCAAATGCTAGAAGAAAATATCGATTTTAGTACAAATGTCACAGACATTCTGAAAAATTGTATTTCATTGGCAACAATGAAAGTCGCTAGGTTTGTTCCAGAACGAGACAGAGAGGCAGATAATGATTAATTTTGGGGAGACTTTCTGCTCTCAAATTTCGATAACAGGCTACTGGGAGAAAATGTGGAAGTTTTCTGTTTGATTTTTCTTTCTTCATCCACAATTTCTGCAGTTTTTTCATCTAGCTTAATAAAAGGAAGGGAGGTTGCTTGCCCTGGCTCGCGACTGACAGCGGCAGGGCTCAGTGACATGTCTTGATTTGAATTCTTTTTTTCAATAATTTCCAATTTTCTTTGCATTTCTGATGATCTTTCTTTCTCTTTCTTGATCATTGCAACCTTTCGTTTTAACTTTTCATCTTCTTGAGCAATATCAAGATTCTCCTTGTCGCAAATAAATTTTGAGATTTTTTCCATTTTAGACAACAATTTGTTGTTGGAGGTGTCATTGAGGAAGTAGGTTTCCAATACTTTCTTAGCGTGCAATTGGATTTCCTTAAACACAGTTTCTAAACAAGTTTCGTCTGGCTCACCCAGATTTATCATTTTAGAGAATATCTCTTTTGTTTTTTCTCCATCTAAACTGTGCATGTTATCATGTAATAAAGGATCGAGACAGGAGCAGATGGTGGAGTCATTGTGATAGTCGTCGTGTTGCGAAAAAATAGATTTTACATCTAAATGGGTCTTTTCCAAAAGTGCATCTAGGATCGATATGAGCCTCTTCTCAACATATTTAAATTTCACATTGGCATGCTTCAGTTCGTCCAAGTTGTCCAAACTTTGTCTCCAAGTGCCTGTGTGGTACTTCATGCAGTCATGATCAAACAATTTGGAAAAGAACAAGAGCATTGGGCGCATTTGATGCACTCTAGTTAAAGTTGCGTTCACCACATCGTCTGGAGCTGTCTTGCGCATTATGGTCTTCATATCTTCAAATAAATCAAGTTGCTTCTCAGCATAAATAGTAATGATAGGATTGTCTGACATAGTTTCAATGACACAGATTACTTTCATGACTGCATACAAATGAATCATCTTCTGAAGAATGCTAAAATTTCTTGATACTTGAATTTCCAAGGACTCGCAAAGTTCTTTCAGCAAATTAGTAAATTTCATACTTTGGTGTTTGTAAAAGCGTTCTTCTGTGAGAGCTAATTTAGAGTTGATTTCCATTGAACACTGCATCTCTTTGAACATATCCACCTCAAATCTGGCTGTTGATAGCTGTCTGTTGTGTTTTAACCGAGAAAGCTTGGTAGTTATTGAGGTAACCTCATGCTCCAGTTCACTTTTTCGTTCCGACAATTTCTTGAGGTTATTTTCTAGCTCAAGTGCCTTAGAATCAATTTCCATATTCTTTGCTTCCAATTCTTTTACACTGTCCTCCTCAATGTTCAAGCTCTGTATGGACTCTTTAGCCACTATTTCTGTTTGTTGTAGTTGAGAACCCAAATCTTGTAGTTCTTTTTCAACTTCAAGCTTCATTTGTTGAATTTTTGGAAGCTCCACTTTCAAATTCTTCGAAGTCAGCTCTGTTAAACCTATCAACGAATCAGTTGTAATCTCCGAACTTTTTTCCTCCTGTTGTTTGATTTGTTGGAGCTGCTTCTTCAATTTTTGAATGGATTGTTTTAGAGTTTCGTTCGACCTTGTGGAGGAAGATATTTGTTGTTTGATAGTGTCAATTTGCTTGTCGTTGTACTCTTTTTTAAGCTGTACTTTTTCATTCCATTCAAAAATCTCTTTTTCATTCTATCAAGCTCAGCATCAACAACTCCAATAGCTGTTTCATATTCTTCTATATCTGCCTCTAAAAACTCTGTGATTTCGTCAGCTGTTAATTGAATAATATTTTTTCCTCTATTGATTTCCTCCACTTTCTGACTGCAACAGATGTTAAATTGGTGGTCGTGATATTCTCTAACTTTGTTCGCCAGTGTGTTGAAATACTTCTCCTTTTCGTTGTTACAAAGCAATTTGTGTGAATGTTGAGCTAGTTCGTGCTCTTCCTTAATTTTCGTAATTGCAGGTGAAATATATTCGGTAATTGATTCTCGTATTTCTTTATATTCTTGCTCCTTCGGAATACAAATGAATTTTTCAAAGTTTTTGATGAAATGGTCTTTCAAATACGTGTTATGATTCTCTGATTTTTCCTCAATATATTCTCTTGTTTTGGTTTTGGCTGAATCTACTACCTGGTTCAGCGATATTAAAAGTTTGTCATTTTGAGCGTTCTCGAATGCAACCTCATTGGCACGTTGTTTAGCTAAAGAATTGGATTACGTCCAATTTAAATAACGAATATTGCTGCTTTGTAAAATCACTTACCGTACAAAGAGAAAAGTTTAGCAAGTAACCGCTTCTTTCTTTGGCTTTTAGCATGGTGTGTGGCCTCAAGAGAGATGGCTGCTTGTCTTACTGCCTCTACTTCCTGTTGTTCGGATTTCTCAAACACTCGTAAACGATCCAGATGTTGCTGTTTGGATTGTTCCCTTAACAATTTTACCTCCTGTTCAACCTTTGCCTCTGCTTGTTGTTTGATCTTTCTGATCTTTCTGCTTTCCGAGCGCTTTAGAATTTCCTCTGCAATTTCTCGTTTCCTTTCTTCGTTCAGTTCTTCCTCGCTTGTGAAACGATGATCTGTAGTTTCTGCTCCCGAAGTGTTTATAGTGAGGGGTGAAAGCATGGGAGATGACGTTTTTTGCACTTTGTTCCGCATTAAGGGGGAAGATAGTGTTTTAGATTGAGAGGGTGAGGAGTATTGAAGAGGACGATTCAGTATTGGGCTGCAATTGCGGTTAAGCAATGGTGAGTCGCCAACATTATGTTTGAGCATTTTTAAAATGTGATGTCGCAAAAGCAACGTGAAAATACTCACATTAAATTATATAAGCATGGTTTAATAATGCCAAAAAGACATGTGTATCCAATCCTTTCATAAATGTCCTTCTCATCATAACTCCTGAATCATACAGTTGTAAATAAATAATAAATAATAATTATTTCTTGAGTTGAATCTTATTCTTCAACTCATCCAAAGATTGATATTGCTTCTTTTCCAAAATAACTTTGCGAGCATGACTTAACTTGTCTGGAACGTTCCACATCAAAATACCAACAACCTTCTTGTCTCTCAAATAATAAACGATACCATTTCCGTAGTTGGATGCAACAACTGGTGCAGCGGATGTCGTCCAGGAGCTTCCATTTTGTTTAACAATTACGTCATCCCAAACAGCATAGGTGTCGAGACTAGAGTTAATCTCACCAACAGCTTGGAAATGAACGTCACCAATATCGCTCCAGAACATACTGATGTGATGGAATGGCTTCTTGGCATTAGAGCTCATATTGATACCAGCATGTCTACCAGTGGCTTCAGCATGTTCGTGGTGTTCAGATCTTCTTCTTCCCAAAACAACATCATAGTAGCTCAAGACATCACCAGCAACAAAAACATTTTGAACAGCCTCTAATTGAGAGTTGGTAACAATACCACTGTTTTGAGGGTCGATTTCTAAGCCTGCCTCTTCAGCAATATAAGTGTTGGGGTAGATACCTGTAGTGGTGACTACATAGTCGGCCTCAATCTTTTCACCACTATCGAGAGAAACCACCACTTTATCCTTATTCACGCTTGGTTCAACATTCACTACGTTTCTATTTGGCTTCAAATCAACACCAGCAGCAACTAAGGTTTGTCTTACACGCTCGCTAAGGTATCTTGGAATCCAACGAGCCAAGACATCAGGTTCAAGGTACACTTGGGTAACTTTGGAACCTTTCTTTTCACGAAGCTTGTTGGCCACAGCTGTAATTGTGAGTAATAATCATACAGAAACATTGGATCATGTTTGAGGAATCAATATTAGAATGTACATACCATAACTCAACTCAGTACCCAAGAAGCTTCCACCAACTATGATATTTGTCCATGGTCATTACATACAATTTCAGTGACATTCATGAATCATTCTGAAATACATACCAATCACAATCTGAAAAGATGATGTTTACCTCAAAAAAATGTTCAATGTGCTTCTTAGTACTTACGTGTGCATTGTCTTTCTTGGCTACAGCAGCCAATTTCTTGTAATCGTTAATGGATCTGAAAGTGGTTACACTATTTGGGAATAGATCACTACCTGGTAATTCTCTTGGTGTTCCTCCTGTTGCAATGAGACACTTTTCATAGCTGTATTGCTTGCCGTCGGAGGTGGTAACAACTTGGTTATGAGTATCCAATTGAACGACTTTGGTCTTGGTCAAGAGTGTGGTTGATGGATCAGAATCATAGGCAGATATTGGCTCATACTCAACAGAAGTCTCTTGGCCAAGCCAGTTCACAAACTTGAGCTCGTCAGCCTTATTCGAACTCCAGAGCTCCTTGGAGAGAGGTGGACGCTCGTAGGGAGCATATTCCTCACCTGTAACGATAAGAACTTGAGCTGAAGGATCATTCTTCTTGATGGCCTTCAATGCTATAATTTAAAAGTAATTTTCCGTAAAACAACACGTTCGTCATCATCACGTACGACAATATTGTTCAATGAGACGGTTGGTACGAGAACACCGTTGTCGACAAAACTTACCAGCATAAGAAGCAGTACCACCACCAATTAAAATATACTCTAAATAAATTCATCAAGTATTGTTATGAATATAATATGAAAATATTATTATTATATTAAATGTTGCAAATTGCAAATAGAATTCCTAGCGTAAATCACCTGACCTTGTTGTGTCTCTACATACTGTATTTAGCAGCTTCAGTCTTCTTTGCCGAAGCAACAGTAACATCCCCGGAGTTTCTTTCCTTGTCCTTCTTGATTTCTTCCTTAACTCTGCGATGTTCAAGATATTCTTCCAAGTTAGGATCTCCATGTTCACGATCACTTCTAATCCAATAATCCACAAACATTGGTGTTAAGACTAAAGGAACTAATCCAGCAGCGAGGAAGAGTGGAAGCACTGATGTCTTTCTCTTGTTTTGCAAATATTCAGGTCTGCTTCCGTACTCATTAAAATATTTCTCTTTATCTGCGTTTGATTTAAACCTTCTTGTCACTTTCTCAAAGTTCTTTCCGTTATTGTTATGTTTGGTGAAGAAGCTGCTTGATCTCTGAAAGAGAGAACGGGCAGCAGAGGTAGACGCTTTGGAGAACATTTTTTTTGTTTACAACAACAAAATTCTCCGTTCAGTGCTATGAAACTATTAATGCTATCGATGGTTTTTAGTGTTGTTGTTGTAAATGTTGCATAGTATGATTCTAATGATGAGTTCTTGTTTTTGGATTTGAATTTCTTGTTATTATCGTTAGTGAAAAATAAAAAATGATGAAGCGAGTTGCATCAAGAATTGTGAGCGGTCAAGCCACAAAGAAGAATTTTTCATCTGCCATGATGATTCACCATCAACCACAACAAAATGTAAATATCGATTTTATATAATATTTGGATGCATCATCACCATTTTCTCTTCATTTTATAGTGTTATTCTTCATCGGCAAGAAATGTCAAACCAACAGTGACCATCTTTGGAGGCAATGGATTTGTTGGACAACAAATTTTGAATCGTATTGCTTCTCAATGCGAGAAAGTTATTATCGCTTGTAGAGGAGTCTCCCAATTTGAACATACTGCTAGAAACTTTGGTAGGTTGGCTTTCAATATGGATTGTTGTGCTGAAAATAATAATTTATCGTCCATTATATTCCCTTGCGCCCGTTGTGTATTTAAACTATTTGATTTGATTTTATGGATATTTGCGGAAATAATGTCATCATTTGATGCTTGTATCACCATAACCATCAGACAATGTTAGCGTCGTCTATTCTGACGTTGCCGATAAGGATACAATTGACAGTGCAATTTACGGAAGTGATGTTGTTATTAATCTTGTTGGGCTTCTTTATGAAAGCGACAATACTTTTGTTGAGGCTCATATTGATGGAGCCAACAATATTTCTCATAGTGCCCATAGATTAGGTGTTGATCAAATGATTCAATTCAGTTTCCTCAATTCCGAGCTCGATTCACCATCATGGTGGTCGGACACTCGTTTCAGATCGGAGGATATTGTCTATTCCAATTTCCCAACAGCAACATTTGTAAAGCCAAGTATTATGTTTGATAAGAAGGAAAATGTCTTTTCTGGTGCTTACATTAACAGACTCAGAAGAACTCCTTTGAGATTCCTACCAGTAATTCCTGTTCCTTTACATGACGCTAAACTTCAACCTGTTTTTGTGAATGATGTTATTGATGCTGTCGAGAAGGTCATTTTCTCCAAAGTGGAAGAAACTAAGGGAAAGAGCTTGTATTTGGCAGGACCAGAAGAAATGTCACTTCAACAAATGATGTCAAAAGCCTTTGGAAGACCAGCCATACCAGTCTGGTATCCAGTATTTGATTTTATTCTTGGATGTACACAAATGTTACCAAACCCTGTTGTCACTCGTGACCAATTCCTTGTTTTGAAGCAACACGGAGGTGATTTAACTCTTGCTTCCACATTGGAAAGAGTAGTTGAACCATCTGCAAAGAAGGCTATCATGACATTTGAAGATTTAGATATCAAACCCAAGTCTTTGACCTCTCAATATTAATTCTTTTCTCCCTAATAATACAAGAGTGGGAGCATGAAAACTCTCTTGTATATTCGATAATGAACAATTCCAAATAAAATTGGGTTTCAGCTTTAAAAATCAGCCTTTCATAAACAACAGTGTCACTCTGGAAGTTTGTTTCAACAACCAAATGATGAAATACTATGCATGATCACAGACCAAGCAGTTGTCCCTTTCAAGAAGTGTTGTATGGGCCCAGGTCAAAGACCGCCATTTCTTTACAACAATTTTTAAATTCAAAAAAATGTTTGGTTCGGAATCAAAAGGCAGAGCCATCAATCTTCGCAACTTCTCGGCCCACAAGAAACAAGTGTTGTGTTCAAAAATTGGGCGTAAATCTGGTCAGATTGTAGCAACTGGAGGTGAAGATGCATTAGTAAAATTATGGCATGTGGCTAACGACGAGCCCTTAATGTCGTTGGCAGGACATAAGAGTCCGATCACTTGTATTACTTTCAACAGTACGGAGGATGTTGTTATTGCTGGCTCAGAGAGTGGGTCCATTAGATTATGGGACTTAAACTCGGAACAGCCAACATCATCAAAAACATTTCAGGGCGGCCATAGGTCAGCAGTGACTTGTGTTGATTTTCATCCTTTCGCTTCTGAATACTTTGCAACAGGATCGCTTGACACAAACGTAAAAGTATGGGATTCAAGAGTTAAAAAAGACGTGCAGTCACATAGAGGAGAATCAGAAAATTATAAGGAACCAATTTCATCGTTAAGATTTACCCCAGACGGCAAGTGGATTGTCGCCGGAGGAGAAGATGGAACCATCAAAATTTATGATATCACAACTGGTAAAAAGTTTGGACAAATTCAGAGTCACAGATCGACAGTTACCACCATTGATTTTCACCCCTCTGAATTTTACTTGGCAACAGGAAGTGCAGACAGAACTGTTCAAGTGCTGAGCTTGGAGGACACAATTGAGGTTGTTTCAAAGTCTGACATTTTCCCATCAGGAGTGAAGTCAGTACAATTTAGTCCTGAGGATGGATCAGTGCTGTTATCTATCTGTGATGAGGGAATGAAGGTTCATGCTTGGAACTCTGCCAACATGCGTTGTATAGATACCATTGATGCCAAGTGGGGTAACATTAGCGACGTCAATCTTCATCAAGGTCTTAATCAAATATTTGCAGTAAGTGCCAATCCAACTGTAACGGGATATGTAGGTATTTGGGTGATACCAGTTGATTCTGTGAGGCCGTGGTACAATGGTCAAGAAGACAAGAAGATGCATTTCTCTCCTCAAGTGACCAAGGAAATGGTAAATGAGACTCTTAATAGCTCAACTGAGGATGTGTTAAATGAAATACGAAATAGAAAACCTGTGAGTGTGGCAACTACAACCACCAACAGAGGAGAGGTTATCACAGTGACCAAAGTTTCTGGGAAAGAAGAACACCTGTGTTGGGCGGACCTCAAACACCACCAAGTGAGGTTATCGTATCGTCGAAAAGAAAGGAGCCAGCCAATATTGATATTGATTCTTTCGTTCCAGTAAGTATTCCGTCTATGCGCAAGTTGATCAATTTGGTAACTTGAATGAAGAAGGGAGAGGCTTTCTCTGAGCTCGACGATGATCAAATCATAGAAGAAATAATGAAATCCCACCAAAAAATGTCAAGTGCCATGACGAATAGATTGAATAATTTAAAAATCGTACGAAGAATTTGGATTGATCAGGGAGATTCAAAGGAAGCCATTAAGGCTCTTGTAAAAATGAAAGATTTGCCGCTTGCATCCGATATGTTAGGGCAGCTGTTACGTCCAGAGTGTAAAAAGCATTTAACTCTTGAATTATGTTCTCTCCTTTTACCAGTAATTATTGACCTCATAAAGGAAAATTATGAGGAACACATATCAACCGCACTCAAAGCATCCATGTTGCTGTATTCAAGCTTCTCAGGAATGATTGAAGAAAATTTACAACTATTTAATAGTAATCCAAATATTGCACAAATGGATATTAATGCAGAGGCAAGAATTTCAAAATGTCAAGCATGCAAAAGAGGTTTCGGAGAAGTGAAGCGCATTATAATAGAAAGAGCAGCTGATTTCTCGCAAATGACAGATCTTGCTTTGTTATCGAGGAGAGTTGTAAAGGCGATCAAATAAATTATTCACTCTTGCCACAATTTGAGTTTGAAGATCGTATCTGTCTTTTTGTCATGATAATTGGAGATGTGGGAGGTGAGGATCATTAAAGGTCCAATTTTTTGATTTCTTTCTCCGTAAGTAACAAGTCGAGTTGTTGATAATTTAAATGTGTCCGAGGTGTTTACTAGAAGCGGAATTTGCTTTAACAAAAGGTTGTCAATAAAATCTAGAGATGGAGTTTTTAGAAACGTTTCAGTGTGGTCATTGATGATAGTGGGCTTGTTAGAAGGAGAATCTAAAAATCTAGAGAGTGACGATGATGCCATTTTTTGTTGATGAAATTATTATAATCGGGACGAAATTCATAATCAAATATTGTAGATGAAAATAACAATTAGCTGATGTATCATATTACAAAAACTCCCAATGATGTCTGCACAATGGGCATGTTTGGTCTTCTGTTGGCTTTGTTTCCAGCCATTTGGCAATACAGGTGAGATGGAAGGCATGTTTGCACTTGCCCCATACCACTGGACAATCATCACCAGGCTGTTGAAGCTTGCTAGCTCCGTCTGGAGAGAGTCCGTCCAAAGGCCAATGGCAAATACCACATACTTCATCGGGACTCTTCCAAGTCCATGAAGCAACAAAATGCGCTCTCTTGATTCTAATTTTCATTTTTTTGTTTTAGAAAACCAATAATATTAGGTTCATGTGTACGAGAAAATTGGATATCTAAAAACCACGTGTCCTCTACCACTGGTAATACATTGCATTAACAAGATCATCCTTGTACCCAAGTTCAACGACCCGAATCGAATTCAAATTCCAATTTAAAAATAAAAAATGCAGCGAACCTTCAGTTATTCAAGCCAGCAATACGGAACTTCAACACCTCCTCCATCTTCGTCGGGTGTGCCTTCAACAGCATCCTCGTCCTCATCGATATCACCTGTAAATAGCGGATCATCATCCGTTTCCCCATCCCAACAAAAAACTGGTTCCCAAGAGAAAGTTAAATTATTTGAAAATAGAAAGGAAAGAGAAAAGTATGAAAATATGGCTGAATTATATTCTTTGATTGTTTCTGTGGAAAGGTTAGAAAAAGCCTATGTAAAGGATTCCATCGTAGCCAATGAATATGCGGAAGCTTGTAGAAAGCTAATTGCAAAATTTAAAACAATTCAGCCAATTGTTTCGGCAGATGTACCAGATATTGAACGATTCATGAAAGAATATAGATTGGATTGTCCTGCAGCAACTAACCGATTACTTAAAGTTGGTGTTCCAGCAACAGTTGAACACGGAGGAAAAGACCCTCAATCATCGACTGTTAAATTGATCGCACAAGCAACACAATACTTTATCACCGTAATGGATACCATAAAACTCGGATTGTTAGCCAAAGATCAGTTAGCTCCGATTTTGGTTGATCTCATGGATTGCCTGAATTCGTTACATATCAAAGACTTTGAAGGAAAGACAAAAATTAGACAATACAACCACACGGTCTGAATTACCCCCCCTGCGCAATCGAGAGGGGTACTCAACTGTCACAGCGCAGCTGGCTCGCAAAAAATTTTTTAATTTCTCTGGTGTAAGGAATTACTTCGCGCAACCTTTTCTCAAGAAATTTGTGAAGAGTGGTTGTATTGGATTGGACTGTTACTTTTAACCAAATGAAGGCTCATGAAAGCTTGGATGAGGAACAATCACGACAATTATATTATGATGTAGAACAGGCTTATAACCAATTCCACAAGGTGTTGCAATAGTTCCACAAATGGATTTGGAATTGTTTCACAACCATCTAATCTTGGTTTGTGTTGTCAGAATTATTCCATGAATGTGTCATCTTGTAAATTTTCAAAATAATAATTTAATATTTTGTAAAAACAAATATCAGATTTGTGCGTAGTTGTCGTCGTGCAAAGATATTATTTCTGTTGTACGCTTCCGGCTTTTTGTTGTTGAATCTTTTGGAAAATGTTCCTAAAGTTTTCTTCTTCTGCTTCAATTCTCTTGAAGATGGATGTTCTTGTCTCTTGAAGCTTTTTCAGCTCGGCTTCACAATATTCAATATTTCTACCAATATCTTCCTTCAAAGAACCCTTGCTTTTGGTGATATACATTCGTCCGATGGCTTTGTAGGTTGGAGTTTCTTCGGGAAGCCTTTCCACTTCAGCAAGAGTGAGTGTTGCCATTCTCTTCTCCCTTTCCAAGAGTTGTGTTTGAGTGATATTGTTTGATCTGTGTTTATACAACTCGAAGAGTTTATTTTCAGAATCTACATATAATTCCTCATCTTCGGTCAGTGTTTTGATGGGAGCTTTTGATGTTGCAGCAGTTGTTGTAGTGGACATTTTTTATGTGTTTGTTGGTTGTATTCGACACCCTTTGAAAATGAATGAAAAGACTTGTCGTCATCATCATGCTTCAACAGTGATTCAAAACCATGTAATGGATATCAAAGTGAGGCTTGTTTGTTGAAGAGGTGGTTTTGACTTTCACACTTCATACAGTTTTTGTGATGAATAAATTAAATTCAAAAAAATGTCTCCTCTGGTCGATGAACTTCCTCATGACATTCTCTTTCATATTTTCACAAGTTATTGCACTCCAGACCAATATTTAAATGGTCTGATGCTTGTATGCAAACATTGGAATGAACTCACAGAGTATGAAATGTTTTGGGTTGCTACTCTCAAACAATCTCTCCGAGCTCAAATTCAACTCTCATCACAACAGGAAATTCAAGAAATGGAGAGCTTGCTGCAAGACGATGCTCAAGGTTCCTCTGTATTTCAAGCTGGATTCATTTCAAAGAAAGATATTCAGAAAGAACGGGAACGTTTTATAAAGTCCATGGAAGTCAGAGAGAAAATTCTCATCATAAATTTATTGCCTTTTACAAAAAGAAAAGAAACCAATGCCGACATATTTGGCAAGGTTTACAAGCAACGTACTGTTCAATTTTTGAAAGAGAGATCGAAAAGAAGAGTTGCATTGGAGCTAGTGAAAAAGATCATTTCAATTCAAAATCGTGTCTCATTGCATAATCAGGATGAAAATTTTGATGTATATTTTGAATATGGATGGGAGGATGTTGTTTCATTCATTGAAAATCATCCCATCTATGACAGAGAACAGATATGCAGTATTTCTATATTGAACATTTCTGAGGGCTTGTGTCATCTTTTCTTGAAGAGTTGTAAACTGTATTTAAAAAGTTGGGAGTTTTCTGAAAAACGAACGAGATTCTTTGCAAAAATGGTTGAATATTTTGTTGTGAAATGTAATGTACCCATTAGTCCTCTCATGGACGCATTATTTTCACTTGGGTGCCAAGAAATATTTATTGAGAAAGACGACGAGTTTTCAGAGCATGGTGAATTGTGTTACTGCTCAGGACTATTTAACAAGTTTGAAAGCGAACTCAAAAGCTCTAGCAAAGGAGGAGTGTCGAAGACCATATTCAAGACACTGATTCAAAACACTGCTTTCAACAGAAAAGGATCTGGACATGTTACTACCAAGTTTGTGCGATTGTTACTATCCAAAAAGCTTGTAAAGCTTAAAGAAACAATGGTAGAACCTTATTTGCAAGATATGCATATGCCATCATTCATGGCAAGACCAAATTATGAGTTATTGCAAACCTTGTATTTGGACATTGGTATCCAACATATGAAAACATTTAATGAGAATGAGTTTGTTGAGTCATTACTCCGTAATTCGATCAGAGAATATGCTCATTTGCAGAAAATTCACGAATTGGTTCCGTTCTTAAGAAAATGTAAAGAACAACTTGGTATCAATTTTTCTCATCCCAGAGCTCTCTATGCTGCAGTATCGCGAGGCCATGATTCCTTTGGAGCTCTCAAATTTATTGTTGACGAATGCAATGTAGATGTGAATGTTGACCTTTCGCCAAATGCAGGTGCTCTACCACTGGCCATTTACAATTCTGTGTCTGGAACCAATCTTGATTCGATTTTGTTCCTTATTGAAAAAGGAGCTACTATATCAGAGAGCAATATTGGAACCTATGAAGGATTAACAATGGACCAACTGTTGTCAAATTTCATTTGTGACATGAAAGATTTCTTGCCAACTTGCAAACTACTGATTGAAAAGTTTGGATTGAAACCAGACGCCTTTGCATTTTTATATAACTTGGGCTATTGTGACACGGTAACTGGTTATACTGTGGATTCAATCTTGGAAATTTTAGACTTCTTTGACCAAGCAGGATCCTCGATTACGGCCAACAAGGAAGATGCTAAACATGCATTAGAACATGTTTTCAATCGATGGTGTGAATTATCTTTTATTGCACAAGATCAGAAATTGCTGAAACACGAGTTTGCAGCAAGAGTTTTTGAAAAGTACGGTATTATATTGGAAGAGAGAACAGACGACAGAGATTTCATGTAAGGATAATTTAATTGAGTTGGTTCCCTTATTGACCTGGAGGTTTTAAGGGTTCGGTTCCTGTTTTAGCATGCCATCTGTTGGTAGCATCACTACTGGCCAGATCAGCCATGACCTTTGCAAAAATACTTGGCACAATTTCTTCTCCAGTCGCTTTCTTGTACACATCTTTCACAATTTGTTTAGTTAAGGTGTACTTATTATCCTTAAATGCTTTCACCACTAGTTCTCGTAGCCTGCTTTCTTGTTCTGTGTACTCGGGTTTGTGCTTTAAAATTCTGGCATTGTTGAACTCGACAGAAATTTCATCTAGGATGTTTTGAAAATCCTCTTCCTTGGCTTGTTTGATGTATCTTGAAGATGATTCATTCTTTCTCTTCTTGAGGTAGGATTCGCTGCACACACCCCACTGCTTGAGAATATCACAAAGGAAGTTTCGTAACTCGCTCTCCACGCTCTGTATAGGTCTGTTTGTGGATGAGCCAGATCTTGATCCAGGTTTTGGTGTTTCGTGTAGTAAAATAGAAAGATCCCTAAACTTTGACTCTAACATAATCTTCATCTCTAGCTCCCTCTTTTTCCACATTTCCTTAAGTGTGACTGCAACAAATGCTCGAAATTCACTCTCAAATTCATGATCAACATCGTACTTTAACACCCAATATGCGGCAATATCTTGTGAATCTGTCTTCACTTTAACAGCGATTTCTTCAAGAAGTTGCTTGGCTTTCTCAGGCTCAATTCCTGTTTTTTCAACAAAGTTTCTTCGAACCACTCGTTTCTCCGTGTGGAAAAGATATAATAGATACTCCCTGAAGGCTGCTGTTTTTGGATATTTGAGCAGTGTCCATGGATTTTTGTCCAACTCTTTGAGCTTGATAATTTTCTCGTTGAATTCAGATCTTAGGACCCATCTTCCATCTACATAAACTCCGTACTTTTGTAAAGCAGATGTTAATTCTTCGTCACTTCTTATACGAGTTGCTAATTCTCTTATTTTAGCAAAAGGCAAAATCTTGGCAAGGTACAGGGCATAATATACTTGTCGCTCTCCAAACTTGATTTTCTTTATAGCACCAAGAGACCCTTGCGCCATAGATGATTGATCCTCCTCTCTGTATTGAACAAGTTGTTTGAGATAGGCTGTTGGAGGAACGTTAAACTTCACAGGTTCGTCTCTCTGCTCAAACAGATTCTCTATATGTTGTCTTGAGTCATGAGGAGGATAAAAAGCAAGTGCCACAGGTTTTTCACTATTTTCCTGGTCTTTCATAAACTGATAAGATCTTTCAAGAGCTTTTCTGTCAGATTGTAGTCTGAAATTTGTGGTTCCTGTTGTTTGTGACGTCGTGTTTGACTCTGCTTTTTCGTCACCTTCTCCTTCGGTCCCTTCATCAGTTTTCTTTTTTCTTACAACCTTAGTCTTTCCAGTCGAATAACCCTCGTTGATGTGTTGAAAACTTGGTCGTAGTTGAAGCATATTCCATAATGGAGTTAAATGCAATTGGTTTCCTCTCAAAATTCCAACAGCATAATTGGCTTTGACCGGTACAGAAGTTGAAGACAAGGAAAAACTTGAATATTCTTGTCCAGTATCCGAATCAAAGTGTTCGCTTCTTGTATTCACTTCAAACTCCATTTCCATCTTTTTATGATTAGGCTTGAATCGTACTTCTTTTAATTGATTTAAATTATAATTATTTTCCTTAGGACGCATCGGGTATTGCAAAACGTAAAGTTTATCCGACAATTTATGAGATAAATACACTTCAAATCTCTTTATAACTTCATCACCACTTTGGTCTGTCATTGTTACATCTCCTTCTGCATCCAAAGTAGAATTCGTTGGCTGATTTTGAAAACTATGTAGAGTACCATGCGAAGAACTAGTATTTATGGACTGTGCAATTGGTCCGATATCAAGTCCTTGCAAATCATCATCATCTTGAGTCATCATGTTGTTATTTGAAGATGAGGATGCTGTTTGTTTGTCGTTCAGCATTTTTTTTCACTTGTAGGCTTTTGTTCGAATTTTAAATTGCATCTGTTGATCGTTGAAGGATTCATTACTCCAACAATGAATGAGGGTACAACATTGATTTCAAAAAAAAAGATGTTTTTGAATTGATTTTACGTGCCAAATTATGAATAGTTGGAAATTTATTCAAAAAAATGTTTTTAATCCTTTTTTCGTCTTTCCTCATTCTTTTCATCACGTACCATTTGTATCATTATTCGTTGCATCGCAAGGAAGTGAATCGAGTGAAACATATTCCAGGATATTCCTTTTATTCCTATTTTACGTTAAAGTTATTTGCTCCTGAACAAGATTTCCTCTTTCTTCCTCGCTCACAAGCCTTGAATGCTGCCAAGTTCGGAAAACATAATATTTGGAGAATTACAATGGGAACTGATACGATTTGCTTTGTAGTTAATCCCGAGCATTACAAAGATATTTTGGTAACAAAAGCCAAATTATTTAGAAAACATCCATTATTTAATAATTTAAATATCGACTATAGGGTAAAGAACGTGTTCACAGATTATGGAGATTCCTGGAAAAGACATAGACAGTTAACACAACCAAGCTTTTCAGATGATAATCTTGCCAAAATATTGAAAGAACATGTACATCGTATTTCGAATCGATTGGTGGAAAAGATTTGGGAAGGAAGAAACTTGGAAAATAATTGTGTAGTGATCAATGATTGGATGAGAAGAGTGACACTGGATGTTATAAGTAATGCTGGATTTGGAGCTGAGTTTGATTGTCTTGGAAATGAAAAGGATATTCTCCCTCTTATTGCTAAAACAATTGTTCAAGTATTATCAGCAGGATTACTATTCAACAGAAGATATATTGAACCTTTTACAAAATTTTTCTTCCCTTCCAAGTACAAGTTGGTATTTAAGGAATGGCCATCCATTCTTCGTAACATGGTTGACAGGAGAGAGAAGGAGATTGAGCTGGAGAAAGAAAGTGGAGAGATTTATAAGAGCAACTTAATTTCTCAAATGCTTCTTGCCAAAGAAGAGGAACCAACCGATGGCGTCAAAAAAGGTTTTACAAAGGATGAGGTAGTGGCTAACTCGCATGCATTTATGCTTGCTGGAGATGAAACAAGTCAACAAACATTGATATGGATGTTTTACTTTATTTCTAGGCATGAAAATGTTCAGGAAAAATTAAGAGAAGAGGTTATTAGAGAGGTTCCTCTAGAGGGTATTGACTTTGAGCTCTATCAAAACAAGGAAAAACTTATTTATGCTAGAAATGTGCTAAATGAGACTCTAAGGCTAAAAGGTCCTGTTCACACCAACACCAGATACACCTTAAAACCAGTAGAAATTGCTAACAAAACTATTCCTAAAGGCGTGACGGTCGAAATGAAGTTTTGTGTGTCACAAATGGACACAGAAATTTGGGGTGAAGATGCCTTACTGTTCTGCCCAGAAAGATTTGAACGGCCAGAAATCAAAGATCTACTCAAACAAAATAGATATACTTTCATACCCTTCAGCATTGGGCCAAGAACATGTATTGGAATGAAGTTTGCAGAAATGGTAAGTAATCCAAGCAAGAAATTTTGTTTATTGGAACTTGATTTAATAGGAAATTTTGGATGTTGTCTGCAGAATGGTTAGAAACTATGACATGAAATGCCAAAATCAAGGTGAAATTAAGGAGGTTGCCGGAATTACTCTAAAGCCAGCGGATGATATTGTTGTCAAACTGGAAAAGCGAGGAGTATAACTCATGTCAGGTCTTAAATGAATGATCAATCACTCACATGGATAACAACCATCCATGTCCATTCTACCCCATCTCGCACAACTTGAGTTTTTTGCCAAACAAAAATCATGCACCATTAAGTTCACAATATTATTTTTATTTTGTCATTCTGCAACGTGTCTATGGTTCTAGAGGCTGGATGTGAGAAAGATTGTTGTCACCAATGGGAGGACCAACAAGAACTGTAGTTGTTGTTGTACTAGTAATCATTCCTGCTTGGTTCATTGTATTTGGATAAGGTGGGGGAGGATAGTCTCCTTGCATGCCAATAGGGTTGAATATTGGTTGAGGAATATAATTATCATTTTGAATAGGATAAGGAATTGGTGGTTGAAAATTCATATTTTGATCAATCACATGCTGCTGTTGCTGGTAGACATGGGGTTGAACATAATTTACAATGCCTTCATTTGAATAATTTGTGACCACTTCTCGAATTGGAGGAGCAATACCTTTTTGATTGACCTCAGTCACTTGGACACGTGATGTTACCGCAGATGGTGGTTGAGAGGGTGGAATACTTTGTGAAGTATTATTCTTGTGTGAATTATCGTGCGCAATTTTATCCCTCTTGTGTTTCTTTTTTTCGTCGACCTTACCGTCGTCCTCCTCAGGTACTTGAGATTCGTCCACAATCTTGTTGATGGTTTGTCGCATCTTCTTTTTTACAAAGGCATACACCATTACAATGGCAGCAAATCCCAAACCTAATAGAGGAACCAAAAAGCTTGGAATGGTGATGATAATGGTGTTGTCCGAGTAGGGTTTCTGTTCAAAGCCAAATTGAACCTTACCGTATTCTTGTGCTGCCAGATCAGAACTTACATCCACATACATGTATGGAATGTTTTTACAGTTTTGAAATAAGGCAGAATGTTGATAATTATCTCTATTAAGGTCAGCATTGATGGGATATTTAGAGGAAGTAATAACACATGAATCGACATCTATACTAAGGGAAAACCTATTATCTGGTTTCGTTGACGAGATAACACTTGCAGTGAACACAAGTTGTTGATCTGACCTTTCTGTATCATTCACTTGAATGTAAAAGTACTTGGTTTGACGACCCACTAATTTGACCTTCATACCAGTGTACATGGGTTGATATTGAACGGATGATTTGAATACTGTTCGTGGCGTTGCAGACCCACTACTGTGAGGAGTGTTTTTCAGTGGAAGGGACGACAAAGACGATAATGGAAGTGCGTGCAAGGAGAGACCTTGAACGTGATTCAGAGATGGGTGTCCAAATACTAGCAGAACAATGATGATTGCTTTCACGATCCAATCCAACAATAAATATTTGGCCGTAATCGAAGGATTAAGGCGCACTTTTCGCCTCAAGTTGGAACATCGGAAATATTTGATCATGATGAATATTATTAATTTTTGGATTCTGCAAGTGAGCTGAAACTAGTAAAAGATAGAGGATGAGAATGATAGATTGTAGTTTTTTTGTTTCTTTGATTTTGCAATCATGTTATCCAATGAACTTTAAATTCGCGGCAAAAAATAAGAGATGTGGAACTTGGTGAGAGATAGACAGTTTTTAATCCTAGTAGCGGATTGAATCTGGAAGGGGAATGGAAGGAATGTACTGATCCTCAGAACGGTCATTGGGATTGGTCACAAATACAGTGGTCGTATACGACGTTGTCGTTGTAGTGTTGGAATCATAGAGTATGGTTGTGGACTGAAGTGTCACGCCTACTTCTGGAGGTGAAACAATTGGTGTTGGTAGTTGAGGTATTCTAGGAACTGCCACAGTGGCTTGTTGTTGTGCATGATTGAAAGTGGAAGGAAGAGAAGTGTGTTGATAGTACTCGACTGCTTGTTGCTCAAGATCAGGAATATCATCTCTGTGCTCATGTTGAGAATTGTTTGTTGTGACGAATGCATTCGAAGAGGATGGAGCTACCACCTGTACATGATCTTGTTTGGAATCGATCGATTCTACTTCGTCAGAACAAAGCTCAGCCTCAAAGACATTTCTTTTGTATTCCCTAGAAGGATTCGAGTGTTGTGTGGTATTGCTGTTAAAATTGTTGAGGGGTACATTGGTGAATTCAACTTTATGATTCTCCACTACATGAAAAGCTGCTTCATCTCGATTGGCGACACTTCGGTTTCTCACAGCAGTTTCCATTTCTTCCTTAATGAATCCTCCAATTTTTCCCATGACATCTTTAGCTTGTTCAATCTTGGAGACCACTCCTCCTGAAACGACTTGATCCGTCATTTGTTTTGCTCTGAGTGCGGCTGAAGAAGCCTTTCTTTTAATAATGGCCCAATATCCTGATGGCACGAGGAGCATTGCTACGAAAATGACACCGAGAGGTATGAGTGTGGCATAGAGGATGGTTGTCAAATCAGAGTCAGAATTTTCAAAGGAATAACTGAATTGAAGAGAGCCATATCCTGCCTGCGTCAGAAAGGGTGGTTTCATCGATACAAACACGATTGGAGCTGGGTCCGAGGATTTGAGTTGAAAATTCCATGTATAAGTCATTTCCGATGTGTCTACACTAAGGGTTTTAGGAAAATCTGAAATTGGTGTACTCAATGTTGCATTCATTGTAAATGTCATTTTGAAGGCATCACTGGGTGACGAGGACGAACGCACTTTGGCAGTAATCTTCAATGTGACTGATCCTTGTTTTAACGTTGAGACGTACAAGTAATAATATTGTGTTGATGTCCCTTGAAAGGTCAAGGTTGTTGCCACAGATGGTTGAATATATGAGGGATTATTAACGCTGGATTGTTGAATACTCCTACTCAACGTTGATTTCATTACATAAAGTGCGCTACCATCTTGTATGAATGAGTGTATCAACAGGATGGACAATGGGAAGTGCCACTAATTACACTTTTTAGTTGCTGGAGGGGGTGGAGGCAATTTCATCGGTTTCACCGATGAAATTGCATCCCGCCTTCAGTTCCCACCAAAACTAAACGTTCAAATTTAATTAATTTAAAATAATAATTATTATTAATAAAGTGAATAAATATTTACCTCATGTATGGCTTTAATAACAAGAACAAAACAAATGGTGAAACGTCAAACCTTACTCGCTCCAATCAAGAAACAGATTCCAGTAGATTTTTACACAAGTGAAGAAAATCTTGACCAATATCAACTCTTCATGAATAGGTATTGCTTTCTCACAATGACAAGGCTTCAAATAATTCCATCTCAAAAGCAAGCAATTCATTCAGCTGGAGCACGTTTGTATCAACAAATCAAAAACCACTCAGAACTTCTCGATGCAATTACTGATGTTCACTCAAACCTATTCACAACATCACATGAAGAATTCACAGTCCTATCTAAATCTGGTCGTGAATGGCTGGAGCAAAGGACTAGCAAGAGAGGTCGAGTTACAAAGCAAGACCAACTGCGTAAATCAATACAAGACCTTCAGTTACAAAGAAGTAACATACTTGAATTGAAATCCTCAACTCAGGATGAGGTGTTGTTGGCAGAATATGACAAACAATTGCAAGAACTGGACTTCAAAACACTTGACAAAAAGCAAGCGATTGCATATCTCGAAAGGAAAGCAGCTGAACAAAGGATCCGTAGACACAACAGCAGCACGAACAAAATTGAAAAGAAGAGAGGACGTCCACGGAAAGCATCAGGAATGGCTCAAAGACTTCAAGCAGTAGTTGAAGGAACTGGTATTGCCTCTGCATCAGAGAGAAGAAGAGATTCATTTGTTCACACTCCTATGAACGGTGTTGATTTGGTTAAAGAAGCAAACGCTAAATTATCAGAAGAAGGATTTCGTCCTTACAGCAGGTCTGGAATGTTACGGTATGTCGTTCCAAGGTGCAAAAGTAGTCGAGAGGGTAAACGACATGACTCTGAAGCTACTGTTAAACTTACCAAACCGTCAAACGACCTGACTGAGGAACATGTTGATCTACATGCTACCCATTCTCTCAACAAATACATCAAGCAGTTGTGTTGTCTATTGCCTGAAGAAAGTACAGCTATTTCTTTGGATGAAAAAGCGAAAATACCAACAAAAGGAGCGGCTGTATCGACATCAACACAAATAGCAATGACTTCCAGTAGCAAAGTTTCACTACCAGACCATGATTTTCCAAAAGGTAAAGAGAATTCAATCACTCCAAATGTTGCTGCATTGTTACGTGCGGTTGTTGGTGGTAATAACAGTCTTCGTTGGATGGTGGAAAAAGTGTATGTGAGAAGTAGTTCTAACGCCGAGTTTTTGAAGACCACTAGTCGAGATAAGGACAAGATGTTGTGTGATCTGGTTTTCTTCCTCGAGAAGCTGAAGGAAACCGGAAAGCTTCTTCCGTTATTTTTTTGTAACACTGACAACTGTGTAAACGTTGCTCCCCAGAACCGGAAGGTGCAGGTGAGGATGTTCTACGTATTCATTTGCTTCGACCTTGATGCTCTCATCCACACATCCTTTGCCGCAGGAGGTAGTAAGTACAATCGTGTTGAGCGATGTATGGCTCCGCTTTCAAAAGGCTTGGTGGGTGTTATTGATTTGGATGATGAAAGTTTTGCAAGCAAGCAACAGAATCATCATTCAGCTTTAATCAAACTCACAAATATCTTCAACCAAAAGGGTGGCAAGGATGTACAGGCGTACTATGCTAGTGTATTCCAACAAGACCGTATTCGAGATTTACCTGGATGGCCATCTTTTGCTAGCATTGATGCTTTTTTGGAAGGAAAAGATATTACTGATTTGGAAGAAGAGAAGAAGGTGAAGGCAATACTTTTTAAACTCCACACACACTCAGAGCATGGTAATGGGTTGAACATCTTTTGTCTCCGCAAGTGCAATGATCCAAGTTGCTGTCCACCAAAAAGAGCAACTAAATATTGGGAATTGATGGAAAAGTTTGATGGTTTCATTCCATCTCCAATCCTCGATGAAAGTAATCCTGGTCATTATTTGTCGTTTGAAAAACGAAACAATGTGGAAGGAGTTAGAATGGATGAAGGGTTTCCGAGCGTTAAGGATGATGTCAAAACTTGTTCCCTTTGCGATCGTAGAGTCCACTCCGACATTGATTTAACGATTCACATGAAAGTGGTGCACCCGAACAAAACCCAAAATCAGCTTGATGGTAGTCTTGACAAGGATGCACGAGTAAATCAAGTCGAGAAAACGCAGTTGGAAGGAAGGTCATTGTCTGCTCAGATAAACAGCATCGAAAGAAGGGCACAAGAGCAACCTTTGCGAGCTCGGGCAAAGAGACGCTTTTTGAACAAGTGATTCATTTTTAATTAATTAAATTAAAAATAAATAAAAATTATTTTGAAAAAAAAAATTTTAAATTTGAATTTAATTCCAAAAGCCAAACCCCCCTCCCCCCCATGTTCTGTAATTAGTGGCTCCTCCCAATAGAATAGTTGCAACCAACAACAGTCGGGATGGAGGTGACAAAAGTACCTTTGAACTCAATCTCCCACCACTCATCGTAGTTGGCAATTTTTTTTAAGGTGGAAATGAACCTTTGAATAACAAGAGAGATACAAAAGTTGTAATTATTACACTTCATGCAACGTTGATCTGAAACTTGACAACTTGAAAGGTTTAACAGAATAAGGCTTTTCTCTTAATTAAGCATTTTTCATTTTGAGCATGAAAGTTCTATCAATCTATGAATGCCTGTCGATGATCGAGGAGAATATGTCACCTTACAAGCATCTCCTGACACTGTCAACATGATATAAGCTTGTTTTTTAGATGGATTATCGAGTACTGCATGGAATTTGACACAATAATTGAGTAGAGCATTGCAGTTGATTGCTCTTGTATGGGCTCTTACGATAGACGTTGCTTCCATAATGCACTCTTGTTGGAAAGAAGCAAAGTCCATCACATTGTTAGACTCTCTGACAAGATGGTGATTCACTTTACCCACTAACTTTTCAATCTTTGCTCCAGGAATGAAATACATGGGTGAGGTGACAACATAACTTTCTTCAAGCCATTCTCTGTCAATATCATTCTCTTGAGCAATGACAATATCTCTAATATTCTTCAATTCCTCTGAAGAGGAGGTTGCATCTTCTTTGTGATCCATATCCATGTTAAACAACATGTCTTCTGCATGAATTGCAAGATTTTTGTTGAGAGGAGATTGTTGATTAGCTCTTCTTGGACTATTCACAATCCGATCACTTGATCCACTTATATCATGAGGATATGGAAATGGAGGGAATAATTTTGGTAAGTTGGATTTCAATTGATCTAGCTGACTGGATGTGTTTGGCTTCGATGAAACAAGCACTGGCATTGCTTGTAAAGTGATGGTAAAATCATTGGCATTGTTAAATCTAAACTTTTCAGAAATTCCCATCACATAAACGCTTTGATTGAGTTCTTGACTTGCAAATAGCAATAATTTGAAGGAAAGTGTAATGTATAATTCTCTGAATAATGATGCAATGTACTGTTGTTGTTGTTTCACATTATGTGTTGTTTTTGAGAGCGGAAATGATTTTTCTAAGAAAATAAATTGCAAATGAGACATGTGTTTAGAGGCAATATCTGATTGGTGTTTGAGAGTTGTGAAATGAATTCCATTTGGTAACAGTGGTTCGAGAATGGAATTTATGAAATCCTCGTCTTGTTCATCCTCTAATTCAAGCGCAAATCCTGCACTTCCCATTTCTCCAATAATGTCTTCATTATCTGAGGAAGTATACGAGCTATTGTCTAACATGTCTTTCAATCTTGGAGAGTCTACAGGTCTTTCTTCTTCTAGTATATCTCTTGATAAATGAGGCTCCTCAATGATCGACGTATCCAGTTCAGCAGACTATGATTGGTGTAAGGAAATCAAACATTCCTGTTCAAAAAATAATACTTACGTAATAATCACTATATTCTTTAAGTAATTTCAGCTGTTCCGTATTATCTTTTTCATCAGGCAAAATAAAGTCCATCTTGGCGTTTCTAGGAAGAGCGTCTAGATACACTCCAGTTCCCTTACAAGTTAGCACAATAAAGTTGTCATTAATTGTGAGTCCATATGTTACACAAAATGCTGAATTACAATGGCAAAGCTTCATCTTGTTCATAAATTGTTTGTGTAAGTCATGAACTGCAAAAGGAAGAATATTGCTCACGACCGTTGCATTGCTCTCACCGAATTCTTTCTTCTTAGATCTACAGATACGTGCCTCTATATAGTGCTTGGGCTGATTGAGCACTCTTTGTTCAACTATTGATGGCATCTCACACGTGGAGAGGAATATGTTTGGAACATAACCATCCGCATGAAGTGGACACTTCGATGCACCAGCTCTATAGAAAGGACTATTTCTTGGGAGATGGAAAATGGAACAATACTTTTCTTCAGACAACTTTTCAGAGATAATATTTTCTTCGTGCAGATCATCAGACAAGTTACGAATGTTGCATATATCATATTGCGGGTTAAGAATAGCGGCTGTACCTTGTGCACATAAAATACAAACAGATCCACGAATGAATATTTCATAACTCTCTGAATATCCAATGACGTGAGTACATCCAAGTGATTTTGCATTCTCTCTAATTTCTGTACGCAATTCATTCCACCAATTGTCTCTTTCCTTTTGCATGTCACTTAACTTCATTGTCTCGGTTGTCACTAATTTTACAGATCTTGCTTGAACAATTCCTGCTAAATAAATGATATGCTGAGAGTCCAGTGATTTGATGGTAAGCAGTTTAACATCGCTTTGTGGTGTTGTAAATCCAGTTCCAGTTGGAGAGTCTAAATTGGCTATATTGGCTGTTCCTGTAGGAGATGCATGGAACTCAAGAAGAGGAATAATGTTCATTGGAGGTGTAATGCTGGACAATGTTATTGCAGGCTCTATTGCAATTTGTGGAGGAATTAATGCTTTTTCAGCATTGTGTGCAGGAGAAACGGATGATCTGATTGAGCTCAATTTACATCTGGTTCCCAAGCCTCGTACGATAATATTATCATCTTCCAAATCAAAACATTCTTCATAACCAATTACAATGTTGTCTCCTGCTTCAAAAACCTTTTTTCCAATTCTTCTTTTTAATCTTCCTGATAATTGATATAATAATAACTGCCTCTCATCATTGGATGTTCTGCTACTTCTAATGAGATCTTTCCATGAGTCATATTCAGGATCGTCGTCAATGAGAAGCTCTTCAACAAGGTCTCCTATTCTCAAAGAATATTGAGTATACTCCATTAGAGGATAAATGCTTGGACAAGAGAAGAATTGCACCTCAGGCGAGCTATCTCTATATGGGTTGATGTTTTGAATAAAATCAATCTTAATATTTACATTCAGCTCGCCACAAACACCTCTTATTGAATCAAAAATTGGGAGCCATCCACTGCATTGAGTCACTTGATTTAACGCTAATAAATTAGTATCCACCACTACTGTTCCGATCACATCATCTTGCGTTACAACATCGTAATCTATAACTTTAAATTGTATAACATTTTCTTGTAAATAATCATTATTGGGCACTTCAAATCTAAATGCATCAATATTCCAGGTGGGATTTAATGTTTTTCTGCAAACAGGTGTTCTAAATTGATATTCCGGCCCAAATTTAACAATCACATATGCATCAGTGGACGACGAGCTCCGATCCATGATGGGCAGGTTTCTACAGCTTTTTACTGTGATTTTAACTTTTGCTCCCATGTTTGTTTATGTTTTGAAATTTCTGTCTGAATCGATGATTAGTAAATCAATGTATGAAAGGCTATTTGAAAAGAGAAGGATAATTTTCGCAGAATTTTTTTGTGTGTAAAATGTGGTTTCTCTCTTGCCAAGAATGATCATCAACATAGCATCAATATTATCACTAATATCGATAGTATGAAGCTAGTTTCTAATTTCTGTAAGAGGTTGTTTATTGAAGTCGATAAGCTTTCCAACGGTAACTGGTCTCTCTTCAAGTTGACTCCATGATTTTTTTACTGTTCCATGATAAACTGCCGCCACAGTGGTTGTTTATCCATGATTAAACTCGCGAAAACAATAGATTTCAATGAAGCCACACTGTAGCAAACGTTACCGAAAGCTGGTGGTCCCCAAAATAAGTCCGAAATTGGAAGAACCAACAACTCACAAGCTTCGCACATCGAAGTCATTCAATTGAACAAGTTTGTCGAAAATTCAAGGGCAAGTCGTAAACGAGAAACTCACCACCGCAAAAAAAATTTAACAGATAAGCCTTTTCTTGTGGTTCAGTTCAACAAAACAATTCACTCTCCGAACGAGACCTTCCACTGTTATCATTACGAGCGTGTGTGTTCTTCGTTTCAACTCAGAAAAGCTATTCTAATTACCACAATTATTAAATCTAGATATTTCAATAATATTCATCATGGCTCCAATGAAACCATCATCATCGGCCGCTTCAAAGCCAACAACTACCACAACCAATACTACTACCGCTCCAAAAACCAATACTACAAGCACCACGGCCACAACGACTACTACCTCCACACCTACTACCTCTAATCAAACGCTGTTGCAATCTTTGCATAGCACTCTCTCTAAAACTCTTGATTCTTCCATTGATACCATAAGCAATCAATTTCTCTCAAAGATGTTGGGAATTAACCTTCCAAGCGATCAACAACGCAAGCTTAGTCTTGCTGTTGGAATGACGGGGGCTGGCCTTACTTTCTACATGTTGAAGAAGCTCATTAACAAGATGATGTACATGTTCTCGCTTCCAAAGCCCTCAATTACCAATAAGGATTATGATGTCATCATTGTTGGTGCTGGTATTGCTGGCTGTGCTCTTGGATCTGTACTTTCTAAGGCATCTAAAAAAGTTTTGGTAATCGAAAGAGATATGAGCGAGCCTGATCGTATCATTGGAGAATTGCTTCAACCTGGAGGTGTTCAACACTTGAAAGATCTCGGTCTTGGTCACTGTCTCGAAGGTATTGAGGCTGCCACCGTTAAGGGCTATCAAGTATTCTACAAGGACGAAACTGTTCATATGCCTTACCCACAATCTGCTGAAGGAAGAGCATTCCACTATGGCAGATTTATCATGAATTTGAGAAGAGCTTGTGAGAAAGACGGGTAAGTAACTTGGTATGATAACCAAAATCATGTCTTAATTTTTTCAACTTGATTACGACGTTTTTAAATGAATCGTTCACCTACAATAACAACACATGTTACAGAGCTAAGATGATACAAAGAGTTGTCACTGGTTTGATTGAAAAAACTCCAGGACTTGTTGAGGGTGTAGAATATAAGGAAGGAGACCAAACAGTGGCTGTCACCGGACATATGGTCATTGTATGCAATGGAGCTGGTAGCTCATTCACAAGACAAATCCGTTCCGATAAAATTGGTAGTGGAAACAAACCATTGGTCGTTTCTCAATTCATTGGATTAGAATTACCAAACTGTGCAGATAAGTTACCAAATCCTGGACATGGAAACGTTTTCTTATTACCTGATGCTCCATGTTTGCTTTATCCAAACAGCACAACTTCTGTCAGATGTTTGGTGGACTTCCCTGATGGAGATTCTAGCAAGCTACCAAAGCGAGGAGACGAAATGGCAAAGTATTTGTTGCAATACATTATGCCCCAACTTCCACCACAAGTACACGATACCTTTAAGGCTGAAGTCGATGCTGACAGAATTAAGGTAGTGCAAAATCGTGAAATTCCAGGTGAAACTGCAGACACACTATTAAAGAAGGGCGTTGTATTGATCGGAGACGCCATGAACTGTAGACATCCTCTCACTGGTGGAGGTATGACTGTAACATTCTCAGACTGTAAGGAGCTTTCCAAGGCAATCATTAATGTTAAGGATATGTCATCAGTAGCTGAAGTTGACAATGCAATTGCAACATTCTACAAGAACAGAGCAAAGGTTGCCAATACCATTAACATTCTTGCAAACGCCCTATATAGCATTTTTGCTCCACCTGGAGGTGCTAAGAATTGGGAATCATTTAAGCGTAACGAATCTACTCCTTCACTTTCTGAAAATGACAGCATGAGTATTATGCGTCGAGCAGTTTTTGAATATTTTAAGAAGGGCGGCATTTGTCAAACTGGACCACTTTCTCTCATTAGTGGTATCTGGCGTTCTCCTCATGGACTTATTACTCACTTCTTTGCTGTTGCAGTTATTGGATCGTTTGATCTCATTAAGGAAGGAGGAGTTTTTGGTATTTTTGGAGCTTTAGCCAAAAGCTTCAAGATGATCACAGGAGCAACCGGTTTAATTGCTCCACTCATTGCCGAAGAAGGATTGCTACCATTCCTTTTCCCAAGATTTATCTGGAGGAGAAAGCCATCGCCAAATCATCAAAAGTAAAAAGAATGGAACCAATTTGTATGTACCAAAATAAAGGTGTTGAAAACAACCTTAATTACTTTGAATGTTTGCGAGAATCGTTAACAGGGGCACAAAGGAATTTATTAAGAGATGAGAGGATGGTGATACAATTAGGAATTAATTTAGGAGATTAGGAGGGTGGAAATTCAATAACTTAGGATCGAACTGGAATTGAAAAATCAAAATGTTGAAACACTGGTTCAAAGCTGGTTTCAAACGACAACGAATGTCCATTATTTTCTTGCTTGATAGTTTTCACTACCGAACAACAAATAATTTGAAAGTTTTTCACTGTGGTTGTTGTCTGTTGTTTCGTTGAGTTGTTGGCATCTTTTTGAAATGGCAACATATTTGTATCGATTTGAACCACTAAATGGTTACCTCCAGGAACATGATGAAAATTCATCACATCCCAAAACTCTGTAAAACATGGAAATAAGCTAAAAACTCGTCGCTTGTCATCAACAAACATGATAATGATATATGTGGATTGATCACTAAGATTTTCAAAAGACAGTCGCAATTTCTCTCCTTCCAAAAGCATTGACTGGTCCATGGGTTGAGCAGTGGCGAGATGTTTGTTGGGAGCATGCTCTCGCGACATTTTACACGAATGTACGCAGCTATAGGCTCTCGATTGTGCAATGTACTCGGGAGAGTATGTTCGTTCAAGAAGTAATTTCTGAACAGTGATTGTAGTGGCCATCTGTGGTTGTGTGTGGTGTTGATGCTTTTTTTCTTGCACAATATGCTGTGAAAGATTCATGTCAAGGAACTACATATTTTTAAAGTTCACAACCAACAAAAAGACATCAATGAACTTGTGCCAAAAGTGTTCGAAAGGAGTTCTTTGTGTTTCAACCTGTGTTACTTGGGAGATTGAAGAACTTGGTTTTGGAAAGGGTATTGTAATTAACCTCGTAGTTCGTCACGGTCTTCCTCGACCAATTAAAATGTTTTAAAAATGAAAACCACAACAAGGGAGCTGGTAAACAGGGAACAAACATGGCAGAAGAAAACTCTCTCTCAAGATTTTATTCGGCAAACGTAAAGGACTCTCAGGGAAAACACCGCGTCTGGTGTGACCCGCAACGTTCTCTGCGTGAAAACAAAATCCCCCATGTACTTACTCTTAAGCCGCAGCGACAGCCTGATTCAACGTCAATAGTCGCCTCCTGCAAGTTCAACATTCTTTATGCAATTTATTGATTGCTTTTTATTGCTTTGAAAAAATGTCTCCAAGTGAAAAATGCACTCAATCATCAACAGTATCCGATTGTACGACAAATAATCCAGAAATTGAAATTCATGTTGCAGAATTTTATAGTGGAATCGGAGGCACAAGAATGGCCATAGAACTCATTGAAGCATTTATCGAACAATTTTATACAAAGAAAACTGTAAATGAAGAATTATCTTTTGTCATTCCGAACAAAATTACATTTTCATGGATCGGAGCATTTGATATCAATGAAAATGCAAATATATTATACAAACATTTATTCAGTCATGATCCTTGTGCAAAGGACATTGCTCACATTCCAATTTGTGATTTCCAAAGACAATACTTTAAGAGATTTTTGGAGAAACGAAATGAACAAAATTCAACCACTTCATTCTCCTTTGAAAATTCTAAAAAGAAGCAAAAACTAAGCGAAGATCACTCTCAAAAATGTTCAAAATTGTTGTGGACTATGTCCCCTCCTTGTCAACCCTTTACACTTAATGGCAATAGAAAAGACAGCGAAGACGATAGAACTAAAAGTTTTTTGTATCTAATGAGTGAGCTTTTTCCAAAGATATTGCCAGATTATATATTTGTGGAAAATGTCAAAAATTTCGAAATTTCAAAAACTAGACAGCATTTAGTGAATCAATTAACAAATCATGGATATCAATTTAAGGAATTTATGTTATGTCCAACTCAGTTGGGACTTCCTAATCAACGAGTGCGATATTATCTTATTGGACAAAGAGTGGATTTCAACATTGAAAATGCTATTAACATAACTGAGACTTCTGAACTGAAAGACGTTAAACTAGACCTACACACTTCTCTTCCCGAATACATGTTTTCAAAATCAGGAAACAATGAAACACGACCACTTCTTGATTATGACCGAGTTTTTAACAACCCTGAAAAAGTTGAACAATTACAAAAGCAAGGAAAGGCTGCTACATTTATGGATCTTTATAACCACTCTTCGATATTGCTTACCTCTGAAGAAGAAAAGATTTATGAAAACGATATGATTTTTGTGGAACAAAAGCATCTTTCCAAGATTAAGGGTTATCGATACGACCTGATTTTAAAAAAGAGCAACCATTCCAAAGACACTCCTCCACTAAAACGTGTCTGTAGCTGTATTACAAAGTCGTATGGTCAAACTCAATTTCTCAGAGGAACTGGACCTCTAGTTGTGTTACTGAGTGACACATACTTGAACGCGGATTTGGAGACAACCCTACACAGCATTGACTTTGATAACGTACAGTCGCTGACTGAATTGGGAAGAATACGATTCCTACATCCAATCGAAGTGGCACGTTTAATGACCTTCTCGCCTTGGTTTTCCTGTCCTTCTTCAAAACTTTCTATCAAGCAACAGTATAAATTGATGGGAAACTCGGTGAACGTTCTATCAGTGGCAAATGTCATCATCCAACTGTTCTTGGAAGAGAAAGCAAAGGGTTCTAATTGAAAGAATTAGTGACCAAGTTCAATAAACCAATGCCGACTTGTTGTCACCATAAAACAACCTTCAACTCATTACAACACAAAGTTAGAAGTTTTACTCTAGATCCAGTGAGACTGGAGTGATTTGGAAAATTGCAAAGATGATGATGTCAAGTCTCGACCAAAATTGCAAATCATAAATAATGTTAAATAATTACAATAAATACTGTCAATTAGCTTTGCTCTGAGGACCTATCTATTGCTTGATGGATGAAATTATTACGATTCTCTATAGCTGATTTTTCCAACGATTATTACATCTGGTGCATATTAGCCACAAATTCATACCACCTTGGTTTTCCTTGATGATACCAAATCCTGTTTGTAAATACACAACTTCGCCGTTACCACAGTTTTTGCAGGCACCCACACCTACAGTACCTCTAGGAAGGGTCGGATCTTTGGTTAGTTCTGCCCAATCAATGTTACTCCATTGGATATCCTTGGCGGCTTTGATATCGTTTTTATATACAACATAATCGGATGTATCTACCGCTTCTCTGTTATCACAGTGTCTACATTTAAATTCTAAAGTCTTATTTAATCGGTTTTCTCTTGCGTACAACATGTTGTTACACTCGGAGCAAAATCTCATGCCCAAGGCTTTGTCCTCCACCTCGTAATCGTCGTTCATTTTTTTGTTTTTGAATTTGTTTCCCAAACTTCACAGATCATTGTAAACTCTCGTTTCAAGTTGACCAGAGATTTTAAAAATTTGTCGACAAAAAAATAAGCCAAAATCATCATGTCACTCGTAAGTGTTCATTGTTTGAATTTTTTATTGAAATCCGAATTGCTCCTCTAATTATTTCAAAATCATCCTAGATCTGGGAAATCACAAAGAACAACAGCAGCTTGTTGAAGAGAACAAGACTCTACGGTGGTGCTTCTTTCCACACCTCACCAACCAACCCACTCAACATCAACTCTGAAAAGTACACCAAGACATCCAATGCCAGCGTTGAAGTTACACCAAAGGGTGATTTACTCATCAAGAAGGCTTCTCATGATGCTTCTGTCAGAAAGCCAAAGGAATATGTCAAGAAGACAAAGGTTGCCAACAAGCAATTGTCCGTCACCAAGGCTGCTAAGACTATTGTTGAAACAACTGAAGGTGAGGATTTCAGAGGTGATTTGAAGACTGTCCTCGTTGCCAGAGCTGCCAAGTTGTTGAGATTGAAGCACAAGTCAAAGAAGACCACCAAGGCTACCCAATCCAAGTAAATTAATTAAAACAAAAATTTATTTCAGCTTGCACATTGTTCCAAGATTTAGTTGTGGAACATGACCGCTCGAAGATAGAGGTCTTGCTCTTCCACTGGTAATTGAACCGCACTTAAATTACCGTTCTTTACAACTCCCTTCCTGAACAGGTTTTCAAATAGTGTGATAAGGCGAGAACTCAAGTGAGGAGGAAGATCTTTGCAAAGAGAGGTCAGTTCAAAAGGGACATACTTGAGCCCATACGTTATCAAATGCTCAATGAGCAATTTACATGATTCCATGTCATCCAATTGTGATGCAAAAACTAGTAGGGATTTGTAATTGTTGGGAGTGACATGTTTGAGCAAAATTTGACAGCAAAACTGAGTAAGCCAGTCCATTTGAAATTGCAAAGACGTCATGATCGTTTGACACAACAAATCTACACTGATTTGTGGAGATGATGAAATATCTTCAAACTTTGAATAACATGCCTTCAATGTCATCAATAGCGCTGTTTTTTTCAATTCTTGTTGCTCTTCACTGTCACTCTCATCCTTTACAAATCCATAAATATCAAAAGAAGCATCATTTGAGGATGAAGTGTCCGAGAATCGATCACTTTCATAGAGAACTTTCAAAACTGGACTCAAGGCAGAAATGACATGTTTGTGAACATGTATAATTTCATGTGAGTCATTGCTGATCGAGAGTTTAAGATCGCTAGTTGTAGCATCATTAAAGAGAGAAGCTATTAATTCTGGTGTATCGACATCTTCTTTCATAAACGAATCCTCTCTCCAATCCATTCCAATCGCACCAAACTCTTTGTTAGATGCTTGAATTTTCTTTTCAAGTTTGATCAAACGATCGTCTTGCAATTGTTGTTGTTTCATGTTGTTCCAGTGAAGCTTTAGAAATGCTAAACATTTCTTTACGGTAAGCATGAGAATACTCTTTTTGGAGTTTGTCAAGATGTTTGTGGCTAAATAATCTGATATTTGCTTTAAAATATCCAACACATTGTACGTATTAATCATTTCAGAGAGTGTTTCAAAGCAATACTTTTTAAATATTTCTCCAATATCACACACATCATTAAGGAAAAACATGAGAAAGATATAAAATTGAGTATTTCCAAGATATGGACAGAAATGTTTCGTAAATAAATCAACGACCTCATAACGAGACACTACTTGGTAGCCCTTTACCATGAACATTTTCACAAATGTGTATGTCCATTCTATTTCTTGTGGGTTCAGTAATTTCATAAATTCTTCTCGTTTCAGAAAGGTGTGAATATTTGGAGAAATTTTTTCAAGCAAAGGTTCGAATATTCTTTGTTCACACTCATTGGTCATTCCTAAAATTCTAGAAACTACTAAATCTTCTATATATGGAAATTCCTCCTTGTTTTCTTCACAATTTGGAATATGAATGACCACCGTGCACGAATGTCCAAGAAAAACTTTCACTTCATCTTGCTCCTTCCATTCAAAAGGAAGTTTCACCGATGAAAATCTCACACCATACGGAATCGATTGAGAATGGCCAATTCCTAACTCACCACACGTATTTTGACCTCCTGCTTGGAGGGTTCTCTCATTCGTCTTGATCATGTAATGCGTGTTGGAACAATACAGATCGATGGGTTGGTAAGGATGTTCCAAGTGAGTGATCATCATGGTAGATCCGTCATTAAAATAATAAGACAAATCTCCTCCAGCACTAATCTATGAAGTAATGACCCATTCGTAATTCACATTTCGATTGTATCCTATTTCTCAACTTACCTGACCCGTGTTGGTAATGTCAAACCAAGAATGATCACTCACTTTGAGCTGCTGAATGCAACTGAAATGATCTTGAAAAGTTTTGATTTTCTGTTCTGGAATTAAGTGTGGAATGGAGCCATTTGAATTTGAATTCATATTTCCACACGCATACACTTTTCTTGTTGTTGACACAAAATATGATTGAAAGGGAAAGGCAAATATTTTCACAATTGGAGAATCAAAGTACGATGGATTAATTAATTGAGGATATTCAAAGGAGCGAGTCATTTCGGTTGAGGCTGTCGAACGAGCCTGTTTTTTCTTTGATGAATGAATTTCAAAATCATTCTTTTGGAAATTAGTATCATGAATCGGTATTTCACCATATTCACTCGTTCCACATGCAAAGACTTTTCCACTCTCTGTTAAAAACAAACAATGTTGAAATCCAAGAGAACAGTCCGTAACCTTGTCATGCTCATTCCATAAATCAGAATTGAATACAGGAATAGGCTTTGGATTACAATCTCTCAATCCCAAAACAAATGCTGTGTTTCTTCCGAGACCGTATACCTTTCCGAGTCGAGTCACGAGTTGCCAAGAGCCATACCTAGTTTCAAATTTAATGATTTCATCTTCAGCGTCATCTAAAACATAGTCCATCCCATCAATTCTTGTTAATTCACAAAGAAATTGATTTTCTTGTAATTTGGATTGATTTTGTTCTTTCGACAACATGGGAATAAAGAAGTCTTGTCCACAAGCATAAATATCTTGCCGAGGCTTTTGCTTTAATACATGACGTTTCTTTACAGGTTGTTGGTTCGAGCCAATTGATCCTTGAAGGGTTGGAACGAACATTTTTTGCAGGGTTGTGTTCTGAGTTGCAACAATGGAATGCCTCCTTCTCAATGTAAAGAATTAAAGAAATACAGTGCTAAAGAGTTGGAACAAGCTCATCGAACCTTAATTGGTGCAGTTTGTTGTGCCGATGAATCATGGATCGGTTCCAAAATTATTTCCCTCAAGTCTTGAGGTGTAACCTGAGAAAACCATTTCCAATCAATTTTGATGCAAGAAACACGTAAAAGTTCTAGATGTTTTCTTATGTATGGAATCCATTCTCTTGTGAGAAGATCATCTTTTAAAATTGATTTGATGAGCATTTGCCATCAACATCAACCATAAAAAAATTTGATCATCAATCTCGGTCCAACTGTTGAATCTTACCACACAATCAACTTGATCAGTAAGTTTATATACCTTTCTCTTCTTGTTGGAGTGATCGGAATCATATGTATTCATCCATGTAATTAAACCATTTGATCTTTCATGGATGATGATTCATCATGGGTAGATATCCAATTCATAGATCTCTATTAAATCAACTACATCATCATGGACATGACAACATACACCGATTACGTAACCAAGACTGTTCAACAAGCATACGACAAGGGTAGAGGTGTTTTAGAATATTATGGCGTTGTTGAAAAACCTGTTCAGCCAAACACTCAAGATCCAATTCGTAATTTCATTGGTAATCATCCATACATTACCACAAGTATTGTTTCACTTGCTGTGAGCTCTTCTGTCAAGTTCATTCTTCGTCAATTGAAAAAGAGAGTGTCTCCAAATACTGTTCTCGAAATAGATTTAGAAGATTTAGATTTTACAGCACAACCTGTCACCCCATCACTCTCAGCATTGTTTTCTCAAGGAAAAACAAAGATGCATTACTTGACATTTGTGGATATGCTAAAAGTTGCCAAACAGAATCCAAATATTGTTGGTCTTATCCTTTATTTCCAAGGATCATCACATAACCCATTTTCCGGAGTGTCACTTGCTCACTTAAGTGAAATGAGAAAGGCATTATTTGATTTCAAACAACACAAAACTACCATTGCTCATTCACACTTTTTCAGCAATACTGTAAATTATTACTTTGCATCTGCGTGTGAAAAGATTTATATCGGAGATCAAGGCCTTACAGTTTTGAATGGCTTCCAACTTCGTAATTTCTTCTTGAAGCAACTTTTGGACAAGGCTGAAATTGAACCATATGTTGTGAAGAGAGCAGAATACAAATTAGCCATGAATACTTTCACTGAAACCAAATATTCTGAGCAGCACAAGGAACAAGTTGAGTCATTGGCTAAAGATCTTTTTGATACAATCATTAAGGATATCTCAGAAACAAGAGAAAAGAACGCTACCTCAGTTCGTGAGTGGTTCGATATTGGTGTTTTTGGAGCATCTGCTGCTGTTGAACACAAGGTCGTGGATGGTGTGAAGCATAGGGATGAAATGCTTTCAGTGATGGCTGACAGTTTGAGTGTAGACTCAAAGAAGATTAATCTTCTCTACATTCAAAAGTATCTTCAACAAAAGTTAGAAGGAAATCCTCTTGATTATCTCAATCCTAAGAAGAAGTCTGACAACGTTGTCGCAGTCATCTATGCCAGTGGAGCAATTGTCAGAGGCAGACCACAAAACCCACAAGATACCAACATGAACAGTGACGTATTGGTCGACGCTATCTATAAGGCAAGAAAGAACTCTGAGGTTAAAGTCATTCTATTGAGAGTAGATTCACCAGGTGGAGAAGTGTTTGCCAGGTAAGTGATGAAGTCTGAAAGAACTTTGAGAATTTTTGAACAATGACCTTTATTTTGAAACATGAAATGTAATAACCATTTCGAAAATTATGGCGACATGATAAACAGCGAACACATCAGAAGAGAGTTAGAGCTTGCAAAGACTGAGGACAAAAAGAAGATCGTTGTCAGTATGGGAGGTGTCGCTGCCAGCGGAGGTTATTGGATTTCCTCAGTTGCTGATAAAATTGTTGCACACCCTTTTACCATTACTGGATCTATTGGAGTGATAATGGGCAAGTAAGTATCTCATGATTTTGAATGACACTTATCATGCATTCCTTAGATTCTTCCTTGGAGATTTCTTTTCAAACAAGCTTGGAATTACCAATGATGTTATTTCGACAAACAAGAACGCTTCTGTCTTTTCTTATTTTGATCGTGTCACTGAGCAACAAACAGAGTTATTCAACAACGTTATTGACGAATTCTATGACTCCTTTATTGAAAAAGTCAGCCAAGCAAGAAATATCAGCAAGGACGATTTGAAGAATAAGATTGCCAAGGGTAAGGTTTACTTTGGTGAGGCTGCCAAAGAAGTAAACTTGGTTGACCAAGTTGGCGATTTTTACGATGCTGTTAAAGTGGCTAAGGAGGTTGCTGGCATGCAGAATGAGCCATATCTTTCTGTGTTCTATCCAAAGAAGAAGTCGTTGTCTGAGGCATTGCTATCATCTCAATCACCAACCAATAGTAGAGAGCGTGCTTTCAAGTCTGGTATCTCAGTTTTAGAACCATTCTACGCCATGTTCCAATCTTTGAGTGGATTATTCAAGGTTTCAAACTTCTTTGTAAAGCATGGCTCTGTAGTGGACAAATATGTTCAATTCGCTGAGAAAGCCATACAAGCTAACAATGGAGAGGTCAAAGCTGAGTTAGAACCAAGCATCGAATTCAACTAAACTCTTCTCACTATTAATCGGGAATTTTCCACAATAAAAATCACTTTCCACCCAAGTATCGATTGAGAGTGCCCTCATGTCCAAAGTAATTTGACACCATAGCATTTCCATTTGCTGTAACCTCCGTTAAAAGTTGGCAAGGCATTTGATTTTTTCAAAATTCACTAAAAAAATAGCTCATCAGGCGACATTCATTGCAGTGGCCAAAATCCGAATCTCTACATTGACGGGATTTGAAGATAATCACAGCACGATTAGCATCTTGTACACACAATTTATTATCGCATCAGTTTCATCAATCTGAATTTCAACTGACACAGTGAGTCATAATCATCCACTTGTATCAGTAACAAAAATACACTATCATCATTATCATCATTGAACGCCATCGCAACATGGGAAATTCGAGCGCTTCTCGTTCTGAAAATTCTATTGCAAAATTTCTCATGAGGGAAGAGGATGATGACGATGCCTATGAGCGACCGCAATCCGGCAGCACCACCACGTCATCAAACACCAGCAGTCCCAACGGTAACGCTCCACCTTCAAAGGCAGGCAAACCATTGCGAAGCCCAAAAGTAGGAGATCCATTTGTTGACCTCGGAGTCATGTTGTCAATTGATAGTATTTATCATGGATATCAAATTACATCATTGATCGGAAAAGGAAGCTATGGAGAAGTGTATTTAGTGAAAAAGGGAAATGCAAATTATGCTTTGAAGGTTTTAGAACTGCCAAAGACCACCGATAGAGAAGCTGTTGAAGCAATAGATAAGGAAATCAAAATTTTGAAAAATTTAAAACATCCAAATATTATGCAGTTTATTGAAGAATTTCCGTTGAAAGATCAAATGGATAAGAGTTGTGTGGGTGTTGTAACTGGTAAGTTGTTGTTTTACCAATATTCAAAGAATACGAGTTTGTGCTTGTTCTTATTAATAACTCTCATAGAATATTGTCAAAAAGGTACTATTGGAGATATTATTGAAAAAGATCTGCATGTGAATATCAACGTGTGGCGGGTACTTGCATGGTTCACTCAACTTTGCAGTGCGCTCAAGTATTGTCATGAAGAAGGAATTATTCACAGAGACATCAAGGTTTGTTATCGCAGCAATTTGAGTCATTTATTCAAACGAATTTATATAGCCATCAAACATGCTCATTGGAGAAGATGATACATTGAGATTGTGTGACTTTGGATTGGCCAAAATGTTAAATTCTAAAGGTGCTGTAACATATACCATTTGTGGAACTCCTCTCTATGTTGGTACGTTTTAATTAACTCTTCATGTGAATCTTATGACCATTATTTTAGCTCCCGAGATTGCTCTTCAAAGACCATACGCCTTTAGTTGTGATATTTATAGTATGGGTTTATGCGTTTTTGAGCTCACATGTCAACAACAACATGATTTGTTTTATAGAGCTGTTTTAAGAGAACGAGAGAAAATTCCTGGAATGTTTGAAAAAATTAAGCTTGCTTCATTGAAGGATTTAATTAGAAAAATGGTTGAACCTGATCCCGATTTGAGAATTTCAGCAGCTAATTTATTTAAACACCCCTATGTTAGATGCTATCGCTATTTAACCTCAAACCCTGATTATACATTGACGCCTACTGAAGGTTCTGATGTTTATTTTATTAGCGCAATAATAGAAGCAATAGTTTTTGAGGGTCTTCAAAATAATGAAACCTCCAGAACCTACTCAGTGATTTCAAAAGCAGTGAATTGTATATTATTATTCATTCATGAGCAATCAGTCATTGAATTACTAACTAAGGAACAACAGTATATCAAAGCACTGTTCAGTCTGTATCTAGATTCCCATCTGAATGCAACTGTGAAAACAGAACTTTCACAAATATTTATTACGTACATCCAAACATCAGAGAGATGTAGGAAGCATTTTGCGAATACTTTAATTGAAATAGCTCAACGATCTCCAGAGTCATCCGTTGAAGAAAGAACCCTCCCACCATTGGTGTCACTGCTCTCACAAAATGAGCCTGCTTTTATTACCACTCTTTCCACTCAATTAGAATTTAGAGATGCACCCAAAGCTTCCAAATTGTTACTCTCACAACAATGAAAGACATTATTGTAAATCCTTGGATATCCAATCATTGGACAATAACAACTCAAACTAGAATGTACATTGTTTTTTTGCGTGTGAACTTGTGAACAACACCAAAAGAAAAATATGCTCTTGCCACGCCCTCCATCGTTCGGTCAATCATCACTGTTACAACCATTGATTCACAAAACAATTGCTCCTTCTTATGATTATGGTATGATCATTTGTGGAACACCATTCTCTGGTCGATCTACTTTACTACGACTCATCCGAAAGATGGATCTCATGAAATTACTTTCTGGCACTCATTCATCCAACAATAGCACCTCTTCGGTAGGCTCACTCGTAACATCATTAATTTCGGCATTGTCGAGTACGAGTTCTGTGGATTCCTTTTCCTATAAAAAAGTTGTTCAATTTGCAATTCTAAGTTCCTGTTTAAATGCCATGCAAATGATCTTGAAGGAATTATCACTTTCAACATCTGCACCACAAGATGATGCTTTTTCTGCATACGATACGGAACACGGACAAACCAAATCGAAAAAGACCACATTGTGGTCTGAATACGATGAATTGATCAACAATTATGAAGCACAAGTGAATGGTGTGAACGGTATTCACACAGCCATCAATGCATCCATGACCACATGGGACAACTTCTTGGATCAAGCTCCAACAATTGTCAATTTCATTGAAGAATTGTGGAGAGTACCCATTGTGAAATTGACCTATGAAAAATTAATGCAAGCTTCCTTTTTTACTCCCTATGTATCGAAGCAACACACGACACACGTCACAAAATTGACCCATTTGCAAGGTGAAAATTTTCATGAATTATTTGACAATTTGCATGTCATTATGAATTCAGATTACAATTTTGCACATGGTGTACATGCAAATGATTGCTCAAACAGCAAGCTATTACAACTCATTTATTCATCCTATTTATTGGATAATACATTCCATGATTGGAAAAATTCATTGGGATCTAGTGAGAAGAGTACAAACATTATTATTGAAAATATTCCATCCGTGACAAGATTTGACAAGAGACGATGGTGTTTGAAAACAGAGAAAGCAGCAATGGAATTTAATTCTCTGCAATTTAATGATCAACCCAATCTTGCTCCTATCGTTGTTTATTTAATTTCATTGGCAGATATTGACCGATATAAGAAGAATACTCCAGTTTTTGATAGTCATGTGAAATATTTTACATCTTTATTGTCAACTCCAGGCACACAAAAAGTATTACTTTTTACCAAAGTCGACATTTTTGCAAGCAAGGTCATGGCTGGCAAGGTTAAAGTTTCTGAAATATTTCCAAATTTTGTGGGAAATGATCGTGACCCATTGAGGGTATTTGAATTCATCTTTAACAAATTTTGGATCCCGTGTCGAAAATACCATGAAAATGTACCGTATTATGTCGTGAATTTAGTAGACTTGGAAGAATGTTCACAATTTCTTTCAATTTTATTAGAAAAGGGATCACCTTACATGGGACGATCCTTTATCAGTCGACATTTATTGCGAATGATGGAAATTTATTTGAAGAATAATTTAAAGAATGCTTACATTTTTTCGTGCTCACGTGGAATTGGAACCAAAAGATACTTTTCAGATGTTCGTATAGTGACCAGTGGTGGAGAGGATTGAGATCAAATTTTGTTGAAAATAAATGATTGGAACATGAGACATGTCGGAATCTAAGCTAACAAACATCAGTTGCTTTGCCTATTTTCTTGCTTTTTTTACTTCACCAGCATGAAGTTTTTTTAAGAAGTAGGCCATCATGATGAAGAAATTGATGCATAGAGCCATGCAGTTTGCTTTATATTCACCATTCTGTCTACTTGTTTTGTTTTCAATCATGAAGAAGATCCTCAACACCGTCGCTGCTCACACCCGCAAATTAAAAGAAAGCGATTCGAGATCAGTTGTTTGATTAATAAGTAACCAGTACATTTTATCAGATGCGGTCTTGGCTGAGTGGTTAAAGCGTTTGACTAGAAATCAAATGGGGCGACCCGCGCAGGTTCGAGTCCTGCAGACCGCGACTGTTTTTTATTGTTTTGGACAAGTTTTAATTTCCGGCTACCACAAAGTAACTTGTGTGAAGGTTGGATGGGTGGGTTCTGTGCGTGAAAATAGTTCAAAAAGACTGAACAGATTTTAAGAATAAGCAACAAAGGGCTACAAGAAAGGTTATGTGGACAATTACAGCGATCCACAACCTCTACAAATCCTTAAAAAAATTCCTTTACTCATCATGAACAGCATTGGATCGGGCTCAAGCGCCTCATCATCACATCCACCAATCACGACCAATTTTCAATGGGAATTTGCCCTTAGACAATTAGAGATTGAAAAAGAAAGATTACAGATTGAAAAAGAAAGATTACTGATTGAAAAAGAAAAAATACTGGCTGAAAGGGATAAGATTGAAAAAGAAACATTACAGATTGAAAAAGAAAAATTACAGATTGAAAAAGAAAAATTGGAAATTAAAAGCAAAGAAAGAATAGAAAAGTTGCAGATTAGAGAACGAATATTAATGAAAGAGCTTGAACTGAAACACGGTCAAACTCCAATATCTAGCAGCAGTTCAAACGATTCTGTTTATTAAACGAGGTACTTTAAAAAAAAGGTAAAGGAAAATGGGATCAGCGATCATTTAGAAGTTCCTTCTTGGCTACTAACTGAAAATGACGTTCCTTATCATAGAGTTTCAGAATTTCATATCAGTACTGAGGCAGATGTTCAAGACTGTTTTATGAGGGAATTGAGGAAACACAAAGATGCATATCATGTAACTTATTTAGATACCAGATACGTTTCTGTTGTGCAGGGGCTTTCTCCTGACCTGACTCTTATCCCAAAACCAATAACAATAGCCAAAACAGACTACTCGGGCGTTGCATCCTATAAGGGTCTGTCGTTTCTTGTCTCTGGTTATATTGAATTCAAGAACCCCTTCAACAGGTTTGGAAGCGATGAACAAAAAGGACAGCTTATCGTATATCTGATGAAAACTCTCCAAATTCACACGTCCAAAAGTGAGGTTGTGGGTTGCCTTTCCAACTTTCATAAAATCATTTTTATGAGAGCAAAAAGAGCACCCAATTTCAAAACCATCTATTGTGAAATCACCAAAGAGTTTGATTTGTTCGGTGAAGATATTACTTATGAAGGGTGGAAGTATTTATTTAACATGCTGAAATATAATTGTAACGAGGAAGTAACAATATCTCCTGCAATTGAGCACACTTTCGAGTTAACTCTTGGTAAAGGGGCTTCTTCGTATGTGTACGCTATGAACAACAGGACTATTGCTCTAAAACTGTTTGCACCAAATGAAGAAACAATGCACGCCTTTAAAAACGAAACACAAACATTGAACATGCTAAAAGGGATTCCTGGACTTCCTGAAATACTTGACATTGGTGAAAATTATTTCACCATGAAAGTGTACTCTCCTCTTTCTAACGCACCCAACAATCAAGAAATGATTCAGCTCCTGCGTATTCTTCAACAAGCTCATGCTCGCAAAGTGTTTCACAGAGACATTCGGCGTGAAAATATTTTAAGACACCACTGTTCAAGTGAAAATACTATGGTATTAATTGACTGGGGATTTGCTTGTAACGGTGATCCGCTGATAGGGAACTGCTTCAGAGTACGGACGAAAATTCTTGCAATGCGAAATAGCTTGCTTTCCATATTTTCCCAGATAAGATTGTGAAAGTTTAGTGAAATGCTTTGCATACATGAAGGATGAACTGTTAAAACACAATCTATCTAAATTGAGATCCCTGCCATTTAACGACCGCGTGAAACAATCTTTGGAAATTTGGACTGAGTATGAAGAGAAAGACAAGGTGTTCAAAGCTGCAACGCGTCGAATGACTGTCGATTGTTATAAAGCTGTTGAAAACTATATTGACGGTCGTGTGAAGAGAGAGCTCATGAATTGTGATAACGACTAATATCTTTGGTTTCACCTGTATTCTTGAGCGATTATTTCTTTGAAGAGTGGTCCAAAAGGTCTCAGTCATGCAAGCTGCACCAGAATAAACTGAATTTTTTCGACTATTGTAGAAATTAAAGGGAAAATCGTAAACGAGAGTGCCAGACAACAGTTGTACAGCAGCAACATAAGTCACGACAGAGGTTACCAACAAGATTGGTGTTTTTGATTTACACTAAAACTTTGTATAGCTTGCTTCATGGGTTATCGTGTATGAAAACGAGATTGATGAATTCTGCTTGGGTTGGTTCGCTCAACATTCCGCTGCTGGTAGAGACAAGCAAAAGGGTTGAATGACTTCAACAGATTCAAATAGGACTTCCTCCTTCTCAATAAAGGTTCAGTACGTTAAAACTGCAGCTGGACCAAAGAAGAAGACAACAACGGTACACTGCCTACCTTCAGGAAGAAAGACTGTGCGTATTCCCGTTTAACAACAAATGTAGTCAAACGTTTTACTGATTTGACAAAGTAATGTCAAGACGGACTTTGTTTTTTGAGCTGTAATGATAATCCTAGCATCGATAAGTTTATGTCTTTTGTTTTGCAACAGACAAATTGTGATGCTTCTTCGTTTCTTTGGTTTGGATAATTCAGCCAACTGTATTGAGACAATACCTTGCCTTTCAATTACCAACAAAAAACAGTCGCGGTCTGCAGGACTCGAACCTGCGCGGGTCGCCCCATTTGATTTCTAGTCAAACGCTTTAACCACTCAGCCAAGACCGCTTACATTGAAGTTAAAACGTGACAATAACATGTGATAAAGTTGCCATATCTTGCGAGCAACTGTAGCGTTAAGTGCGTTATTCAAGGTTGATTGCCTTGAGATCTCTTGATACCATCCATTAGAATCATACCAGTAAAGACAATTGAGGAAATTTCAAATTTGGCTCTTTTTTGAACCAGAAAAAATGAATTCATCATCGGAACCTTCCACTCCTTCAACCGACCAACCTAACACTGTTGATCAAGAACACGATCAACAACCAGAGAGCAACAACAACAGCGGATGGGGTTGGGGAGGTGGTTGGCTTTCTTCGACCATCGGTAATGTGGTTAGAGTCATGAATCAACAAACCAATGAGTTTGGACAAAAATTGCAACAATTAGTGGCTGAAGAGGACGAGGATGTAAGCACACCCTCTACAGAGCCATCAACGACTCATCCAGCTTCATCCGAAACACCCAATGATCAAGCAGATGAAGAAAATGGACAAATCAATGACAATGGTGGAGCAGCAAATGCATCATCCCTCATTGAAGAAACGGAAAAAACCATTGAAACCTCGCTCAAAACTGCAGAGCAAAAACTCAAATCTCTTTTCACTTCCTTTTATAACGAAACATCTCAATTAGTGGACGAAACGGCAGAGTTGAAATATGTAAAAGGGTGGGCGTCTTCGTTTGGAAAAACTGTTTTGCATACTCTTGAAGAAGCGAGTAGAATTCTCTATGATAATGAGGAGGTAAGTCATTCACATTGGTGTCATTCCGATGGTCATCAAATAATAATTAACCGTTTTTAAATATCACATTATTTATGAAAATAATATCCATCCATAAATCTAAACAGAACGATGATGGCATTCATATCTATGTCAATTTTAAAGAATTATTTATTGAATACCAAGGATTAAAATATTTACAAGAGGTTGCCTCCCTCTCTAAACAATGTAATGAAGAATTGGCCAAGTACATGGAAAATAGAACCGATGAACAACGTGACAGAATTGAAAGTAAGTGCTCTCTTTTGTAAAGGATGAACTATTCAACTGCCCATCCAACACATTTCCAATAGAACTTTTACGTGAATTAAAAGACATACTCATTGACTCGACACAATTCAGTACAAAAGAGGTAGAAGAAAAGAAAGCCTCTTATCAATATATTGCTTTGCTTCCTGTTGGAAAGGAAATTTTAGAAACTACCAATGCGTGTGTGGAGCTAGCAAAAAATGCCTACAGCAATTTGGAGGATGTATTGGGATCAACCATCGAGATTGAAGAAACGGTTCAAACATCTACTCTACTTTTGGAAAAAAGTAAAGCAGAGTGTTACAGGTCTCTTGCAAAATTAGCATCATTGGCTTCATTACATGTAGGTTTATGATTCTTATGATATGTTTATTTCATATATGTATTTTTTAATCAAAGATTCTAACCTTGTCACAATATCTAATAGATGTAAATAACGGAGGAAAGCTTCCTGAACAGTGGCAATCCACAGAGCTCAGTGTCACCAAAGACGCTAAACAAGTTGCTATAATTCTGAGAGATTACTTACTCTTTTTATATTCTCAATTAATTGAAATTAGTAATCAATACACCGAGGCATTGAAGAAGAATACATCAATCGTTGGAATTAAGCTAGACGAACAACGAAAAGAATCTCTTGAAAAACGAGCTGTAAATATGGCAGCTCGCTTACATATTCACAGTGATAAGGTAGGTTGACGTTTTTTGAGAAAAACAAATTCCAAATATTTTACAATTCATTCCAAAAGGCTCTTTCCATCATTATTAGCTGTGACAAGGAGTTTCTGACCATTCTTCAATACCTTGGCGTCATTTGGACTGAATAGAAACATGAACAATATTATGGCTATTATTTGGACAAGTCGCCGAAACTTTTTGTCTGACAAATAGTTAAGGTCGGCGAAACCAACCAAACACCACAATAAAAAATGTTTACATCCTCACCAGCCAAACGACAAGTCCTCAACTCACTATTCCAATCTGTCTCCTCAAAAGTGCTTGTGAGTAGTGGGAGTGTTTGCAACATTAGATATTCTTACTCTGCATTCGCAACAAGAACAATTGCCAATCAACCTTGCATGACTTGTGAAAGACACTTATTTGTAAACAAAAAACGATCAAATAATCATTTACCAATTGAAACAACGCCAGACGGTAGCGAGAAATATTCGAACAACTCCCAAAGAATTGTTGATGATGGAAGCTTCAAATCGCTTTTCAGAATCTGTCTACAATTTCTCACGAATATTCGAAAACATTTATCACTCATGGAAATGTCCATGATTGGTATTGGAATATTGGCTACCTCAACAGTTGTCTATCGATATTTGTATGTTGTGTAGATTTAGATAGAACAGAAATTGATTCATTAGAATTGATCAATTTTCCAGAAGCCACCCTTTCGCAATGCTCACATCTCTCCACACCTATTGAAGAAAATCCAACATTAATACGAAAAAGCATCTATGACAGTAATTCAATTCTTAATATTGAACCATGATTAAAATAGACCCTTCTCAATTTTTAGTCTTCTCTTTCTACTGATATTTAATTCCTCAAAGGTCTTTCGATCCATTTCAAAAACCTTAATAAACTCTTCGTCACTCAAATACTTTTCCTTTTCATTTTGTTTGACACCTTTTGGAAATTTATCTTTCAATTCCAAGTATGAAAATTTGTAAATCATTGGATCTAAATAATAATGACTGGTTTGACTAATATTTCCAGATTCTGAAGAAGCATCAACACTTGTCCTATCCATGGCAGTACTAGTAGTTGATGTAGATGTGTAATTACTCATGGTTGAGGATGCCATGGAATGTCTATTTCCTTTCAAATGGTGGTTGTAAAACATGTGAGGAGGATGACTCGAATCATGATCTTCTTCATTACTTTCAATACTCGTTCGTTTCAAATATAATTTGTTGTTAGAAACAGTATTCGAAGAGGATGGAATTATATTCGCTTGAGAAGAGTAATGTTGTGCATCATTGAGCATGTTAAGAATGGATGTGAGTTTTTTTCCAACTTTGGAATGTGAAGTTTGAATTTTGGGTAAATGAGTTGAAAATGTTGCATGGGACGATGTCAAGTGTGGAGCAGAAGGTTGTGAAAGAGATGAATTCATGAATGGTTGAGATGAAGTTGTTGCTGTGGTGGAAGAATTTGGTCCAAGGATGGTCTTGCATGGATGTTCAATCAATGTTTCTTCTATTGTGCCATCTTTAGAAAAGGGTGTAGTGGATGTAATCGTATTGGTTTGAATTTTGGTTGTTGTTGTTGATAGTTGTTGCTGATGATGATGAGGAGATTCTTGACCATGGTGTGAAATTTTCAAATCTTGTTCATTGAAATCTTCTAATGGATAAATTAAATGATCAGCTGAATCATCCTCTTCATCATACTCTGTAAATAATGATGAAGCCTCAATATATTGTTTACAAATCCATTCTCTTTTTTGTTCATACTCCTCTCGTGACATTAAGCTATGTGTTCGTTCATGTCTTGCTAAAAATTCACGATTCAATTCCATATTTTCAAATTGAATGACTGGAGATGAAAAACGTGGAGAAATTTTGTTCTCATTTTGTGTTGAATGATGATTAAGGGATGAGGATTGTTCAGATTCCTCTCCACTCTGTTCATCCTCAGAAACCATATTATCAAAATATAATTCATCTAATTGCTCTAATTGTTCAAAAACTTCATCAAAAAGTTGTTGTTTCGATTTGGATCGATTTTTTCGATTGTTAGGAGTGTGAGAAGATGATTGTTGAATATTCTTTGGAATTTGTGAATTTGATGATGAAAGGACAGAAATTGTTGAATCATTTTGGTTGAGAAAAGTAGGAGAAGGAAGGACCAAATGTTGTGGTGACCATTGCTGGTGTTGTTGTTGTGTGGAAATGGTTGTTGGATGAATGGGATGAGAAGATACAGGATGATGTTTTGAGTTTTCGGAAGTTTTTAATAATGAGAATTTGAATGTAGAATTTGATGTGTTCTTTTGTGAAATGTCACGACTATTGATACTACGACTTGTACGTAATTGGTGAGAATTAGAGGAAGCATTCTTGTTCAATTGTTGGACTCGTTCTCGAACTTTGGATGGTTGTTGGCTTTTGATTGGTTGAAATTGTTGTTGTTGTTGTGATTGAACAATGACATGTTCATTGCCCATTGAATTTTGTACTAATATGGGAGATGACTTGGGAGTATCATCAATTTCTGTATCATTAGTGAAATTCCGAGGTGTTGTGGATGACGACGATGATGATGGTGCAGATGAGGATCGATCATGGTTTGTTTTGGCCATCATTTTTTGCGCTGTGACATTGGATCAAAGTGGTGCTTGCTGTTTCAGATTGCTTTATTGGTGAGTTGAGAGCAAATTGTCACAATCACCCAGACACAATAAGAGAGCAGCACGTTTTACGTGACATGGTTTATGTCTCACAAATTGCTCGAGTTTTTGCATTGAATTGTCTCAAGTCGGATTTTCTCCTGTTCTACTTGGTAAAATCTCTGATAAATTGTGCAACGGTCGAATGTCCATACATCTCTGCAATCATGTCTGCTGTATCTGTACTTCCTCGTGTTGCTTGATTCTTGTCTGCACCTTTTTCAAGCAAAATCTTCACAGCAAGAATGTCACCATTGGAAGCAGCTACATGGAGAGCACTCATCTATTGGAGTCAATTTCAAAGTCTCATGATAAGCAAAAAGAGTCATTCAAGAGAAATCGATACTTACACCGTTTTCATCCATGTGATTGATGTTTGACCCTTTTTCAATCAACAATTTCATCACTTCATATTGTTTGGAGTTGGTGGCAAGAATTAGAGGAGTATCTCCTTCGAACTATATGATCCAAAGAGTAGATTATGAAGAATGCATTCAATTTAAAATAAGTTGTAATTAACGGATTATTAATACAGCACGACGACATTATTCGAATTGATTCAACGAACAACAACATACATCAGGCAAATTAACAATTGGCCTTGCAAGTTCAAAAAACAAAGTCAAAGCTTCGATTTGACCTTTAACCGCTGCATACATGAACGGAGTCATCTATATAGGTGTGTATCATGATCATGTCAAGGTACAGAGGTATGATGATTGCGTTAAGCTTGAAATTAATTCTTACCTCTCCTAGTACTTCATCAAAATTTAAAAATTCATTGACCAAGTATCGATTCTCTCGTTCTGATAACACCTTTCTAATCACATCTAAATCTCCATTATAAGCAGCATCACATAAGGCTTCATGAGGAGAAAGTTGTCTCTCCTCATTTTCATCAATCGGAGTGGTTGGTGTGAGTACTTCTTCATCTTGCTCTGATGGTTGATGATCATCAACTTGTTTGCTCGGTGTAGAAGAACTACTCTCACCCGATACTTCCTTCTTTCCTAGTGATTTTACTTCTCTATTCAAATCCTCAAGGCTCGTATTGATGTTTTGAAAACGTTGCGTTAAATCTTGTATCCGTTTATCGTCTTGCATTTTTTTAAATGAAAAGATTCAAATTATCACGAATCTTTGAAACAAGCAAATCCAGATGGAGGTTGCCAAGAGCTCTACTCATATTCTGCTCAGTTTTCGAATTCTTTCTATCAAGTTTTTGAAAATTGAACGTCTTTAGTTGATAGAGTTTAAAATGTACAATTTAGAATTTCATAACTGTTTGAATTCAGTACTGGTCATTGTTGACCATAGTCGTAGGATATTGGTCTTCTATTCACACTGTATTCTAGTTCAAGATCTTTTCGAGAGAATTATCTTTTCTCAAATCTTGAATGGTTCCAACAAATCCACGTTCTCCATTCCATTTCGTCTCACTTACACTCAACCAAATTGGGAATTGATTCCCTTGCTTATCTTTAGCAGTGACCTTTCTTCCTCTACCAATCACCTTCTTTTCTCCAGTTTCTAAATAGTGAGAAACATAAGTGTCGTGAACTGAAGCATATTTTTCAGGCATGAGTTTGTTAATATTCTTTCCAATCATTTCATCTCTATTGTAAGAAAACATTTTCTCTGCTGATTTGTTCATAAAGCAAACAGTGCATTTCGTATCAATAATGATGACAGCATCCACCAAGTTCTCTAAGAGATTGGTAACAGAAGAGTTTGTTTGTTTGCTCTTATCCTTTCTCAAATCTTGAATAGTTCCTGTGAATGCATGTCTTCCCAACCAAGAAGATTCAGCGACTGATAACCAAATTGGGAAAATTAAACCATCCTTTGCACGAGCTTCAACCATTCTTCCTGATCCAATAATCTTTGCTTGACCAGTTCTCAAATAATTATCTACATAGTTATCATGTTGAGCTCTGTGTGGATTGCTCATCAAGATTTTAACATTTCTTCCAATTAATTCCTTTCTATTATAACCAAATGCCTTTTCCACACTCTTGTTCACATATTGAATAATCTTATCATCTGTAATAATAATAACAGCATCAACAAAGTCATCAAAGAAAACAGCACCATCATCCATTTCTGGTTCTTCATCTTCACCATAAATACTTGGAAATTGTTCAATGTGACGTTGAACTTGCAATTGCGCCATATTGCTGGATGATAATTCACTTCCACTGGTTTGACTTGATGTATCATCGTTCAATTGAGCTGAAGAATCATTCTCAGTAGTAATGTACAATCTAATAGCAGAATCCACTGGAACGTTTTGTAAACAAATTGCAAAATCTTCTTCTTTTCTAATGTTAATGAAATCACCTTCTGTGTCCTTGTATTTAATCACTGGTTTTAAACAGTGATATTCTTCAATGATTCTCAACTTTAATTCATTAAATGTGGCTCTATCTTTCTTGAGAGCAATCAAATGGACGTCATCATTGTGATAACACTTGAATACAAGATCAATACCAGAAGAGGCATTATTATTGGAAGAACTTCCACCACTCAAATCCGAAGATTGATTTTGTGCCGCGGAAGAAGGCTGTGAAGAAGATTGAGCCGATGGCATATTCTCTGCCGAGTCATTGGATTCTGAGAGAGCTTCGAGAAAGTTTGTAATGTTGGAATTCTTTTTGAGAGCCTCAACTAATTTCTTAAATTTCTTTCGGTGACCTAATTTAGTGATTTGAAGTTGATTCATATCTGTTGTATTGGATAGGGTGGTGTGTGTGACAATGCAAGAGTTGTGATGATGATAAATTTGTTGACAAGAAATTAAATTGTTCAAACACCTACCTTCTTCTCCTAATTCTAATAATTCTTGACCACTGATAGAATTGTTGATGAATACATTCTACCACAGTAGTAATGAGATCCAGGTTGTCCACATGTATAAAATTGTTAAATTTAACAACACGTGTTGTATACCCAAATTTAACAATTATATACAACGCGCACAATACGAAACATACCTTGTATTCACCCAATCCGACCAAGTCCAACCAAATACCAACTTCGTTCACAGCCCATGACCCAGCATCTGAAAATTCATGTGATTCCATTCAGCCAATTGAATTTTAAAGTTTCATCATTGACACCAAGCGAAAGTCAATAAAACTATTCTGATGTTGATCATCGATGTTTCTACATACCTTTCTGTTGCAATTTCTTTGCTAGATCAGAATTTGGTTTGGCATTGGCCTGAGGTGTATCCTTGTTCTTTTTGAAGAAACCGAATGGCATTGTTAATGATGAAGAAGGGTTTCAATGGAACGGATCAGATATTTGAATATCTATTCTGTTTTTGAAATGACAATCATACGAATATGATGAAATGTAATGGTTGTTGGGAAAGAAGTCCATAGAACACCACGATCACAACATTGGTGTAATTGGTCAGAATTTGACAGGTTTGATCATCATTTGTAAAATACATCAACAAAATAACATCATCACCAACACATCAAAGGTTCATTCACATCATCTAACAGCCAAAACGTATTCACAAAACTTACAATGATTTTGCAAGAGATGCAAGCGAGTTTTTTTGAAAAAGTTACTCCAATGACTAATGGAGAATTCATGGCGAGCAGCAGTTCCCATAAAGTACTCTACATAAGACACATGACGAGAAGACAAGTCGAACGACTCAAGTTTTAGAAAGCGAGAGAACAAAAAGATCAAAGAAATGCTGTTTTATACAAAAACATAAAAGATCGTAACGTGCTTGGGTGTTCATGATTACATGAATGGAACGCATTGAGGGATATCCTCAACAATTCCTCCAACAAAGAGTCTCCAGAAATCCAACAAAATTGTCACTAGCATGCATGAAGCCAAACTTTCCACACACACCTTGAAAGTAGAATACTTCTTCTTTGTCTCATCTTCATCAACTCTGTAGTACATTGGGAAACCAACAATAAAGTAAATTCCATAAACTATTGAGCCAACCTTATACATCAAATCTCTGTTCTTAAAGGTATAATACTTGAAATATTGAATGGTATAAGTCTCCATGAAAGCAGTGAAATACGAAAATACCAAAATAAATGCTGACACAAAGAGGAATCTAGCAATGGAAGGATTTCTCCAAGAAGTATAAATAATTCTCAATAATACATTGCTAAGGGAAAAGTAAAAGGTAAAGTAAGCTTGGGTAGCTAAAAACATGAGGTAAGGAACATTGTTAATTCTATGAGTATCCATGGTATAACTAGCACCTAAAAGATTATAGAAATAGTGAGTCCAAAAGTAATTTCCAACAAAATTGAAAATGAAAACCCAAAGATTACACTTGAACCAATATCGTTGAGTGATTGGAAGATTACGATCAGCCTTTCCAGGAAATAATAATGGATATAAAACGCATGGAACAGCCATGATGACTCCGTACATGGTCCATTCCATTCTCGATGCTCCATCATAAATTTCATTGTAAATGAGATAAGTAAAATAGAGCATCCAGACAGGTCCATAGAATAAGAAGAATTTCTCTGCCCAAGCTTTGCTTTCGTTTTGAGAAAAGAGCCTCATCCCGACGGGAGCCTTGTTTGCTTCCTGCATTTGTTGCTTTGACATTTTTTCGTTTCGACTGTGTAAAGAAATAAACGGAAACCGACTTCAAGTCTTTCAATCCGCACCCCCGAGGCATGCCTCGGTCCATCTTTTGTTTGTGGAAAACAAACACTGGAGTGATGCCAAAGGTTATGAAAATGGATGTCCCCAAAAAGTGAGAAGGATTACAAAGACTTGACTCGTTTCCACAACAACAAAAAAATAAGTCTGCTGCAGATTAATAATTTTTACTTTTCATCATCAAAATGACGATTCAGGGTTTGAGTGGTATGTATGGATAGTGGAGATGAACATTATTTGGTACCAACATTACACGCTCCGAACATGTTTCTAATAATTTTTGATTAATTGATTGTCCAACAATATTGTATTTTGTATTTATACTTTTGGTGAACATCTACAATATGGACAATATGATACAACAATATCATCGGGCTGTTTGTGCTCACCACGATTATTCTTCTTTTCCTATGAAGGCTTTCTTATTGAGAAAAAATACATAAACACGGAATCTCTCGAGTATCTTCGTGGATGTAAAATAGGGATTGATGGCTTCCATTGGTTGAAATTATTATATCATGAAAAACATGAACCTTTTCAGATTGCAACAGGAGGAATACCAATTTCATTAGCATATTTGGTTCAAACAAATTTAAAGCAAATCAAGTAAGTAACTGTTAGTGACAGTAAGCATAATAATATCTTTGCAGAGATGCTGGCATCACTCCAGTGTTTGTTTTCAATGGTATTAACTGTGTTAAAAAAGAGCGTTCAACAGGAGTATATCAATCAAGAACTGTTTCTCTTAAATCAGCTTGGGGATCTTATGAAAAGGATCAGAAATCAGAGGCTAAAATGCTTTTTTCTAGAGCACAAGGAAATCAAATTCTGGCCTCTCCTGACACAATTAATGCTTTGTTTGACTTATTTATTGAAAATAATGTGGAGTTTATGAGGGCTCCATACTTGGCTTGGGGACAGCTTGGCTATATGACAGACACCAACCTAGTTCATGGAGTAATGGGAGATGAAGAGTTATTGATGTTCGACATCCCAAGAGTTATTTTATCTATTGATTGGACACAAAAAACATTTCAATATGTAGAAAAACAACAAATACTAACAAGTGAAAGAGTAACAAACAATCAATTTTTGGATGCTGCTTTGCTTTCTGGAAGCTACTTCTTCAAAGGATTTTCAACTCCATCACCTTTCCAAAATAACGTCAAGAAGGAAGAGCGCTTCAAAACAGAAATTGAGAATATTAAGGCAATCGGATCTGCTAAAGCTATTTTCTCTATGAATCACAGAGAGGATCTTTCTATTCCATTTCTTTTAAACAAATATTTGATAATGCATCATCCAGTTTTGGACTTCTTTACAAATACTGTGGTAGTTATGAACAGGGATGAACTTCCAAGAGATTTCGACGAGATTGTAGGCGAGAGATTACCAGACGAGATTTACTTTTTAATTTGCCACGGACTTTTGTCTCCACAATTCGTTGGAAATCTGGTTAATGGCATATTCTATGAACCAAGCCCATTATTTGACTCTGAAGAGTACAAGGAATTTATTGAAGTATGGAAACCAATTTATTCAACATCGCTCAACTATCTTACAAGCGAAATGAGTGATTATTTCAAGCAAAAAGGTGTTGTTCTTATTAGGTATAACAGCTCTGACGAGCACAAATTAAGTGAGATTACCATTGACAGAAAGCCTGTAAATGTTTTTTTAGATGGTCTCCAATTCCAGATTACTGATGCCGCGATTTCCAAACACTTCCAACAACAAAAGCTATCTTACTCAAAGGATTGCACTTCTCTAGGTTTTGCACTAAATTGGAAGCCAACTCCTATGAAAAAAAATCAACCCCAAGAATTCTCGACAGTTAATGAGGTTAAAACGTTCATCCATTTGAAAGTATTGGAATCTTTGACATATATGAAGAAGCCACTACAGGGATCCACTGATTTTTTGACTGCAAAAGGAAAAGCATTAGCAACAGCTAAAATTTATGTAGAGCAAACATTAATTCTTATAGAATTAGCAAAAATGTTAACAAACACATGGAGATATGAAAAGCCATATGCTGTTGAAGAAAAGATTGCCAACGAAGAAGATGTAATTTTAATTACCAGAGTTATGAGTCTAGTTCCATTGACATTTAGACGAACAGGTCTTTCTCAAAGTGGCTGGTCTGGTCCCATCAAGCTAGATCTTGCCATTTTTTACTCTATTGTTAAGTTATTGCAGACAAATATTGCTCATTTGTATGAATCCATTTTGACTGCTGTTTATATGTCACATAACATTGCCTCAGACAGTGTAGCATCTATCATGACCTCGCTGAGAAATTTATCATCCTTCAGCGTTGATTCTAACAACACCATGGGTATTGTAGCTCACGTATTGTTGACCACTCCAATTGAAAAATTAACTCCTACCCTCTTCAAGACGCATTTCCTTTGTTGCCAAACTCCATTCAAAGAGTTTAAGGATAAGGCAATTCCATTCTGGCAACAAAGTATTGGTGTACTCAAAAAGCTTGCAGCTGGCAACAATGAGTACAGAGGGCTTGCACAAAGACTTGATAGAGCAAATGAATTGCTCGAGGAACGATTGAAGCTCGTCTCTCCAATCCTTTCTTCATTAGATTAGGGATGGTTGTTGTTTTGTTAGGGTTTTAATTTTATTATTTTGGGTGGTAGTATTACAACTTTAACCATTCCATTTTTAACATTATGTACACTATTGGGCTTGAATAAAACATAGGAATGAATGTTAAAAACAATACAAGTTATTAAGCTTTCATTACATTCCTAATTTCTTTGCGTTAGCCCACTGATCCTCCAAGGCATCTACTTTGTGATCTTTCATTTGAGGAGCTGCTTCATATATGGCCTGAACAGCACGTCTCTTATAGTCAGAATATTCTCCTTTGAAACCAATATAGGTAATTCTTGTGTTATCACCACCAAAATTTGAAGGGAAAAATAGCGTCAAAGACTGAACATTTGCAAACTTGCTTGTTTTCAGCAAAAAGTCATATGTTCCATCCCCATCGTATGTGAGATCAAGCTCTTGGTCTGCTTTCTTTTGTGAAGCAGTATCAATATCCAACAATTCATTATTCTTGAAAATTTTCACCTTAGAAGGACAAGTTATGGGATCTCCACCGATGATTTGAAAAGATTTAATATTGACTGAAACAGTAAAAGGAACAGTTAATAACAATTCACTATCCACAGCACTTTCTAAATATCCATTTGTTGACTTTCTTTCATTGTATGGCCTAATTATGCTTTGACAAGCATCTTGTTTGTGCTCGTTCATACATCTTACATGAATTTTATCGATATAGGGAAATAAAGTTTGTTGAAAACCTTCCAGTTCATTCTTATCATGAGCTCCATGATCGTGTTCGCAGTGATGATGGTCATCTCCTCCTTGAAAGTCTCCTTGCTGTGCTTCGGAACAACAATTTCCGCAATGGTGATGATGATGGTGATGACCAGACATTTTTTTTATAAATTGAAGATCGCCGTCTTTGTTCCTTATTTGAAGTGCACAATGCTTTGCGTCATCAGTTGTGGGAGGGTCTCCTCAGACTTCAGTTTTTCTCTGCACCATGGAGAAATAAGCATGAAAGTATTCTATAAATTTGTAAGTAAAGTCAGAACTCAGTAATCATCAGTAATACATGTCGACAACGAAAGAGAAAGAGGTGGATTCTGTCAAGTCATGGTAATAACGGAACAAAAAAATAAGCAAAGGGATCAATATCATTAAAAATTCAACTTGTTTACGAATGGCCATCGGAATGATTTCAATTAGCTCACGAAACATGCACAACTTCGGAAGTTGACCTTCCGATCTCAAAAATAGAACAAAGTTAAAAAAGGTCATCATAGTGAAAATATATAAATTCGACTCGATTGGCGCGATGAAGGCTTAATAAGACAAAAAAAAACAACAACGTATTGTGAAAGCTAATAGCTAGACTCGTACTTTGAAACTTGATCCTACCTTGATACTATTACTCTTTGCAAACAACACATTATATAACGACAACAAATGAATCCCGACAAGTTCACCGATAAAACAAATCAAACCATTTCCGACGCTTTTCATCTCGCCAAAGAAAATTCACACATTTATATTTCTCCTCTTCATGTTGCTTGCGTCATTTTCGATCCAGATGATTCTCAATCTCTTGGAAATTTAGTTTGTAAGAAATTAAGCAGCACCAGCGGCGTAGGAGGAACAGCTACCAAGGGAGCCAGTGCCACTCCACTCAATATTGACTGTGCTAAAATTCAAAAAGAACTCAAGTCGAGTATGCAAACTAAAATTGCTTCTCAATCACCACCAGTGCAAGATTTAGCACCCAATAGAAGATTAGTGACAGTACTACAGAATGCCGATACCATCAGAGAACAATTAGGTGACCATTTGTTAGCTGTCGACCATGTATTATTGGCTCTCATGGATGATACTGATGTCAATAGTGCCATTTCTAAAGCTACCGGTAATGCCTTAACTAAAACCGTGCTAAAAGATGTACTTTCTCAGATTAGAGGTGGAAAGAAGGTCGAATCCAAACAAGCAGAATCCGGCTATGATGCATTGAATCGATATGGTTTGGATTTGGTCGAACGAGCACGAGAAGGTAAATTGGATCCAGTGGTTGGAAGAGACAAGGAAATTGCTAGAACCATTCGAATTCTATCGAGAAGAACCAAGAACAATCCAGTCTTGTTAGGTCCTCCTGGTGTTGGTAAAACAGCCATCGTGGAGGGTATCGCAATGAGAATTGCTAAAGGTGACATTCCTCAAAATTTGAAATGCAAACTATTTGCCATAGATTTAGCCTCAATGATTAGTGGCAGTAAATACAGAGGTGAATTAGAAGAACGAGTGAAAGCTCTCTTAAAAGAGGTTGAAGAAAATCACAATGATATCATTCTCTTCATTGACGAAATTCACACCATTGTTGGAGCTGGTGCCACAGGAGAAGGCAGCATGGATATTGCCAACATGATCAAACCCTTATTGGCACGTGGAATGTTGAGATTAATTGGTGCTACCACACTTGGTGAATACAAGAAGTATATTGAAAAGGATGCTGCTTTTGAGCGTCGATTCCAACCTGTATTCGTTGAAGAACCATCTGTGCAAGAAACCATTTCCATATTGAGAGGTTTGAAAGATCGTTATGAAGCTCATCATGGTGTTCGTATTTTGGATGCTGCATTGGTGCAGGCAGCTCGTCTCTCTTCTCGTTACATTTCAGGAAGATTTAATCCAGATAAGAGTATTGATTTGATTGATGAAGCATGTTCCTCCATTCGTGTGCAATTAGATAGCAGACCTGAAGCCATTGATACCTTAGAACGAAGAAAATTACAACTTGAAGTAGAAGCTACTGCCTTAGAAAAGGAAAAGAACTTTGAAGATGAAAAGACCAAACAACGATTAGAAGAAGTCAAACGAGAAATATCCAAAATTGATGAAGAATTGAAACCACTGATTTTAAAGTTTGAAGCTGAACGATCTCTTGTGAATGAATTGAGAGAAAAGAATCAAAAACTTGAGAGATTGAAAGCCAAAATGGTGGATGCAGAGGCACGTTACGATCTCGCTTTGGCTTCTGATTTGAAATATGGTGCCATTCCTGAATTGGAAGAATCCATCAAACAACTCAAGAAACGAATTGAACAACAAGAAGAAGAAGATGTGAAAACTGGAGGTGGAAACAAACTTGTGAGTGATATTGTAGGTCCAGAACAAATCAATGAAGTGGTTTCAAGATGGACTGGAATTCCTGTTGAAAAACTCAATGAAACTGAGAAGGATAAAATCCTTAAACTTGAAGATCGTTTGAAAAAGAGAGTCATTGGTCAAGACGAAGCCATTGCATCTCTCTCTGAAGCTATCATTCGATCGAGAAGTGGATTAAGCGATCCCAATAAGCCCATTGGATCCTTCTTATTCTGTGGTATGACAGGTACTGGTAAAACTCAACTTGCAAAGGCCATTGCCAAAGAATTATTCGATGATGAGAAACACATGATTCGTATTGATATGAGTGAATACATGGAAGAACATTCAGTTTCGAAACTCATTGGAGCTCCTCCAGGTTATGTTGGTTACGATCGCGATTCACAATTGACAGAGCCTGTCCGAAGAAGACCATACACAGTGGTACTATTCGATGAAGTTGAAAAAGCTCATCCACGTGTATTGAATGTTCTTCTTCAGCTACTCGATGAAGGAAGATTAACAGATTCTCAAGGAAGAACAGTGGATTTCAAGAATACTGTGATCATTCTCACCTCCAATATTGGATCTCATCTCTTCCTGAATATGAATGAAAGTAACAGACAACAAGTGAAGAAGCAAGTGATGGATCTCATCAAAAAACACTTCTCACCAGAGTTCTTGAATCGTTTGGATGACATTTTGTTCTTCTCTCCTCTCACTCAAAAACACTTGATGGATGTTGTGAGATTGCAATTGGATAAAATCACAGAAAGACTTCAAGAAAGGGACATTACCATTGATTTGAGAGATTCTGCATGTGAATTAATTGTTAAGGAAGCATATGATCCAAGCTATGGTGCTCGACCAATGCAAAGATATATTCAGAAATTTATTGTGACCGAGTTGAGCAAGTTAATGTTGAAGGGTGAATTGAAAGATGGTAATCATGTCATTGTTCAAGGTGTCGATGGAACATTTAGATTCACCGTATTGCCAGATCGATCTGGTGAGGATGGAGTAAGTAGAAATAAGAAGTCTAAACTGTAAAGATATAATCATGCATGATTTTGTCGACAGAAGCTAAATCGATTTTCACCTTTGAAATAATATGTGTCAAGATGGAAAATAAATGTAGATAGCTTAATTTTCATTTGAACTATTGTTAAGATTTTGTTGTTGACACTTAACAACACCACTGAAAGAGATTGCTCACAAATTCTCATCATCATGTTTATTTTGATTTTTATAATTGATACAACATGTGAATGACATCTTCTCGCAAAATGAAATCATCCACTGCAGTGTTATTAAGAAATCTTGTCGTTTTGTTTTTTGTTAAAATTGTTGTTGTTGGAAAATAGTATTTTGTTGTTTAAAGTAGTAATAGTAATACAAATATTGAAATAATAATTGTTAAGCATATGCACATGTTCCATGCAATATGTGGTATCAATGCATGTATATGCACATGATCATCATTATGCTACATGATGACATGGAATAAATTATAGTATCATATTTTTCTCAAAGTGGAGTTGCTTTCAAAGAATGATGCTGACTCTTAAAGGTAGGACGGTGGTGTCATTGATTCTCACCCATGCTCTCATGGTAGAATCACATAAACCGTTAACCAAGTAGTCGGCGATAACGATGTCTTTAAAGGTGAGTGTTGTCAAAGGTGACATGCAGGTAATTTTAAAGCAAGCCACTGGGTAACACATGTGACGTACATCTGTGACCAGTAGTTCAACACGTGTCTCGTATGACATTGAAAGAAGAGAAGTGGAATTTGATAAAAACAAACTGCATGGAGAGTGTGGATGACCATTCAAAGGAGCCAATATGGATTGTGTTTTGAATATGGTCAGCTCGTGATGATGTTGATCACTGACATGTAAAGCTGAAATTGATTCGGCCAAGTGAGGAATGTGAATCAATCGTGCTTCCATGGAGGAGTGATTGTTGGTAAGCTGTGGTTGTTGGTGAGTGGATGAGGTAGGGAGTAGTGATGGTGTTGTTGTTGTTGTTGTTGGGTTGGAATGAATCATACCTTGATGATCTACAGAAAAAGAATAGTAGGCATTCATTGGATGATACCAAGTCATGATGCTATTAAAAGTGTGTGAGACCTTGTAAAAACAACAATGTTAGAGACTGCCTCTCGTACGCTGTGAAGCAGTTCAACGATTGTTGTTGTTGTGCGTTGTGTTGTAGTTATTGTTTTTTGTTGTGTGTGGTTGTGGCAAGAGAGTGGTTGTTGTTGTTGTTGTTTGTTTCAACTCAGCAATCTCTCTCTCTACACCTCAGGCAGTAAAAGTGAAAAGAAAATCTCGTGATCCGCACCAAATGTATCGTTGTGGTGGTCACTAAAATAAGGAAATAAATGGTGTGCACACGGTAACTAGACGCGTGAGAAAGACCGAACGTGGAAGTCTTCTCTAATTTTGTTTCTGAAATTTGAAAAATTAAGGATGTCAGGGGCACAATGCAAGGTTGTGATATTCAACAGGCAAAATATTGAAGAAGAAGTATTCTGTGTGACACACATGCATGGATATTGGTAACCATGCACATGTGCAGGAACACCTGTTTCGATAATATGGACCACAAAATGTATGGTGTATTTCCTTGACAATGCCTCACGAGTGGTGTATATAGATGTGTGGCCGGCAGTACACTTGTCGTGGCAGTACGAAAGAGGTCTGTTTTGCAATGTTTTTGTCTATCGCTGAAAAAGGAATTGAGCGAAAAGAGATGATCACGTACAATAAAAAAACACTAGAACAAAAGAACTGAGAGAGCACAAGAATCTTCGTATAGATGATGAGATTGAAACCAGTTGGTTGTGAGAGTGAGGATTTTGTTTTTTTGTTCAATTCAAACACAACATTTTCGGGTCCAATTCTGAGTGAAATCTTTCAGCACGGTTAATAGCTCGAGAACAGAATTCCCTTCTCATTTTGTCGATAAATTAGTAAGCCGTGAAGTTATCGGGTAGATGACTGACAACTTGGGATGACAAGAGATCCTTCCTAAATAGCAAATTCGATGATTATGAAAGAAAAAGACAAAAATTTTTGTAATGACATAGCGATAGCGCCAGCATTTCGTCCATCGCAGTAATGGGCAATACTAATTTACACGTTTGCATACAATTTTATTCATTCGAATTTTAATATGGAATTGTGTGTTTGTCATTGCAATTGTTCCAGATGATTCAATTAGATCTGTATGGCCAATAAACACATTGGAAATATGACAAGTACCCCACGTAACACCACCAAGATCCTTAATAATACTTTTGGTTACTACTATTGAAATTGTACTTTAAAATTTCACTCAATGTTTCAAAATGATACTGCTCAGCAATCGATTCCAATAATCGAAGTGTTTCAAATATCTTTTCACTCTTATTTTCTGCTTGTGCTGGAATCCATTTACCAGAACAAGTACAACGTTCCATGACATTATTTGGATTAATTTGTGAACATCGAGAGCATTGCAAATCTTGTAATTGATAACTAATCATTTTGTTTTGTGTGAAATCAATGAGTTTTCCCTCAATGAGATTCTTATCAAAATCACTCGTGCAGTGTTGACATTTGAAACCATGATCGTGTCCTTTTCCTAATTCAAGATCAAAACATGAACTGCAATAAGAACAAATCATATCTGGAAGTTTGAATGAATGTTGAGTTCGTTTGAAAATAGATTCTGGAGAGAATTCTTTCACACCTAATAATTTCAATAAGGATCGTTTCAAAACATTCACTTCATCTCGAATGAATAGATCAATGGAAAGTAAATGACACAGTGCATTGACAAATTCTAATCGAATGTCTTTTCCATTGGTGTTGTTGCTATCCATCACTTGCATGGTTAATTGTTTCAATTGATTACTCATCGTATCCATGAGACTTTCGGAATATTTGGTAGAGAGAAATTCTTGTGCATGCTCTTCTTGACTCTTGTGAAATTCTTCTGGTTTCATGGTGGACATTTTCTCATCGAGAGATCTTCTAAACTTTAAACATTCATACATGTATGTCGATACATAGAAAATTAAATGAGTTTTCACAGCTTGTGGAAGTTCATCAAGAATATCAATTTGAGGATCTGCAACGAGACCAGTTTCAGTTTCTTGATCTTCTTTAAATCCCAAGTAATTTCTTGGATTGTACCATAAAAGATTACTCCACATGTTTTTAACTTCAATATCAATCCATGCAAAGAGTTTTTGTTGTTGAAGACTTGATTTTAGATAATCTGTATAAATGGTTGCTTCATCAATGGTGTTCTTTCCCGTGTCAATCACAACTTTGGTAAAATTGGCATAAATAATTCTACATCCAGATTTCTTTAAATGTGCACATAATTGAAGAAATGCTTTCTTTTGAAGTCTATAAACAAAGGATAGGATTTCTGGATGATACATCTTGGCATGAGAATTGCTACACCATCGATACAAGTTTGCTAAAATCAGATCAGGTACTTGAGGTGACAATGCTTCTTCATTGTGGACATCAGCAAATAATTTAGAAACTAATTGCTTGAATATCTTGAATACTTCAGGAGTTGAAGCAAATTTCGATGCATTCGTGTTTTTCTCATCCAAAGTTTCTTCAATGAAATTACTTTGAAGTATCGCATTGATATCCAAATGGCTCAATTCAAATTCCACACAAACAGAGTGATAACATGCTGAATGGTTAATAAAAGATCCACTTCTAGAATATAATTGTTCATCACTGATGAGAGCTTGCTGTTGAAGAGCATCATTTTCACATCCACCCAAATCAGGTTTGTTGGCCTTACTCAACCACAGCACATAATTTTCTTGAAGAGATCTTCCTAACATGATATCAATAAGGAACATGACAAAGTCATTGGATTCAATATTACCAATTGGAATACCACAATAATTACTGTAGCTGACCATATCTTGATACCACTTTTCAATGGCACAATATCGAATGAACATTTGTTTCACACATTGATTCATCCAATAACCAGAGAGAGCATGTTGATACTTGTTATCTTCATCATTGAAAGGAATGGCAATAATTGGAATTTCAGATAAAATAGGAGCTTGCTCTGCAGCAGTCTTGGTTTGGAATGAGAATGGAGATTGTACCATTAATAAGGAAGAGGCCTTTCTTTCTCGTGTTAAAATGTTATTAATTTCACGAATCACATCATTTCGATTCTTGTAAACATCAAGTTCAAATTCTTCAATTTCTGTAATATTCAATTGTGAATTTGTTTGCAATAATTGATCCAAAACTTCATCAAAGATTCGATCTGGATGAAGACCAACGGTTTGAATCTCAACAGAATGAATCAAAAAGATGTATGCCTTCTTAGTGGCAAATGAAAACAATCCAATAATTCCTCTCACATCTGAGTAACTTTCAAATAAATATAATTTCTGTAAATTACTGATATCATTCAAATAGGAGACACCTCTTGTCTTTTTAGAAATATTTCCATCGATTTGAATCAAATCAGAAACAGACAAGACAGAAGTGGAATCTAATTTGCTTCTCGATTTTGGATCTACCTTACATAATGCACCAATATAAAGTATGGATCTTAACACTGGATCAATTTGAGTTTCATACACTCCTTGAATATCAGGATTAGAAAATTCAGAATACATGCTTTGTAAATTCTTTTGATAAACAACTTCATCAAATTTCTTCTTATAGAGGAATGTTTCTTGTTTGTTAGTCACTGAATTTTCTGATAAAAGACTTGAGAGCATTGGAAGTTTCTTTCTTGGTTCTACATCATACTGTTGTTTCTTATAGAAATTGAGATAAATCACACGTGGTACCTTAATTTTCATCGTTCTCATCTTGCCTCCCACACAAATAAAGAGATTGAGAAGTCCTGGTGTGTCTGTTTCTCTAATTTCAAGAATATGCCATACTAAATCTTTAAGTTGATTGGAATAGAATTGAACAAAGGATGCCATGGTACCATCTCCAAGTGGAGCATTGGTCTCTTCATCATCGCTGGATTCATGTTGTTGTTTCTTCTTCTTGTTTGGTTTTTTCTTTTTTTGTGAAACTTGTTCATCGTCAGACAAGTGGTTTTCATCCAATTTACGTTTCAGAGTCCATCCATCCTCATCGGTGGAGTCTGATGAATCCATAACATCCGAGTTCACATCTTCCATAGTGGAAGAACTTGATTTCAACATGGAGAGAAGAGATCTCTGTTTCGATTGACTATCATTCTCTTTCAATTTCTTCAACAACCAATCTGGATGTTTCACTCTCGGCACTGGATTTTCAATGGCTTGCAATGCAGCAGGAATGGTAATAATCTTTTGAATGGCACTTCCCAATCGTTCAATATAATAATCCCAATCCACAATTTCTTTCAAATCAATTTCTGTGAGTGAATTATCTTTGGTCCATTTTCTCAAGAATGTAAGACAGACAGATTCTTCTTTTTGAAAAACTATTGTTGGAATGACACGTTCTGTCACGCTTGCATTTTCAGGTTTTTTAGCCACAATATAACTACAGACTAATCCCTTATCTCGAACCATTTGTTCTCCAAACAAGTCCACAAGTCTTTTAGCAGCAGTAATTCTTGCTGCTTTTTGATTTCCATATTCTTCAAGCTTTTTGCTCATATTTGAACTTTCTGTAATGTAATCAAAGAGTTGTTTTGTTTCAATTCCTTCACCTTTTGTGTAAAGAATATCAAGCCATCGATTCGCAATTTCTGCAACACAATCATAACATTCTTTGAGAGTTAGACCTTTCAAGAATTGTTCAAAGACTTGAGATTGGAAAATTTTGATCAATTTCAATTCACCTCTTCTCTTAATTTCAAATCCTTTCAATTCGGCCAATGTTCCATCATGATTGAATACTGCATATCTTTTCTTGATAGATTTTCCTTCTTCTTTTGAGGCTGGTAAGATCATGGCACGATAAGGTCCATCCACTTCAAAGAAAATGGAACATTCTGAACGTTTTTCCCATTGTCCAGTCTCGGGATTGAAATTTTGATATTGATTGTTACTAAAATTCTGTGCAACATCTGCATTTAACATTAAACATGGATATGAAATAGTTCTCTTCTTTCCATTCGTTAATTTGAGTGTAAAGTTTTCAGGGAATGAACCAGGAAGCATACACCAAATACCATCAGTATCTAATTCAAGTGAAGTTCCAATATCATCAATTAATTCTCTTGCCATTCTAATAATTTGAGCTCCATTATATGTTACAACACCTGCCATTTCCATAGAATACCATCGAGCTGCTTTTCTCATGACATAGCCATAGAACGAGTTCAAAATACATTTGTGTGCAAGTTGAAGAGAATCATACAGAACGAGCATGACTTTGGCTTTTTCTTCAAACTCTGGATCTTTCATCTTGTCTTTCCATTCTTTTGTTTTATCTTTCAACACATATCTTCGATCACGAAATTCTCTCACAGTGTTCACATAGAATGGATTTTCTCGTTGACAAATAGTGGCATCTTTAACCATACTCTCCTTATTGTATTTCTTTTTGTGAGCTTTTTGACTAATTTCACCGACTCGTTTTCTCAATTCTTCGTTGGTATAATCTGGGTTTTCATTCATGAGTGTATTCTTTGCAATATTAAATTCCGAACGAGTGGCTGTGAAATATTCAGCTCTGAAATGCCATTTCATAATTCTCTTACAATCATTCTCTGGTTTGTTATAAATGCATTGAGCACATGTATCTTCATTGACCATGGCAGAGGGTTGTAATCGATGTGTTAAAATAATATTTGGATACATGGCACCAACGTCCAAGTGGTACAATTTTGGACATTCCATTCTCTCAGGTGTTTCTTTCAACTTGAGTAAGGCATCAATAATTTCTTGTTTCACTTCATCAAAGTTAGCCACTTGATCCACCTCGAGTTGTTGTTCAACTTGAATAGAAAATCGAAGAGCTCGATCCACATTGGCAATCAGTGTTTGATATCGATTTGGATTCAATTTGAAAGAGTGTGGAATATCGGATCGATACACACCGGATTTTAAACCTTCCACACGACCTCCAATATAGGTCTCACTGGCAATCAAGTGTCCCTTATACATTTTCTCTGGATCTGATTGATATCGATTTGGGAAAATAATATTTCCTTTGAATGCTTGAACCATCAATAAAGTTTCACACAAAGTTCCTGAACCCTTTCTCAATACTTCATCTGGAGGCATTGGAATGATATTACACAATGAGAAAATAAAAGGATTGATATACTTCATATATAGATAATAAGTTGAAACAGCATCTGAAACTGAATAGGAAGCTAATTTTTGTGGTTCTGAGGAAGCAAGAGGAAGCATTTCTTCTGGATCTACCTCAATAGGATCGTATTTGAGTTTGGCTCTAGTCACTGCTTTCAATCCATGTGAACCATGAGGTAAATAACTATCTCTAATGACCCAATACAAACAGTCAATGTGAACACCAAAGGAACTACCATATTCTGTGTCCGATCCTAATCTCTTGCTATCTCCTGAGAGTCTGTAATAACCAACGTGTTCTCTCAAATTGAGTGAATATACTTTTGCTCTTTCTTCAATGAAAGGCCAATCAAAGTAGTCACCGTTGTAAGTGACATAGACACAAGGTTTCTCTTCTTGCATGTGTGAAAACCATTTTAACAATAACTCCTTCTCATTTTCAACATTAAATACTTCGAAATAACCTGGAAATTCGTCTTTGGGTGTGTAATCAAAATTTTCAATATCTTCTGATACAATTTCACGATTCACAATTAAGTAACCGTGACCATCAATCATGTAAGATATCATCATAATTCGATCAGATTGAGGATCAGGAAACATGAGAGGAGGTTTGGTAGTTTCAATATCAAATGCACAAACTTTAGGAATGGCTCTTTCTTCAATATCTTGTCGCATTGAGAGTACAACAGTTCCTTCTTCAATAGAAACATCGTACCAATAACCAACTCTCAAATCACTGTCAATGGCACAACGAATGTGATACTTGATATCATATTCTCGAATGTCAATAATTTTATCAACACAATCCATTGTTGAAAGTTTGGCTTTTCTCTTTCTTCGAATTCCTCTTTCATAGTCATCCAAATCATCCAAGAACTCATCTTCAAAATCTTTTTCTTCAAGTAATTCTTCTTCTAGTACTTCAAATGAGTTTTGATTCTTTTTCTTATTCTTTTCAATAATTGGTAATAATTTAGATCTCATTTCCATGAGCTGCTGAACATTCTTGAATTTCAATTTCATAAATTTTGCTTTAATTCCCGAGAGATGGTTCATCTTATTCAAATCTTCCTTCTCAACAATGTCAAGAGAAACCAATGGATCTAAAGATGTCAAATAATTGCTCACTTCAGTAAAAGAGTGATCATCCTTCACAGCGATATAGAAATAGGGTTCAAATACTTTGGTGACAGAAAAATATTCTCCTTCATCACTGATAAAGTACAAAACAACAGCAGAAACATCCAAACTTGATGAATGAATGTTGTCTTCCATTTCTGAACCACCAGTTGCTAATTTTTCAGGTACACTTGTCGATCGAAAGTTCAACAACCATCCAAGTTGTTTGGTGCCTTCTATTGGTGCTCCGAAGAAACGTTTATCAATTTCAATTTCTTCTAACTTTTTTCGTTCTCGAAATTCTTTGAGGTTTTGGAGCTTTTCTTCTTCTTCATCCTTTTCGTTTTGACTGGCATGACTGTCTGCATTCCTCCTCTTGGAATGGCCAGCACTGGGCTTGTTCAAGAGTCTAGGTCGGGAGTTGTTTGTGGATTTGTGTGTGAACATTTTTTTAATTTTAAATGATTCAAATTTTGTTGGGCGGGAAAACAGTCTCTATGGACGAACCGTTGACTTTGCAACGGTTAATTTAGTTTTGGTGCCATATGATTGTGTTGCTTTCAAATTCACCAAGATAATGTTTGAAAATTTAGGTGTATGTATTTGAGAGATGGCGAACTACAGTTGAATGAAAAAACAATAATAATAAATTGGCTCGTGATGAAAACAAATCATCAAAAAAATGTTAAAGAGAGCAGTTTCATCATCAGCTTGCCATCTTCATCATGGTGCAAACAAGAATCCAAGTTTGCTCCTAGCAAACATTTCTTCCAATCAATCCGTTAATTACAATAATTATATTGCTTCCGTACAAAGCAAGAATATGGAAGAAGCCAAAAAGAACACTTTGCTCCTCTATCGTAGGCTTTTGAAAATTTTGCCATGGATGAGAGACGTGTACCATCTTCCTGTGGATGTCCCTGTTTTAAGAAAAAGAATCCACAAGGAATTTGAGTCTTATAAAGGACTAACAGATCTTGATGTGATTGATGCTTTAATTATTCGTGGATATATTGAACGTGAAGAGGCAACCATGCATCACAAACAAAGAGGACACGTCTTGAAATACTTCTACGAAGCTGAAGTCGAAAAGTCTCTTCCTAAATTGCCAGAGTTTAAGAAGATTGTTAAAGAAAAGATTGATACTGACGCACTTATTAATGCTGCCAGACGTAAAAATCTCGGAAAATATATCAAAAACATTGACCAATAATAACAGTTTGGGATTCATAGATTCAATCGCAATAATACAACAGCCATAAATTATGTACGATGCTGCCACAATTTTCATTTTGATGATTTACTGAGGTTTTGTACACATAATATTTATTAGCTCACCATACAGGAGGGTTGTTTTTAAGTAAAGTTGAAAATTCATTTACACTTAGCTCTGCTTAAATCTGTCTTCACATAACTCATACCCTGCTTCCTCATATTCTTCTTTTTTCACAGTGCACTGGTCCAGTTGTCGTTTTTGGTAGAAACTAAAAGCTGAAGCTCCTCTCCAACACAAGGTGATGGGATTTTTGCTTTCCAAAACGGTCACAGACTTGAAGTCTTCTGGACAGAATGGTCTTATTTCTTGAACTAGTCTCTCTTTAAAGTGTTTGAATTTAGTGTTGCCTCCTGTTATCAAAATAGCATCGAATAATATGGACTGTTCTACTGGAGATTTGATATTAGTTAGTATCGTTCTTGCACAAGTCTCTGCAATACCTGCTTGATTGAGACCAATATCAGAGGGATTAAACAAAAGTTCTGGAATAGCAATACGTTCATTATTCAGCGTCAAAATTTGCAACTCAGGGTCTATTGATGTCATATTTGAAGTATCCAGTAAATAACCTGTTTTACTGTGCCTATAATCTGGTAGCACATAAGATTGAAAAAGAGGAGAATCACTAAAGGAAGCAGCATGTAAGTCTTCAAGGAAATTCTTTGATACGTAACACAATCTTTCTTTAACGAGATTCATTAAATATGTTTCTTCCATCATGTCGTAATATCTGGTCGATACGACTTCTTTGAGGTAATTTGTTAATAATTTTCCGCCAATATCAATTCTTTGGATACCAGTTTTCACAGGGAGGGAATTAATAATGGGATAAATATGTGTAAACGAAAATCCAGAATCGACTACTAGAGCACTTTTAGACAATTTCACAGGGTTAGTCGTATCTACTGAGTAAAGAGGTGATTTTTCATCACTAATTTCATTAAGATATCCAAAAAAACTTAGGTATTGACTAGAAAGAGAGGCATATTCTTTAAATCCAAAGTATTCGAAAATTAATTGACAAAGATCTTTTTGTATAGTTTTTGGTGTACATGGCTGGTGAGAAAGAAAGAGTCTTGTTTCGCTTATGGGCAAACTTGAAAAACGTGTTTTAAACAGATAATCCCAAATCATGGCTTGTGTTTCACAATCCACAACATATCCTCGTTCAATTGGTCTTCTGAATAACAAAGATGCAAAACATTCACAATCACTTTCAAGCTGATCCCCAATGAACACAGAACCACTTGTGGATGATGATGCTTTTTGTTTGGCAATCGTGTTCGGAATGATGAGAGGACGCTTGAGTTCACTAGCTTGATCTAAAACATCATTCAAAGAATTGGGAGCCAACCCAATCTTGATTGTATCTCCTCCATTGTCCATGATGAGCGTTTGAGCTGACGATGAGGTTGAAATGTAGTCTTGTTGCAGTACCCCTTGACTTGTCATTTTTTGTGGTTGTGCTGCATGAGGGCTTGGGTCATCCCTTGCATTGGACACAATTCTAAACGACAATGATTGTTATCAAGAACTAATTTCCTTGATCAAGGTTTTGCAATTATACCTCATGAGTAAAATAAAGATTCCGGAAGAAACAGCTCTTCAAAGAACCATCATTCATCACATCCTCCCATCAAAAAATAACCCGCTTTTCTCTCAGAGCATCATCATCCCATCCGCACATCGCACTCGCAAATAATTCCAACAACTGTTATTGAGAGAAACAGATCAAAATCTTATGAACATAGTTTTTTAAAAAGCCTTTTATTCAACAGTTTTTAAAATCATCATCATCCAACAGTGATTTGGTCCTCGAACATCACAACAAGGAAGATGGGATCAAGTAATGGCAAAATTATTAGTAGTATGACAGGAGAGATTTTCAATGGAGAAGAGCATGATGCAACACAAAATAATACAACTCCACCATCATCGTCCTTTACTCCTACAAATCCTTTGTCGGCCACAACAAGTCGAAGACGAACAACCATAACAACATTTGATAAAGACGCTAACCGAGTGTCTATTGTATCCATCCGATATGACAAATCACCTATTGCAGTTGGGGAGGATAGATCAGTTCTTTCCTCTGAAAATTATGATCTTTCAATGGCAAGAATATTCTCGTTTTTGGATATTACTTCACTTCTCATGTGTGCAAGGTAAGAATATTGACTTTTAACATCAATTGAATACCAAATCATTTTCAGTGCGTGTAAACGATTTCGTGATTTGGAAATCAAATATCAAGATGTTCTTTGGCAAAATTTGTACAAATTTCACAAAACAAACATGATGTACTTTTGCACCAATCCGTCACAAGCTCTTCAAATGATGGAAGAGACAAAGAAAAAACATCAACAGAATGAACGACAACCAGAACGAAACGAACTGGGGTTGATTGTTAATGATCCTATTTTGTTGGAGTTAAAAAAGGATATCAAAAATTGGAAAGACGAATGTCTTAATTATTGTAAGTGAAGATTCTTCAATTGAAATAGTTTTAATATCAAACATCTTTTTAGACTTTGTGAAAAGGAAGTTTATTTCGTCCAAGCAAGAGTATTTTTTAATTTCGAAATTACATGACCTTGTACACCACACAGAACCTCTTGCTAGACGAAAATCTCTATTAGGTCAGCAATTTTCAATTACAGAATCTCCTAGAGAATCTTTACTGGTACCAAGAACTAGCGAAAGCAGTGACAGCAGTGATGATTTTAAGTTGGATGAAAACATTGATGATGACTTTTTGAAGAAAAAGAGCCTTGAATTTATGATGTACAACAATAATATCAAAAACAAGATTGATGAAAACGAAGAGGATGAAAAACCTTTCACCAATTTAGCAGAAATTGATAACGCTAACTTAAATAGGTGGAAAGAAGCAGAATCTGACTCAGATGATGACAATTGGATTGAAGATGAGAAAGAAAAAGAAGAAGAAAAAACGGAACTCGATCTAAAAAGCCCAAATCAAATTCTGCAAGAAAAAATTGGAATATCTAATGACAGTGAAGACAGTGTGACAACACCTCCTCAGCTCAGACCAGATGTTCATCCACCTAGCTCCATAAAACATTTTGAAGAAACGTCAGATGACGAAGATTGGTTCAAAGATGAAGAAGAGGAAACGGAAAATAATTCATTAATTGAGCCAATAGTTAAAAAAGGAGAACGAGCGTCTCAAATTGAGAGTCAAACAAAATTGCATGTCAAGAATGATGTTTCAGTGTTAGACAATAATGACATCAAAATTGAAATATCCTCCGACTCTGATCCAAAGTCATCAAAGAAAAACAAAGAATCCAATCATGTAAAGCTGAAACTTCCATCTTTTGACGAAGATGTCAGCGATGATGAAACTCTTTTGAAAAAAGATGCTTCAGTTTCGGAAATTAATTTATCATTTGCACACGATCTTGACTCAGAAGGACCCAGATCATTTTCATCAAAGCTGAAGACAGACAGTTTCATTCAAGATCCCTTCGATGAGGACTCAACAAAAGGCTCTCAGAAGTCCAAATCGCCATTGAATATTCCTAAACTATCAGCGAATGATGATGAGTCTGATCCCTGGTACTCTGATGAAGAGGCAAGTCCAAAGAAACCCATTTTCAATCTGGAATCAGATACTGTTGAAGGCTTGGGAGTAAAAAAAATTGATGAAACAGATTCAGATTCAGACGATTGGTACAGCGAAAGTGAAGATGACAAGAAAAGTAACTTTACTTTGGGAATGCTTAAAGACTCTGATGACTCTCCAAAAGAGTCTCCTCCCTCTAAAATAGGGTTAGGCTCTAATGTACCTGCCTTCACTGGAAACCAAACAGATACAGCGCGAAGGATAAAGGAAGCTGAGAATTTAACTCTGGATGAGCTTATTACTGATCTCACCGATGTGACCAAGTTGAAAGAAACCTATTTAAATTTGTCTAACGCTGAAACTCAGCAATTTTATAGTAAGCTCCTATCATTCCATCAACGAACTCAAGCACTTTTTGATAACACGCCATTTGAAGATACCATGCCTGATTCAATGGTAAGTATTTGCATCCATGAATGGAATTCAGTTTCATATTATTCAACTCTTTCATAATAATATTCACAGATGATGCCTAGTGACTGGCCCACAACTTTATCATTTTTCCAACAAAAGAAAGGTCAAGGTATTGTCATCAAACTGGTCTATATCGAAGACACCCAAACTCCCTATCCGGCAAAACTTTGTAATCCAGTTCTTAAATTTTTTGGCTCCAAATCTCGAGACATGAAAAATGTTTGCTCTGCATTAATTGTTGGACCGTTTCTGTTGCAATGGAACAAAACTCATTCTCTAATAATTCCCAGAAAGCTTGTTTCTGACTCTTATTTATATCAAACGAGAACACATCGTATTGCAGAAATATTTAATGTATCATTAGACTCCATAATCGATAGTATTGCAAAAGTGATTGTGGAATGGAACCTTACGAAGCTTTATCACGACCAGCTTCAGAACTGTCAACATTTTGTTGAAAGAATTATTGATGTATTGGGAATTAAGAAAGTCTTAGAATGTGAAAGAATAGGAAAGACCATATGTAAGTTTATCATTTATTTTCTGAATTTTGTAGATGTAAACTTTTCAAAGTTAATTACAATACGATGTTACAACGAGAAGGAAAAGGCACAATCGAATTCAATTTTTCAGAGCAAGTTAAACAAGACAAATTGTATGCTTTTCTTGAAAAGAAATATGGAACGAGCAAGATTTGTTTCGAAACGCATCAACAACTGGATGAATTTATGAGATCAGTTATTTCAGAAGATCCAAATTTTACCATAACACATCATCAAGATTACTCGTTATTAGTATTTTTTGATCAACTTTTCTGGGCCAAACATAATTTACTTTCTTCTGAGGAAAGATACAAGCCATTCAGTGACGAAAAAACAACCGTTCTTTGTCCATTTGGATCATTATTGTTTGGAACAACAAAATAACTCCATTGGTCAGCAAATCGCGTTTTAACACTTTTACGAGGATTGTTGTTCACACACATCCTCAATTAAAATTTTAATCGATAAAAGTCGAAAATTTGTTTGAAGTGGAAAAAAAAATTCAAAACATGCCAAACACTAGCAAAGCAGCCAAGAAAAACAAAGCCTTCGCTCAACTGCGAAAGGGAAACAAGCAACAACAACAACAATCGGAGACAGAAATACATGAAGAACCAATCATTGATGCCGATACTTTTCAGTCGGAAACTGATAAATTTCAATCCAAAAAGATTGCAGACCTCAGAAAAAAGGCTGGTCTTTTGGAAAAGGATAAAGACAGATATGTGATCCAGCCACTCATCAATGAACATGAAAATTCCTACGAGGATGATGATGAAGATGAACAAGCAGACTCTGCACCTATTGACAAGAAGCTCGTCAAACAAACAGTAGATAAAGTAACTAAAAAACAAAAAGACGAAAGCGATGATGAGGACGATGATGAAATTACAACCCTCTCAAAGACTTCAACAACAACAACCAATTCATCCGATGATGACTCGGAGAATGATGAGCGATACAAAGGAGCATTCAGTGATGATGAAGAGTCCGATGAAGATGTTATGAAATTAAAGAAGAAGGCTTTAATGAGCACGAGTAACAATCGATGGAAAAGGAGCGAGTTCTTTGAGGGACAAGCTCAACTCTCTCAAAAGACTCATACTAATAGAGAAAGAAAACAATACGAAGAAGAGGAGGAAGAAGTCAAGAGAATTCAAGAAGAACGTGCCAAGAGACTTTCAGCCACTGATTACTTGGATGACTTTATGCTTGATAAGCAACTTTCTACTCCATCATCTAAAAAGAAAGAAACTAAAGTATCATCAGGAGGAATGTCGTTGGAAGAAAAGTTATCAATCATACAGAAAGATGCTCCAGAGTTTATGGAGTTACTTGTGGAGTTGAAAAATAAGCTTTCCACTGTTAAGGATCAATTGCATCCTTTAATGTCTAAAGTCATGATGGGTAATTTAGCAACAAGTGAAGGATTGAGCTATTTGGAAACAAAATATCACTTGATTTTGAGCTATTGTACAAATATTTTGTTTTACATGCTTTTGAAATCAAGTGGAAAATCTGTGAAGGATCATCCTGTCATTGATCAATTAGTTGAACTTCGATTACTGTTAGAAAAGATAAAACCAATTGATGAAAGAATGAAGTATCAAATTGACAAACTTGTCAAAATGGCAAATGATATTCAAGACGCAACAATGACGTATGAATTCAAAGCCAATCCAGACAGACTTATGAAAGATGATGAAGAGTCTGAACACCAAGGCGGAGATGATGAAGATGAAATGGCAGAAAGTGACGAAGATTATTTGGAAAAAACGAGAGGCTCCTCAAGAAAGTTAAAAACATCTCTCGATGAATCTGAGAGTGAAATGGATGAATCTGAAAACGAAGGTGACGCTTATGTTGCTCCAAAGATGATGGCTATCAGATATGATGATGGAGACGAAAGAAAAGCTGAGAAAACAAGAAAGAAGGCAATGGAAAGAATCGAAAAGGGTAAATTATTGAAGGAACTCAAAGCAGAGTTTGGAGATGCTCCAGAAGAACGAGAATCTGTCGGTACTGAAAATAGAAGCAAGTATTTGGCTCAAATTGAGGAAGCAGAACTTGATGCTCGTCACCGATTGTTGCTCACTAAAAAAGACAAGAAGAAAATTGCTGAAGAATTGAAAATCAAAAATCCACTTGCAGAAATGGACTCCTTCCATGAATTTACTGCACTTCAAAGATATGCCAAGTCAAAGCAAGCCACTAGCAGCAAATTAGCATTGGCTCAATACATTGGAGATGCAGATGAGGCCTTAAAGGCTCTCGAAAAATCAAAAGCTGGTCCAATAGATGAAGATGGATTGAATGAAGAAGAAAAAGCCATGTTGGAGAGTGGCGCTCTAACATATGCTTCTGACTCTGATTTTGATGACGAGGAAGAAGAGGACTATGAAGAAGAAGATTCTAAAAAGAGAAAGAGAAGAGGATTTGATAAGAACAGCAGCAAGAAAACGAAGAGAGATTTGGAGGACGAAACCTTAGAAGATGACGGAAGAGACGACCAAGGAAAACGAAAGGCTGACAACACCATTCTGAAAAACAGAGGTATTGCTGCCCACAAGAAAGTCGAACAAAGAAATCCAAGGCTAAGACTGAAGAACAAGTTCAACAGTAAGACTGGTGGATATAGATTCGGCAAATTAAAATCAGAAAAAGGTTACAGTGGAGAAAAGAAGATTCAAGCAAACACTGTGCGGTCAAGAAAAATCAAATCGTAATTTATAAACGAGTGAAGAACACTATTGATAAGTCTTCATCAAATGTTCCCACATGTCCAATAATTGATCAAGGGTCATGGAATTTAGCAATGTTCCATCACGTTTTCGAACACTGACAGTCTTTTCGTTCATTTCCTTCTCCCCAAGAACCAAGATAAAATTATATTGAAGTAATTGAGCTTCTCTAATTTTCTTTTTCATGGTTTTGTCTGAAACATCCAAATCGACATAGTAATTGGAATACACGCCACGTTGCTCAGCTCTCGAGAAAATTTCCTCTTTGACTTGATTGCAATATTGAACAAGTTCTTCCTTGTCAGAAGCAACAGGACAGATAAAACATTGTCTTGGATTGAGCCAAAATGGCCATTTTCCTCCCAAATGTTCGGTCAATAGTGCAATAAATCTCTCAATGCTTCCAAGTATGGCTCTGTGAATGATCACAGGAGTATGTAATTGATCATTGTCACCTTGGTATTTCAAATTGAATCGAATAGGAAGTTGAAAATCCAATTGAATGGTAGCACATTGATGTAATCGTTGTAAGCTATCTTCGATTTGAATGTCTATTTTAGGTCCATAGAATGCACCATCACCCTCGTTGAGCCTCCAGTTGTAACCCTTGAGACATTCTTTAAGAGCTTCTTCTGCCTTATTCCATTTTTCAATATCACCAACAAATTTCTGTGGTCTTGTGGACAAATTAAACTTCAAATTAAAACCAAATATGTCGCTATAAACAAATTTCACAAACTCCAAACAATTTTCAATTTCACCTTTCACATGTTCAGGAGCACAAAATATATGTGAATCATCTTGATGGAATCTTCTGACCCGAGTTAAGCCAGTCAAAGATCCTCGCGGTTCATTTCTGTGAAGAGGACTAAAATCAGCAAGTCTTAAAGGCAACTCCTTGTACGATCTTGTCTTACTGTCAAACATTAAGCAGTGAGCAGGACAGTTCATTGGTTTGATTCCAATTGTCTCCTCTTTGTGTTGACTTGATGTGCCTTCAATTACTGTAAACATATCTTCTTTGTAATGTTCCCAATGTCCAGATGTGATCCATAGCTCTTTTTGGAACATTTGAGGAGTGATGACCTCGTCATATCCTCTTTTTTTGTATTGCTTTCTAATGAATTCAACGAGCTTGTTAAACATTCTTGTTCCATGCGGTAAAAAGAATGGTGTACCTGGGCTTGTCTCATGGAAAAAGAATAAATCTTGTTTCTTAGCAATTAATCTGTGATCTCTTTTCAGAGCTTCTTCAATGTTATTCTGCCATTCTTCTAATTGTTTAGACTTGGGGAACGAAATTCCATACACACGCTGTAATAATGGTTGCGTCTCATCTCCCTTCCAGTAAGCTCCGCTTAGCTTGGTGAGTTTGAAGGCTTTAATGAACGAGGTATTTGGCAAATGTGGACCTCTACACAAGTCTACCAAGTCTCCGCATTTGTAGAGAGTAACAGGGTCATTATCTGGAATTTTGTCAATAATATCCAATTTAAAAGGATTGTATTTGAAAATCTCTCTTGCAATTGCTTTGTTGATGCGCAATCTCTGAAATGGATGCTTTTCTTTCACAACGTCGTGCATGTACTTTTCAAGCTCCTCAAGTTGCTCGTTTGCAATTCTCTGATTATTTTCAATGTATCCTTCATAGAAAAATCCTCCATTTAACAATTGTTGAGCACCATTGGTATCTTTGGAAATTAATGCAGGACCATCACAGAGCTTCAAAGAGTTTCCAAATTTTTTCTCTAAAGCACAACCAAGTATATGTGCAGATGAATGCCAAAACACTTCCTTTCCTTCTGTATCTTCAAATGTGAAATATCGAATAGTTTTGTTGGGTTCCTTGATGGTTTCATTAATTTCATGAAACGTGGTGTTTAGATCCGTAATTTGGCCATTCACTTTACAAACAACAAATTCATTAACTTCGTTCTTAAAGAATAACTCGGACGCAAGCTGAAGTGGAGTCTTTTTGAGGAAATCTTCGTCAATGGTAACAGTGATCGTTTTAACTTTATCACCAAATTCAAGATTTACATTTTCATTTCTGCCAATAGAATCGGGTTTAAATGTTTGTACTTGTTGATTTTTCACCAACTCGGACCAGTGCTGCAATCGCTCTTCAAAAGCATAATTTAAATAACATGTTGAAAACCTTCTTAAATGTTTGGAGCCCATTAACGAGGAAGAGGAGATGACAACACAATTGCCCATCATTTTCATCCCGATATTATGATTCTTCGCAGCCAAGCCTCTTTCAAGGAGGTGAGAACATCTCATCATCAAGCTATTTTTCATTTTTTTCATAACTTAAAAAATGGCTTTGTGGGTGTTGATCAAGATTATTGTGTTGTTGGTGAACGCTGTTGCCGTGTTGAATGAAGAACGATTCCTGAGGAGGAGTATGTTTTAATTTGATGAGGATTTTGAAAATCAATTTTTTATGATTTTTTTTAATAATCGGAATCAATTAGTCGGATTTGGTTACAGACCTGAAGTCGTAGCAGAAGAGAGCTTGAAAGCACGAACTATTAATTTATTACACGCAGTCAGAACGTTATTGAGAAGTAAGTTGATACATTGATATAGTAACAATTTGACTCTTGGCCAACAGTTCCCTTGATATTTATTAATGCATTCGTTATTGTACTTTTGGTCTTGTTTGGATAAGTGTAAATGAGTCAACAACAACTAAATTTTAATAGTCTTCATCAAAGAAATCGAAATTCTTCTCCTTTGTAGATTCATTGTCAGTGAACAAGTCATTATCAAAATCAATAGAAAATATTGGCTCAGGCACAACACGTGGCTGGTGACGTGGAAAATACAAATGTAATGAAGGGAATTTAACACGTGTACTACTTACCTCAGATTTACGTTTTTCAGCAACCTTAATATCTTCAACATTTCCACTTTGTAATTTTTCAGATAACGATTGAATGGTACTGTCCAACTCTTCGATCGATTTTTGATATTGCTGTTGCAATGTTTGCAGCCTGGAGGCCACCTCTTCTTTTTTGTTGAAAAGGGTTTGTTTTTCCTTTTCATACTTTAGTGGATTAATTAATTGCATTAATGCTGTCAGCAATAACTTACCACATCTTGATACTTTTTAGACACCTCTTGCTGATAGTTTTCGATCTCCTTGAGAGCTTGCAGCTTTAACTCTTCAATGGATTGGTGAAGATCAAAATCTTCCATCAATCCAACCTCTTGTGATAGTTTTTGCATCTGTACACTATGGTCACCAGTTTTTAACGTACGGCTGAACAGATACTTACCATACTTTGTTTCTCGTTAATCGTATCCTTAATATTTCTTTCGGCATTTTGCATTTCTAAAATCTCTTTTTCTAGATTATTAACGTATGTTTGAAGATTGTTGTTGTCTTCTCTAAGTGTTGCCAACTTGATCTCATCGCTCTTAACTAGCTGCTCTTGAGCTTTCTTTTCTTCCTGCTTCCTTTCGCACTCTTGTCTAATGGTTGCGATTGTCAATTCTTCCTTAGATATCATTTCAGATAGCTTTCTTTCTTCGTTAGCCGCTTTTTCAAGTTGCAGGTTCAATTCTTCTATGATTTGTTTTTCCTTGTCCAAACTTTGCTCAGACTCAAGTTCCAATGAATATATTTCTGAATTTAGCTTCTGCAGAGTGTGATGATACTCTTCAATTTCTGCTCTAACCAATTTTGATTGCTGTCTTTCATCTTCAAGACGTTGGTTTAGCTGGTTTCTTAATTGAACATGCTCTTCAATATCGCTAGTCATCTGTTCCATGTCGCGAAGGCATGTCGTTCTGACCTCTTCCAACTCTTTATGAGCCTTGTCCAAAGATTCACGCTCGCAACAAAGCTCCGTCAACGCTTCTTTCAGTTCTTTGAGATACTTTTCCTTCATCTGTAGCTTTTGAGCAAGCGAGGATATCTTTGTTGTGTCCAGCTCGTTATTAATGTCATCACCCGCTTTAATTTTAAACTTTTCTATAGCGTCTTTAAATCTGAAAGCTTCATATCCATCTTTATGTTGTCTAAAATCGTTGATCTCTCGCTCAAGATCTCCCTATTAACAGCTGTTACTAAAAAGATCAAGAACATGTAGTACATACAATGTCATTTTCGATTTGTTTTCTTTGCATTCTCACGCTCTCAATACAATTTTCTAAAGACTCAACGGTACTAACAGATTTTCGCTCAGTCATGGTAAGCTCTTCCAGCTGTCCGCTACAAGAGTTGATCAGCTCTGAAAGACGACTGACTTTTTCTTGCTCTAAGGTAATTTGACTTCTTCGTTGTCTAGTCCTCTCTATAGTTTCTTTGACATTGGCTAGAACGGTCTGCAACACCTCTTGTTTCTCTTTAATTTCATTCTCCAATTCAAATCTCTTCTTCTCTCTTTCATTGTGTTGGGCCATTACTGGGTCAATTAATGGTGAATACAGGTGAGCACATAACATACAATCCAATACGTACCTTTAGCGAGGTGAACCTCTTGGTTTTGATTTTCATTTTGGAGAAGCTGCGCTTGATCAACATACTCCTCATAACGCTGCTGATCTCCAGATATTCTTTGCCTCAAGCCTTCAACGGCTTCCTTCATCATGATCGACTTCTCTTCCACTTCTGACAATAAACCTTTCACTCCTTGTAATTCCTGATCAAGGGAGTCGCATTTGGATTTGAGTTTAGCTAGTCTAGCAATTTCTGATTGGCTCACTGCTTCCCATTTGACTTTAGTTTTTGAGAGATCGGATACCAGATCTTCAACGGCTTTAAGACTAGTTTGACTCTTTTGAAGGAGCTTGGACTGAAATTATAGAAAGGGGTTAGTTGATGAGTTAAGGAGACATCCGTTCTCTACATACCTTAGCCTCAATATTTTGCTTGTTTTGGCTCCTTGCGTTTAATAACTTTTCAACCGAGTTCTTCAACAAATCATACTTTGATCTTGCTTTCAAAGATTCTTTGCTCATCTGCAAGTCTCTCTTTTGCTGGGTAGTACCACTCTCAGCGTTTATGCTTTGAAACTTGGCTGTTTTAAAGGAGAACGCTTGCTTTTGCATTTTTTTGATTCGGTCAACCACAGAATGACTAGCCTTAGTGATCAACTTAACAATTTATTTGTCCTTCCTGCAGAAGAAATTTCGGGCATGGTCATTGTGTCAGCCTTCATGAGCGAGAGAGACCAACAAAATTGCAATGAATCATACCGTCATCCACCTTCCAAGAAGTATTTACAGTTCTCGTTCTTCAGCTACAAAATAATTATACATTTTCCATGTCTCCATTATTTTGTTTTGTTCGGTTGATTATTGAAGAAGAGATTGGATTTGTTTCAGATGATTGCACAGAGGAACTTGTAGAACCTCCAAATGACGTAGTCTTTGATGAAAATATTCGAAGAAAGTTTCTCCTTCGCAGAATTAAAAAGAGACCAATGGCTAACAACAACCCAATAATAATAAAAAAACTATATGAAATGACATGTCCGTATTCGTGTGATTTGTTTTGAATTATTTTAACGGCATTAGCGAGTGATGGTGGGTTGTTGTTGCCCTGAACGATCACTGGTCCCTTTGCTCCTCCTCAGCCCATTTTTTTTGATTTTTGAAATATCTATCGATTACTAAAGTTCTTCACATCAATAATGAAAGGTTGTGTGATAAACATCTAAAATACTGCCTATCGTTTTTACTTTTTCTTTACTTTCTGTTCAGTTGGACTGGACAAACCAAAGTAGGCCAAGCCAATGACTGTCAATGAAATAGCCATTAAAACAAGGATGAATACTTTAAATTTCTTAGAATTTGCTTTCTTTGTTTCCTTTCCAGAAATAATATCCAAACACCAATCATGGAATTCTCTCGTCCTGTCAACCAGCTCTCTGTCTTTACATCCAGCTCTGTGATACCATTCTTCCAGAGAGCACCTATAATGTAACCAGTGCGATAAAGGGTTAGTCTCAAATTTCTTTGATACAACTTGATATTGTGCTCTGGCAATTATTGGTTTTGTTAACTCATTTCTTTGATAAAGATCATTTGGGCCACTTTGACCAATTGCGTTCAACTCTAGTTGATATATATTTTCATTTGGGCGATTAGGTTCGTCCATAATCACAAGAAAAGTGTCTCTGTATATACTTTCGATTTCATTGTCTGGTAATTTGTGTTCGAATGCATTCAATTCCGATAATCCAAAATTAATAGACATTCTTCTAATGACTTGATACATATTTTCTAATCTTGAATATAATTCATTCTTAAATAAAACAACTTGGAGCATTGTGTTGCTGTGGTTTTCTCCTTCATCGGCAATAAAAGTATTTTGAGATTGAGCCTTAAATATAGAGGGATATCTTTTTGATAGCACATCAAAGTAACACTCGTTCACTACATGAGAAATTGAGCCCCATTTGAGAAACATTTCATCTTCGGAAGAGCTTGGCATTTGCCTAATACTAGAAAATAACCTATGTTCGTAAACTCTCTTTTCTACTTCATCTAGAATACTTTTCAAGTCTTCTGTACTGAATTCAGGAATAGCTGGAGCTGTGTATTGTGTATTTCTATTCGAAAGTTGGGAATGAAATTCCCTCATCATATCGATGTTAACACTCGTTATTTGTGTATTGTTTTTGATGAAGTTATTTATAGTGATTACTCTTCTTCCGATAGTATGTTGTTGCCTTGGAAAACCATTGGCATGGATTAACGAAGCAACTTTTTCACGACAACCCAAAGCGTAACGTTTCACTGCTTTCATTTTTTTTTAATAATCGAAAAATTGAATTAATTTTGGATTTGATAACAGCAAAAAATGTCTGAAGCAGCAGCCTTCACTCAAGAGGACTTGAATCAGGAACCATATGTCTACGCAAGTGCCATCAACTTTTTTGATATTCTTTCTATCGTAGCACTTATTTACATTACATTCCGAATTCTAAGATGGATAATCAACTCTGTATCTTCGCCTCTCCATAAAAAGTATTGTCATGATAACACTATTGAAAAACGAATGATGAGAGAACATGCGAAAGGAGTTCTCCCTATTTTACCTCGTTTTGAATTTATTAAATCAACTAATAATGAAAGTATCATGAAGAAGCATTTAAAGAAAATATTTATTAACAATAATGACCCAAATGCGCAAGAAGAATGGCAGGAAGGAATTGAAGTTGAATATATTTGTAAAATTGCTGGAAAGCATCATGGAGAGAGAGTTACTTTTGAAAATAATCTTCATTCTTATGAATCCAATTCTCCTTTATTTTCCGATGAACAACTAACACACGACACTTCTTCTACGACTAACTTATTGGAACATATTCATGACATTTATTATGTTATTCCTGGAAATCCTGGTAATTGTTTGATATATCACAACTTTATGGAAGAAATTTGTAAAAAATTAGAAAATAGAAACTCTAATTCTCTTCACTTGGTGGTTGCAGTGAGTTTAAGAGGTCATTCCTATTACTATCCAAGTAGATGGTGGAAAAATGAGAAAATAAGTCATACGAGTCATTCCACTACATCGAGATCACTCTATGATCAACTCGAAGTGTACAACTTGGAGGATCAAATTGACTACCATTTGACTGTCATTCAACAATTACACAAACAAATGTTAAAGAAACTCTCCAAGAACCGTTCACAACCAACTTTGAAAATTCATCTTTTAGGTCATAGTGTTGGGTGCTACATTATTTCTCGAGTTTTGGAAAGAATGCACCTTTTGAATTTATCTGAATTTTATTCCAAGTGTATTGGAAATATTTTCTTTTATTATCCAACGTTGCAAAACATGCATAAGGAAACTCCAAATGGTCAATCCATGTTGCAATACTTCATTCAACCTCACATTAGAAAACATTTATGCAACTTGTTACACAACATTGCATCTCCACTCCTACCAAGTTTTATTATTAGACTGTTGAGAAGCTCACAACCCATTCTAGTTCCTTTTGCTCCTTATTATTTTGATAGCATGAGAATTATTAAGAATGTCACCACATTGGCATGTCATGAATTTAATGAAATTTTACATTCATTTGGAGTATTGTCCAATAAGGAAAATGAAATGAACACATTTAAACAAGTGCTTAGAGATAAAAAGCACAATATTTATGCAATCTTCAGGTAAGCTATGAATGTCAATGTACTGCTTGTCAATGGCATGATCCTTATAATAGCACTTCAGATTTATGGGTCCCTAGAAAACACCTTCTTTCATTCCTGGAGCACGTATTTGATATTTGCTTTGAGAAAACACATGACATGTTGCTTAACCCTTCAATAATGAATGATCAAGATTTTTGTAAGCATGTGAACGAATACATGATTCAATCCAAGAATGTGAACCAAGGTCAATTGAATATCAACACCACTACCAAACATGCCTATGTCATTCATCATGAAGATTTACACGAGACTTCAGAGCTTATCTTGAAAGCATCAACATTGTTTGCTCAGCCACAAGAGAGGAACATTTGAGTTCAGGCCAGTAATGGAGATGAATAAATTTATTCAATGCCATTTGCCCAAAAAGAAAGGACTCTACTTTTCGGTTAAATGCCATTCAACGAATTTGGGGCACCTTCAGTACTGACACACAGATGTTCACACATTCAAAGATAGTTAGTTCTCAAACCACCAAGCTTGAATAACATTTTCAAACCTTCCAAATCATGTTGTAAAGCTTTGGATGGAATCATTTCACGTTTCATTTGAAGGAGAGTTTCTTGGTGTCTGGTGGAGAGTTTGGTGCTGGATTCATTCGAAGAACGATTTCCTTCCTTCTTGATACAAAACAAAAACGAAACACCAAAAGTTGTGAATAGTTCACATCCATCGCTTGGCAAGCTCTTCATGGCATGTAAGATTTGATCTTTAAAGAAGGCTGCTTTGAGAGAGTTCGCATAGTCTTGGGTAAATAATTCCTCTTGTTCCTCTTCGTGGAAATGGGAAAGAAGGTGCATGGTCTTTTCAGAGCGAACATGAAGAAAATCCAACAGATACAGAGAGCCATCTTCTTGTTCATAGTCATCATTATCAGATCAACATGTGCCACCCAATAAAAGATTCAATAACTTACCTTTCTTCAATACTTGAGAAATGTTGGCAAAACACTTTTGTAACGCCTTCTCATCAGGTAAATGATGTAAAGCATTGGTACACATCACAACATCAAAACTAGCTTGCTTGAAACGAGTCAATTCATCTTGGGACGTGGTATCTCCATGTTGCTCCAAAAAGTCAGTCATATCTCCCTTCACAAGCTTTACATTCTTCAAATTCATCTCATCAATCTCTGCTTGAGCATGTTGCAACATATTCTCACTAAGATCAAAACCAATAAATTCACTTTCAGGGTGCATGGAAGCAATCATACAGAGCACAGCACCAGAACCACAACCCAAGTCCAATACAGTCATTCCTGGTTGGATGAGGTTTGCAACTTGAGCACAACAGAACAGGTAGACGGGTGTCATGACTCGTTTACATGATTCCATGTAGGATTTCACTTGTTGAGAGTCGTTCATCACTAATTCAGGTTCTGGAATTCTTTCTTGAACTCTAGTGGTTGGAGTACTTGCTTCATACACAAGTGCTTTTACAAAGCGAGTGAGCTTTCACGGTTATATCGAGGAATGTGTTTAAGCAAGGGTGTACTTACAGTCATAATGTTAATTTCTTTTTATTTGCAATTGAGCACAAGAAGATTATTTTCAAAACCTTAAGTGTTGGTATCAAATACGTAGCATAATTGATTAACAGCAGGAGAACCTAGTGTACTCAACCTTTCAAAGATGATCGCTGGATCAACTCTCCTTTTTAATGAAATGGCATTTTACGGATTTGGATACATGTTTCATCAACACTCAAGTGATCACCTCCCTGTGTGAACTATCCAACAAAAATGGTTGCCGTTCAGATTTTTGGTCACACGAATTTTTATTAGTGGATGCTTGTGCACATGTTCAGTATGTCATCCCCTGTTTGAAACGATCACTTGAGGGTTAATCAAATTTTGGTTTCTTTGTTTGAGGTTGGGTGTCAGTAGGAGGCTGATCCGTTTGATCCGAAGATGATGTCACTGAGGCGGTTGATGATGATTTTACCGATTGATGAATGGTATTTCTTTTTCCTGGGCCCCAATTCTCCTCTGGGTTGGGTAAAAAGGTAGCAATACCAGTGTATTTTCTTGTAGTGAGCGCTTTTTCATTGACACTAAAATTGATGGTATGTTGTTGTGGCTTTTCTAGAATAACTTGACCTGGAGTCTTTTTAGCGTCTTCCTTATGTGGTTTCACTGGATTTGTTTTGATCCATTCTTTCATGACATCATAAATAAAACTAATGGGAGCATCTGTTTTGAGAGCATTGGGTTTGGCATGTGATTGAGAAACTCTAAATCCTGCATTAATTAAGGCAGATTTGACCGATGTCATTGGAGGGTTCATACACTTCAAAACACTTGAAATATGATCGACAGCATGATAGAGTGGAGCGTCTGGTAATTCGGACTTGGCCACTGTTAACAATCCAATAATTCTCTTATGAGTACTAAATAACTGAGTATTCTTTTGAACATGATCCAAGCACTTGGTAATGAACTCGGAATCATGTAATGGACCTAGCCACATCGGACCTGATAATTTAAGTCTCCATCCACACTCAGGACATTGTTCCTTTGGAATTGTTTCTGCTCTCGTGCCATGTTCATGGAATTGTTTACTATTGGCACTTGATCGTCCACCAAAAGTCTCTGTATAAAATGCTTCACAACCAGAGCAAACAAAAACATTTCCCATTTCCTTATAAATATTCTTCACTTTTTCTGATGAAGAATAAACTCTCAAAAATACTCGAACATAAAAATCAACACTCAATGAGAGAACAGGTACTACGTATCTCTTATATCTAGACGCACTATTTTGAACGGATGAAATTAACATTCTCAAACCTTGTTCATGACATGCTTTCAATTTTTGTGGGTAAGAACCATATTTTGCAAAACATGTTCCTGGTTGTTGACCACATAATACCGCCATGTCAGTACAAGTAATACACAATAGTCCACCGTTTCCATCCACACATTGAACAGCGCCATCAATAAATGGTGCAGCCGATCCATATGGGTCCAAGTCAACAACATCAAAGGCTTTTCCAGAATTGGATGCCATATATGCAATCGCGTCGCCTTGATTGGCTGTAACACAATTTTCAGAAATATCATTAAACTCAACATTTCTCTTGATGACTTGCACTGCTTCCGGTAGCAGGTCATTGGCAATAATTTGTTTTACATCTGGAATTTCGTGCCAATATCGAATGGATCTCAAACCAGTTGCAGATAAGGCTTCTAAAATTTTCAATCCTTCATATGTCTTTAAATTGTCGGAAGATGTATCCATTTCATCTTCATTCTTTTTTCTTCTTCTACTAGAAGGCTTTAATTTTTCCTCTTTTCTTGTTTCATTGAACATTTTAATCACCAACGTGGAAACATCTCTATTGAATACCTGAACCTTGTTATAGAACGCTTCGGTATCATTGGCATAGAGTACAGTGGCTGTTCCTTCGTTGATGCATTGATAACCGCTTGGAATGCTCTTAATGTTCGAAATGTTGTGATGAGTACCACTTGGATAATATTTTCCATCAATCAGTTCCAATTGAGTTGATGATGGAAGTGTTGTGGAGGTATTGTTGTTAGTAGCATCGGAAGACGATGATGATACAGAAACGTCTTGGTTCATTTTTTTTTGTAATAAATCACACTGAAAACTTTTGAATTCAAAATTGCACTTGTTGTTGTTTGGCCGAATAGTGAAGTAAATTTGTTTGTTCAATAACGAGGCTTGCTTGGATTTAATTAATGATGAAGATAATAAAAGTAAACGGTGTGTTCTTGAGAGCATGGCATTTTTTGCTGAGTGAAAAAGTGGACTTGTTAGATTGGTGTGAATTTCGTTTATCAACTACAACAAAACATAATCATGCATGATGGGGATTTTGATCTATCCACAGAAGCAAAGGGCTTGCCATTTGAATTTCACTCAAATTTTCAATGACAAATTTCGCAAGATAAAAAATGACCACGGCTTCGTCCTCACTCGTTGCTGCTGCCACACTGGCCGGAATCACTTTCTTCGGATTGATTTTCTTCAAAGAAACTCTACTTTCCTCTGACAAAGGAAAGGTTTTCGTCGGATTTTTGTGCAGCTTGATTTACATGTTTATTCTCACAGCTTACGGAAATCTCAAATCAAATATTAAATGGTATGATATGGCGTTGTGCTTGATCCCAGCAGAGATTTTCGCATCAACCCTTCATGGAGTTTGTGTTACGACGTGCTTTTTGTTCTCTATGGCAATCAGTTACGAAATGTATAAGGTTGCTCAACACGTTTATGGCGGAGAAGCCGAAAGCTCTGTTCCTGTATCATCGCCATTTGACAAGAAGAGAAAATGATCCGAATGATGCATCATTCAAGAAATGTTGAAGCAATTCAAAGAAATACGAATCATAAATTTTCATTCAAAAATTAATATCATGACCTAGAGGAGCAAGTCCATGATACACGTGTAAGCCTTAACGGCTCGCTCGACATTGCTTTTGTTATTGGTCGTAATTTTACTTGCTTGGCGGGCTCAAATTGAACCAAATTCAAGGTAAAAAATTGTTTGATCTATCTCTGCTATGGTTCATGCCTGCCATCAATGATACTGAGAAGGAACGCGATCATGGGTCGGAAGATGAGTCCGTTGATCTTTGGAGGCTGAAATCAAAGCAAGATGAACCTCTTCATGTTACGAACAGAATACATTCTCATTTATCAAAATCTCCTTCTCCGTCTGGCATTACCATGCAAATACCACCCCAACATCGTCGATGGGTTTCTGCTTCAAAATCTCCTTCTCCTCTTCCTCGGATCAGCCCTTCACTGCCTCCCGTTTCAAACTCGTCTCAGCATCAAACAAGTAGTAACCGTAATAGTAGGCCCACTTCGCCTTTAAGTGCTGGTACGGCACACGACTCTCTGCGTAATCATGTTCCTCAGGGAAGAAAAACTTTTACTAGCCACTCTCTATCTCCAATTCCTCAAACCAAAGTATCACCTCCTGAAATTGGAGTATTTGGATCTCATCTGACAAGTCAAGTGGACAAGGGCGTTGAACGAACTTTGCTAATTCCCAATGACGCAAAAACCAAAATTTATTCTCTTAACACCTTAATAGGAGATCATGAATTGAAAACTCCATCTCCAACACATCAACTCTCTAAAGGTGTTAACGATAGCATACAGGCCTCACTGGAAATGCAACTTGCTAAAAAACCCTCCAAACCTCTCCAAAGTAAGGTCACAACTTTGAACATTTCACCTCATGCCCAAGATGAAATCTCACCATTTATTCCCAAACCTAAAAAGACCCTGTCTCCTTCAATATTCCAGTTAAACGACAAAATTTTTGACCAACCTAAACCTCCTCCAGTTTCCAATCCTTCTACTCTTACAAACAAGCTCATTAGAAAGCAACAACAAAACGAGAAAAAGAAAAAGAAAACGCTTGTGGCGAAAGCTGTCTCAGATAATGAGACAAAGCATGAATATTCACAAATAATATCTAATGTGATAGGTAGATCGTATTTGACGGATGAAGAATTGGGAACTACCAACATCTTCAAAATTTTAAGTCTTGCGGGGAAGGATGAGGAAGATTTGTTTCAAAGCATCGAAGCCAACAAGTATTTTTCTGGGTTGGAATTACAGGATATTTTACATACGATCAAGTTGGAAGCTCCAAAAGAATTTACTCTTTGGGATCTTCAACGAAAGAGAAGATTAGAAAAGCAAAAAGAAGCACAAATGTTGGAAGAGAAAAAGAGGTTAGAAGAAGAAAAACGACAAAAACAACTTATGGAAGAGTATATGGAGGAGGAAGCATTAGAAAATGATGGTCCCAAACTTGATACTGATCTTGATATTAACGTGGTTTCGTTACTTACTTCAAACCCCATTCCTCGAAATGCCATCTTAAAGACATTCGAAGGAGTGGAGAGAAAAAAACAATTTGTGCAAAGAATGGAAGAATTTCATTCTCATTCCAGCAAAAATTATGAAAAAACTAAAAGAAACGAGAATGGTGTCTTTTTTGATTATGGAAAAGAGCGATTACTCTTCTCAATAATTGATTCAGAAATGAAACTCAAACGAAGCAAAAGTGACTCTAACCTGTTGAGTACTAGAAATACAGAGCTTAATTTATACCATCACACCAAAAGAGAAAATACAACTCAAGATGACAGTGTTGTGAAGGAATCTATATCCAAACTCAAGTCTTCAAAACATAAGGAAATATTGCTCAAGTCTTTCCAACAACTCTTAACTCTCAAAAAACCAAGACTGAAAAGAAACAAATCAGACTCAGATCTGATTAATTTATTTTGTGAAGAAATTATTGATGAACCTAATCAGCAACTATTTCATTCTGAACGACCCCAAGACGCTGAAACTTCCGATGCAGAGCTAGTTTCTTTAACCAACACTTCTCTTCTCACTATTCAAGACGCTGCTTATTCATTTTCATCGAGGCTGAATAGTTTTTCAAATCACAACCAAACTACCATCACATCTGTACTATTTCCTCATCTCTCAAAAGAAGATCAGCACGATTTAACGGAACAGCAGGTGAAAAAAGCCTTAGAGAGTTTTTATGAAAGTTTAAAGAAAAAGGCGTCAGAATTAACAACACAAACAGCCTTAGAAGATCAGACAAAGGAGAATACGCAACGATACTCGAACCACCTAAATGTTCAGTCACACGGGTTGGCAGCTTGTTTTGATGATGATCCTCTTAAAAAGCTTATTTTACAACGAAAAAAGGAAAGCGGTGTGAAAATGAAAGTGACACGGTTTTTGGAAAGTGATCACGTTGTTGAAAGAGAAGAAATCGATTTCATTCAGGAAAATATAAGGCAACTAAGGTTAAAAGCACAACAGATGAAGCAAAAAAAGAAATATATTGACAGGCAACCGATTTTCGAGAACACAGAGACAGACACAAGTCACACAGCCGTTGCTCAAATCAAAATCCTCGATTTTAATCCTGAAACACCAAGCACTGCAGCATGTAAACCATCTCCAAGAACCAACCTTCTAAGCTCCCATTCAGCAAGAAAGCAACTTTTGTCAAATGTTCAACCTCTTGGTTTGGTGGGTATTCCATCCAGAAGCGCAATAATCCAGCGACAAGGGTCTCAACCTTCATTTTCCATGTCCATAACTTCCATTTCCACACCTCGTCTTTCCGAAAAGCATCAAAACAGCAAAAAACCTTTCACTGCACCAAACATTAAACGAAAAACATTCGGGTTTTGAATTAGTTCAAAATTGGAATCTCTTTTTTACAGTTTTACTTCGCAAACATTACATTGATTCAATTAAGTTCAATATATTCATTTGGTCAGAATGCATTTCCTCTTGGTTGTGTTCGTTTTCGTGATCTTGTTGACTCTCTTCAAGTTCTAACTCGTCATCATCTTCATTATCTTGATCATAGCCATCTTCTTCGAATAGATTTGGTCCAGTTGATGTAATGCTATCAACTTCCAAGTTGAATCTACACAAGTGGTGATCTGTTTGTTTGAGAGTGATAGTAATGGAGTCACTTCCATTCAAGCAGCTTGCAAGAACGGTAGAAGCTTCTGAAAGTACCTTTTCCTCATCCTGTTGTTTTGAGTGTAAGATAATGCTAAAATTATCTGAAGGTAGATCAAATAAAAAGCTCTTATAGAATGGTTGATAATCGTTAATCAATTGCTTAACAACTTCTGGCCAAGTTTTGTCATCTTTCACCACGACATCTTTCTCATCACTGGAATTGTTATCGATATACAAGCGGACTCTAAAACCAATGTCATGGACAACATTTGAAGACTCGTTCATATTCAAAGTTTCAGTCATTTGTGTTAAATTTGTTGTTCCTTGACTTTCCAAATTGTCCTTATTGTCATAAAATAGATCATCATAATACCCACTCACTTCATTGTTCAAATGATCTTGCTTTTGTTTCTTATTCTTATGTGGAGCATTGTTGGTTGGTTGAGGATAGAGTAGATTATAAGTTTCAGAATCAAGGCTATCAAAATAGAGCTCAGTATCACTAAGACATCTTTTTTGTGAAGTGTTTCCATGATCATCCGATGACGAATTGTAATCCACATTCGAATTGTAATATTCAATTTCCTCAAGGCTTAAAAATTCATCAGTTTCAAAACCACTAGATTCGACTTGTTGTGTTAATTCTTGAGAAGGTTGTACCATAGATTCTGAATTATTAGTTGTATTCTTCTTCTTTTTCTTCTTCTTTGTGGTCTGTCCAATTGGTCCATTATAAAATGCGCTAAAATTCATGTAAGGCATTCCATAAGGAGTTTGATAAGGTGAAATGGGTTGCAATGGAGTATTAAACTTGTAAGCAGCAAGAGGATAGGTTGGTAATTTAGAGGTATGAGCTCCATAAAAGAGTGGACTATAAGAAGATGGCAAGGCAGAAATATTTGGAGGAGGAGGAAGTTGAATACTACTGCTGCTAGTAGCAGAAGGTGTCTTGTGCTGAGTGGAAGGACTATTCGTCGAACCAATCGTTGCACTAGGAGATGTCAAAGAGTTGCTCGTTGTTGTACCTTGAGAGGTCATTTGGTTGCTCATATTCGTAGTATTCATATGATTCGTAGTAGTAGCAGTTGTAGTAGTAGTAGCAGTAGTAGCAGTTGTTGTAGTAATACCATTCGTAGTTGCTGTTGTTGCTATACTTGGTGTAAATAATGAACCTGAAGTGGTTGCTGCTGCAGAGGAATACATGCTTGCATAAAGAGGATGGAAAGAATGCATCAATCCTGAAGCATGATGAGGTGTGAACATGGTGCTTGTTGGAGGAGCAGAACTCACTCTCGATGGAGGTGATAACAAGGCATCTCTGTTCACGGAAGGTGAAAGTAACATGTTGGAATGTGTTGAGGGTGAAATGGTTGTAGAGGATGAAGGAGAGGTCATCATACTACTATTCGTACTCCCATTCGTATACTGTGAACTCGTTTGACTATTGGTAGTCATCTCTTGAAGATTATTCATCATGGCTGAAAAAGGTGCAAATGTAACTACGGGTGTATTCGAAGTATTCTTCTTAATGTAGGCTGACTTTCGTTGTTCATTCAATAAATCATTATTGGATGATGATGATATGGGTGTATGAGTCGAGTGAGAAGAAGGAGAAGAGTGTGTTGTGCTTGGAGGTGGTGTTACCTTCATCGGTGAAGGAAATGAACCACTCGAAGCACTCTTCGTTAATCCTCCACTACTACTTTGCGGAGTATGATGATGGGTAGTGGATGATGAAATTGAAGAATTTGGTGATGAACCCAAAGAAGAGGTGGAAGATATCGATTCTGGAGAGGTATAGTTGTTGTTCGTGCTGTTATTGTTGTTCGTGCCAATGCCATGGGTAGTTGTCGAGGTACCACTATTACTGCTCATACTCGTTGGCAATGATGAGGCTAAAGCATTTGGTTGTTCCTCACTCATATACTTTTCATGAAGTCGTTCAACAATTTCAGCCTTGTTTCCATGCAATGTACATCCCTTCTTTCGAAGCTCTTCTTTCAACTCAATAAGCTTGAATTTCATGAGAGCCTTCTTGCCACAACTCCGCCAAACCTTTTTCATCATTTCGCCATTCGCATTGGTAAAGGAGGTCAAATTCGAGGCATGATGAGGAGGAGAGGTTGAAGGAGTAAAAGTTCTATTCATGGCACTGGGATCATGTTGTTGTTGTTGCAGCTTTTTGAAGGTCGTGTTATGATTATGATTCATTTTGAATATTAATGATATTGATGGAAAGAGTGCGTGATGATGTCTAACTACTACTACTAGTACGTATGCAGACCGGTATCACCAATGGTGTGTTTGCAAGTCAGGTAGGTGAGAGTGTGCACACTCCAATGGAGAGTGGTCGAGAGGATGATTTGAAATTATTAACGAGTTCTTGGAGATGATTGGTTTCTCTCCAACGTTGGTATTGATAATTTGCTATAGACGGGATGAGCACTTGTTGTTGTCGGTTCGGTAATATTTGTTGGGAATGGAGTTTGAATTGCCAATCCACCACAACAGCTGTTGATTGTGTGTTTCGGGTTTGTGTTGTTGAATTTTGAGAAGGAAGGTTTAATAATTTTTTTGAACACACGAGTGATGAAAGCAGACCTTCTTGTGGCAATGAAAGCTTCTATTAATAAATGAAGCTTCGAACAATAAACGGTCGCTTCAATGTACGAATATGGAAATTGTTGGAAAATTAAAGAAGGATTTGAATCATACTTCTTTTCAAACTACAATGAGAATTGAACCAAAGCTTAATTCAAAGTTGCCTCAAACGTAATTCCAATAAAACAGCAAAAACCCTAATGAAGAAGTGACCTTCTTCTAAAAAAGAGCCTTATTCGACGACTGTATCAAAACTCACGTTGGAATTATAAATCATCTTGACAAGTTTCACTTGCGTTAAATAGAAGTGTCCTTATGTACCATAGGACATTCATCAGATAGGTAAGGTTAATCTACAAATTGCGTTCAGAACAGGTCTGTGTGATGCAAAGAATTTGGTATCATCATGAATCGAGTGAAAAGAAGGTACCAAATACATCAACGTTTTGACAAGAAACAAAAGATGCAAAATTTTGGTTTTGACAAAATTGAATTTTGAGTGGAATGGAGAAAATAAAACGAATGCATTCGCACATTGAGAATTTTCAGTTCTTTCATCATCAGTTCATGTACTCATCTTGAAAACGATGACATCTTCTTAGACAAAATATAAAACAATAAAAACCTATTCATGTAAAAAGTTGAAGAGAAAAAAATGCCAAAATTCAATCGTAAGCGAACAGGGCCGTTGTCTGCGGAGGAAAAGAAGACAATTGCGAAATCGGCCACAAGCATCAATTTGAACAACAATCCCTTTGAAAATATCCAACAACAACGAAAGAAACAAATTTTAGGTACAAGTACATCCCAAGTTCGTCATACCAGCAAAGCCCGATCCAATGACATCAACATTAGAAAGGATACTCTGTTGAAGGATTTTTGGAAACAACAAAAACCATCCAATCAATTTGTGGATAAGAGACAATTAGCCTTTGAAAAAACTCTTTCCAAAGTCGATAAAAAGAGAAAAAAATTTCAAATCGGAGAAGATGATGATGAGGGTACGATGAATGAAGGAAAAAAAACCAAACTTTCTTCGTTTTCATCGTTGGGTGATATTGATGAGGCTATTGATAGAGACTTGTTCAGAGACGACTATCAAGCAGATGATATTGATTCCAAATTTAGTACTAATGATGAAGTATCTGTATTGAGAAATTTAAAGGGAATTGCAAGAGGTGAAGCTTCTTCAACATTTACTCAAGATGACCAAATGGAAAGAAAATTATCGAAACGAGAGAGAATGAATTTGAGAATTAGAGGATTCAAAGAAAAGAAATTAGAGCAAAAGATGGAAAAAGAAGAGAATTTAGAAATGATTCAATTATTAGACAGTGATATGGATGATTTAATGAAACATTTAAATGTTACTTCAAATAACAAGACTAAGGAACACTCTGAGACTTCTTCTAATAAGGGAATGTCAAATTTAGATTATGATAATTTTATGGAAATGATTAAGAAGGGAGAGGATATTGATTTGAATGAATTATTGTCTAAAAAGAATTTAAAATCTAATTCCTTACCAATGAAAGAGACCAGTGAAGAAGTGAATCATGACAATTCTGACAGCGATGATGATAAGGTAGAAGAAGAGAATGAAAATGACGAAGAAGATGAAATTGATCTAGAAAAGACTGTTGAAGAGGACGATGACGACTCAAACGTGGATGAGTCCTATCTTAAGGATAGTTTTATTGATGATAACAATGATTCAAACATGAATGAAGAAGGTGAGGATCATGAAAATACTATTGAAGAAGATGAAAAGTCCATTGAGGAAGATGAAGAAGTTGAAAATACCATTGTTGATGAAGAAGATGAAAATATCATTGATGAAGAAGAAGACAATGAACAAGATTCTACTCACGAACAAGAATCTTCCTCTCTCGACGATTCTCATCAAACTCTATTAGAAGCATCTGATGAAGATTTACAATCTCTCAATGAATTATTCAAAAAGAGTATCTCTCATCCAGATGTATTCTCTCAACTTGTGCAAAACAATTCCAAAGATGAAAATGAGAAACTCTTCTCTACTCTTGTGACCTTTATGGTGAAACAATTTGGATTTAGTGAATGGCTCAATAACGATTCAACCGTCGTAAATTTCAAACAGAATATTCTAGACAATACTCTGAATACTCTATTCATGTTAACTACGAAATTACCAAATATTGCTCATGACGTATTTCATACATTTTTATTAGAACTCTTTAACAAGTATCAAGACCAGACACTTCCTAATTTAGGAGAATTACTGGTATTGAAAATGATTACTCGAGTGTATCCTCTCAGAGAGAGAATTGATAGTCCACTACTTTCACTTACCAATTTATTGATTCATCTCTATTTGGAAAAGTCATCGAAATTTATTGATCCATTATTGCCCATCACCACTCGCACTGTGTTGTTTTTGGTGAGTCTTGCAATCATTATTGATTGTGAATGTACCTTTTATTCTCCAGATGTTGTGAATACTCTCCAATTGGTGTTCATGAATCATTCCAATAAGGATATTAATAGCAGTAGTAGTAGTAGTAATAATGGAAAGAAGAAGAAGAGGCTCAACACATCTTTGAATCAATCTCAACAACATGCTTCTAAAAATTTATTTAGATCTCTCTTTGAAGAAACCTGTCAAAGTGAAATCTTCTCAGATTTGAATGAATCATGGGCTCGACATTTATTATCCATCTATAGCAATCATTTAGCTACAGATTTTACAAAATCCATCATTTCCAATGAACATTACAAGACTCTAATTACCAGTAGTGAGGGAATCAAAACAACTCACAGAGATCATATTGAGAATTATAATATCATCTTTGAGGGTTTTTCGAAATTGATAACATCTTCTCCTCCTCCTCAGCAACAACAACAACAACAACAACCTCTCATTACACCCGTTCCCAATGAAATCAAAACTCATCTCAATTACAAAACCAAACGTCCAAAACCCATTGTTGAATTTGAACCATTCTTTGGTCATCATGACTCTTCAAATATTGACTCTGCAAAGAGTAAATACACATTCGCAGGAACAGATCCACAACAAACCAAATTAAAAACACTTCGAAAGAAGATTTCAAGAGAGAAGCGAAAGGCCATGTCAGAGTTGAGAAAGGATAATCAATTCCTAAGATCAGCACGTGAACAAATTGCAAGTGAAGAGGCATTCCAAAGAAAAGAAAAGTACAAGGAAGTATTGGATAGTTTGAGACGTGAACGATTGGAACAAAATCAAATCGATCGAAAGAATAAGGAAATTGATAAGATGAAAAAGGATATGAGAATTAATAGAAAGAATGTTGGAAGAATGAGTGCTGCAGTGAATGGAGGAAAGAATGATTCCAAAAAGAAGTAAAATGTTTCAACACAACAGAACCTAATAATTATTTGGTGTTGGGTAATCCTTGTTTGAAAAAACTTATAAAAAAAATGAAAAGTCAAGAACCATCATCTTCGTCTTCTTCGGAATTGATACCTCTGCATCAACAAAATTCGCCATCATCAACATCTACAAGTAAACAATCCATACTCGGAGATCTTCCTGTATTTAATGCAAAGAATTTTTCTAAACCGAATCCGAGATCGCATCTCAACCCTCCTAAATTATTATATACTCATTCAAAACCAAAACAAATCGTTACCACAGATAGGACATCTCTATTGCAACGACATTTTGAAAAGTTACATTTATCAGCTAACACAAATAATACTGGTGGTGGTCAACCATCGCCCAGTGTTGGCTCGAGTAGTAGCAACAGTGGACTTTCAAAAAGAAATGCAACAGACTCGAGCATGTCAACAACGCCATATGACAGACCAACGAAAACTCTTAAATATAATTAATCCATCCATGGTTGTTGACAGAAATACATGATTATTGCTGTTAAATGTTGTGGTGGCACACAAATACGTACTTGTCAATGATGATGAAACGATTGGTGATCTCCTGTTTCGAGCTACTATATTTACTGTTATTCAATCAAAAATCTTGTGTAAATCAAAACTCTCCAAAATTTATTGTGAAAACTACAAATTACTTCTTTTTCAAAACTTCAGTCATTTCAGGAACAACTTGGAATAAATCTCCAACCACTCCATAATCAGCCACTTGGAAGATTGGCGCCTCCTTATCCTTATTGATGGCCACAATGACTTTACTATCTTTCATACCAGCCAAGTGTTGAATAGCACCACTCACACCAACAGCAACGTACAACTCTGGTGCCACAACTTTACCAGTTTGACCCACTTGCATATCATTTGGAACATAACCATCATCAACAGCTGCACGAGTAGCACCAACAGCGCAATTACCCATGGTATCTGCCAAATCATAGAGAAGTTTGAAATTATCACCATTCTTGAGACCACGACCACCAGAAACAATACGTTGAGCTTGTAAGAGATCAGGTCTCTTTGAAGCACCACTACCACTTCCATCAGCACCACTACTTGAACTCAATAATTTTGGAATTCTTGCATTGTTGGTTGAAGTAGCACTTGAACTAAATTCAACTACTTGTGAAGCATCTGTTTTGGAATAATCCTTATCAAAGGATGTTGGACGAATGGTCAAGATCAATGGTTTTGTTTCTTTTGGTTTGAATTGAATTTGTGCCATCGCATTACCAGCATAGATTGGTTTTATGAATTCATATTCATTTAAAATCTGAACCACATCCACAATGGGTTGTGATTTCAAGGATGCACCCAATTTAGGAAGAACATTCTTACCAAACACTGTGTGTGGAGCGAGGATGTGAGAAATTCCATCCGTCTTCTTCTCATTTAAAAATTTCAATAGAGCTTGTTCGTATTCTTCAGCAACGGTATACTCTTCGTTGATATGAATCACCTTGTTGAAATATTGAGACAATTCCTTGACAAGTGATGCATTCTTTGTAACAATAAAACCTAACAATTGGTCAGATTTTAATTGTTTAGCAGCCTTCAGTGCACTGAACACGGAAGGATTAATTTGTTTTTCATCATGTTCAACAAGGAGAAGAGTACTCTTATCACGGAATTGATTTGAGAATAGTGATAGATTATTTGATGATGATGAGAATAAATTAAAAGAGGAGGTTGTCTTTTTGAAGAGTGGTCCGAGCGTGTTGTTGCGAAGAGAAGAGATTCTCGAGGAGAGCATTTTTTTTTGGTGTAAACTGAATGGCAAGGCTCATACGGTGATGTGAGGATGATGTTGGTGATTTCAACAAAACACAAACTAACATAAGATCCATATAATTTCTGCACATACACATCCACCTTCCGACACTTGGTCAAAAATCATGATATATATCATTCATCTCCAAGAGTCGCGCCAAAAAGAATCATGCACAGTTCAACAACCCAAAGTGTTCGAGCCTCGTATCGTCGATCGTTTGTGGTGTCATCATCACACAACAACAAAATGAAAAAAATGTCATTCTCAACAACAACCTCCTATTCTGGTGGTGTTACAGCAACCAATAGTAGCAGTAGCACGTCCACCACCACCACCACCTCCCAACAACAACAACCAACTCATAAAAATCACCATTTCAACACATCCGGATTTACCACATCCATTCCTTCTCATCAAAATAACAAAATTCCATCTTCGACATTACCCTCAACACCTCCTCATCATCTTCGCAATTTCCTTCTTTGCTATCTGTTATTTAATGTATTTTTAAAATACTATTACATTTATCCTCATCATGAATATAATATGAATATATTAGTACTACAATGTACTTTTATATTTCAGAAATATTTGAGAAATTATTATCATAATTCCATTGAGGATGTTATACAACAAAACAAAAGTACAATGATATTATCTAATGGTCATGGCGGAGGAGGAGGAGGATCCATCATGTCTTCCACGACTAGTACCTTTCAAAAATCAAACAATTCGAGTATTAATAATAATACCAACAACACATCATTGTCGAGTAGTAATAGTAGTAATAGTCATAATAATAGTAATAATAATAATCATAATACCAACAATATAACCAACACAACATCACTTCCACCTTCTAGTCCTCATCACTCACCACATTCCATAGGAAATTCTTCAACTCTTTCAAATCAATCTCTCATTTACAAATGTATTGCTATTTTACATTTTTTAATGACTTTGATTAGCATCTATTATTCGATATTCTACATCTTGTTTCAATATGGAATATTTCATTTCATACTCTATTTTTTACCGAATATCATATATTACACCATTTATTTGAAAATTCATCGGAGTAATTCATCATCCAATGATTCCAAACAAATTAACACAAAAATGAATAGCAAAATGTTTTTATTAATATTTATTAACATGGTTTTGTTACCATCTATTGAAACTACTTATTATATTTGGATTTATCCATTATTATTTTTACCACCAATATCTGAACATCAAATTACATCCACATTACATATTGGAAATATCATCAACACTCAATATATATTATTTTTAATATTACATTGTGTGAACATGTTGGTGTTGCATTGTTGGATCTATTTGGATATTCACATACATTACATTTATTCTCATATGAAATTAATTGGATGTTGGAAGAAGGAACATCGATCAAAGGATAAATTATTGAGTAGTGCTAGTAATAGTAGTGGTAATAGTAGTAATAGTAGTGGTGGTAGTAGTGCTAGTAGTAGTGGTAGTAATAGTGGTAGTAATAGTGGTAATAGTGCTAGTGGTCATCATCCAATGAATGGAACTAGTACAACGAGTATTGAAACATGGAGAACGGAAAAGTCGTATTCCTGTAATCAATTGGTTCATTTTAATAATTCAATATTTCGATCTCTTGGAAAGAAATTTAATAGAAATAGACCTGATAACACCTATGATTTGATTTTATATATAGTGTTTTATCCATTCAAATATCTATTTTATAATATTAATATTTACAGTTACGTGCTCTTGATCTTATTGGGTCTCTCAACACTAATGCTAATTTCAATCTTTGCTTACTATTCTCTCTTCTCTTATTCAAATCAATACTTGATTTACTTTGTATTGCTGTTATGGAATTATTACTTGCTTTCAAAGAGTATTGACAAGACAGTACAATGCAATAAACATTTGATCATTAGGAATGATTAAACGAAACGTATTTCTTTTATGAGAAAGCGAGTAGTGGACTTGGTTGAACATGTTATTATTGAATTCATGTTTTATGAGTGAGCTAGTAGTTGTAGACTTGCTTTTATATGACTAGATTGAAAAATGTTCATTCATCATTTGATAAAAACTACGCAAAAAAAAACATTGAATCCACCTCAAATCATTCGACTCACAGCCAACAAAATCACACCAATCAATGCAAATGCCAATGAACATGAGAGAATGATTAAATTTCTCAAACCAGTAATTTCTCTAAATACACAAACATTCCAAAAAGTGGAAACTAAACTTGGTCCAATAGCAACCAATGGATAACCCACAGTGAAACCCAAGAATGAAGAAGCGTATAATAAACCAAGTGTAGCAATACCCCACATGACACCACAAATCATACTTGGTAAAATCATATTAGGCCATATTTGTGGTGTATTCTTTTTGAAAAGAATATAAATAATAAATACTGCCGAGTTCAATAAATAAATTCCACTTAAATGAGAGAATGCAAAATCAATTGGATTGGGTGCCTTATTGTGAATATAAGTTTCACGTTGAACCCATAATTTGAATGGAGTCAAGTTCACTGCATACAAACATCCTGAAAGGATTGCCAATACAATACCCACAATTCTTAAAAAGATTTTGTTATCTTTAAGAGCAATTAATTTGAGGACAGTGGGATGAGATAGAATTCGTGATGATTTCAAATTATTTCTAGTAGTAGTAGTCACTTGATTGATGGATGTTTCATCTTGTTCATTTTGATTCATAGTTCTATTAGAATTACCTAATAGTGAAGTATTTTCATTTTCCATGGTAGTAGTAGATCCATAGGTTGTTTGTTGTTTTTCTTGTTTTTCTTCTTCATGTTTTTCTTCATCGTGTCCATGTTGTTCTAGAGACGACATTCCTTCAAGATGATCACTCACTGATTCTTTTTCAGAATGACTCTTTTCCATCTTTTCATTCTTCTCTGCAGGTGGTTTAATGAAAAAGAATAACAATAAACTCACAATTCCACCCACCAATCCAAAGATATTCATCACATTTCCTCCAACACTTTCAATCACTTCTCTTTCAACACCAAATAATCCAATTTTACCAACAAGATATCCACCAATCAAATTGGAACCACTCCATAATAAAAAACCCAATCCCAATCCAACAGTTTTAATAATTGGTACCACACATAAATTACCAATACCCCAAATAGTACCACCAATAAGACCACTTGCATCAAAATATAATCGATTTTGAGTGGTAATGGCCAATGATAAAAATCCAACAAAGAAAATACCATTGGACATGAGCCAACTGAATGCAACACCATCTCCTGTTGGATACTTCTTTGTGACCACATAATTACTACCATAAAAGAGAATGGCAATGATGGCACCGACATAGCCTAGAATGGTATTGGTTGTATTTTGAGAAGTATCATCATTGGAGTCAGTAGAAGTGGAAGTAGTGGAAGTAGTGGAAGTAGTGGAAGTGAAAGTAGTAGTGATGCTTGTCAAGTCTGTGTCAATAGTAGAAGTAGCGGAAGTGGTAGAAGTAATCATGTCTTGAGTACTCAAAGTTGCAGAGGCTATGAGCGTGGTTGAGATGGTTGCAAGGAGGAACACGATCATCACAAATGAGAGTATAGAGTATTTGAGAGACGACATGTTGAAAAAGTGCAAATGGATGAATCGTATCGGGATGTATATAATTTTTGTGATATAATTTTTGTGATATAAAAATTGAGAGAAGTGTGTTGTTGGAGTGATCCAATATAGAAATGATGTGTTGAATATATATTCAAATAATAATAAATGTAGTTGTTGTTCTGGGAAAATGTAAAAATCTCTAATAAAAATCTCTATTGTTGAAAAGAGAAACTCTCGAGTTCACAAAAAAATCACAAAACAACACACAAAGAAAACAGAGACCTGGTGCTTTTGATATTTTTTTGTGTGCGCTCAGCCCAATTCTTTTCGTCTTGTTGCTGCTAGTGCCAGAAATGTAAACATCTCCAATTATTAGAGTTGAAACGAATTTTAATCATGATTGAACCATCATCATCGTCATATTGGTTGATAATGAAGAGAGGAAATATTACCCAATTCGTTTTGAGGTTGTTGTCAACAAGTAAACTTGTTAAGATTCTCCACATTGAGGCTCGCGTTCACTAAAGATTTCCACATTGAGGCTAGCGTGAGCTGTGTCTTCCACGAACGAACAAACCTCCCCAACACGTACACAGCAACGCCACCAAAACCACATCGGGTATACCCTAAAAAATTATCATCACCCCCTCATCCACCATATGGTACTCACACCCCAACAGCATCAGATGCCATCATCACTCCTGACAGAAGAAGAATCACCACAATCCAATAATACCCATCCTACATTATTGATAGGATCAACAACATCGATTCTCTCATCAGTGCCATCATCATTCACAACATCACGATCATCATCACCTCCATCCACTCTACAAGGAGGATTATTACCCACGATGATGAATCATCATCCATACACCACTACTACTACCACTTCTAATACAACACCACCACCTACTCCTACAACCACCACCACGACAAGTAATCATGCTCATCACTCTTTCATGAATTCATTATCTTTTCACCATCATCACGCCAAGAAATCTTTTACAATGCTTCATTCCCGAATCCTCTTTTCCATTCTCACTCTTGTAACACTTTTCATTTTTGTCTATGTGGTCATTTATTTGAAATCAACATCTTCCAATCATGTGCCAATTATTGATGATGATTCTTTTGAAATACTCTCTAATGATGATTCTTTTGAAATACACTCTAATAGACACACTCCAGTACCATTGACACCCGAAGAAGAATTTACTTTTTTAGAAAATTACAAAAAAAAACAAATCAATTCTCAATGTTCTATTGAAAAGAATGATGGAATGCTCACAAGAGAAATCATTGGACCTCATGTATGGAATGTATTTCATGCATTTATTGAAAATTATTCAGATCAAGATGATTCTAAATTATTACAATGGATTCAATTAACAACAGAATTATTTCCATGTCAACAATGTTCGAATGATTTTAGAGGAATTTTAAAGAAATTTCCATATCGAGGATTTGAAAGTTACTATAAAAGTAAGAGTCGATGGATGTGTAAATTACATAATTTAGTGAATAGAAAGACACACAAAGAGAAATTATTTGATTGTGATAATGAAAAGGAATTGAGAGTGAAATATAAATTACAAAAATGTTAAAAGAGTGAATCTATTGATGAAAATATTATTTTAACAATTGAGATGAATGATTTCTACTAGGAATCATACTTGTCATGATGATGATGTAATGGTGTTGTTGATTAGTGCAAGAAATAATAACTTGTGGATTCATCATGATTGCCAAAGATCTATTTTCAGCGCAGTGATTAAAATAATGACTCTGTAAGAACAACAATTGAAAGAAGCTCTTCCATTGGGTGGGTCATGAAAGTACAACTATAATATTATACTATCATACATCATTAATATCTGTTGGCCAACTCAAAACATTCCTCAATTGAAATGTGTTTTTTGATGGTTCGAACTTGGAACCATGGGTATGCTTAAAGTGTGCTGCCCAATCAAATCCACTTGTGCAAAAAAAAAAAAATGAATCCGTTCTTGAGACTCTATCACACTTCTTCTTCAGCATGTTTGAATCCATTATGCACTTCAAAGAGTGTGTTGAAGCACGTCGCATCATACAAGCAATCACCCATGATGATGACAAATGGAGCTATGATGACGAATGACTCATACTCGTCGATTCAACAACAACAACAACAACTCAGAACATTTCATACCAGCCAAAGCCTTGAAGGTCGTCATCGTAACAATAGTGTTCCGTTATCGAATACCAATCGTTCCCGAACATCCAAGTCATCCAAGAAATCATCCACAACAACAACAAAAACACCCTCCTCTTCCTCCTCATCATTATCAAATCAAGGAATGAATTCTTCTTCTACTGCTAACCATACGAACCATGATACTTTTGCTAAATCCATATATACTTCACAAACAAGAAAACTCTCTCAAAGACAAATTGAAAAAGAACAAAAAATCGTTTCCAATTCATCCTTTCTCAATTATACTCCACCTCCTATTGATAAGAAAATAACATTTTCAAAATCACAATTACAAGAATTTAAATTAGAATCAACATTGGAACAAAATTTAAATTCAACTTTTGCAGGTAAAAAACAAACAGTGGGAAATCTCTTTGGTAACATTAATGATGGTAGAGGTGGATTATCCAAATTAACTGGATTTGTTCCAAGAGATTCCAATATATCATCATTTATTAAATCTGATTCATCTCATCGAAGATTGACAGAAAAGGAAATTAATGAAATTACTTCAAGAGACCATGATGATGAATTTTTACAAGTATTATCTAGACACAAATTGGAACCGATGAATGAACGAAAACCATTAACTACATCTCCATACTCGATTGGAGGAACGGATGAAATTTTGGAAATGACAAGATTGATTGATGATAAACATTTGATTCAAAATGATGAACAGAAACTTGGGAATGACCATCCACAAGATCAACAAGACCATCATCAACGACAATATTTTCATCAAAAAGATTATCAACAACGACAAGATCATCCACAAGATCAACAACATCCACCTTCTGTCATGAAAACTAGAAACTATTCTCATTTAGAAAGAACTACTCTAAATCCCAATGACTATGACAAAATGTTTGATTTACAAGAATCTAAAAAACATTGTGTACATCTCAACAAATTAGCTTCAACCATTTCTCTCTCAACATCCTCTCAACAACAAGATCATCAACAACAATTACAACATATTCAACAGTATTTTGATTCCATTCCATTTCCTAATACATTTCATTATAATATTTTAATGAGTATTTATGCTCGTCATGCTCACTATGATCGAGTAGAAGAAATATTTCTAAATTTACCATATAAGAATACAACTAGTTATAATATCATGTTAGATGTCTATTTAAAACAAGAAAGATTTTCTGAAATGCAACATTTATTTCAACAAATTCCAAGACATGATGATGAGAGTTGGAATATATTAATGGAAATGTTTGAAAAGAAGAAGGAAATTGAAAAAGTGAAACAAGTATTTAAACTCATTGAAGAACCTTCTATTGATAATTATAATACATTGATGGCAATATTTTATAGAGCAAAACGATTGGATACGGTGAAACAAATTTATGAATTATTAAAGAATATCATGAATCAAGAAGAAGAATGGAACAAATCCACGAATAGGAATCAAGAAGAAGAATGGAACAAATCCATGAATAGGAATCAAGAAGAATGGAACAAATCCATGAATAGGAATCAAGAAGAAGAATGGAACAAATCCACGAATAGGAATCCAATCCTCGCGAGGAATGAATGTCATCATACCCATGACGATTCACTCTCTCCAAATCTTTTAACTTTTGAAATTCTCATTAATCTCTCAATGGATACAAAAGAGTATGAACAAGTCCATGAGTATATCCAACAAGCGACTCGATTGAATATGAATTGTGAACGTTTCTTCTCACCTTCCACACTCTCTAAAATTGAATTACTTCGAAAGAATCATTACATTCCACCTAAAAAGTATTATACTAGTCGTAGTCATTATATAACCACCAATAGTAATACTACCAATCCTAATTATAATAATACCAATTATAATAATATTAATAATAATAACACCATCGGTAATACCCTCAATAACAATCTTGAACATTCAAATAATCACATGAATTCATTTCAATACATTGCTGAAATGGAAAGACTCATTGAAGAGAATCAATTAGATCAAATGGAACAAGTATTATATCATATACCACGTGATTTATTAACAAGTGAACATTTTTCATGTGCATTGAAAGGATATTCTCAAGCTGGAAATTTTAACAAGACCAAACAAATATTTTATGATTTGATACAATTTGAAAGAGCTCAAAGTAGTATTCTTCATACACGTAATAATAGTAATAATGATAATACTAATAATAATACTAATAATAATAGTAACAATGAACGTACCAATGAGACTCATACTCTTGTCAAAGAATCTACTACAACATCTAATAAGAATTATTATTTCTACTTGTCATGTTTTGTAAGACATGCTGAATTGACGAACACTTCACCCAATGTCATTAGAATGCAACAAGTATTCAATTCTATTCCACATCCTAATCCATCTCTCTATTCCATACTCATGCTTGGATATTTAAAGAAGAAGATGTATGAAAAAGTAGAAGAGTTATTTCATGAAGCAATGAACAAGTTTTCATTGAATGATATGAATAGTACTATTGGTAATAGTGGTAGTATTGGTAGTATTGGTAGTAATAGTAGTATTGGTAGTAGTAGTAGTATTGGTAATAGTTTGAATCATTCAATACCTTCTTCACCTCGATCATTACCACCACCATTTCTTGATATGCACATGTATTCCATCATGATTCGATGTTATGGAGATCAACACAAATTTGATCAATTATTTAATTTATTTGATAATATTATTGTGAAACGATATGAACATCCATCATGGAAGGAAGAATCTCTTTATAATGGTACTTTTAATAATCATAATAGTGATTATAATAATAATCATAATAGTAATTATAATAGTATGATGACACTTTCAAGATCCAAGGATAGATTCATCATTTCTACCGATGATATGGATAGGATGAGTGAACCGGACATTGTGATGACGAGAGCACCACAACCATCGTCACTGGATCATGATTCGTGTTCTCAATTAGGACTCGTTCCAAGAAAACTCAATCTCGTCATGATGTTCACTTGTGCATGGAAAGGACTTGTGGACAAGGTCGAAGAATTATTCAACAAGATACCAAAATATTATGCAAATACTACTTTTGAAAAGAATGTATTGAAGAATGGTGAAGCGATTCATACGACTCAAGAATGGAATGCACTTTTATTGTCTCACTCGATTGCAAGAAATGTATCACGAGTGGAAGAAGTATTCAAACAAATTCCACAACCTGATCCATTTACTTACAAAATATTGGAAACAAGTCTTGAAAAGAAGAACAAGTCTTATCAGAAAGAAGAACCAATTCTAGTAGAAGATGATGCATCTTTGAGAGATGATACCCTCTCGAGACAAGGTCGAAACTCATCCAATCGAAGAAGATCATCCAGAAAGTCTTCGACACATTTGGTGGAACGTGTTCAGTCCCTCATGAAAAAAGACAAGGATTCGAATGGTACGATCATGCTTCATGTGCCATTCGACGGATAATACCGTAGTCGTTGCGTAACATGAGGTAGTTTTATTATTATTACTGTATTGAAGGCCGATGTATGAGCCTGACCTGCTAGGGCCCAATCCAATTTCGCCTTATTCATCTCTGAGCATTAGACCCTAAAATGGAATTTTAAAGTCGCAGCTTATTAAAAAAAAATATTACAAATCTATTCAATAACACTCACACACTCTCCTTTTCAACCATGCAAGCCATGCAAACAGATCAAGTTGGACAGCCACAACCCAATCAACAACCACCCATCACTCCCAAGACTCCAAAGTCTGCCAGTCAAATGTTTCCTTCCGTGGCTACTGGTAAGCCTAGCACCGATGAAAATGTACCAGCATTTTGTAAGCAATACAAGATTATTTCAAAGAATCGAATCGGAAAGGTTGTTTTAAGAGAATTTGATTCTATTGAATGTGATGGAACTGTTGTTATTGAAGGTTGGTTTTTTTATTGTCATCATATCCCCAAGATTATTATCATCTTTGATTCATCATTGTTTTTAAATCTTTGAATAGGATTTCCTTCTGAGGAGGGTATGACTGCTATCATGACTGCCAATTACATCATCAAACAACTTCAACTTCCATTGGTTGGTGATATTGTATCTCCTTATTTTACTCCTCTTGGTGTTGTAAGAGATGGATTGGTAAGTGATTTAGAGTATTATTATTATTATTATTATTATTAATAATACATTTATACAATTCATTGGTCTGATGATTCACATTTTGAATAATTTGAACATTCCAATGATCTCCAACGACTATGAAATTCATATATATGAATCGGATTCATCTCCAATATATTCTTCTTCTTAGCCTTCTCATGGTATTAGAATTTATGGAAATAAGAAAATTGTTGTCTTTGTTTCTGAATATGAAATTAAGGATCCAGAAATTCAAAATGATATCATTGATGCTGTTTATGATTTTTGTCAAAGACATCGATCGAAATGTCTCATTTCTGTTGATGGATTAGATGTGGATCCAACAGTTAAAAAACAACCCACTGATGACATTAAAATTGGTATTCAATCCTCTGCTGCTGATGATGAAGAAGAAGATGAAGAAGGAGACGAAGGAGAAGAAATGATGAGTTTTGAAGATGAGGATGCTCCAAAAACAACTGAAGAGCTTTTGAAATTGTTAGAACAAGAAGATTATAAGGAAAAGGTATGGTATGTCACAAACAGTGAACACTATGCAAAGAAATTACAAGAAATGAATGCAACAGTTGCTATTGAAGTTGCATGCACTGGAATTAGTGGTGGAATTTTAGCAGAAGCTCCATTTAGAGGTGTTCCTGTATTGAGTTTATTTGCACCTCTCAACAAATTCCTCAAAATTGGTACTCGTGCAAGTATTACACTCATTCACGCTCTCAACAAACTCATGAGCGAAGATCAAACTAGTATTTTAATTGATACTTCTGAATTGGATAAGACTGCCAAAGAGTTGGAATCAAAATTGAAAGATGTGTTGGGCAAATTGGCTCCAGGAGCATTGGGTGATGAGAAGACTCCTGCAGGAGCATTCCATTCCATGTACATGTAATTAAGCATCTCGTAGAAAATTATTCCAATTAGAAGCCCCAAAATAAAACTTAGCAACTGTTATGTAACAGATTAATACCAATGGGTTAGTTGTTGTCTCCTCTATCAACAACCTTTATTGTTGTACAGTTGTCCTAGAAAGTATAGAAGTATCCCTTTGTTTAATTCTACCAATTTAAATGTATCCTTTCCAGATTTCAAATCCAACACAATCAAGTAATGAGATTGATAATACACAACCAAGTGAACCTGATAGGTAGGATAGAAGGGAGGATGATGTTGTGTCAGACTGCTCAACCTTGTTGTTCTGAACAACACACTTCCGTTCTTTTCATTCAGTTTCTGTCTCTATTAAGATAATATTAATATCAATTTGCTTGTTGAGAACAATTTGTTGTTGGAGGTAACGGTGTTCTCTTTCACACGGTGTGATTGGTTTATGTACTATTTGCGATGGATACATAACAGTACTCTATCATTGTCTCATGTTTGCAGATCACAAATACATGAGATATAATCTACTCACGTTGCATTGATAACCATGAACATAAACACAACAGGTTAGCAAATATTTTGTTAATATCGATGGTTAAGTTACTATTTCAATAAACCAGTAGTGAGTAACGGAATAATACAAGTGCCGTAATTACAACTTATATCGTTATTCGTTTCACAGCTCTCGAGCGTTCCAGGAAGTTATAAAATTATTTTATACACTTTATCTGAGATGAAATATCACTTTACAAGTTCTCAACACCGATCTAAAGGTATTCAAGTTAGATGTACCAAATAACATAAGTAACAGTTTTGGGATGAAGCGACGCTTCCTTTTACATGAACAAGTTATCCTCCTGATAAATATCCGTTATCCTTACAGGAGATAAAGGAAAATATTTTAAGCATGATAACTGTCTTACCAATCCCACAAAAGTAATGTAAATCTTACAAATGAAAAAACCCAAATTTCTTTGAGAAAATCACATTGACTGGATAATAGCTCTGGGACGAATATAGATCATATATTTGTTGGTAATCATTCAACTAAGAATATTCATGTCTACTTCACCACAAGGGATCATAAAAAAGGTTAGCTCAATAAAATGTTAAAGAATTTGATATAAATTTTTCAAGCTCGAATCAACGACGGATAAAATTTTAAAAGACAATGGGAAAACCCCATCAATGCAAGGCCAAAGCCAATCGCAGACACAAAAGTGTCAAAGCTGCAGTAGTGGTATTAGTTTGCTCTTTAGACAGCTGTTTTGGTTGTGGATTTGTTGACATTTTTTAGCCATACTTTTAGTCAACCTTATTGTTTTCGTTACAAAACACTTCCGTTCTTTTCAGAACATTCAATTCCTACCCTTGTAAGTTACCTCCCCCCTAATCAGCAATTTGCAATGTTTTTTCGTTTTTTTGTTTTAAACAATTTTGGCCTTTCTGGCTTCCATAAGGCGTTATGTTTGGCCACAAAACAGGAATTTCGTTCTGCTGTTCATCACAACATTTGGAAAGGTGTTGATTTTGCTGGGTGACAAAGAGTTCCCTGACGCTTGGAAATAAGGTTCACCCTCAGGTGTCAAAATGACAAGGATTTGCTTTGAAGATTGTACAGAGTGGATTGATAAACAGTACGCACCGTACAACGTACATTTACTTTATGAAGCTAATTTTATTTTCAATGAGAGGATTTTTGAACGTAGTTGTGTTAATACTTCTGTTTTTGAAAGAGCTCTTCAAACAAGTACATGAGATGTATTAATTAAAATTACCATTCGTTTAAAAGATGAAGTGTAGGTGCCTTTCACTATAGCAACACCTTCCCATTAGTATCAGAATGAGAACATCCTCGAACGTTCATCTAGCTAGTGAAGATTTCACGCTGTGTCTGAAAATATTAAACAAGAATGAGACCTTCTATTTTAGTTAAATTTAAACTTTAATACTGCGTCCAAATATTATTCACTTACTATTTGGGAATCATTCTATTTTATCGTTAAAAGGATGTACGTTCCTCTTGAAATCATGTACAATTTCTTAGAAACAAGCTGGATTTCTTTCTGCGGTCTTGTAACAACAATGAACGGTTCAGAGCACCCGAGAGACTCTAAACGACGATTCTCAACAACGAATTCTGTATCCTTGTCAAATAAAAGCAATGCATGACCAACACAAGCAGCACATGATGATTCGTTGAAAGCAATTTTTGAAAAAGTTGAACTCGAACTTGTTGGAATCTCAACATCATTTCGTATCATCTTTATTCAGAAGAGATAAAACATATAGAACATTGTGTAGATACCGTATTGAAAACAGTTGAAGTTTGCTTGGTCGAAAGACGACTTGACAATTTCAAAGATTACTTGCCATTTTGGAACATTTCCACAAGATTCAAAGGAGGGATTTTTGTCCCTTGATTTTGACATGTCGAGCTGCTGTGAAGATAGCTAATGAGTATGCGCCGAGAGCATGGATGCAGCATCACAAAAAAAACACTCCACTTGTCTCTAAAGTACTTCATTCTTGCAGCTCTGTGTGTGTGTCAATTGTCAAATATCCATCCATACAGACGAGTCGTTTGTGGTTCATCATCCATTACATTCCCAATTGTTATTAACAACAACAACGTGTGTATATTTATTCACAAACAACAAGCATTCTTCTCCAATTCATTGAAAAGGATCATCATCGTTATCTCATTTGAACCACAACGTCAATTGGTGTCATTCTCCTCTTCTCACAAGCACACCGTGTGTGAATTTACAACCAGCAACACGCACATAACGACATTTCTTGTGTATCATCAACAACAACAAGAACAACAACAATAACGACGACGACCATATCTCTCATCACTCAAAAAAGACTCTTGAGAGTAGTAGTACAATACTTCACCGTCATTCACCCGTAATTTGCAAAACCATTCATCATCATCATCTATTTCAATAATCATCACTATGGCATCGACCTCTGAGATGGAATTACTTCCCAGTTCAAACAAAATTGTATTGCCTCCCAATTCACCTGGCGTTCCCAACTCCCAGAAATAGTGTTACAATAGCATTTGGAAAGCACTTTATTTTTTAGAATCCTAACCATTTTAAAAAAGGTCGAGCAGGCTGTCGAAGTTTTGTTCTGGTGTTTGCTGGAGGTTTTTTCAATAAAAATGTTAAAACATGAACGAAACGCCTTTGTCGGTCTGTTGAGACCGGAATATCATGTTGCCATCAAAACAATGCTATTCGCAGTCCATCAATATATTAATGTCGAACATTTAATAGAAGATATTATTGATCAATGTGGATTTCATCGCAAGGATTTTAATACCATCCATCGCCATCTCGAACTATATTTCTCATACCTCATCACACACAACAAACGAGTCCCATTTGTTCTATACTGTTGCAAATTCCAGGTTGACAATTCAACAAAGATTGCACAATATGTTACTGATTGCATTGACCCGGACGAGGATAGTGCTATCTATAACATTTACTCTGACCCAAAATTTCAAAATCAAAGACAAAATCAAGAGTTAACATCAGAATGGATCAACAAACTACATTTTCAAGGCTATTTGAAATTGAAAGAGTGTCATGACGAGCTGATGCGAATTCGTCAAAAACGTAAACACTCCAAAACAAGTACAGCTTGCGAAGACCCACCTCAAACCTCAACAACGTCACAACGTTATTCTAGTTCAACCATCATGAAATTACTCGAACCAGAAAAAAATGTCGGCGTTATTGAATTACATAAAATCCTGGATCATGGTTTTGCTGAAGACTACATCACGTTGTCATATTCAACAAAAGAACAAACAGCACCGTATTACATGCTGCAACAACTAATTAACAACAAATTTATTCCAACACACTCATCAATTGTAAATACCAAGTCCGACACCATCTCTCATAATTTTGTAGACCATGCTGATTTTAAATCACAAAATAACGATGATGATAGTTATTATTCGGAATGTGATATATTTGATGAGGATATTCAAGAATTGAAAAAATTGTTTTTTCAGGTGTTAGGTAGTCGCAAATTAGTACCTCGAACTTTCTTTTTCACATATCTTCGTGATGCTTTTTCACAATTAATTTGCAAAGACAGTAGAGGCCATAGATGGAGCCCATCTGTTCTTTGTTTTGCTCAAGATTTATTGGTTATCATGGGATACAATGCGTATGAAGCATTGGCGAGAGGGTTGAAACGAGGACAAGAATTTGAACCCTCTTCTGAAAGATGTAACTTAGTCCTACCTTGTTCATCCACACTCGACCATCATTTTCACACCGCATCATATGGAGAAGGGAATACTAAACTAGACAAAGATGACTTTGATAAGCTAGTAGAAAAAATGAAGGTTATTGAAAATCAAAATTTTGGTCTTGTTCAAATTGATGCAGTAGATGTAACACCGCATTTAGGAATCAATACCAAGCTTGGGCTTGTATACGGTGCCAATGAAGGTCCATTGAAGATTAGTGATTGTACTGCACTAGCTCAGAGTCCGAATTTTCCACCCAAGGGTTTTTTAGCTGAAAAAATTGTTCAAACTTTATATTGCAGTATTAACGGTGAAGTTCGAATTCCTGGAAACTTCAAAGTATGCACTACTGAAACTGAACAAACCATTAGAGACACGATTTCTGAATTTCGTGACACATATACTCGAAACATCGTCTGTACTGTGTCAGATGCAGGGTCTGCTAATTACAAATATTTCACATCGAGCCCAAATGAACTACATCATTTTTGCTACAGTCACCATTGCAAAAACATGAGGAATGCAATTAATGGGAGACCAAAATTATATCCGGTTGCCACTAAAGTAGGTGCTCCAAACCTTCAAATTGCACGCCATTCCTCTGCTTGTATTTCTTCCAACGACAACGGAAACGGTTGCCATTTGATGAAAATTGTTATTCAAAGAACACAAGCGACCAACATACCACTTTCCTTCATAGTGAATGACAAAGACACAATTTCATTTGAATGGAAAGAAAAAGAACCACGGAATTTTAACTCTGGAGGCATTTCTTTCTATCATAGCAGCAATGACAACGAATTAAGTGTTACGTTGTTGAGTGAAACCCTTCATACTAACATTGGTAAAGTGTGTGTGGCAAATTTTAGCAATCAAGACATAGCTGTCACCAAAATTTCTTGTTCTATTTTACAACGATTTGAATTGAACACACTCGATGAAATATATAGACAACAACCTTTAGAGTGGTGTAAAATAGTTAAACGGAGCTCGTTTATCAAATATGATGATCAATCTGAGGATGTATTACGTGATGTATGCAATTTACAGTTACTTGAAAAATTACGATTATTGAACGAGAGAACCAACTATCGATATTTAGGATTCTATAAGTACTTAAAAGCGATACATGATTTATTTCATGTTTACGATGACAAAAATCATGATGGAACATCTTCACACAATTTGCACGAAGTGTTGCAAGTTCTTAAGGAAAATTTGGACTATTTGAATGAGTGGGATACCGTTTTCCAAGACGTCATTATTTCCAATAAGAATAATAATTTTACATTATCCGGAACCCTCACAAAAAACATCATTATCCATAACATCAAAACAATTCAGAAATTGATCAGAATTATTCCACAAGATGCAGTTTTTGATTTGTCTTTATTGGGAACACGTTCTCTTGAAGGATTTTTCGGAGAGTCACGTGATTATTCAAAAAGAACCACAGTATTGGACTATCATAGAAGTTACTCAAACATGAAAATCAAATTAGTGAAAAAAGAATGTGTATATCTTTCATACAATAACGATAGAAAGAGGAAATATTGTGATGCCCCTAGTCAAATTAACCAACAAATTTTGATGAGAATGACTGAAAAACAATTTGTTGACTTTAATAATGAAAGAAAGCAAGCTAGAGAAAGCGTGACATCCATTTCTTATAGTTTTACAGATCAAGATTTAATTTGTGCGAAAGACTTACAATTGCGATGTTTACAACATCGTGTCAACTCCATCCGTCAATCATACCATCAGTCAAGACATGACTATAGGGCCGGATTTGCCACCGATTTCATGGAGACAAGCATTTCCAATTACTACAACATTTCACTTCCTGTTTTCCATATTGAAACAAGTGAAGTTTTGCCAAACTTAACAGAACGACTTACATTAACCGACGACATCAGTTTTACCATTATTCAAACACACGACTCATTAATTCATGCTCAAAATCATATTGCGGCATTTTTGCTTAAAAAGCCCGTAGAATTTGAAATTAAGACTAATCATATTTCTTTGAGCAATGCAACCGTAGAGGTTCGCAATTTCAATGAGAACAATGAAAATGCATCTCGACATTCTGAACCAATTAACTCATTTAAAATATTTGTGGCACCAAATCAGACGGATCCATTCAAATTTAAATTAATTGGACAATTTTCATCAACAACCAGCACCAAGCTTTATCAAAAACAAATTGCTGTGATTGTTGGAAATTATCAGTTGTTGTCACCTCCTTTTTACGTATTTGCAAAGAAAACAAAAAACCTCGTTTCGTATTCCCAGCTGAGCCAGGTGGTGGCTTCGTCTCAAGACATGCAATAAAATGTCAAGCATTTTTCATCACAAAAAAAGTTCGTCCAAAAATTGGAACACGTTTAAAATTGTTCACCTATTTATTTCTTCCGACCACAATTACACCGTATTTTTCTAATCACAACAACATACCTCAAGTCGTTTTATTATTCATTATAGCTCCAGCAGAAGCCTTTGTCCTTCAACAAAGACAAAGCAGCTTTTGCTGGGCGAACAACAAAAAGCTAATGTAACAAAAACACTGAGACGTAGCCCGAATGAACCAAATAAAGGAATGTTACACCAGCGAAGTGGTAGTTGGGAACGCCAATTCACCTCCCAATTCAAGTACAAATTCCTTTATTGCTGGCAGTACTCCTCCACAACATTCAATGAATGGACAACTGAGTAGTCAAACCACAACGAATGGTCAACAACATCCACAATTGACCATTCAAATACCACCAAATACGATGACGACAACGAGCACTGCTGCTGTTGTGGTTGCCAGTGCTACGACTACAACAAATTCAAGCCTCATGAATCACTCCTCAGCGGCTATGAATAAGCGTGTCACCATCTCTTCACCAACCACAAAACAACCACAACCACACGCACACGCACAACAATCATCCACTCTCTCCAACGTCGGTGGAGCTCATATGGCCAGTGAATCAGGTAAATCTGGATCCTTTAGTCATACCTCTAAAATCACCATCCGCACGTGTTGTGGTGTGGTTGAATTTACGAGTATGAAATTAATGAGTTTGATCGGAATGTTAGTCACTGTCTTGGGTCTATTGGTGTTGGCAGGAGTGGCTGTTGCCTCTTTCGTCATTGCTCAAACCAAATCGACCGATATCTTGATTGCCGTTGGTAAAGTGAGTTCAACATTTGAAACTGCCAATGCACTCGTTTCCAAGACCACCTACATTGCAAGAATGCGTTCGAATGAAAAGGGTGAAATTCTCGTGAAACCCGAAGTACCCTATTCCATTGTTACCGCACAATACAAGAACATGACTCAAACCGTCAAGGACAATTTAGCCTTTATTTTAAAATCATTGGATGATCAGACTGCCTTTTCCATGTTCAATACGACAACCATTGAGGCTAGCAATGCTCTTGATTCTGCCAATTCTCAAACTCTACTCTTTCTTACGTTCAATCAGAGTGTGAGTGCTCTGAATCAAATCTCTGAAGAATCTTACAATCGAGCATTGACAACCTTTAAGAGTGGTTTGGATCAATTATTAACCTTTATCCAAAATAAGGAGAAACAAAAGGATTACAATCTGTTAGGTATTACTTTGGTTCAATTGATTGTCATTGTAATTTCTCTATTCATTGTATTACCAATCATTATCTTTGTCTTTTCATATGCCATTAATAGAGATTCGCTGTATTTGGAAAAGATTCGACGTGCCAATGCCATCATGCTCATGGATACGATGGAAGATGATGGTTTGAGAGCACTCTTTAAATTACACTGTGAGAAGGAGAAGAGTATTGAAAACTTTTTACTACTTGAAAAGATTCAATATTATCGAAGTTTGTGTGATCGTTCCATTGAATTACAAATGAAATTATTCGGTGATTCCAATGTGGTGAGTGATGTTTCGAGTGATATTTCTGGAGATTCTCAACCTCAACAATCTCAACCATCTCAATCACAAGCATCTTCTACATCATCCTCCAAGAAAAAGAAAGAATCTCCTCTCGAACGTGAATATGCTGAAGTGGAATCTAAAAAGTATGAAGTTGCTTTTGAAATATTCACTGATTTCATGGAAGTGGGTGGTGATATGGCTGTCAATATTTCTCAATCTTTAACAGAATCTGTAAAGAATACTCTTGACAGGTACAATGACAAACAAATTGATACTCTTCCTGAAGATATGTTCAATTTGTTAGAGAAGGAAACTTGTGTGGTCATGTTAGATACTCATCATCGATTCAAACAAAGTTTAGCATTCCAAAAAGAAATGAAGATTGATAAGATTAAGGTTGAAAAGTTGAAAAAGAAGAAGCATGTTGATTTTTAATGTGTGTCATGTGTGTATAATGATGATGATGATGCGTGTCATGTGTGTATAATGATGATGATGTGTGTCATGTGTGTTATGCGTGTATAATGATGATGATGCGTGTCATGTTCATGTGTGTGCATGATGATGATGATACGTGTATAATGATAAGAGTCTTTATCATGTGTGTGTGTGTGTATAATGATAATGAGGATTGTACAATTCTATAGTAGGGAGAATAGGTCATTCACACACACACACACTCACTCGGGTCATCACACACACTCTCTCTCTCCCACTCACTCCAATACTTGTCTTTTCACTCCATTCACTCCAATACTTGTCTTTTCACTCCTCCACAACAATTTTGATCAAAATTCTCTTTTTTTTAATAAAATCATGTATAGCCCAACTTTGTCCAAATCTGATGAATGGAATCCTTAATATTTCCGTATGCTTGTATTTTCCTTCCGGTTGAATTCCTTTGACGAACGGAAATATTGAGTTGCTTTCATGTACGATCTCAACAGAGAGTATTGATCCTTGCGGTATGGGAAATTGCCAATATTTCCGAAGTGACACTATGGCTTGAATGAAAAAAAATGTTCACCATTTCAACCATCATCTTTTTCACCATTCTCTACAATATTTATTGGTACTTTTTGAGAAAGGAAAAGTCTCTCAAAGGTAAAAATGTTCTCATCACTGGTATGTTATATATTCTCATCATATATACATCGGAATGACATTAGATTGAAACATCTTTTCAAACCTTTTGATCAACAACAATCCAACTTACTTGATCCAAATGACAATTTCTTGACAACACTCTTGATTCAATCCAATTCAATCCAATTCAATCCAAACAACACCAAACCATCCAAACAAATTCACACACACACACACACACGTAAAGGTGGATCTAGAGGAATTGGTCGTCTCGTTGCTGAAATTCTTCTCTCCAAAGAACAAGTGAATTGTATTGTCATTTGGGATGTGGATCAAAATTCACTTCAAGAATGTCAATCAACCTTCTCTAAACAATATGGTCAAGATCGTATCATTACTTGTCAAGTAGATATTTCTGATCATGAAAAAGTCTATCGAGAACGTGACAATCTCTATGAATTATTTAAAAATAGAAAATTACAAAATCCAAATTCAGAATGTTCAGGAAGTATTGATATTTTAATTAATAATGCAGGTATTGTGAATGGTAAACCATTATTACAAACCTCAGATGATCGTATTAATATGGTATTAAATGTCAATACCATTTCACATTGTTATACAGTCAAAGCATTCCTTCCAGAAATGATCAAAAATCAAAACACATCTCCTCATATTGTAACCATTGCTAGTGCTGCTGCATTGTGTGGAACTTCATCATTGGTAAGTAGTAGTATATGACTTTGCACCAATAGATTTGTGTGTGGTTGAACCTTTTCATTTCCTTATTTGTAAATATACGACAATTGTTATATATATATCCATTTACCGAAATGAACAAATTCTAACCCTTCTCCATTTACTCATTGTACCACCCCTTATTTGTAAATCCACACCGTACTTGTCATATCCACGATCCATACTTGACATGGTGCATTGACACTTACTGTCCACTCATTTACTGTACCACAGTGTGATTACAGTGCCAGTAAATTTGGTGCATTTGGATTCAATGAAGCATTGAGATTGGAAATGAAACATTTGAAATACAATATTGATACCACTTGTGTCTGTCCATTCTATATTCGAACAGATTTATTTGCTGGAATTAAAGATGTCATTCCATATCTATTCCCTGTATTAGATCCAAACTATGTTGCAAATAGAATTGTTCAGGGAATTAAAAAGAGAGAAGAAGTGGTTGTTATTCCAGAAATGTTAAGAATTACTTACTTGTTGAGATTTTTATTGCCAGTCTCTGTATTTGATCGATTGGTATCATGGATGGGAATTAGTAGTAGTATGGATCATTTCATTGGAAGAAAGTCAAGTGATGATACGACTTCAGTCCAATCAGATTCGAATAAGAAGAATTTGTAAGAATTCGATCGTACGTTCGAGGGTATCGTTCTTGACATTTGCCAATTCTCCCGCTTAAATTTTTTTCAAATAATTATTTACCAAACGTTTTAATAATTTTTTTCGAAAAAATGTCATCGTCATCACTCAAAGAAAGGCTTCTCCGTGCCAAAGACAACAACAACCTGACAAGCACACCTCACAATTACACTCTCTATTTATATAAACAAGGTCTTCAATTACCGACCATGGATATTCATTGCATGATGATTCTATCTTATATTCAATTATTACCCAATCAATATCAACAATATATTAATATTAAATTTGAAAACAAGTACATGAATATAATATTACATGATCAAGATACAAACAAGTATTATTATGGAATTGATGATATTATGAAAGTGATTCAAAACGAATTTTTAAGTGTAAATGATCATTTATCTACTCGAATTCAATTTCTCAATACTCTTATTAATGAACAATTATTACCAATTCTCATTCATTATTGGTATGGACATGATGATAACTATACAATTGTTTATGATAGCTATGTTGGAAATTTATCACTCATTGATGGAATTCGATTACATTTCATCAAGAACAAATATTTGAAACATGAATATTATCGAAAATTAAAATCTCAAAAAACTGAAGAAGAAATTTATGAATTATTACAACATTCATTACAATTAATTTCTAATTTATTGGTCGAAAATAATGGATTTATTTTGGATGAACCATCCAATACTCGAGCATCTTCTCCTCAACAATCATCAAAACCAAGTGAATTAGATGCTAAATTATATGCCATTCTCTCATGCTTGTATTATCCTGAATTTGTATCCAAGCATTACAGAGATTTATTTAGACATTATCCTCCATTGATGTCCTATCTACACAGAATGAGTAACAAGTATTTCAACTTGTATATGAATGAAGAGATTTTGAAAGAACCTACTCTCTTGGGTACACAATCACCACAAGTGATTTGTGAATTATTGAGAAGATTGAGAGTGAAGAGGGAACATCAACACACACATACTTGGTATTTCCTTGGAGGATGTGTTGCATTCATGTCTGCTTATTATTATGTAATGAAAAGAATAGCTGTTGTGAATAAATAGATGCAAATGGACTTTTTAGTAACAACACCACAGTGCGATGATTTTATGGCAATGATTACAGTGTTAGCCAATTTTACAAAAAGAATCTCATGTTTATTATTGAATAAGGCCAACATTATTATTGAATAAGGTCAACAACAACAACTAGTTGTTATCACTATTGTCATCACCATCTTGTCTATACTCAAATTGTGTACTATTTCCATTGTCACGAAGTGATTTGTTTCTTTTTGTGTTATTATTGTTGTTTGGATCTAATGATGTGGAAGAGGGAGTCGTCGTTGAGTTTCTTCCATTGGCTTGTTGGGGTGAAGGAAATATGAATCCACCAACCCATTGAATGGCAGTAATTACTAAAATTATTAATTTTGTGAATAATCCTGAAATGATACCAATGGGACCATTGTTGGATGAATGATGATAATGTTCACAACCCTCAACAGCATTATTCGAACTGTCATTGGATAGCAAAATAACGCCATTGGGACACAAGTTCATCGATTCCAATGTCTTTGTATCCAACTGATCGGATAATACAATTCTTGGATACATGATACTCATAATCATTTTCGTACCTCCTTCAATGTTAGTATTTTTAAATTCATGTAAATCCTTAATCGTTTGAGTGGATTGAAAAGTTTGTTTCTTCACTTCTCCATTTGGTAATTTGAATGCAATCATTGTAGTTTGTGATTTTGTAGGAACATATTGACCTGTTTCATTGGATTGTTGGTTCTTTAACATTGGAGTAGAATTTTCAATATTTGATACTTGATCTACCTGTTGTCTTGTTGTCTCTACTCGATCTCTCTTAATTTGTTCTTTTAACTTTTTCTTGTATTCCAATTCTTCCTTCTTTTGTTGAGTTAATTCAGTTTTAACACGTTGATAAGTATTTGGAGTGGTTGGAGTCATTGGAGAGAGTGGTAAATGAGATGAAGGTGTTGTAGGAGATGATTCTCCATCACCACTACCACCACTACCACCACTACCACTACTACCACTACTACCAGTACCAGTACCACTACCACTACCACTACCACCACTATTATTCTCTCTATTTAATCTTCTTCTTGCCTTTTCCATCGCTTGTTGAATTTTCTTCTTTTTCTCTTCAGGAGTTTCTTGAACAAAATCATAACGATATTGAGGTAATTGAATGGTAGAAGAGGAGGAGAGTGGTGTTGTAGTATTGTTATGATTCGAATTGCATGTAGTTGATGAAGTTATTGATGTTGTTGATGAGGTTATTGATGAAGATTCAATAGAAGACTCAGAAGGTCCATAAATATCAGAATCATACTCATCATTCATGAGGTGAGGTATAGGATTGGATGGATTAGAAGAAGTAATAGTATGGTGATGGTGGTGATGATAATGATGATCACTATTAGAAATTCCTTCATTACATTTCTGAATAAAATCATTCACATTTGGATTTAAATCTTTATAAATATTCTCTCCATTCCGATTCAAGACATAAACAGAATCCATCGATTGTGTTTCATCTCGAATATAAATCGATGCAAAATTAGTATAATCTATACTTGGTTTTATAATGTGAATACAAATATGTTGAGGTTGTTTTAACAAGTTAACAATTTCTGAATTGGAATTGAATGAATGTAAAAGAGTGCTTTCATGATGTGTAGTGATGAATATAAATAAATATCGGAGAGGTGAGAGTGGTTGTGTTAAGAGTTGAATGGCTTGAGTGACTGTTCCATTAAAGAGAAAGGAATATTGTTGTTGTTGTGGTGGTGGTGGATTGGTGGATGAGTTTGAAGTGGATTCACTACTTGACATGTTAAAATATTTTTTTTAATAAAAACAAATAAATTGGATTAGATTTTCCTATTTTTGAAACAGAAAATTCAAAGTTGAAAAATCAATAAGAATCATGTACCAGCAGGGGTAACACTCTTGACCATCCACTGTCCTAATAATCTTTACATTGTCCCAAGAAAGTACAACATCAAGAGTAGGTAGTGTCTTGGCTAGGAGAAAAAGCGTTCATTTTCAATTTGAACCTTTGGTCAGAGTTTGAACCGAAAAAAATATTTTGAGTGTTCATCTTCTCAGTTTCATCATCATCAACATCCTTTCAAAACAATGAACACTGAAAGTGCACCCACCACTCTTTCGGATGATACTCCATCTCCACTTGAATCAAATACCAGTGGTACTAGTACCACCAATACTCCTCCATCCACTCCTACCACTTCTTCTTCTTCTCTTTCGGACACGTTCAAAAGGCTTATCAAATCCAAAGAACCAACAGCCTTGATTGATCTCATTCGTTTTATTGAAAACAAGAATCAATTCAATACTCTCTTAGAAACCAATTCTAGTCATATGAATGAACAACAAATTGATAACATCAAATTAAATGTGTTGAAAAGAATGATTCATCTATTGAACATCCATTACGTGAATTATTATTATAAGAATTATAATACAAGTGGAGTGAACACGAACAATACTACTATTAGTAGTGGTCATCTTCATGCTCATGTCAATAGAGAATTTGTGTATTTATTCAAATCGACTGTGAGAGTGTTGAATAGACATTTTCTTCCTTCAATGAATAGTCAACACACATCCAATTCTACAACGATTACTATGGATACCGTTACAACAACAACAACAACCTCGAATGATAGCACTACTTTTGTGGAGATGGCACCAAGCTACAACAACAACAACGCTCATCCATCATCAACAACCACATGACTTTGATTCCTTCTCAAAAATTTACTCAACTCATTGTTCATGATCTTCTCAAATACTATGAACAACATGATTTGTTGAACGAATACGTATTGACTTGCCTCTTGTTGAGATTCTATCATCCATTATGGACAACCAATGATTTACAAGATGCTTCTTCAACCTTTTATTCTTCATTCACTCAAGTGTTGATGAATACTACCAAAGCCAATGTCAAAATTCAAATGACTAATGATGCTTGGTATGCCATTTTCAAACAAATTTACACACACAACAAGCAATATTTATTTGGACTTGTAGACACGTTAGATAGAGCATTTAAGAGAAGTAAACAAACACTGGGTCCAATCATTGCTCAAATCTACAATGTGTGTTGTAATGATCCTGAAATGGTTAAGAGTCAAGTATTGAATAACATTTTATTAGAAATGTTAAAATTGAAGAGTGAAGTTGTTCTCGTTGAGAGTGGTATTTCCATGGTGATTGCACAAACATTGAAATCTTCATTTGATAATGATCAATTAGTAATCAAGAGAAGTGAAATTCAATTGTTGGACACAAAGATCAAACAAGCATTATTTGAAAGAATTTATTTCCAATTAATGCTCTTGAATAAGAATATTGACCAAAAGCATTGTTTTATCAATCTCAAAACATCCATCTCCGTGTTTGATAAAACATTTAACCTCATTGGCACAGGATTAAGGTCTGAAAAGAATATTCTAGAATTGGTGTCCTTTTTATTTGACTATTTGAATACCACACCTGCCATGACTGAGAATTGTCAATCTCTCATTCATGTCATTAACATTCTGCGAGAATTATTTACAGATTTCAATATCAAACAAATTGGAGATGTTTCGTATTTGAACTCAACTCAACATATTTTGACAACCTTCCAAAAGACCTTCAAATTAGAAGGAGATGAAATTGTTGAAGTGAAGAAGACTCTCCTTTCATTCATTTCCATTGTTTGTGTTGAATTGTTGAATGTAGACATGCCATCTCCAAATATAGAAACACTTTGTTTGGATGTTATCAATGCCTCTGAAAAGAAGAAATCACTTCGATCTCTTGCACTCTATTGCTTTGCTTTACTTACAGATGGTGTTTTGATATTGAATAAGGAGAGTATTGTCAAATCATTACAACAACATTTAAAGAAAATCCTTTCATTCCTCTTTACAAAGGAAACACTAGAATACTTGACACAACCTAAAGATTATAATGCTCTCTCACATGTTGTCAAGAATGTATTATTTGCAACAAGTTATGGAGATCATTTTATTAGACTTTCTAAAATGATTTCATCATCACTCTCGAATGTCATCAAAAGTGATTTATATTACATGTGTTGTGTTGCATTAAGTAATGCTATGGATCATCATAATCCACAACGAATGTTATCCGAACATGTACTCCATCAATATTTAGAGTCGAACAGCAATTTATTAGAACAAATTTTGGTTGAGGGTTTCTATGGACGGTTATTGATTGAATTGGAAGAACAAACACAACAACAAACACAACAATTAGATGATGAGCACATAGCATATACAAAACCATCTTGCATCTATACTCATAGCTCTTTGAAATTTGCCATTGATACATTGAGAGATTGTTTCATTCAGAAACATTTCAAAATTGAAAAGATGAATCTCTACAAGTTATTCGTCATGATGCATCATCCATCCATTGTTGAAAATCCTCATACTCTTGTTCATCATGAGCGATACAAGTCGTTATTATTGAGTCCTTTAACACGTGTGATGAGCAGATCCAATAGTAGTAGTAGTAGTGTGGGTAGTAGTGTGGGTAGTAGTAGTAATGATCACAATACTCATGAACATCATGTGGATGAACTCGCAGAATATTTGATCAATGAAATTGATAGTGAGAACACTATTCGAACTCCAATGCGTACAGCTATTGCATATTCATTGATTTCATTGCTGTTATGGAAGCATGCCAAGTTTAGTCACAAGATCTTTGAAACCATTGCCAAACGATTAAGCACACATGTTCACTTTTTATTTGAAAGTAATGAATTTGACAATACTGACTTTATTATTTTCAATAGAAAATCAGAAGAGCCTTATCATGATTTGGACAGTGAAGTGAACAAGCATCCAATTTATCGACAAGGATCATCTACCACTGAACTTTTAACTGAAAAACAACTCGTTAGATATTATCGATATCATTTGACAGATAAAGAATGGGAAGTTATTCAAAATAAGGAAAAGGCAATCAAGAAGAATCTTCAAGAAAGTAGAAAACAATTTGTTAAAGAAACAATGATCAAGAAGGAAAATGCAGTGAGACAAATCATTGAGAAACAAGTTCAAAAAATTGAATATTTACTTGATGTTCTCTACCAGATTACTCAATTAACAGTTGGAGATAAGATGAGTGTAGATATTGTGACCAAAGGAGGTGCCAGTGATGATCAACAAGCTGAACAAATTGAAACTCATCATCAAACTCATTTCTTGAAATTCCCATGGTCTCTTGTTCTTTTCAAAGTCACTGATTTGATTGACAAGTATCGATACTTTGAACAGTTAGCCTCTCACGCCTTTACTATTTTGAAATGTGTGAACAGAAATACTTTAACTCATTTAGACTTTGCTTCTCAAAATATCAAAACAAGTACACAAAGAAAGAATACCATTTCGAATGAAGCACTTGCAGACATGCTTGCTGTTGCTACATTCCGTATTAGAAATCGATTACACGAAGTGACAATCTCTAGTACCAACCATACAGATGAAAGTGGAGTTAATTCTTCTTCCAAGAATGTCGACACTCTTGACAATCATGAAAGAGTCACTCGATTCATTCCTAATTTTGATAATAACCTTCTCTTTGGAGATTATATCATTCACAAGATTCGTCTACAATTTCCAAACATGTTAGAAGCTGAGGAATTTACAAGTGTGTTACCATTCCTTGAAGCCATGTTGAATAGACAATCCGTCATTTCCAAACCTGAACATCGTTTTGAATCAAGTACACTCACGACATGCATGTCTATTTTGAGTGCACATGCTGGTAAAACTGATTTATCAAATATTACAAGAAACAAGGTGATGCAAATTTGTGTGAATGAAGTTTTGCCTTTCATTCCTCATTTGAACAAACAAGCATTTAATTCTATTATGGCTATGGCACCGTATCTTGTAGACGAATTTTCACCTCTCATTACATCGATTATTTATTCAGAAATGGAAAATGTGAGATTGTATTGTTTAAAGACATTGATTCAATATTTAACAAGAGGAGATTTGAAAAAGTTATCTCAATCTCAAGATATCAAATTTGCGTTATTCTATGCTCAATACGACACGTGTGAAGAAGCGAGTAAGATTGCAAAGAATGCCATTCATGAACGTAAATTATATTCCTACAACTCGACGAGTGATGTCGATGATATTGTTGAAAGATGTTTACCATTGATTTGTTGTGAAGAGGATGTACTACTCTCTGCCATTCATCATCCTCCAACGTATTACAGTAGAAATAATTCTTGTTTGGCTTTGACTGGTGCTCTCAAAGAATTAACTCAAAATGACAAGAACAAGCGAAATAATATCATTCATCACATTCTCATGAAATCAACCAAAGTATTTGAAGAGAAACAACAAAAGATTCAAAAAGAATCTGATTTTGATCCTCTCATTACCATTGCATGGCTCTTCCAAGAAATTTCACCATTTACTTATACCAAGAATGATTTGACAACACTCTTTGATTTTGTTGTACAAACAGGATTTAAACAATTAGAAACAAGATTTGAAGAGCAATATCAAACTCTATTAGATGAAATGGTCAATGTAGGATTAGCTCTCGTATACAATCATGGAAAGGAAAGTACAACCGTCTTGATTGATTTATTTGAAAAGTATTTGAGTCAATTACAAAAGACTTCCAATGATTTTGCTACCGCTACTGTGGTCGTATGGTACGGAAGTGTTGCCAAACATTTTGATACTTCCTCATCGTCAATACCTAAAATTAAGAAGGCGATTGATCAATTAATTGATGCATTGAGTATTCCATCCAACTCGGTTCAAAAATCCATCAGTGAAGCACTCTCTCCTCTTATTGCCAGTATCTATCAAAAAGAGAAGGACTATATTTTCAATGAGTTGGTCAATAAGCGATTATTGCCATTTTTATTGTATGGACAAACTCAAGTGGGTAGTAGTGGCAGCAAGGAGAAGGCTTCTACTCCAAGTGCCACCTATGGAATCAAACGAGGCTTTGCATGGGGTTTGGCGGGAGTCATGTACGCATGCGGACTCCATGATACGTATCAATATGCCATCTCTCCTCTCAATCAATACTTGTCGGGTGGTAAGGCTGATAAGAGAGGTAAAGAAGGATGTATGCTCATCTTTGAATGTCTCTCTCAAAGATTCTTAAATCTCTTTGAACCATATATTGTTGAAGTCATGCCAAGTATTCTCAATCATGCATTGAGTGATCCATCCAAAGATGTAAGAATGGCAGGTGAACAAGCAGTGAGTGTCATTCTTTCTCAATTAACACCATATGGAGTGGTTCAATTATTACCAACAGTCATTCAACCAACATCCAATGATAATTGGAGACAAAAAGCAGCTAATATTCGATTATTGGGACATATGGCCTATTGTGCACCTAGACAACTCTCTACCTATCTTCCAACCATTATTGGAATTTTGAAAGAAGCAGTCAATGAAACACATCCTGATATCATTGAAGCTTCAAAGAGAAGTTTAGAAAGAGTTGGTGGTGCCAGTCGATCACCAGAGATTTCCAAACAAGTACCACTCTTATTGGAAGCATTGACAAATCCAGAACAAAAGACCATTGATAAGGTTTTAGAATCACTTTTATTCACTCGTTTCACTCACTCTATTGATAGCGCTTCATTGGCACTTTTAATGCCTGTCTTGACAAGAGCACTCAATGAACGATATACCGACATCAAAAAGAAGGCTTGCCAAATTATTGGTTCTATTAGTGCACTCATTATTGATCCTAAACGAGATTTATATCCATATATGGAATCTTTGATACCAATTCTTAAAAATATTTTAATGGATCCAAGTCCTCAAGTTCGTGCCAGTTCAGCCAAAGCCATTGGTCAATTATGTAAATCTGTTGGTGAAGATAACGTCTCTGGTGTCATGACATGGCTTCATGAAAAGTTAAAACAACAAGGTGCAGAATATATTACTGAACGTTCAGGTGCAGCACAAGCCTTGTGTGAAATTATTGCAGCACAAGGTGTTTCTAGACTTCAAAAGTCACTTCCATTCCTTCTTTCACAAATTGAAGGAGATCAAGTTGAAGAAGGTTACATGCAAGTATTTGTTTATTTACCTGCATTGATGAAAGCACAATTTGAACCATTCTTACAATTGTGTTTACCAAAAATTTTGAATGCACTTTCTCATCCTAAAGAAAATATTAGAGAAACAGCATTACAAAGTTCTCGAGTGATTGTTGAATTGTTTACAGATAGTGCCATGAATATTCTTGTTCCAGCTCTACGTGAAGGTTTAGAGTCTGAAGAATGGAGAACTCGATACAATTGTCTCGTATTGTTAACGGACTTGTTAACTCGAATGACTGTATTGTATGGAAATAGTGAAGAAATGCAAAAAGTTGAAGAAAATCCAATTCAACTCAGTGTTGTTGAAAGAGTTCTCTCTACCGATATGGTTGCTCATGTCATTTCATTAACATTTATTGCAATGAGTGATATTAATTTGAAGAGTATTGCTAACAAGTTATGGAAAGATATGGTTCCTAACACTCCAAGTACTCTCAAGAATTATTTACCTCAAATTATTGAAAGTATGATCAAACATTTGAATATGAGTGAAGATCAAAGATTTATTGCTGGTAAAGCATTGGGTGAATTGGTGTTGAAATTGGGTGAACGTGTGTTGAGTGAATTAATACCCATGTTACAAGCTCAATTATTGGATGTCGATTCGAATCCTGAAAAGAGACAAGGTGTTATTTTGGGTGTTACTGAATTGATGAGTGCTGCATCGGATAAACACTTACAAGCCTATACTCCTAAATTGATGGCCATTGTCAAGAGAGGAATTTGTGATCCGGATTCAAGTGTCAGAGATTCATCTTCCAATGCCTTTGATGTGTTGTGTAGTATTATGGGTGAACGATGTGTGAAGGATATTCTCTCACAGTTATTGAATGATTTAGAAAAGGCGGACAAGCCACAAATTGTTGAAATTGCATCCAATGGAATGCAACAATTGGTTCGAGTGAGACCTCAAAATGTTTTACCAAAATTAATACCAGCCTTGTTACATACTAGTTCTACTACCCATACTAGTTCTACTACCCATACTAGTTCTACCCATACTAGTTCTACTACCCATACTAGTTCTACCCATACAACAACAACAACACCACTCTTAACCGACACTCAACTCTCAACATTGGGAAATGTTTGTGATAGTGTCTATGAATATGATCATATTGAAGAAATGAGTGAATTTATTTTACCAATGATTGAAAAGTTATTAACTCAATTATCACAAAGTCCATACATTGAAAGTGTTACCAATGTGGATGAAGAATCGATTCTCATTTTACGAACCATTTCAAAGGTATTACAATGTCTGGATGTCATTGAAGGATATACCATTTTTGAATTAATTGGTAACCAAATGACTTCCAATGATGCCAAAGTAAGAAGATCTGCATGTCTATTCATGCAAATGATATTCAATCCTGACAAGTTGAATGAAGAGACGATCACTGAAGATTTTATTACGTATGGTCTATTACCAATTTATGAACATTTAATTACAGCATTTAATGATCCTGATGATATGGTCGTTCAATGTTCATGGCATTCCATTGACAAGTTAATTAACAAGTGTCTCTCTAAAGAAGCGCATTACAGTGATTTCATTCAACCTACTCGTGAATATATTCGTAAATTAACTCAAGTCTCAAGTATTACAGGTGAAATTATTCCAATTGATTTACCTGCATTTAATAAGATTCAACGTGGTGTTGAACCAATTTTGAATTTATACATTCATGGTCTACTCTTTGGAAAGACACCTGAAGCACGTGAAAATTCTGCATTGGGTATTGGAGATGTCATTCAAATGACTCAATCCAAACAACTCTCTCCATATGTCATTAAAATTACAGGACCATTGATTCGTGTGGCTGGTGATCGATTCCCATGGCAAGTGAAGGCAGCCATTCTTCAAACATGTTCTTCATTGATGGATAAGGGAAGTTTAATGTTGAAACCATTCCTTCCACAATTACAAGCAACATTTATTAAGGGATTACAAGATTCCTCTGCATCTATTTTAAGAAAATATTCAGAACAAAGTATTCCAAAATTAATTGATTTGGGATGTCGTGTCGATGCATTGGTGAGTGCATTGAATGTTGCTTTGAAAACCAATGCATTGGCTGGAAAGGGTGGAGGATCTGTGAATGATTTTGTCATTTCCATTACACGAACTTTGACGACCATTCTCACTCAGAGTTGTGATCAACAAAAGACAAAAGGTGTTCCCTATGATCAATGTATGGACACATTGAGAAAGATTTTAGGATTGAGTGATTCACAAGAATGTTTGAATAGTCTTCTCACCAAACAATCCATTCAACAAGACAGTGATCGTATTTTAGATATTTGTGCTCAATGTTTATCCATTTGTTGTCGAGGAATTTATTTGCAATCCACTAAGAATATCAATGATAGTATTGTTGAATTTATGAGAGGAGTTGTAGCACAAAATGATAACTTGTATGTGACTTTTGTGGTCATGTCTCATTGGGCAGTAGATTCTGTATTGGCGGAATTGTGTTTATCAAGTGTGAAGGAAAAGATTGAAAAGGCATCCAATGATCCAACCATTCAAAGTAAGGTTGCAATTTCGCTCTCAAAAGCAGCTACAAGATTGGCATTACAATATCACAGCGATGTTTCATTATCCAATGACATGTTGAATGTGTTAAAGATTCAATTTGATAAGGCGTATCTCAATGCCACTGCTAATACGAATGCTCTTCGTTATGAAATTGCTAAATGTATCAAGAAACTTGTGAAGACTTATCGTGAACGTTATAATTATGCTAAAATGTTTGATTTTGTGGATGCTTTGATGCAAATGGGAATTAAGGACAAATTCCCTCCAGCGAAATTGTGTAACGAGAGAACTCTCTTCTACATGTTAGGATTTGCTGATAATGACAATAGTCGAGTCATTGCTGAATATAGTTCATTCAAGAAACTTGGAGCTAAAGAAACAAAGATGGTTGAAGATTTTGGAACCAAAGTGTTGTCCAAGTTGAGTATGGAAGATTCTGATTTGGAACGAGATGAAGATGAGGAAGAAAAGTTTTATGAATAAATGATGATAATGTTATCATTTGAAGAAGTAATAATGAATTCGTTTTTGAAAAAGCAAACTGATTTTCCACAACCTGACAACACCGCTCATCGTTGCATGAATCACATTCATTGCCAACCACTGACTGACTGAATGAATGGGGTAAAAAGAATGGCTACGGCCATATCACGATGAATGCACCTCATCCCGTCCGATTTGAGAAGTTAAGCATCGTCGAGCTGCATCAGTACTGAGGTTGGAGACAACTTGGGAACCTGCAGTGCTGTAGCCTTTTATCAAGCATTTTCCATTTTCATTTAAATACAATTCGTTATTAAACAAGATCCAATGATGTGATATTTATTTATGTTCATGTTCTTGTTATACAAAGGATTTCAAGAAATTTAGCTAGCTCCTTAATTGGGCTTGAAGATACATGATTCGTGGTGGATGTCGTTGCTGTTAGCTCCCTTGTAGATACATGAACAGGAAGCATTGCCACCGTGTATGTCTTGCACGCCCTTTGTGCAACTTTAAAGTATTACAAAGGGCGTGTCAGCAATTCGAATAACTTCATTGGAGACGTGATTGCTGCTCGTTTCTTTTTTTACTATTACAAGAGACGCTTGTTTGGAGAGAAATGAAGGGAGTTGTGGCTATTTATTGCAAAAGTCTTCTACATTCACACATGAAATGCTAAGTTCATCATCAGTAGAAGTGTAATTGAACCTGAACCACAATTGCTCTAATGATTTTCCTCTCGCTTTACATTGAATAAAACGACGCTTGGTAGAAGCGAATTTAGATCCTCACCAACCCTGTTTGTTATTAAAACACAACAACAAGAGTCGAAAGATTTCTTGTAACTCACAGTTCATACAGTCAAAGACTGTAGCGGGAGAGTCGCCATATTCCTGGCAGGCATCCCGTCCATAATTGTTAAGAGAAACCTATCTACACCCTTTAAATTTTTAGCTCGAGATGTATTCTTTGAGTAACCGTTTGATGAACAAAAATTGGAATGAAACAAATAACTGTGTTGCACGAAGACCCAAACATTTCATCCAACGTCGACCTCAATACAACAACAAACCTAAGTAACCACAACTGCCAAATCATCAACACAAAACCGCAACGATCAGATAATAAATGGTTCAGTTGGTTTAGAGCCGATGATAGCGACGATGATGACAATTTCAGCGACGACGATGATGCAAACTTCACTCCAAAATTCATTCAGAAAGATTGGAAGGATATGACTTTTTTTGAAAAAACTTTAACAGTAGGAGAGAACATTGGTTTTCATATAGCAAACATTCTCGGAATAACAGAATATAAAATTGATATTTTCGAGAAAGCAGAGCATGATGAAGAGAATCAGGTAAGCATATTACTCTATGAGGATTTTTGTACGTTCTTACCAACCAAGAAGGATGAACAAAGAGAAGAATCGTCTCCGATTCGTGATGAAAAACCATGAACCAAATAATTAAAACGATTCCACTCGTGTAAGATTAATTTCACTCATAAAAATATATTAAATTATTAAATTATTGTTGTTGTTGTTGCTGATGTTGTAACGCAGCTTGTTGTTTCATTTTCACCATGTATTGAATTCTTTCCAATGTTTCCTTTTGATCTTGAATTGTCTTGGCTAATTTTTCAGCACTCTCCCTAACAAGCCTAATTCGTCTATCGAGTGTTTCTTGTGCACCGGTAATTGGTTTCTTCATAAAATAGCCAGTACCAACATCAATAAGAACAGCATCTGGATTTTTCAAAGTACCCGGAACATAGAGTTGATCAGTGAGTGGTACAAGAAGAGATGTTTCTGTTTGTTTTTTCAATTGCTCCAAAGATGATTTGCTAGAAATATATCTGTTGTGTGCTGCTCTCAAAGTAGATAAATAGGCTGTCAATTGATTAACCTCTTTGCTGATACGATCTTGAAGTGATACGAGTTGTGGGAGAGGTACTTGTGTCAAATCAACATAGCCACCCGATGCTGAATCAGCTGACATTTTTTAAAGGCTTGTTTTTGTATTGGGAATTATTGAAGTTTGAATACAACGATACAAGAGGACACTCCCGACCAACAATTGTTATTATTCAAAATAATTATTTTATGGAACAAGTAGATTTAAATGAGACCACAGAATGAAACTACAACGTGGTAGATAACCTCCATTCAAGTGTTTTTTCTTAATTGGTGCTTGTTTCTACTTTGATGGGTCCAACGAGGGATTCCTTTTAGAAAAAATTCGAACACAACCCATTATTTATTCTAGGAGCGAGTCGTTTTGAATTTATATCATCATCATAAAGAATGACATTGAAATCATCACATATAATTATTCTCTCCACAGTTACACTTTTCCTGCTATTTTCCAATACATTTGTTTATACAGCCCTGAATAATGGTATTAGTATTGCCGGCTCGGATTCGTTGAATGATGTCCAACTCTATCCTCCAAACACCAATACATCTTCTAAAGCCGCGGTAGGTTGAGAGTTATTGGAGTAATCATCATCATATGGATAATTATGAATTTGAATTTTATCAATTTGTTGCCAAACTCAATAGTATGCCACAAAAGCCGATATTGAAGTACTTTCGTATTACCTCTCGGTTCTTCAAGTTGTGGTCATTATCAATTCCGTTCTTATCGGATTGCTATTGTTAATAGCCTTTACATTGACTGCTATTAGATGTATGGAAGACTACAAACCAGATTACGACCACGTGCAGGATCCACTTTGGCTCAAAGGCTTCTCTATTACCAATTCAATTGTCTCGTTGTTGTTGTGTCAATGCTTTGCATTTGCTCGACCAAAGGGCAAGAGAATCACCGTGTTCAATGAAGACCAATGGAGAAAGTGGCACAAACGAGATTTGGATCTTCAACGTGGTATCATCGAAGAGGAGTATGTCGAGGACGAGAAGGCTCAACACAAATAAACACACATCTTCTTTAACATGTCACATGGTAGTTCAACTCTAATTTGTGTCAAAGACTTGTTGTGTTCCTAATCTCATGATCCCGTATTTCGGTTTTATTCAACCAACTCCAGAAAAATGAAAAGCCTCCAACACCCAACAAGTCCTCTTTCCGAAGTGTCATCGTGGCAGAGTAATGACTCAAACCACAGTTTAATATCATCCTTTATTTCAAAAATTAGAGGTGAGTGGATCATTCAATGAGTTTGAGGCGCGATGGCAACAGATCATGTTCTCATCATTAGAAAAGTTTTCATCAACTAATCATGAGCTTGTGAGGCATCTCATGATCCTTCATCATAACAAGGTCATTTACAGAGAAGACACAAATAGTACATTATCACCATGTGTCATTACATCTCCTGCTCTCCTCACGGATCAAATGTTCAACGAGAGTCATGTCATTTCACCCATATCGTCATCGAGCACTCCCCACCAGCAAGCAAATTCTCAACTTTCCGAGCAGCAACAGCAACTACCATGCTTATCACGCATTGAATGGAGTGATGGATGCAAGTTCATAATCACACAAAGGTTGTCACCCTCTCAAAATACAATTATTGCCACAACGATGCATCAAAGACAAAGTATGATTTTATCACAAATATTTTCAAATTGTTTTTTAGTATTGAGGTTTGATCGAATGCATGGAGTGAACATGAATAAGGTCCTACAAGATGCTATTAGTTTTATTGGTGATTTATTGGAATTATGAAAACTGTTAGCGTTTTAAAATATTTTTTTAAGAACCACAACTCCACAGTGCGCGCACAGCCATTTTTGACACCTCAGAAACTCAAAGAGAAATTCAATGTTATTTCGAATGATGATTTGCATCAAATGTTTACGGTTGAACTGTAACTTCGTTGAAGAGAAATTATGCTTATTACTGACTTTTCCCTTTACTCAACTTGCGTTTGGTTGAATTGACTTGGTCCATTATGCTTAAAATTTTGGATAACAGATTTTGAATAGATTCTTTGTGTTATAAAAACTCGAACACTCAGTCCGATAGGTAGCTTGCTCGATCGTTTAAAATATTTTTCTCTCTCATCACCATAAATTCCATCCATTTTGAATTCAATAGACCAATCGTTCCTTCCTTGATTTGCCCAACAATTCTCTCCGCTTGTGTCATGATTTGCAACACCCATGTAAGTCTCTTTTTACCATCTCCTTCCTCTGGGCTAGCGTGTTTTCTATTGATGATATCAAATTGAATACCTAGCAGTTCAAGTAGAAATTCAAATATGAGTAAAAGGAGTGGTTTCGATTGAATCAAAATAGAATAGAATTTACGATGGGGAGTTCTCGCCTTTCGTTCATTGATCAATATGCAGTGCTCCTTATACCTGTCTTGCAGGGCTTGTAATGCTGATTCCAAATGTTCAACAATTCTTACTAAAATATCAATATTACTGATTTGTTGACCTGGATAGTGAAAATGGTTAAAATATGTGAGAGGAATGTTTGTGAAGAGAATGGAGCTCAAATCAGTATTTGAATGCTTGGATGTCATGTTTGGATACTTTTTGGTTAAATACATGCAACAATCTCTCACAGTGAACTGGACATTCTTGGGAGTTCCCTTTTTAAAATTATTTTCAATTTTTAAAATTAATTCATTCAGTTTGGATTCATCCAGATTGGATTCTTGTAGCATTTCTTCTTGATTTAAATTCTTGGAAAGTGAGAATCCTTCTCTATTCATGACACAAGTATAATCTTGCAATTCTTTAACAACAGTATTGACATTGGTTTCATTCTCACTGTCGTCATAATTTTTACAAATATAATAGGAATGAGTGTCCATGAGTTTTGTTCGCAATTGGTTCCATACTCGAATGAATTTTGTTCGAATATCATAAAAACTATACGATGGAGTAGATCTATTCAGAAAATGCTGCATCGTGTGAAAGAGCGACGAGGCATGGGAGGAACAAGTGTTTTCATTCATCATTTCATTGGTCGAATGTTTCATGAAAGAGTCTTCACACTTTGAGAATAATTCCATCTTGTTGTGTGAAAGTTGTACACATAATACTAAAAATATTAGAAAATAATGTTGAACTAATTGAGGATTCAATTGATTGAGAACTTGGCAATGAGCAATTTTGTCTCTCAATCTGGGTCCCTATTAATTTTGTTGAAATTTCAGTATTTGAAATCACATGAAAATGTTATTCACACCAACATTTAGAACTTCATTCTACATACTCCATAAAATATGAAGGAATCCATCAAACAATCTCCAACACTCTCATGTAAAATATTGAATATCTCATTGGGTGTTAAACGAGCTTGTTCACTGACACTAGTAGCTACTGCATTCGTAGATGTGGAAGCTTCATTGAATGTTGTTTCGATCGTTCAACTATTAACACTATCACTGCTACTACTACTACTACTACTTACTCATCTTATTCACACCTAATATGGTATCACTATATATTGAGGTTTCTAAATGGTTTCCAAATATAACTTCAAGAGTACTAAAAAATTCTTCGTTTTGAGCGCACCAAGTTCTTTCATCAACTTTCTCATTTCCTGCAACGTAGAGTCTTCTCAGAGCGGATTCAAATTGTGGAAACAATAAACACAAGGATAATTGTAGATCAATTTGACTTTTTTCTGTAATTCCTTTTTTAAGAAATCGAAATGCATTTCCAATAATTCTACGTCGAGTAGGAATAACAAAATAGGATGAATCTAGAATATGGTTAATCATAGATTCATCTTGAGAGTGCATGTATAACAATAGACCTTTTTGATATTCAAATAATTGTGAAAATTCTTCACCACTCATATCATTTCTTGGTTTCAACATAAATTTTTTTCTAAATTCATATTCCTGTGATGGTACTACAGTATTGCTGTTGTTGGGAAGAGAATGATCATTGTTTGTATCTCTCTTCTCATCATGACATGAATAATAGAGAGCCACGTGTCTACATGCTGTGAAATAAATTTTCCATAAAAAATTTAAATAACATTCATGAAGTTCACTCTCATCTAGAAATCCATGATACAACACATTTCTCAAATTGAGACCTTTTGGTGGTCCCATAAACACCTTTCAAATATGTACAATTTCGAATTTATGATTAATATTGTATACAAGATATAAATGATTAATATTGTATACAATATATAAATGATTATGATTAATATTGTATACAATGATTGCCAATGATTCAAAACATACCTTGATACAATTTAATAATTTCAAAGGAATGACTCTTTTCAATGCTTCACATTCCAAAATTTCTGTCAAAGTTACGGGAATGACAATTTCATTGGATTGTTTACCATATTCTTGAATTGAAACAGAATATACAATGGATGTCATTAAATGTTCCACTAGAGTTGATAAAAAACTGAATATAGCATAATTATTGATTTTTGGATTTTCCATATAAATTTGTTGTAAATATTTGAGAGAATCTACAGGTTGTTGACAGAGTTGTAAATCCCTTAAAATATTTTCTCGTTCACTTTGATACAAGTTGTTTTGATCCTTATTCTCCAATAGAATAGAAATTAACCCAAAATTCTTTTCAATGAGAAAACAAGCTTTGCATACATCTCGAAGTTTGATCGATGCCTGTACAAAGTTACTAGTTAATACTTGTTGATGATTATTTGTAGAATTCATAGTTTCACTAGTAGAATTTATCACTTCCAATGATGGTGTTGTTATGAATCGTTCATTGTCTGAAGAGAGATTAAAAAGAGGAAATCCTTCATCGTTTATGATTTCTTCATGTTGAGAATTGAATTCCACACTTTCCAAACGCAATAAACCACTCTTCTCATCTATATAGTTTTTCACTTGTTGAATGAGTACACTCTCATTGTGTTGATTCCATTCACTGGATTTACAAACTAATTTTGAAACTGACATGGAAAGACATGACAAGTATTCGTCCATCACAAAAATAACATTATTTTCTTGTTGATAGGCACTTTCTTCATGTTCTTGCAATGATTGTAAATGTTGATCTAATTCTTGTTGTAATTGTGATTTGAGAGTTTCATATTCATCAATGGAGGATGGAAAATTAGAAGAATTCAACAACGAAGATGACTGGTTATTTAAAATTTGAATATTATAATTATAAATAAAATGATTTAAAAGAGGATGAGATCGATGTGGAAGGAGAGAATTATGAATAGGCTGTTGTTGTTGTTGTGTTTCGGATCCGTTCGGTTGCAACATGTTAGGATGCAAGTTCAGAAAATATTTTTTTTTTCAAAAAGTTTTCGTTCAATCTTGTTGGTGCACCTTTTTCTCATCAGGTGCGTTAGAAAATTATGAACTTGTCCTCGAGGACAATGAGAATCAAGCCCAACTTTAGTTCAATCTCTCTCCTCATTAAAAAAATGAAAGAAATCCTCTCTCTGAATTTTGGACAAGCTGGATGTCAAATAGGAAACTCTAATTACCATCTCTTTGCACAAGAGTATGGAATGATGATTCCATGTAGAGACCATCACAAGGATTCTCATCACCAACACCAACACCAACAACCACAACAACAACAAGAAGAATTATTCATGGATGAGAGATATTACAAGGTGTTGTATGAGGAATGGGATCCTGGAAGTGGTTCAGACCATCATTCAAGTAGCATGCAGTCATATTATTATTATACACCAAGAAGTTTATTCATGGATTTAGACTCTTCGAATCTTGATTCCATTCGGGTCAGAAATCGTCAATCATCCTCCAATGCAGTTCATTATCGACCTGATTCATTCATTGGTGGTCAAGAAGATGCTTCCAGTGTTTGTACAAGAGCCAAGTATTCCATGGGAAGAATCCTATTAGACTCATGCATGGAGAGTATTCGAAAATATTTAGAGAGATGTGATCGATTGGATAGTCTATGGATACATGCTGGTTTGGGAGGTGGCTCAGGTTCAGGTCTTACTTCTCTCATCATGGAACAACTTGGTTGTGATCTCAATAAGGTTACGAAAATATTCATTCCAGTCATGCCTTCTCCTCAACGATCCAATGTGATTGTAGAGCCTTATAATGTAGTATTGGGATTGAAAGATTTACATGACAAGGTGGATGCATCGATCGTGTTGGATAATGAAGCATTGTATCATTATGTTTCTCATTGGAAGAATGAAGTAGTAGGAGTAGGAATAGGAGGAATAGGAGGAGAGGAATTAATTATTCACAATTAAATGAAATTATATCACATGCTGTTTCATCTTTGACCAGTGGTGTGAGATTCAACCAAAACTCGATTACTAGTTATGGAGATATGAAATCATTGGTTAGAAATATGGTGCCTTACCCTACATTGAATTTTTTAACATGTTCTCTCGTGCCCTTACAGAACCATTCATCCATTGTTAGTAAGAATGAAATGATGACGATACCACAATCTACCATGCAATGTTTTGAACCTTGCTCTTTATTAACGAGTGTGAATTTGAAAGAAGGAAAGTATATGAATGTTTCTTTGAAGTATTGTGGAAATGTATCCATGAAAGAAGTGAATCAAAGCATCCAATGTTTAAAGAGAAGTGGAATTGTTCATGATCATGCTGTTCCTTGGACTCGAGTTGGGGTTCATTGTGAAACAGTGTCAAAGAGCAAGACATTGGGTTCAAATCATGAGACAAGTATAATTAGCATGCTTGCAAACTCAACAGTTATGGGAGGTGTATTTGACAGAATTATGAACAAGTGCGACAAGTTATATGGTAAGTTTCTTGTTCATTCTTTGAATCAATGATGTCAACACATCCAATCTATGAAAACACAACTTTTCCAAATAATTTTTTGTTTATTACATGATGATACATCATCATGACCATCATCCAATACACCCTTCATGATTCTGTTAGATAAACGAGCCTATGTTCATTGGTTTGTGGGTGAAGGTATGGAAAGTGGTGAATTTGAGGAAGCAAGAGAAGTGGTTAGGAATTTAGCCTTTGATTATCACAATATGGAGAATATGGAACAATAATTCAACCCATGACCAAAATGAGACTTTTGTTAGAAAAAGATGGATGACCCAAAACAACAGCAACTCTCTCTTGACATTTTCATTCCAACTCGTTGAATTGGATCGAGATGCAAATTGTATTCATTCATCTCTGCACATTATATTCATTCATTGACCTCTCCGTATATTCCAACTCATCATCTTGACATTATTTCATCCTATACATGCATCAAATTCATTGAATGATACATTCATGCATGGATCTAATCATTCCATATAGATTACAATTGCAATCGTTGGAATCTTCTCTCAGTATCCAACATGACATTTTCAATAATGGTCATCATGTTATCAAACAAAGTGAGAGGTAAATAATTGTGTGGAATTTGTTTAGCTTCATCGACAAAGATCATCTTTCCGAGAGCATGAATTTGAGATTGTGTAATGTTGAGTGGTGATGTTCCATTCTCTGAAATGAACGTGTTGAATATTTCAATGGCCAATTTGATTCTCTCTGATACTCGATATTCAGTCTTGTAAGTGAATTCTACCATTTCCCAAAATAGAATATTCTGTGAAGATTGTTCAGTTGCACAATAATGTTTGAATTGAGTTCGAAGATCATCTCGTTCCAGAGTCTTTTTGAGTGATGATACATTTGCATTTCGATTCTCTCTCAATTTCATATCATATTGCAATAATAAATGTTGTTGATAAGAAATGGAAAGAACATCTTGTGATGTAAAGTTACCACTTTGAATCATTAAATCTTTGAGATAGGCAATGGCACAATCCAATCGTAATTGTCTCGTTTTCAAAATATAAGCAATGAGAATGGTATAACATGCTTCAAATATTTTGATGTCTTCAAAATCAATACTTGAACCACTTGTAGAGCTTGAATGAGTGGTTACCGTGTTGTTGTTGTTAGTGTTGTTATTATTATTGCTATTGTTGTTATTATTATTATTATTATTATTGTTATTGCTTGTTGAACCAACAAGTGTTTTCATGTCCTCTTGTAACATTCCGATATTACCTCCCAGGGTGGGTAGTGATGATGATGACTGAGTAGGATTGTTATTAGTATTACTAGTACTATTATTATTATTAGTATTACTATTATTATTAGTAGTACTATTAGTACTAGAACTATTGTTATAACTAGTAGTAGTACTATGATTACTATTATTAGATTTGACAACACTTGTGGCAAGTAGTGATAAATCTCTCTCATAAACTTGTGAATTCATCACATGAGATGGATTATATTCTGTTAATAAACAACGATCATTGGATTTTTCAAGCCATTTCGTACATTCATCCAATTTCTCAAAATTCAATCGGTGATTGGCAGGTAAAAAGACCAACAAGTATTCAATGTTGGGATCGTGCAATTTGTAAGTCTTGTAAAGATATTCAGAGAATCGACTTGGATCTAAACCATCCAATAATTTACAACGTTCATTCGATTCACTAATGACTTGAAGAATGTGTGTGACTTGATGTTGTTTCATGTCTTTGGAAATACATTTGTGTAAATGTAACACATTGGAATCACAAAATAGAATAGATCCATAAATATTCGTAGTAAAGTGAGTATGGTCCCAATCAATCTTATCATTCATCGTATAGATGTGATTGAATAGAGAATAACAATTCACATGTTTCAATTTGCTTGAAAATTGTTTCCATGATTGCTGAATGCGTTGTTGTTCTTTGGTCGTGAAGAAATTATAGGCACAATCTAAAATTCTTAATTCATTGAGTTTAAATGGATTGGATTTGATATTGGTTGGTTGTTGTTGTTGTTGTTGTATTGTCTGTATTGTCTGAATGGATTGTGTTGGCTGTATTGTCTGTTGTTGATCACGTTGTTGTTGTGTTGGTGTTGGTGTTGTCTGAATTGTCTGAATGGATTGTTGTTGTTGATCACGTTGTTGTTGTTGTTGTTGATTATGATTATTCTCTTGTAATTCCAAAAGTGGTCGTGCAACAACAAAACTCGTCAAATAATTTCGATTCACACTCAAATGATGTAAATATTTGAGAGAGAACCATTGTTCGCTTTCCAAGTCGTGTGAAGTGAGACCACATCCAGAGAGATCAAGAGTTTCTAAATTTTCACATTGTAATATACAATCTAGATTTGATTTTTCTGAACGTGTGATACCATCAGTTTCTGAACGTGTGATACAATCAGTTTCTGAACGTGTGATACAATCAGTTTCTGAACGTGTGATACAATCGATGGACCATTCAATGGTAGGATTATAACTCAAATTCAAGTAATAGAGAGTTTCTGAGAGTAATTCCAATCCTCTTAATGATTTCACTCGATTGAATGATAAATTAATCGATTCAATTCTCTTTAAAGATGTTAATTCTTGAATGGATGTTGCATCTAAAAAGTTGGATTCAAACGTCAAATCATTATGAGCCAATGAAAGACTTTTCAAATATTTCATTCCAATGAAAAGTTTAGATGGTAATTTTCGTAAGGCATTAAAACTCAAATCTAAACTTTTCAATTGAGTCATTCCACTCAATGCATCACTTTCAATACTCTCTAAATAATTGTGAGATAAATCAAGATTGGTTAAAGTGGAATAAATTTTCTCTAAAAGAGTTCCTCTTGGAATGTGTGAAATTGAATTGTGACTTAGATTTAAATTTTCAATCACTGGTGTACAATATTCATTGCTAGATGTTAATGGAATGAATTTCACCTGATTACATGAAATGTCTAAATATTCAATACTCGATAAACTCATGAGAGAATGAATAGATCCCTTAATAAAGCAATTTCTAATGTCCAATGCTCTTAAAAAGGATAATCCTCGTATGGTGGATGGCAAATCATCGTCATCCTTCTCATCTTTGGAATCATGTTGTTGTGGTTGTGGTTGTGTTGGCTGTATTGATTGTTGCTGTTGTTGTTGTTGTTCTACCATTCGAGATAAATTAAAAGGTCCATTATTACTCATTCTGAGATATTTCAATTTTGGAAAACGTCTCAACCATTCCAATGGAAAATGAAGAATTCCACAATGACTAATATCTAATTCAGTAATACTGTGATGAAAATGATCGGTGTGAAATTGACATGCACTCGCTTGATATCTCTTCAATAAAATGTCCATATTGTCCGAGTGGTTGAGAAGTTGTTCTTGAAGATCTTCAGTGTTTCGTCGAGTCATGACTCGAGAGAAGCGAGGAGATTTCTTTGTAGTAGTAGTATTAGTGTTATTATTATTATTGATAGTAGTAGAAGTTGTAGTAGTATTCGGAGAATTGGAAGAGCATTCATCCAATGTTCCTGGAATGGTACAACACAATTCATCCATTTGACCACTTTCATCTCTTGAAAGAGTATTATTCCATTGAAAGAGTTGAGATAAATTGAGTGTGGAACGATTATTATTCAAGGTTAAAAGTGAACTAGTTATAGTCGAATTAGAAGCACCAGTTGCAATGCTATTCACACCATTCACAGTAGAAGTAGTACCACCAATACTTGAACTACCAGTAATAGTAGTAGTAGGTAACATGTTGGGTGAAGTTGCACTACTACTATTCACACTACTACCAGTAATAGCACCACTACTACTCAGAGTGGAAGGGACGAGTCTCGGTGAAGAAGGTGGTAATATGGAGGGTGAACCATGTGGTGGTGGTTGTTGGTGTGGAAAGAGTGTCGTATTCCATAAAAGTGATGAAACTTGTTCATTCATAAATAAATTATAATTTCCAGACAAGTCTAAAATTTCCAAAACACGTAAATCATCTAAACATGTTGGATAACCTCCATATAATTTGTTGTAACTCAAATTGAGATATCGAAGAGAGTTGGCAAGAGGTTTATGAGCTTTGGAGTTTTGAGAAGTTGTGGAAGTCAATAAACTCGAGCGATGATCTGTGTTGCTATTACTGTTGCTATTGTTGCTATTATTATTTGTATTATTAATAATGATGGATGATGAATGATTTGAATGATCTTGATGAAAAGTTGACTTTTTCTTTGCACCTTTTCTAAATTTGACATTATTCATACTCTCAATTTTGTTAAACGATAAATCCAAATGTGTTAATTGTTTCATCTTTCTCAATGGATCACTGAATTGTGTGAAATTATTGGATGATAAATTCAATTCTTTTAAATTTTTAAGTTTGTAAAACTTTTCTGGTAATTCCTCAAGTGCATTGTGTGACAAGTTGAGAGAATGTAAATGTTTTCGAAATGTATCATCTTCACACACTAATTTCACATGTTTTTTTGAAATGTTACAATTCACTAATGCCAAATGTTTCAAATAAGAATTGAGTTTGGAATGATGATTCCATTTGCCAAATTGTTTTTCACTCAAATTGACAAAAAAGTAAAATTTAGAATGCCCTTGCAAATATAAAGATTCTAGAGACGGAAATTCACATTGAATCTATGTAAAATAAATTCAAGTACAACAAATTTGTTTTTCACACACACATCCATGAATGCCAAATGTCATCATGATTCATGTGATGATTCATAGTTGTTTCGAGAGGCAAGTCACCACCAATGAACATTTCCATCATATTACGTCATGATCATCATTGCACATGTAGTTGTTTAAAATAAATTCACTCACACATCACCACCGACTCGTTACTTACTTTTTGAAAAGTTGTCAAATTAAAATCTTCATCTTCCTTCACAACAATATTAATTTCTTTGATAGAACTCTGAGCGCTAGTATTATTATTATTGGTTGCAAGTAGTAACCGTAGTGATGGATCCATAATTTGTTGTACGGAAGTGATGATGGATGTGGTGGTTTGTGGTGGAATGAGAGAGAGAAGAGTACCACTTCGAGATACAAGTCGTGTGTTGTTGTTACTATTATTACTCGTCGTCGTCGAGGTGTTGGAAAGGTTATTGGTGTGTGGAGTGTTGTTGTTTGTGCTGCTACTACTGCTACTCGAAGAGAGATGATGGTTTGAATGATTATTATTTTGAGACATGACGGGAGAAGAAGAATGAGAGAAGCTCAAATGTCTGGAAAGAAGACCTTTCTGTGGTGTAGAGGGTCGGCTGAAGAACGAGGACATGTGTGTGTCTTTGGCGTATTTTTCAAAGTGTTGTCTTTCTCTCCAATCGTTGATAACATGACAGTTGAAATGATGACAATGCGGGGTTTGCATTGGCCTTGGAAGGAAAGTGTTATACATGAGTAACATGGTTTGATTTCTCATCCTAAAAAGCACTTGTTGGGCTCTGACGGTGAAGCAAGAACGAAGCTTTCTTGGACATTAACCTCATGGCCTAACTTTCATAATTTTCTTTCAAAAAGCAAAAGTTTTACTCCCCCAAGTGGGCTCGAACCACTGACCTGCAGATTAACAGTCTGACGCTCTACCGACTGAGCTATGGGGGAATTACATATTATTATTGTTTTTATTTTTAACATATGATAAATAACCTAATTCATGAAGGTTCAAGAATCGTTGGTTGAACTGTGCGGAAACAAGCAATTCTTTAAAAAAACCGTTTAACTTTTGCAACCCTAACTTGCATCACTTCCTCCAACGATAGCGCTTTTCCATTACTTTCGGAACAACATGAAACCGACCGGAAGTAGGGTCATTGATTTTCAAATTAAATTAGCGCGATATACAGAAAAGCAATTAAATTTAGCGCTCAAAGTTTCAAATTATCAACAAAACAATATTGTCATATTATTGTTTGACAATTTAACTCAATCCATCGATTCGGAATATCAAGCACAGTTATCTTTAATTGCTAATACTCCTTTTCCTCCTTCTCCTCACATTCCTCAAAAATCGCAAACGTTGGTGACGTCATTATCCTTGAATGATCATCTTCATGAGCACAATAAGAATCATCAAATTCCTTCATCACCCTCAACCACTGTATTATATTCTACAAAATACTTTTATCACATTCTTGCTGACTATTATTACAACAATCCACATGAATCAGAAAAATTACAACGAATTTGTTTAGCACTTTTAACCAATCAATATTTGCCCTCAATATTTGCATTATTATTTTACAGATGGATGTTTGATGCAAATTCTCAATCTTTGAGCTTGATTCATATTAATATATTTTTAAAAGGTGTCAATCGACTATTTTGGTCTGATGTACAAAACAAAACTCTAAAGTATGCTAGTTTATATAGGGTAAGTTTTTGTTATTACTATTCAGTTTGAAACTCTTCATTATTTGGTAAAACTGCATTTCAAACAGTTCATTCAAAATGATGTCCTTCTTCATGGAGATTTTTCATGCTTTTTTGATCCTATTAATCCATATTCTTCATTTCATACTATGAAACATTATAGTGATAACAGTGAAGATGACGGATATGTCACACCAGATTTAGATTCCAAAGATTTAGAAAATGTCATGAAATCTCCAGTGATGGACGAATTCAAAGATATTCGCTCTTCATCTTCTTCTTCCTCTCAGACTGATGATGACGAGGCCATTGTCAATATTCAAAATGTGATTCAGACCAAGAAAATTGATTTGATTAGTTTAATCGCTAAATATTATTTTTATTATGAAAATCGTGATTCTCGATACAAACTAAAACCATACATCATTCAACTCTCAAAGAAATGTGCAATGGATCCATCAGAATCGCTTCTCTTCAATGAAATGGAAAAGAAGAATAGAAAATATAATTCAAATTCTCAGATTGATCATTTTTCTAATGAGAATTTGAATACATTAGACGAAAAACTTAATTTCATGTTTGTTCTTATTAGTGACATGTTTGTAAATGAGAATATTGCATTTCTCTCTCACGTTTCTGATGAAGAAATTATTCTAAGCCTTCTCACTCGATTTAAGTTATTTTCAGAATTAGAAATTACAAGTCGAACCATGGTCAAATTACAAGCAGCTATTTATGCATTCACACGACCTGGAACTCCTTATTTTCCTTCACGAGCCGTTCGGCACAAAGCAACATCGACTCTTGATGAATTATTTCCAAGTGGAAAATATGCACGTTGGTGGCTCTCTACATCATTTCGATTATTGTATTATGGTTGGCCAATGTCTCTATTGAATTGGGTGAAAAACAAGTGTTATCAAATTGTACAAGCACCAATTCATGCTTGGGAATTTTTATCACGACAATTCACATTTGAACCTCCCCAGTTGGTTCTGCAATACGATGGACGTTTGTGTAATGATTCAGATTATCTCAATTCGAGTACAGATGAAGAGGCAGACGATCATACGACCTATTCCATAACATTTAACAAGTAGTAGAGCGATGGATGTATATTGATTCTCTCAAAGAAGCTTATTCTTTGATGGGTTCGCCTTTGGTTCTCCAAAAACTTTGATGGGTTCGATCAAGTGAGGGGAATGAAAAACGCTTCACGAAAAAAAAAATGTCCGCTACAACCAATACCAGTGAAAAATCGAGAGCCATCAAACGACCCTTTCAAGTCCGAAACACTCTGACATGCAATGATGAAAGTTTGATATGGCTCGATGATGCAACACTAAAACAATATAAATTAATCATAGATCAATACACTGTACTTTCACTAGATTATATTCCGAATTGCGTTTCTTTGGAATCATCACAGCAGTCTTCCATCATTTCATCATCTACTTCTCTTCAAGATGATTCACCCCTACCAAAAATTAAAATTAAATTATATGCGAAAATTAAATTAGATAAATCAATGACCACAAAACAGGCCATTATTTCCTCTCATTTGTTTGAACAAATGAGAAATAGAATTTTAAAAGAATTTCCTAAAGAAATTATCACCTTTCCCGCTGATTCTCAACTATTGATTTATATATCAAATCAAGTACATAGAGATGAAATTCCAAAATGCAACAAATTAGAACTTGTTTTACATCATTCAAATAATTCTCCAATTTTGACCCAAATATTACGTAATACCAAGCTATTGAAAGAATTGCTAAATGCAAAGTCGAAACGATATAATTCGTGTTTTCAATCACACTGTATATATAGGATAGATATTTTAGAAATGATACTCTATTTTGAAATGATTGGATATTCAATGGATAACAAAGAGCTATTACTATTTACCATGTCAGAAACATGCTCGTTAAAGGTTGAGTCAACACAAATGCAGGAGAAAGTAACTGCACAGGTCATCCCTGCTACCACCTCTATTCTTCCTCCCGTATCATTCCACACTCTTGTGAAATCCATCACTTCACATCCCCATGTTCCAATTTATCACGAAATTATTTCTCAATTAATATATCTTATTCTCAACGAAGACGCACATATTATCATTCACGGAGAGCAGGGTGTTGGAAAAAACTATCTCGTTCATCACACACTCTCACAACTTGAGCCATTAATGGCCAAACAAGGAATTTATATTGAGAAGAATGAAATATCTGCAAGCGAATTATTTCATGGAGGTGTTGGTGAAAGTGAAAACGCATTTAAACAACTATTAATTTCAAAGCCAATGATCGATCACTCGAAAATATGTCATTCTATGATCAAAATTATTGTCATTGACGATATAGATAATATTCTAACAAGTAATAGCAGATATGAGAGTGGAAGGGTGGACCGAAGTATGATTTCTGAGCTCATTCACTTTTTTGATATTCACTCTTTGAAGAACTCCAAGAAGAAAACTATTGACCCAAGTGCCAATCATTTCAAAACCATTCTTATTGGACTTACAAGCGATATTGATCGAATAGATGGCTCATTGATTCGATCTAATCGATTTTCCAGGCTTCTCGAGTTAAAAGTGCCGTCTCCACAACAGCGTTTGAAAATATTGAAATTTATCATTTCAAAATTCAATCCTACCATGTTACTGAATGATGAACACTTTCTCTCCAACATGTACACCTGTCAGTTAGAATCTCAAGGGTTTGTGTGGTCTGATTTTGTCAAATTGCAAAGTTTGATTGAATTAGAGAAAATGGAAAATCCACAACAATCACTGGATTGGAACTCGTTTAAACGTTTCATTATGAAATGCAAACCCAAATCCAATTCACTACAGGAACCAATTCATTCTTCTGCCACGACAGATTCAACATCAAGTCCTACTTCCATGCAGGATCACTTTTCAATGAATTTGGCAGGAATAGATTCTATTATTGATCAAGTGAAATTATCTGTGATTTATCCATTTTTACATTATGAAAAATATGTGAAATTAGGGATTCAAGCTCCAAAAGGAATGCTCATTTATGGACCCAATGGAACTGGTAAAACACTTCTAGCCACATGTATTGCAAGAGAATGTAAAGCCAATTTCATTAGTGTTCAATGCCCAGATATTCTCAGTAAGGTTGTTGGAGAGAGTAGTAAGGCCATTAAGCAATTATTTGTGACGGCAAGACAATGCGCTCCATGTATTCTGTTTTTTGATCAATTTGATGCCATTGCAAGGAGTAGAAATGATGAGAGTTCCAGTAATTCGAGTGATAAAATGTTAAGCACCTTATTGATTGAAATGGATGGAGTTCATCAACATCGAATGAGTGCTATTTCATCATCACGTCGATTGAAAAATAATAATAATAATGGAATGAACAACAATCATGAAGATTTTAATCACCAGGAAAATGATACAAGGCAGGAGAACCATGAATGGTGTGAAGATGACCAAGAAGATCACTCCGACCTGTTCACATCCATGATTCAAAACGATAATGTATTCATTCTTGCAGCTACCAATAGAATGGATTTATTAGATAGTGCAGTATTAAGACCAGGTCGTATTGATCAACACATTTATCTGCCGTTACCCAATGAAGATTCAAGAGTTGAAATTTTAAAGCTTAAAACGCAAGGAATGCCCATTCAAGATCATGAAACATGCATTCGAGAAATGGCACAACGTACTCAAAATTTCTCAGGTGCTGATTTAGATAATTTATGTCGAGAGGCTGCCATGCTTTGTCTTCGAGAAAACATGCAAAATGAGAAGATTACAATGAAGCATTTTGAAATGGCTTTGCAATCGATTAAAAAGTGAAATGTTAAAAAGGAATCAGAGATTTCAGTGTGATCCTTAAACCAATGGTTAAAATCTTTGATGTTTCAGAGAAGAAAACAACGGCAAGATAAGAAAAAAATGGCTCCAGAAAACATGAACAACCCACAAGCACCAAAAAAACCAAAATTTTCGCAACACAAAGCCTCGACTGCTTCTACAAATGTGGAAGAAACATTTGAATTAAAATATGGAGAAGGAATTGCATTCCGAAACGAACATTCTACTCTCCGATTGACCGTTAAAAGTGGGTGCATTGATATTTTCGGAACCGAATTTAAAGAGAGTCAATTTGTTGAATTTGCACATCCCGAAAAATCATTTCATGTGATCGGACTCAATACTCATCACGACGGAAATACATTGATTCAAATTCAACATTCTTCACAAGATGTTATTTCTCTTCTCAATGATCCATCCTACATTGCATTCCATCAAGGATTAATTGAAATGTTTGAAAATATTTCAAAACAAATTGAACATGTAAGATTGTTGGTGGTTGGACCGACAGATTCTGGTAAATCAACAATTTGCAAAATTCTCTTTAATCATGCCATGTTTTCATCTAGTACTGATTTGCAAAGAATTTGTTTTTTCTCAGACATTGACGTTGGACAAAATCAAGTTTCACTTCCAGGAACCATGGGATTGAGTGTGGCATCTTCCAGTGGAAGTGGTAGCATCGATAAAGAAAGCAGCAGTATGGAAACAAATAGCAACACAAGTGAAATTGTGTACACCAAAGAATTATCTGTCTCACATCAAGCTCCACTCGAGCTCATTCCACACAAACATGTTTTTTACTTTGGGGATATCTCACCTAAAAACACTATTTATTATAATTACATTTGCCAAAGAATTTATGAAAAGTACGAGTCTATTTTACAAGAGAATGAACGAGTGAACAAGTCCTTTTTGGTGATGAATACATGTGGATGGGTTGAAGGTCAAGGTTATTCAATTCTATTGAAGGCAATCAAGTCTTGCAAAATTACACATGTTCTATCAATGGATGAACAAACATTCAAGAGCCTCAAGAAAGATACTGCCGAAAGTGGAGTTGAAATTATTTATAAACAAAAGAGTAGTCAAGTTAAAAAGAGAAATACCAATTTCAGGAAGGAAACAAGAAACAATTCGATCATGTCCTATTTTTCCAAGCCCCTCAATACATTGACGCTGTCATTGGATGATGTTCAAATGTGTATGCTTGATTACAAGACTCAAACAAGTGCTGTAAGTAGAGTAGAACAATGGAGTATCGGTATCTAACATGCATACAGCGAGCTCTTGACCTTTCAGACAAGTCTCTGAATAGAATTTGCGCTATTTCAACAGCTAATTCCGTCGATCAAGTGTTGAACCAGGAAATATTTTGCTTTATTGTTCTGGAACAATTTAACTCTGAGAAGAAAACTGTAAAGCTTTTATTACCAGCATCCAAAGACAAGAAGGAAATAGAGAAATTGCCAAAGCCAATATTCCTTCTCAGTGGTTCAGTTATGTTCAAGTAATGACTTGAACGTCGTCATTTCTCAGTGCAACATGTAGAGATGAGTACTGGACAAGGGCCGTTCATTCATTTTTCCATTGAGTCAAGAAATCATCTCTACCAGTTTTTTCCTTAAAAATTAATACAAGGGAAACCTTATTTGGTAAGTTGTTTGATCCAATACTTTCCATAACTATTGACACATATCTATCAGATAACATTACCACATCCATTTTTGTGCATGATGCAAGAACTAACCAATAATTTTCTGCCTTCAGTACCAGCTGTTTCTTCAAGTCATCCTGTTCGTCAATCATTAAAACACCCATTCCCAAATTTCGGCACGAGCTGTTAGTAGGATTGGAATCATCAGATAGTACAAATAGTTTCACTTCATCAACAGCAGCCACTCGTTTATGTCCACACCACTGTTTCTCGACATGTAAACATGTAGGGAATTCCTCAAAGTTGTCAACCACAGGAATATTTTCATTGATTTCAAACTCAACAGTTGAAGGCGTTAATACCGATACTGGAATGTTGGCATTTGAAGATTTGTTCGATTGTGTGTTGTCTTGAAAAGACAATTTTGCTTTCTCCTCTTCCAAGGCCCTTACCCGCAAAGTCAACTCTTCAACTTTCTTGTTTAAATGAGTTATCATTTCGAGGTAGTCTGGCATTACCTTGTTGGGTTTTTGTTCATAGGTTGATTCAGAATTTACACTTTCCTTGGCATTACTGTCATTATCAATCTTAACAACACTAACTCCATCTTTTGAATGTACCTCTTCTGAAGATTGAGAGGTTGGCGTGAATGTACCTCTAGATGAACCTGTGGAGCTAGACTTGCTCGAGATCGTTTCAGTGCAAGACGATTTGCTTAATTTTGACTTGATATTCATGATTTTTTCATCCAACATTTTCAGCGTAGAGGGAATGGCCAATACAAAAGGAGCTAACACTTTTCTTTCTTTGATGAGTTGCTCTTCAATCACCTTTAATGGTTCTTTGTTTCTTTTTAAACAACCCCACCAATATATATTCGAAGGAGGTGGAGGTGTGTAGGTTTTTCCACTCACATAATTCCATCTCCATTCCTCGAATGATGAGTATTTATACCCTTCCATTTTAGTTAGAGAGTGATAAGTATATATTCCTTGGCTACCAATTTCTTCAGTAGTTTTAAAGGATGGATAATTAAGAGATGGAGCATGTTCAGGTGAAGCATCTGCGATTAAGGAAGTAGCGTTGTCTGATGAGGAGGTATTGGCAGACGGAGTACGTTCATTATTATTTAATATTGGAGAAGATGAACCTAGGATGTTTCCTGGAACAGACGCGGCACTTGTTTCTGACGATCCTAGAGCTTCACTTCCGACTTCACTTTGTGAGGTTCCCTCCTTGTTTTCTTGAAAATCATCCATTTTTTTGACTCTAGCACCCAGTTTCACACATTTATTATTATAATTATTTGCGCAATAAAGAACAACTTACAATCCTGATATTTGATAGAAAGGCAAGAAAGCTTGCCCATTTCGTTTGCACCTCACAAGATGAGAATTAAGACCTTAGTTGAGACTTGTTGTTGAAACCGAAAAGCAGAAAATAACGCCCTCTTGCCATGTTAGAAACAGACCGCGGTCCATCAACAAAATAACATTTCTTTCTTATTCAAAAATAAAAATAATAATCACAACATGACTTCGCTCTCTTTCGGAATGGTATTGGACCAACTCTACCAGTTCTTCACCAAAGAAGAAAACATGGTCTGGCTGTACAAAATTGTCAACAGAGCTCCCATACTCATGATCATTTTACCAATGATTGTTCTGCCTGGTACAAGAATTACACACTTTATTCTACAATCCAAAGTTGTTTTGATTTCTCTTTCCCTCTTGTATAGTGTGTTTCTCTTGGCTTTAATTGCTGCACCTTCTTCTGACCTACCAAAAATTGATTTCCTTTCGTTTGATTCCATTGTCAATGGGTTTAAACTCAAACCTGTAGTGCTTGTCAGTTGGACACACTATCTTATCACTGATCCTCTCGTGGCAACTTTGATCTATTACGATGCAATCTCAAGAGGAATTCCTCATATCTTTACATCCATTTGCATCTTTTTTGCGTTGATGCTTTGTCCTTTTGGTTTAGCTCTGTATATTCTTGGTCGGTTTGTTCTATGTCGTGTGTGGTTTGAATGGTTCGCATCACCCAGTCCTGTTTCACATTCTTTCTTGGAAATTTGGTTTGGAAGTGCTGAATTTTGGAGGAATTTGTTTTGTGTTTCGAAAACTGAAACCAAAATCGAATAGTGTGAATAGTGTCTTTTTACAATAAACTCTGTTTACCACCGCTTTACATCAAGTCAGCTCTGGAAAAGTGGGTGTAAAAGCTCAAAATCTTTCTAATAGTTTTACCTTAGAGTATTTGTCATTTAATTTCGTTAAGAACTGTGTAGGCTCGTGTGGCAGGTTGTTGAATCAGTGATGTGTTACAATCAGCTCAAATTTGTTTGCATTCTGCAATATCAGACAGCCCATGCAAGGGGATGTTTAAAATAGGCTTGGTGTCCAAATGCGCGAATTTTTCGTTGCAAGTATGCAGTCTTGAAAATAGGTCAATCTTAACAACGTGATGTCGTCATGTACTTAAAGCTTTTTGTTCTTTCGTATTGCTCGAAAGGCTTCTACATTAGCGAACGGTTTCTTTGTTACAGGATCAATATATTTCGCAGGTAACCCCGTAACGACACATTTCAATTGTTTTTCCTCCTTTGGAATGTCAAATCTTGCAATCTCTGTATCAGACATGTTTTTTTGGTTAATTTCTTTTGGAATTTCCATGTTGACAAATGTGATATATTGTTTTCCTTCTTTTGAATAAAAAACAACTCGAGGTTCATCTGGATCAACAGTCTTTGTTTTTGTTTCTCGAGCTTTTTTACGAATGTCCTCTTCAATTTGTACTAATTTTGCAAGACTATTCTTGTTGTATTCGGCTGTAATTTTAGCTTCCTCTAACAACTCCTCCTGTGATGGCATGGCATATACTTTCTTTGGGGTCTTCTTTGGTGTTTTTTGTTGTGTTTGTTTCAGCTTTTCCTCACTGGCCTCTGTTGCCTTCTTTGTGGATGCTCTAGCAGATCTTTTTGATTCAATAGTGGACGGAGCAACCACAGGTTTCGATCTAGGAGTTTTAGGTGTGCTTGACTTGGGCTTTTTTGATGCCGTGTCCTTGTACACATTCTTTCTCTTTTTTGATTCTCGTTCTTCTTTTGCCAATTTTTTCTCTAGTTGTTTTGCTCTTTCCTCTTCTTCCTCATCCGATGAAAATTCGTCAATATCGGAATCTTCAATATCTGCTTGTTCTTCCATCAATTCATCCGTAGCTTCAAACCCTTGATCCTCTGCTTCCTCTGCAAACATTTCCATCTTCCAAAACTCGTCATCCACTTGTTTATCAATACCTTCGAGGTCTGATACTCTCTTTCCACGAGTACTCCGTTGTGGAAGCACTTTTCTGGTGGGTTCTTCTTCACTCATTTTTTTTGTGTTTTTAGTTGCCAAGTGTGCCCAGTCAAACCACGACAATCAGAGTGATTCCGTTGTTTGTATCCAAAAAGAAGAAACAGCTAGTTTCAGCAAGCAAAGCACAACAGCAATTGCAGCTGTCATTGAGTATGTTTACTTTCAAGTTAGAGGTAGATCTATTATACAAGTTACTCATCATTGGATGATTGTGTCAAGTTTTGCTTGAAACTGAAGTTAAGTACAGTCATGCTTAGACTATCAACAAACGTGTTGTCATGAGCATCATATCTGTTGAGGATATATTGCAGTGACCCCTTTTGCTCAGTTGGAATGGCTTCCTCAGAAGTCGATGATAATTCATGATAATTTGTTGGCATTGAAGGCCATTTAGCCTTTGTATCCTTTGAACCTTCAAATTCAGAAACAAGTTCATAATAGCGTCGTTTGAGTGTACTAAGGGATACGTTAAGTTTCTTGGCAGCCACACTTTGCGGAAGAGTCATGAACCTTATTAACTCATTAAGGGGAATATCAATCTTGTTTCTCTTAGTTTTTCTCTTCTTTTGAATCGAGTTGTTGGAAGAGCTGGAGCAAACACTCCTCCTTTCATGTTCACTGGAGCTAATGTATGGTGATTTCTTTTCTGGCTGTTCTTCCTTTTTAGGAAATATTGGCAGCGTTTGTGGTTGCTGTGGTTGTTCGCTGCTCAGGTGAGTTAAATTTCTATGTTTATGAATGAGTTTTAAACATCCAAGTTTTTCCAAAATTACATACCTAGTAGGAGGAGGGAATACAGGGAATGATTTCAAAAATACATGTGGACTGAACCACATATTCTTATTTACAGCAGCAGGAGAAGAATTTGTTGTTGATGGTGAAGATGGGTTATTCGAGGATATTATTGGTGAAGAAGGAAGAACTGTTGAAGGTGTTGGAGAGATTGCCTTGTCCTGCGAAAGAGCAGGTTGTAACAACTTTTGGATATCGTTCATCATTGCGTTCTCCTTCTTCTTGTTTTGAATGATGGTACTGCTCGGAAATACGGGTAACAGCATGCTGGAGGCTTGGTTGCTGCTACAAAGAGTGTTACGTTGTTGAGCAACAGCTTTTGCTGAAGAATTCTTTTTCATGATGACTATACTCGTTCAATTCCGAGAGTGCAATGTTTTCAACCGAGAGAGAGATGTGATTGTTTTTCTTTCGATTTTGATCAAAGAAGGTGCATTGGTTTATTGCACAGAAGAACTGCCCGAGACAAGTGCAGGGTATCATCAAAAAAATTCCCTAAAGCCGCGAATAAAGCGAAAAAACATGTTGGAATTTCTATCCTCGCCCGGATAAATATGTGAGTCTTTCCTTTTGCATCATTTCGCGCTTTGTAAAAGTGGGCACAGGAAAATTGTAAACTCTAGCTGCAGCTATGAGCTATGAGAGGCCAACATGACAGAAGAAGGTAGCTATTCTCCTTTACATCCATCAATGTTAAATATTCCGTACGTGCTGAATGATTGAATTTCAAGTGTTTGGTTCTGATTCAATAAGAGTTTACATCATCATGGAAGAAAAGGAGGCGGAGAATTGAGAAACAGAACTCAGCAACCGAATCAAAGACTTCTTGTTCAACTCGGTCTCGGTGGTATCTAACTCTCCAAGCTCATTGAAACATCCATAAAACTTGTATTGCCTTGACAAGTCTTTACCATTCCTTAATTTCTCACTACCATACATTCGGCACCTAACGAGCGACCATGTATTTCATCATGTTGAAGAAAATGAACCAATGATGGAACGTTTGATATGATTCTTTAAATTTCTTACCTTGGATATTTAGCACACGTTGTATCAATGATATCAGTCAAACTCCAGTTTTGAGCCTTATTTGGATACTGTGTACACTCACATTGCTCCATATATTCAATTAATTTTGACAAGTACAATGAAAATTCTTCATTGTTTTGAACTCGAATCGAAGTGAAATACAATCTATATCCTGATTTGTATTTACAGTCTGGAGTTGTCGTGTCAGATGCATAAGGTCCATTGCAATAAGTAATGCAGCATGAAAAATCAGATAATAAATTGTTTCGTAATGAAAAGAACTCTTTTGTGAATTTCATGATATGTTTCAACCATGATGATTTTGATAAATTAAAAGCTGCATTCTCTTTCAACTTGAAATCCAAATCTAAATATAATTTAAAATTGTGAAATGGTCTAATCTCCTCCATGTAGAATATTTGTTTTTTCGTGATTGCCTCAGACCATACTCGAAGGTATTCTTCAAATGTTTGTTGTGATTGAATTTCAGAAATGTGATAGCATGCACCTCGTTGTGAAATGTGTGTTGGTTTTTTAAATAATAAATATTGATCTCCAACCACTGAATGATCGTAAAGCCATTCTTCCAACACGTCGGATGTATGACAACTCTTGAACCTTTTTAGCGAGTTTAACATTATCATTGAGAGATGGAACGAATTTGGAGGTATTTCTTGTTACTTGTGGTTCAGTGGTGCTTTTTGCTTGCTTTTTCATTTTTGTTTTTCAGTTGAATTGATCATCATGATGAAACAAGTCCTTGTGGATCACCCATCATCGTTTGGTTGATGCATGAAAAATCAATTCACACACAAAAAAATGTCATCCACTGAGTACAATCAGGCACAACAAACAATCGCGTAAGTAGTACATGAGATCTATCGAATATTCTCGTGGATCGGTTCGAAACAATCCTATAATTTTCTTTATTTCATTCTAATCATGACTCACACATTCCGATGGAATATCATTGATCAATCACATTCAGAGACGGAAATTATGGTAAATTTGTTGCAGCACTTGATCGATTGAGAAACCTCAATGCAGTTGATGAATACGGAAACACACTTTTACATTGGGCTGCTGCTTATAAAAGACTCGAGATGGTTAAGGAATTGATTGAAAAGAAAAAGATTGACATCACCATTAAAAACAAGACACAAAAAACTGCTTACGATTTGGTAGTTGATGCTTCTGCCACAGACATGAGCTTCTTTGAAGTAAAGCAATATTTGAAGACTAAATATCAGTAAAGTTATCATCATGAACCTGTTTCATAATTATGAAAACTTAATGTTGAGTGAATGTTTAATTTTGAAAATTTATTGAGCCACATCCTCACCCCTCACTTTGATCGTGTGACAGTTTCTTCATACACTGTTGAAATCTTTGTGGTGGCATCTAAAATTAAACCATGCTTAGTATTTAATGTAATTCCACAAGAAGGGCACTTATTGGAAGTATTGTAGTGGTTGACTTGTATTCTTTTATTGTTGTTTAGGGCCATTCCATGCCACGAGAGTATCATCTTTAGTGTGTTCGTGTATCTGTTCACGCCTCAATTCCAAGATGATTGTTCTGGACCAAGTCTCTTTGAACTTGTATTTATCAACCTGGGCTCGTCGATTACATGATATTCCATTCATTTCATCAATCCAGGGAGTAGTTCAGTACCGTGGGTATCAACTATTCAAATATCCTCAGGCTTCATTGTCTCTAGCAAACAATTCTGCAGAGTGAGAACGTATGAATGTAACATTAAACAGGTAATCAAAACAATTCTTCAACAAGTTATTTTCATCTGGGTTACTTTTTGACTTTCTTTGATTCTGGTTGATAGTTTTCGTTTTCACTGCCACCTATTTTCTCACTATTCCTCTTATTATCACAATTAATAGATTTGCAAGAGGTACAACCTTCTTTTGAGCAATGGCAATGCCTACAATTTCCAGTTGTGCATTTACAACATTGTATTTTCTTATGAGAAACTATTTTCTTTGATCTTGGGAAAGAAATTGAAGAAGGTGCTTCATTCGTCTCGTGCATGGATAGGGTGGACTTTGAATTGGAATAGGTATAGATGTGGGAGGGGAAGAAAATTGATGTGTCATGCATGGATGGTATTGTGACATTATTGAAACCATTGAGGCTTATTTGATTGTCAGGGAAGAAAATTGATGTGTAGTCTTGAGTGTCAACTGTTTCGGTAATGTCTAGTAGTTGCAGGCATTGTCGTGCAGTTATCCGTTCCTTTCTTTGATTGTTCACCATCTTTCGAAGCATGTTAAAAATTATTTGACCTTTGGATGTATCTAACTCTTTACATTTAGCTTCAATTAAAGTCCATATTTCATCATTAGTATTTTCTAATTGTTTCTTATTAATTTCAATTTCAACAATCAGTTCAATGAAAACTAATCCAAGTGAAAAGATGTCTGTTTTTGGGTGAATGAAGTTTGGTCCAGTTATTTCCTTCTCAGGTGCATTATATTTTGATGTTCCAGCAGTTGATTCTAACAAATCGCCATAAAGAAAGCAAATATTACCATCTTCTTCATCAAATGTCTTGGCTAGCTCAAAATCAATGAATTTACAATAAAACGTTGGATGGTGTCGGATTTCTTGTAGTAAATTGTTTTTCTTTTCATCAGTAGCAATATCATGCTTAATATGCTTAAAATTTTCCTTTTCTAATATTATGATATTGCTTGGTTTGATGTCATTGTGAATAATTTTTTTTGTGTGAATGTTGTCAATTTCTAAAAGTAATTGGGTGATAATATGCATCTTCTCAACACATGACCTGGCTTTCTCAATACTATTCAGCTCCTTCCCTTCAATTGATATCTCCACGTATTGAGGACAGGGTATTCCATTCTTTTCCACTTTCACATTTGGAGAAAGAAATATATTACCTAGAGGCAGGTTGAATCTATTGGAACGAAAAATCTTAACAAAAACTGGTTGAGAGGAATGGTCAATCTTACCAAGGAAAATGTCTTTTGGACTATTACCTTGACCAAGAGCGGTACTTATTTCGAAAAGATACTCTTCCAGTGTAATGGTAGTTGTCAATAATGTGTCTGTTGTTTTTTGCCAACGAATAACCAATTTGTCACCATTTGAAAAATCAGATGTGGTAAATAGTGTGCTTGTAAGTCTCTTTCTTCCTATCGACTCTTTAGTAATTCGTTTAATCAACTCATTCTCTTCGAAAATAGTTTGTCTGCTTGCTTCTAATAAAAATGATATCAATGTGTCGAGTTGTTGTTTTTCCTCTTCTGTTGAGGGTTCTATTGGGAATACTCCAACATTAAATAAGTGGTATTTGTAGCTTTTTGGAGAACGAGAAAATTCTGGAACAAACACCTTGATTCCAATCACACGAACCAATTTCTTTTCTGTCAATAATCCATAAGTTACCAAATTCTTGATTTCGGATACATGATTTTCGGAGGGCTTCATATTTTGGAGCAATGTACTATGAAACATTCTTATTATAGCCACAACTTTCAAAAAATCAGGATGAGCATGTTCAGCGTTTACTTTGTCCTCTTGACCAAATTTTACCCTAGTGTAGTATAAGGATTCATTGTTTTGTAATTCTAATCCAGAAAAATTATCATGCTTAATAGTACCCTCCAATATCTCGCTTACTTCCTTACAAAAGGTATTTGAAGGATTAGTGATGTTGTTGATTGAGACATTTCTTATCTGTCATGTTAGTGCTTATGAACTGTACAATTAACCTCAATTACACTTACGCATTCATTTTGAAGCCATAAAGTGCTGATAGTTGTAATAATTTGTGATATTTGGTATTGGTATGAAACAATTCACTACCTTCTCCCAAAGAGTCAATTTTGGTTGGATAAAGGCAATCTAATAACAGTTGATACGCTCTACTCATATTTACAAAATTAAATGCTTCTTTGGCTTCAGTAAATCTTTCTATTACCAAACGGGAATGATAAAGATGTTGCTGGATGTAGGCTTCTTTTTCCTCTTTTTTGAAGCTGTTGATGTGGGTGGACATTTGTTCTATTGATTTTCTCAAATCCGTAATTATTGAAACTTTGCCGTTTGCCTTTTTGTGATTGTGATCTTCATGCTCGGATAGCCAAGTAACTTGAAGTAAATCCTCAGCGATGCAAAGTTTACGATTGAATTCTTCGGAGCCTTCGCACCAAATATTTGTTCTCATCCTGAATTGTCTTCGTTGGTGGATTTCTTCGAGCTTAGTGTCGAACGATTTTGTCATTTTTTTGGCGCAATAACTTTTGCTGGCCTCCTTGCAGAATTCCATCAAAGAGTAGCAAAAAATGAAGCGAAAAATCACTGCTCCTTCTGCTGTGGCCTCCACAACATCATCATCACAACAAGTGGAAGGCAAGGATGCAAGTTTGGAAGCTCTCAATAAGAAAATGAAGTATAGCCTAATGAATGAAAATAAGCCCATACTTGTGAAAGAAGAAAATTCAGAAGTATTGTTGACATCATCCGAAGCATCAGCGGAGGAGTCACAAATATCTATTGACTCCATTGGCTCTATTGAATCACTGGGATCCATTATACTTGAAGAGGAGGATTTTATATCAGTAAAAGAGGATCAACCTTTTTTATCTTCGGAGCTCAATCAGGGAGATGAAGAAATTGATCATATTAACACTAAACCAGTGATTCAAACAAAGATAAATTTAATAGAAAAAGCCATAGATTTTTATGGACTGCCCCGAATATGTGGTGAATTATTTCGGGAAATCAAAGGTGTAAATAAGTTATATGATTGGCAAGAAAAATTATTAGGACTCGAAGAATTGAAATCTGGTAGAAATGTTGTGTATTCCTTGCCAACGAGCGGAGGTAAAACCCTGATTGCAGAAATTTTGATGATTAGGAATTGCCAAATTTTGAAAAAGAAATCTTTACTGGTTCTTCCCTATGTTTCAATTTGCGAGGAAAAATGTGCAAGTTTGGAATTGTTTAGTGACCACTTAAATTTCTTTGTTGAGGGTTATTTTGGGTCAAAAGGTGCCCTTCCTGTGGAACCTGGTAATCAATTAATTATATCTACTATTGAAAAAGCAAACCTTATCATTGATTCTCTTGTTAAAGAGAACAGAATTCATGAGCTTGGATGTGTAGTTATTGATGAGCTACACATGCTAGGAGAGGGTGATAGAGGTCAATTACTAGAAAATTTACTAACAAAAATTCTGTACATACAAAGAGAGAAGAAGAATGTAGAAATTATCATTGACGACACCCCAATTTTTGAGCAGAATTCCGAGAAATCATCAACTACGATTGAAAAAGTTTCTATTCAAATAATTGGAATGTCTGCTACAATACCTAATTTAGAAAGTATTGCTCAGTGGATGGACGCTACTCTGTACACATCCGATTACAGACCAGTTCCTCTTGTAGAATATTATACAATTGGTGAAGCTGTTTTCGACAAGCAAGGCAATAATATAAGAAATTTGAATCCAATACCCTTTGAAGTGGGAAAAGGAAAAGCAGATCCTGATTTTATAACATCATTATGTTGTGAAGTTATACCTGCGAATAGTGTTCTAGTGTTTTGTCCCACTAAGCAATCCTGTGAGGATTGTGTAAAACATTTATCACAAACACTACCCATTTCCAAAGATTATGAAGAAGAAAAAGAAAAATTAATTTCTGACCTCAAACTCCTTGGAAATGAAGATAGTAATCTTTTGAATGGAATCAAGTATGGAGTTGCTTACCACCATAGCTCCTTAGCCACAGAAGAACGAGCTTTAATTGAGAATGCGTACCGAAACCATGTCATTTGCGTCATTTGTTGCACGAGTACTCTCGCAGCTGGTATTAATTTACCAGCTGCAAGAGTCATTTTCAACACACCATACATTGGCTACAAACAATTTTTAACCAAAGCAAAATATCTGCAGATGGCAGGTAGGGCTGGTCGTGCTGGCATTGACACATTTGGAGAAAGTTTTCTTGGTAAGTCGATATCGTAGTATTCTCTCTTATCTTTAAAATGATAATTATTCATCACTAAAATAGTGCTTCAAAAACAGTACAAAGCCCAAGTCGACGGAGGCAAAGAGCTAATTTCCAAGCCGTTAGAAAATGTAAACAGCTGCATCAATGTTGAAGAAGCTGACTCTCTAAGTCGAGTATGCCTTGAGGTTGTATCTAGCGGTCTGGTTTCAACCATGGCAGACATTGAGAAATTTATATCATACACCTTTTGCACTTTTCAAACCCCTGACCTCAAACAAAAACTAATTGAACAGTTCCGTTTCGTTGTGTCTCAACTTGCTGAAAACAAATTAATTAACATGCCGTCTGAATCATCATCTGGTTTTGAAATGACCTCGTTCGGTCTAGGAGCATCCAGAAGCACACTCACTTTAAAACAGTCTCTTGAACTTTCAGACCTGTTAAAGAATGCAATGGATGAAGGAATCATTCTGAGCGATGAGCTACATTTGTTGTATCTCATTGGCATTCCCGTGGATGGTAATGGCTTATTGGAACCCAATTATGTCAAGTTTTTCAATTATATTGAGCAAAAGGCAACAAGTACAGAAAAAAAGATTTTACAAAGATGCAAAACTCCAGAGCAAGCCATTGTTACTAAAGCCATGAACAAATTTTCAAAGATTACCGATTTAGATAATAGCTTAGTGAAACGAATGTATAATGCATTTATTTTGAGAGACATCATTAACGAGAGCACTTCTTTTTTGGAGTATTGCGAGATCCGTGGAAGAGGAAATCTTCAACAACTAATGTCTCAATCTACTACATTTTGCAATATGGCTCAACAATTTTGTGAGAAATTGGAATATTGGCATTTAGCAAAAATGGCAAAAAGGTACACTAAAAGAATACAATATGGAGCGAAACAAGATTTGATCGATTTGGTTCAGCTCGAAGGAGTGAAGAGGCCTGAGATTGCAAGAATTCTTAAAAATTGTGACTTGACTCTGGAGAAACTCAACCATTTTCTTTCTGAAGCAGAAAATGAAGAAATACCTCTTTCCTTAATGGATGAAGAAAATGCCAAACAAATTATGGCAACTCACAAACTCCTTGAACACGTTAAATCATTCCCTCACTCTCCTCAAATACTCTCGTTCATTGACCATTATTTTACCCACGAGAAGATGATCACCATCATGCAGAGCGCAAAACGAGAACTCTCAAGAAAAGCCTTCTACTTGCGAGCGAAATCAGAGCTCTTGGAACAATAAGGAACGAATACGCGCATAAAAGGGCGACTTAATAGTTGCCAATTATTTGTCGAGGGCACATCGAATAAGGATAAAATAGTTGCGCACGAACTAGTGGACTATGCATGATCAAACCACAAAAAAAACAACATGAAGTGCGGTGCTTGCGGAGACAGTTGTTCTAAGCTTCACAAGGTGAGCTGTAAAGAAGGATGTGTTTTATCAGTTTGTCATGTAAGTGGAAACGTTGAAGAATTTGTAGTGAAACAAGTCATGCTATCTCATTGTTGATGACCATTATTTCAATTCGATCAGCTTTGCCATGGCACACCACAAGCAAGAATCGGTACAAAGTGCCCATCATGCGGAAAGATTGCTTCTTGGAAGAAGTTGTAGAACGTTGGAACCAATGTTTAATTGTATCACAAATAAAAATTCCTTTCACGCTTGTAATTAATTTGACTCACATCACAACATCTTTCGATTTGGTCAAAGATAAATGAGCTTTAAGACCACAAATCTAACTCTTTTGGGTGTTCTAGTCTATTGGAACAATTTATGTTCGTTATCAAATCAGTGTAAGCGTCAAGTTATACTAGAAACAAGATCGACACAAGATGTACCAGCTCGTCATCCATCAACATCGCTTACAGCCAACGGCTAACTTTCCGAAGTAAACGTTGGTTACAACGTTCGTGTGAAAACAAGCGGGAAGTAGCAACAGACTAATAACAGCTGGTGTTGCTACCAATTGGTCTTATGAGAGCTGAGATCGTTGAAGCACAACAGCTTTATGTCGTCAAAGTACTTTTTAAAAGGCAATGGAACACATGTTCACTCTCTTTCGAAGGATTCTATTTGAAATGATAAATTCCTTCTCTCCAACTGATCATAAAGAAGAAGAAAACTCTCCAGTGTAAAATTACCTCCAAATCCCTCTTGCTGTTCCTCTCATCCATCCGGATTCGTTGTCAAAATCTTTCACTTTCAAGTTGGACTCACTCATTGTTTTGAATCGCTCACCAACAACCCAGAAAAAAACCAAGCATGCAACACACTGGGAGAAATTCATTGAGCTCATCCTTGTCGTCAATTCAGAACAGCAACAATAACAACACTATTGGAGGATCGAACAACAATCATTCACCATCCATTCCGTCTTCATTACATACGACATTGACCGAAGGATCATCAGCAATTCCCTATAGCACAAGCACTCACGGAATTTCTCCTCATCACCAGTATCATCCTCACCACTCTTCATCCATGACTCCTACGGCTGCAACTCTGATTTCTTCTTCTTCACCATCATCATCCACTCAAGGAAAGGAAAAGGAGATAAATTCGAATAGTACCAGCAGCACCAACAACTTTCCTTCCTCTTTTCAGTCATCCTCGTCATCTTCACCTCCACAACAACATCATCACCATCATAATTCGTCCAATAATACGACCACTACGACAACTCATCACCCCCAAGAGCAAGTGACCACTACGACAACCACTTCTCTGACCACTACCAAACAACAAGCACTGAAATCTAGCCTTTTAATGACGACCACTACGGCTGTGGTGCTGAATAATACCAACTCGGCTGCCATTAATACTTCTCTGACGACTTCTGTTTCAGCATCATCCTCAACTGTAATCCCAACTTCAAGCAATCTGAAATCACCACAACATTCACCACGTCCAAGAACCATTAGCAATCCCCATGCCTACAGCTATCGGAACACACACTATGGCAATCCATACCCTCAGACCAGTGCTTTCATGAATTGGTTTTCTTCCTTCTCTGGTAGTTCGGGACATAATTCTCACCACAACAATTTCAATTCTCCAATTATTGGAGCATCCAAGAAGGAATTTAAACACTCCATGCCCTTTTTACGTACTTGCTTTATGAAGGCTAGGACCAGTATCGTCATTCTCCTTATATTATGTGCTATTGCTTCTCTACTTTTTGTTTTGAATTTACGTTCCAATGTATTTTCCAAAATTCATAATACCATTAGTACTGGTGTTGATGATGCTCTAGAAACACTTGAAGAAGCCAATACCATCTATGATGCTAGTTATGATAGATATCGTATTCCTCTCTCCAAAGACCAAGTAGAACGACCTGATTGGGAAAACATTCAAAAGAACGACCCTAGAAAGCTTCGGATACATCCCTCTGGAAGAAAGCAAGCTTCGGATTCGAGAAGAAGGAAGAAACACGAGACCTCTTCCTCGTCATCCTCTTCATCAACAACCACACAACAACAACAACCACAAATTGAAAAGCCAACACCCACACGAATTGTTGCAACTCCACCAGCGTCATCCACAACAGAACAACCAAAACTTGAACAAGAAAACAACAAGGCTACAAAAACCACTACTACCACCGTACATCCAGACATGGGTCCAAAAGTCATTCAACACATGGATGACAGCAACAAACATCCAATACCTGTAAAGCCAGAACCAATCACCTATGTCAAACCACTCAGACCTGATGGAAATGATGTGCGTACGGAGGTTCCAAAACCTGCAGTGGAAAATGAAGAAAATCCAGATTTTAAAATTGATCACATCTATGTGATTAACTTGAAAATTAGAGAAGACAGAAAGTTAAAGTCAATCCGAAGACTCAACACTCTCGGTGGCATCTTTTCAAATTATAGCTTCTTTGAACCTGTGTATGGAGAGGCATTGTCTGACAAGGACATCTTTAACCACGTGTCAATAACAACTTATAAGGCCATTGCAGAAGGAAGAAGTCTTGATTATCAACTTGCTACCAAGGGTGCAGTTGGATGCTATCTGACACATACAAATATTTGGAAAGATATGATTGAGAAAGGTTATGAGAAAATTTTGATTTTTGAGGACGATTTTGAAATTACTAGTCCCTATGACGAAATTATGACCTATTTCGCACATTTACCAAAAGAATTTGATGTAGCTTTTATGTATTTTAGTCTCTTCCCTGGAAGTGGAGAATTTGAAAGATACAATGATTATTGGATGACAACATCAGCAACTAGAGTCTATGGAGCAGCTAGTTATATCATTACTAGAAAGGCTGCCCTAAAGTTATTGGAAAAAGCGTTCCCAATCGATTTACAGCTAGATGCTTTTATTAACCATTATGTGACATTCACCGGTGGTTTAAGATTATACTCGAATAAGCTTCTCTTTGGACATGAAATTATTGAATTATTCAATACCAATGTCCAAGATTATTGCTGGAAATGTTTTGCAAATATTTTAATGGACAATTTCCTTTCCTTTGATTTAGTGATGAATGTATTCATTGTTGTGGCTGTGGTTGTTGTAATTTTAATTCTCTATGCCAAGTACTTTTCAAGAATACTTGCTAATAGAAAGAAGGGAAAGCCAGAACGATTAGCTGAATGGGCTCACAATGAATGATAATAACATTTCCAAAATCTGATTCGTGTACATTAACATTTGTGTGACACACCAATGTATTTTCCTTTTACATGACAAATAAATGGATTGTGTCCAGCGAGTATTGGATGGTCCAATAATTGCAGCGCTCTCTGACTCCGGAGTCGTGCGTACGTTAAATGGAATAAATGCAACTCTAGCATCTTCCTCGATAACCAACTTTTGATGAATAAAAAATGACTGCAAAAACTGTGATTGTCACTGGTGGATTCAATGGTAAGTCCAAAGGAGATGTGAATCAATGGATTACCATGATCATTTTATCACACATATTTCATTAGGAATTGGATTGGTCATTTCCCAAACTTTGCTTGCAAGACAATTCCGAGTGGTCATTGCTGATATTGCTGTTCCGAATGATATTAATGAAAATTTGCAATCAACAAACACAACAACACCGTTCATCAATCCATTCGCAAATTTATTTGATCCATCCATGTACCTTTTAATTCATTGCGATGTTTCAAACGAGCAAGATGTGAAAAATCTAATGGAGAAAACAATTCATAAATTTTCTCGTTTGGATGCCATAGTAAACAATGCTGCTGTTTCACACCCTCATTATCATGGCAAGGATATTACTGAACTTTCTTTAGAGGAGTGGAATAGAGTTGTATCGATCAATTTGACAAGCGTCTTTCTTACAACTAAATATGGTGTTCCTTATTTGAAGCAATCTCGAGGATGCATTATTAACATTTCGTCAACACGAGCATTGCAAAGCGAAGCAAACACTGAAATTTATAGTGCAACTAAGGGAGGAGTTCTTTCTTTGACTCATTCATTGGCAATTAGTCTTGGACCCGAAATTAATGTGAACTGTATTTCTCCTGGATGGTAGGTTGTGTGAGATTCATACTACAATAGTCTACAAACAACACAATTAACAATTTTTATTCTGCTTAATATTTTCTTTGAATTCCTTTATACTAAACAAAAAGGATTGACGTGCAATCTCATCAAGTTGGCAAAGAACGACAATATGAATTAAGAGAAGGTGATCATAAACAGCACCCTGTTGGCAGGGTTGGGCGAGTAAGTTTATTACTGGTAGTATTCGTAATTCTCTCTAATAATTGTATTTCACACGTAACCATTATTCAGCCTGAAGATGTTGCAAAATTGTGCTTATTTCTGATTGAGGATGGTTGTCAAGATGGAAGTGGATTTATCACTGGTCAAAACTTTGTAATTGACGGAGGAATGACAAAGAAAATGATTTATAACGGAGAGCCATGGTGGAAAGAGGAGTAAATTAAAAGTGAAAGATATTGTGTACAATTCTATGCAATGGATAGTCATCATCTTCATCACTGTCATCATCGTCATCATCATCGTCATCAAACATGAACATTTCATCCTCATCTTCATCATAGTCGTCATCATCGTCATTGAAATCATCCTCATCGTCAATCACAATAACATCATTGGATCTAGCCTTTTCACGCAGCTCTGCGATACGGTCCTTACTTAGAACAGATTCCGGTATTAAGGCAGTGACAGAGTCAGATTTCATCAATGCTTCAGAAACAATATCCTCGTTATGGAGTAGCTCGTCTGAGGCGAATTGAATGGCACTGGCTGATTGTGAGATGGCCTTTAGCACAATCTCCTTGTCATTCCTCAAATCATCAGAAGCAAATTGTAATGAAGCAGGATCATCAGAGACAGCAGCTATAACAACAGCTTTGTCATTTCTCAATTCATAGGGAGCGTATTGAAGCATTAGTCCATCTTGTTTCACTGCCTTTAACACTAATTCCTTGTCGTGCCAAAATTCAGGATCTGCATACTGTAGTACAACAGCATATTGATCAGTAGCGGCTTGAACAATGCTTCTGTCACGTTTTAATCTTGGTGACACGTATTCCAGTAAGCTTCCACATGCTGTGACTTGGGAAAGAGCAAGCTTGTCGTCATCTCGTAATCGGTCTGAAAGATAGGGAAATGTGTGATCTTCCTCATGCTCAATGCACTGAGTGACAACTTGTTCATTATCTGCTAGAGAATATTCAGTACATTGTAAGATTCCAGAGTGAGGGTCAAATAAATTGAGCACATGCTGCCTATCGCAAAAACATTCCACTTTTGAGGAGTATCCTCCTTCCTTTTCTTTGAACAGGATCATTTCTGGATCATTTCTCAATTCATAACTGGCATAAAAAATACTTTGATTATTTTGCTTTATGGCAGCCTTCACAATCTCTCGATCATTTCTAAGCTCTATAGAGAGGTCTTTCAGCATTGCTCCATCCTTGTTGACAGTAGCTAATGCTACCTTTCGGTTGTTACGAAGCATGGACTTTGAAAGTGAAACTAAGTGTGGATATTTTTGCATTGCAAGAGTAATAATTTCTTCGTCCTCAAATAAAGAATCGTCAATATAATCCACAGGAGGATTTGGAAGCTTCAGAACTTCCATAACAAAGGATTTGTCTTTTCTTAGTTCTGATGAAACAAATTTCATATTGTTATAAGTGAGTTGTACTGCTTTCAATGCAATATCTCTGTCATTTCTGATGGAGAACGGACAGAACTCTAGAGTAATAATATTACCATTTCTATTTTCTAATAATTTGTCGAGAGCTATAAGCAATATTTCCTTGTCGTTTTTCAGCTCAGTGGAGGCATGTTTAAGAGAAGTTACATCACTTTGTACAGCTGCTTTCACAATATCTCGGTTATTTTGAAGACGAGCTGATGCATATTCTAAATTTTTTGGATCTATCAACACGGCAGCAAGAACTACATCCTCATCATTTCTCAGGTCAAACGCTGCCATTTTTAAGGATAATTTGTAACTTATGGCTTTTAGCATAAAATCCTTATCTCTTTTAAGGTTGTATGGAATATCTCCAAAAGTTTTTTTTTCTATGGCAATTTCTAACAATTCTTTGTCTAGCCTCAACATTCCTACTGCGTAAAACATACATTTCGAATTGGATTTAACAGCTTTGAGCATAATGTCTCGATTATTTTTAACAGCAAAAGGGGCGTGTCGGAGCATATTACCATCACCAGCGAATGCTAACTGACAAATTTCTTCGTCACATTTCAACCTAAATGACAAGTATCTGTAGCTAGAGGCAGAGTTTGACAGTGCAGCCATCGCAATTTGCTTGTCATCTCGCAATTCCACAGAAGCAGCTTTAATAGCGCTTCCATCCACCTTAACCAGTTTTAGCATAAATGACCGATCAGATTTGAATGATTCTGGCAAATAAGCACAGTTTCCTCCCTGCTTAACTGCTTGATAAATGAGCTCCTTATTTTCAATGGTAAACATAGAGGAAGAGTAAGGTGTGAACATATGGTGAAAGTGTTTCTTATGAGCAAGCTTCTTAGTATCATAATGGATCAAATCAAATCGAAGGCTCTCCATCTTCAAGAATTGTTTAAATGTTCCCAAACCTGAAATGTAGTCGTCGTCGCTGTCGTCACTGTCATATGTTTCAAGAAGGAGAAGCCCTCGAGAATTCATTAGAATTGATTTTTCTTCATGTTTCGTACCTCCGATTACTACTCTCCCGCCAATTTTGTACCATTGTTCTATTGGAAGCAGGACATTGCTGATATGAATAAAATCGGAACTGAATGGTCTTCTTCCGTTAGTGATTTGTAAAAATTCTCTCAAGTGAAAGGGTATTCTAATCTGTAACTTAATTTCGGTTTGTTCAATTACGGATAATGGTACTGGCGTTTCTTTTAGAGGGCACAACATGAAATTGTTTTCATCATTCCAATACTCGATCACATCTCTTTTTTCAGTTCTTACACATGCTCTATGAAAAGCAATGGATACTTGTTCAACTATTTTTCTATCTGAATCTAACAAGAAGTCAAAAATCATATCAAGTACATCATCAGGAAATATCGAATTGTCGTTAAAATTAGATATTTTCTTTTTCTTCGTTTGAGGTTCTAGAACGGTATTGCAGTTGATTACATGTTCAACGGAGGTTGATCGTTGATCGGATAGGCTTCTCTTAGTTGAAGAAGATGATGCTTTTTTGTTGGATCTACGTCGAGGCATTTTTTTTTGGTGTGTTTTTTTTTGGTACGAGACTTTTCTCTTGCAATTTTTTTTGAATATTTAATGTCATGAACCGATTGAAGAAGAACAACATGATCATTTGGATTACTACACTAATAAATATGAGAGTATACTTCATTTTGAGGACTTTGGTGGTGTTTCAATTCTTTTGTTGTTTTATGAAAATAATTTTCACATTCCTCTCTTGGTGTCAAATTTCAATGTCACTTGACAAAAAAATGGGCAATCATCCTTCCTCACCGAAATCATCATCCCACTATTCACCTTTTGACCACAACAACCACACCAATAGCACACACTCCTCAAGTACTCATCACAGATTACAACGTTCCTCATCATTGGCCTCTAAACATCGGTCTGGTTCTGTACTTCTTGATAGTAATTATGTTCATCATCATCAACAACAACGAATCAATATAACTGCTTCGAGCACGGGAGTGGATGCCTCAGATTCATTGCATCATCATTCAAATCATCATTCAAATCGAAAAAGTCATCATTTTCAAACCAAGTTAATGATGGAATATGATGATCTCAATAGCGACAACAACTCAACCATTTTATTCAATGAAGAAAATGCATTGGATGCAAATTCTGCATTTTCAAATTCTCAATTGTCAAATGTCATTTCATCTCTTGCACAATACAAGGTACTTTTATTGGGTGGAGGAGCCTCTGGAAAATCCACCTTTTTTAAAGCAATCGAATTGTATAAAAAGGGATGTTTTTCTAATTCAAATACTAAAAAAGGAGTCATTTATTTCAATATTATAAAAGATATGGGAGAATTGTGTAAAGAATATTTGAAATTTTCAACAGAATTTTTAAATTGTGAAAAAAACGATCGAATTTTTGAAAATTTAGATGAATTACAACAAGTATTTCCAAATGAACTACCTCTATCCATCATTAATGCTATGGAACGACTTGTGAAATTAGCTTCTGATAAGAGTTTTATTCAGAGTGCTGTGAAAAGATCTTCAGATAGATCCTATAATCAAACCTATGATACACATTTTGGTGAACAAGTGTATGATGATATAGAATTGTTATGGAACTATAGACCATTTCATTTATTTGCACATTATCACTTGACACATTTAGTGATGCCTTCATTTACTTCTTTACATGGTGAGCATGATGAAAATGGATTGATATCAAACACGAGTACAGTAGCAGAGATGAGAAATTTTGATTATGATGATTTGATTTACTTTCTTGATCATAGAATGAAAGACATTTATCCTCCCTATCAATATGATCCAAATTCAATGGATATTTTACATCGAAGACAAAAAACTGTTGGATTATATTACATGCATTATATTGAAGATGCAATTTTTGAAAATGGTACTAAAGAAACGAGGGATTATCTCTTTGTAGATACTGGAGGACAACGTTCAGAACGTAAAAAGTGGTCTCTAGTCATGCCAAACACTGTGATGGTTTTCTTTTTTGTGGCCTTATCTGATATGAATGTCACACTATATGAAGATAATCATCAAAATCGATTTTTTGAATCATTGCTCTTGTTTGAGAAGATATGTAAAGAAATAGATCTCTCACACACTCCATTCATCCTATTTTTCACCAAAGCTGATATTTACAAGAAGAAAATTAAGCGAGGCCTTAAACCTATTGAACTGTTTGAAAGTATGAACAGGTCTTATCAAATGACAATTGAAGCTCAACATTCGTCTCAACAACAAAGAGAACCACAGATGGAAATTGCAATACCTGCACAAACCATTGACCCTTCCTTGAACCTTGACTTATCTACCGAGCAAGTAGAAAAGGTCTATGTGGAATCCATAGAATACTTCACTTCTCAGTTCAAACAACGCTTGTATGGAACAGGTCAAACACTTCAAGTGTATTCTCTCAATACTACAGACACAAACGAATTTAATTCGACATTTAAAAAGGTCATGAGCGATTTAAATAAGATTCAGCGTGAACCTTGATGAACAAAGATATATTAGTGCTTTAATTGTAAAATAAATTGTCTTGACACTATTATTAATATTTAAACACAAAACATCACTGTATCGTGTGAATAAATTTTGAATAATATTTTCGGGTAGGTGTTTGTTGTCACCAAAAGACGTCCAATATCTACATGTTTTGAAAAGGAGTGTGAGCCATAGCCAATAAAACTCTAATTATGGTCATCATCATCGTCCTCATCATCGTCTTCACCGTCCTCCTCATCATCAGAAAATGCAACTCGATTTGGGTTTCCTTCAAAATATTCCTCATCCTCTTGAGCTTCCTTCTTCTCTACTGCCGAGTCTTCTTCGTCAATGTTGGTTTCAAATTCAAGAGGCCATTTTCCTTGCTTTTTTAAACTCTTTACATGATGACTCAACAAGATATGATCCACAAATCCTTTGATTTTACCCTTATTTTGTTCACTCCGATCCGTGCTAATCACTACATAATCACCCTTCTTCACCCAAACCAATTTATTGAACTTGGTAGGTAAAATCACTAATATTCTTTCCTTTGTTACTGGATATTCTACTTCAATTTGGTTAGTTCCTCTCGTAGACACGATCCGAACAATACTTTGTGTTTCGGAAATCTCTGGAGCCTCATCAAAGAGAGTGTTTTGAATGTTCTTTCTGGTTTTACTCATTTTTTTTTATTTTTTTCAACTTGGAAATGCACTTCAAGTAATTTTATTGTTTAAAGGAATTTATTGACTCGATGCAGAGTGTGAGGTGGTCGTGTTGTTGTTGGTTGGAGAAAAGATACCTTCTTCCTTCATTTCCACCTCAAACCCTCTTGGAGAGGTGAGTGCGCTGTCAGAAGTCACTTTGGAAGGATTTAATTCTTGCAATTCCTCAACAGTTCCTTTGAACAGTGGTTTGAAAAGAGGAATCAATAAGGCAGTGAAAATTACAATTCCTAAACAATTCAAAATATAATAAATCAATTTACAATAGACCCATTGTTCCATAAATGCACCACTTCCAGTTGCTAACACTTGAATTAAGGCTCCTAAAGTGAGACCAATTTGAAGTGCAATCACTTGTTTGAATGGCTTTTGAGAATGAGCTGAATTTTTAGACATGAGTCTCAACACTCGGAAGGAAACAATCTTTTGGCGATTGATTTTCAAACATTTCATAAATCAATGGAATGATAAATGAATGAAACAAGGAATAAATACCTGTAACAAATTAACAAACTTACATTAAAGGCAATGGTTTGCAAGATGATTTGAGAAGTATAGATCACAAACAATACCAAGTAAATATATAACTGAACATCTGTGGAGAATAATTTGAATTTTCCAAGCAAGTAATTCAAAGTGACTATAAAACTCAATAAAAACATTACGACAATCATGACATTTCCAATAACATTGACAATAAAGCCATACGCCTTATACTGTCTACTTTCAAATTGTCCTTTCGCTAATTGAACTGTTTTCAAAAACACAAAAGTCACAAAATTCACAATTAATGGAATAAACACAACATTGAGTAAAAATGTAAATATTTCAAAAGTTCCAACGACATAGAGAGCTGTAATTTTCGATGAAGAAACTCCAGCTTGCAATGCTGTAACATTGGATTTCATACTTTGCATGATTTTCAGAGCTTGTTCTTGACCATATTGATTTTGAAAATAAATATCAAAATCGCTCACAATGGTCATGTTGACAGCATCGAAAATGGTTCGAATCAGTAGTCCAATACATTGGACCACTAAGAGTACCACTGACATGGAGAGAAGTGTCTGTTGATTTCTTACAATCTTTTCTAATTTTCGTTTTCGATGAACAAACACACCAAAGATTGCCAACACAATCACAAACACAAGGATGAATAGTACGCTAATGACTATTGATGTAATACTCAAGGCATAGGGATCAAAATTATTCAGAGTATAATAACTTGAGAACGGAAGTGTTGAATTCGTATTGTTATTATTGTCCGTATTTTGATTTTGAACATGATCAATAGAGGATGGATAGGAGGACATGGTTGTTGTCTCAACGGAGATGGATACTAGCGATGAAGGGATAGTGGCAAGGGAGAGTGGCCACTTGTGAGAATTATAATGGATTTTTTGTTGTGAGTTGTTCATGAAATTTGGCGTTTTGATGGATAGACATTTGACTCTTGTTCAAATAAGGAATAAATTCCCACATCTCGTGTGGTATTTGACGATAATAACCGCAACTCTGGAGAGATGACAACACTAGATCTGTTTATTACTAAATGTAAATATGTATATTCGAGATTAATAATACCTTAATGATTGTTATTGATTGGAATTAAAATATTGTTTCAATGGTGATTGTTTCTTCATGATCTCATTCAACAAGGTATGTTCAAACAATTGTTTCAAATTGTCACGATTCGAAGCACTAACCCAACAATGTGGAACATTCAATTTCTTTGCAATGTTTGTAAGAGCACTATTGTCTTCAGAGTTGGAAACAGCTTCACTAATTTGGACAAGTACAATAGGAATTTGTGAAACATCAGTTCTCTTCACAAATTGAATTTCTTCAACCAATTCATTCAAAATATCAATCGTGTTCTTTTGGTTGTTGCAACAGACGAGTACAAATGCATTTGAGTTGTGAATTCTTTCATCAAGATATTCCTCTTCATCTCCATTGACATCTAATAAATTGAGAGAAATGATTTGATCATGTACTTTCAATTCTTTTGAATATAAATCATCTCCACTTGATGGAATATTTTCCATATAATTAGTAATGAGTGTTGATTTGCAAACTAGAGAGCTCGATTCACCTGATTCCCCAACGAACACAACAATTTCATCTGGAAGTGGTTTTACAACATTCACTTCTCCCAATGAGTTTACAATACATCTCACTTGAGTAGATTTGGATTGGAATAAAAGTGATACTTGTTGAGAGGAGGTCTTGGTATTGTTGGAAACTTGTTCACTCTTTTCAAGAATCAACACCTCATTGCTACACTGACCAGTAACAAAATGATACGACACGGATTGTAAATGTGAAGAATTTTCACTCACTGATACTTGTAACCGTAATTTGATAAAGTAATCAAAGAAGGAGAGACATCTTTCAAGAGTTTCACACTTTCCATGACTCACACTATTGTTACCTAGTTCAATAGTTTTCCATTGTGGAGAGGACAATTGAGCAGAAAGTCCATACTTTGCAAGTAGAGCAATCATTTGTTCTCTCCATTCGATTGGACATTCTTCACAAATGATTCGTTCCATACTCTTTGAAACCACCGCTACAGAAGAATTATTTTCAACCTTTGTGACAGCTTTGGCATCTGCCTTGTGTTCAAGCAATAATTTGGCAAGTTTCAATTGTCCACTTTCAACAGCACGATGTAAAGCAGTCTTTCCAGCAAAATCTCTGACATCCACATTGGCATTGTGTCTCAACAACCAATCTGCAATTAAATAACTTCTCACTTCAATGGCATAATGGATTGGATATCTTACTTCATTTTCAATGACACATGGAATGTTGACATAGGCTGCTAATTCATTCTCTTGTTCTGCCAAAATTTCGAGAGCTAGATCTGTAAGGAAAACGTCCTTTTCATGTGAATAGTTATCATGATCGACTGCAAATGGAATGGACTCTTCTGAATCTTCATTCTGCTGCTGTTGTTGTTCATTTCCATTTTCTAACGATTGTAAAACAATTAAGAGTAAATTTTGTTGCTTTGGAAGTTTGGATGCTTTCAATCGGAGTCCTTCTTGTTTCAAAATCTTGTAGGCTTGTCTATTTCCTTCCATGAGAGCAAACAATAAAAGATTTGCCTTAAAATGTGACTCTTCATCGACTAACATTTCAACTCGACCAAGTTGTTCCTTCACACATTGATATTTCTTATTGTATGCGATCAATTCTTTCAACAAATTTGCATCTTCATGAAGAATGGAAATGAAAAACAATTTCTTGAAACATTCTTCGGAAGGTTGTGATTTGCTTAACAAGTTCAATAACTCTGAAACCTTGTTTTCTCTTGCTAATTGTTTCAATTGATTCTCAATGTCAGCATTTGCAGAATTTGATGCTTTGGCAGTGACAGGTTTTTGCTTTCTCAACAATTCTTTCAAGAGATGAACATTGAAAATGTCATTCACTTGAAGAGTCTCTCGAGCATTGCAACACACAAATGGAATTTTGTATTGTTGAGCTTTTCTTTCAACCAATTTTGGAATAGATCTTGCCTTCTCAATATCTTCCGGATCGAGAATATCCAAATACTTTTCTTGTGACTCTAAAATATCACACTTGTTCAAGACAATCACAACAGGAGTCTGATCGAGACCACCAATGATTTGTCCACTATTGGAGAGACCTTCGCTTCCACTTGGTTGAGATGAAACTCTGCTGTTGATTTGTTTTACAATGTCATCCATCAATTCTTCACATTGTGTTGGATCATCTAAAACACTGCACACAATCAAAAAAGCGTTTCCATCAGCAATATATTGTTTTTGTAATTGTTTGTATTCGCTCTTTCCTCCACATTCATTAATACTCAATGTGACACTGTCATCATCAACTTGAATGGTTTTGTAGTAATGCTCTGTGACAGTTGGAACATATTCTTCTGTGAATTGTGAAGAAATATATTGACGAATGATGCTTGATTTACCAGAAGATTCAGTTCCCAATACAACCAATTCAATATAATCAGACGGAAAGACGGGAGAGAATTTGGTGTGAATACGTTGTGTTACTGATGAGGTTTGAACTTGAATTGAATCTTTGAGAGTCATTGATGAGAGAAAGGTTTTGAGAATGATGAGAATGAATTTGATATTTGTGCGAAATGTGTTGTTTTTTCAATAATTGTTGAGTTAAATTATACTTCTAGGTGTGGTTGAATGTGATCACCAATAGTAGAGCTGTGATGATGATGATTGAAGAATCAATGATGCACAGATCGTGTGATGATAGTGATGATTTGTTTTTTTTGAAATGTTTTTTTGACAATTGCCAATAACAAATGAACCAGAAAGGAATGAAATTGATAGAAGCAGAATTTAGGCAAAGGAAATCAAACGATCTGAAAGATGATCTTGGTGAGATAAACAGATTATGTGGTTCATGATTCACTGGAAGGTGTGTGAAGCACTTTATTTTCGAGAGGAAACAAAGAGTTGGATGCTTTACAATTCCTCTGAGTGCTTCTCCTTTGTTCGAAGAACACCACTCGCTCAACAAATTGAGATGGCGCCTTTTTTTATGTTAAATCTTTAACCGTTACATAATTCAAATTAAAAAAATGAACGTAAATGCCACAGCCGATGACTTTGCAGATTTTGATATTCTTTCTCAATCTGCCGATGAAAATGAGGAACAAGAAACCTCAACACTCAAATTGACGACCAACCAAGAAACCTCACAACAAGCTCAAGTCGTAGATGAAGAAGATGAAGGTAATCTTTCCGACAACAGTGTTGAGAGTGATGGTTATTCCATTCTCCGTGATGATTCTGTAAATGATTTATTGAAAGAGGTATGTGTGTATTAAATATAATGCCATATGAAACTGATCAATAATCATTCATCCTTGTGTGCGCTCTGATACTTGTTCAGATTGATTCACTTCATCAACAACCCATTGGATCTACAAAGAGTAACGATAGCAAATCTCCGAAACCAATACTGAAGAAAGCAAACCTTCCTCAATCCGTAAAACATGTAAATTTTCCTTCCTCAACAACTCCTCCTCCACCTTCTAATAATCTGCCTGAGAACAAGAATCATCAAAACAAGGAAAATAAGGTTGAGATGAAAAACTCAGCCATGATGGTAACAGCAACTGCCGTGAAGAGCAAGTCCAAATCATTGGATGCTCCACCTGGCATGTCTATCGAGAATCAAAAACAAATTGAAAAGTTACTCAACGAAAATTGTGATTTAAAGTTGGAACTCACTGCCTTAAAACGAGAGTTGCAGGCAACCAAGAAACAACAAAAGAAAGCACACAAGCATTACAAGAAGGTTGAGAGTGACTACCAAACCATGAAACAAAATCAATCTGTTTTAATGGAGAAGCTCGAGGAAAAGACATCCCTTATTTCTCAATTCAAGAAACAAACACAAAAGCAAAAGAGTGAAGAAAAGTTTGTTGAAGAAGCTAAAAAGTTGAAAAACTCCATCCAAGAAGCATCGAGTGTATCTGTGCTTCATGCGAACTATCGAAACAAAACCTGGGATGAATGTACTCTCGAATCCAACTCTCAACTCTCTCAAATCTCTTGTGAATTAACAGAGAATCAGACAGATCTGGCCGATACTGAACTCAAAACATTCACTTTGGAACTCATTAAGGAACTGGTTGAGATGCAGATGACTGTGAATGATTTGAAGAACAATATTGTAGAACTGGGTATAAAGAAGGAACAGGATTTCAGAGAGTGGTATGCAACCAATTTAAAGTTACATCAGGCCATTCAACAGGTCACACACAACAAACAAGGCAACAAACCCATGAGCAAGCAATCTAGGAAAAAGTAAACGAACACCAAATACTTGTTCGAAACTGGTTGTATAGTAACATTCATATTGAAACTATGCCTCATAACCTGCCACACTGCGTTGCTCCGACATAATTCCCGATCCGCTCTAACGCTAAATTTAAAAAATATTTTGGGTAAATTTTTCTAAGAAAATGTAGCTTGGAATTTTGAACAGCTTTCCGATTTTTTTTTACAATTTTAATGCACAGGGTTCGATCCTGAGCCAGACCAAACTTTTTCATATCTCATAATTGATAAAGAAAATAACTTATACTTTGAGTGTGATGTAACAAAATGAAGGAAATGCTTTAATAGTTATATTATAAAGAATGAGAGAATAATATTGTAGTTGAACAATGAATGACGCTGCCTTCTCCCGTAATGAAAACTCCTGTGCGAAGGCACCCAGAATGCTGATTCAATGACAATCCATGGAATGATTGGAGCAGTAAATAATTTTGCTACACATGTGAAGGATAATAATTTCTGTTATTGTTATAGCAATAGTTTTGGAAGATGATGGTGGTGCTGTCTTACTAGTCTGGTGTTGAGAAGATAAGAATATGTGAATGATATGATGATTGGAGGCCTCTATAATTTCCTCCTGAAGCAGTCCAAATCACATCTTGTGCACGCTGGATGTTGTTTTGCTTTTGAAGGGGTTGATTTCTCTTTGGGCATTATTTTTGTTATTCAATTTTTATATTTCAAAACAATAATGAACAATTTAATTTACAAACGCTTCATCCAGCGATCTTTATTTATTATTTCTACAAATCTGTAATGCCATATGGTGTACGAAAATTGTATTCTTATTTTGTGTTTTTCGGGGAGGTAAACAAGAGTTAAATTATTTACCATTGCTCGCCATTTCAAAGACATGTGCTCCCAAGCATAGCCCCACCAATACCTATCATTATCGAGTACAGGCAGAAAGGTATTAGGTGAATTGTTTTGCCAGGAAACCTCATACTTCTTTCCCTTTCTTGTACTACCAGCTTCCAATCCTCTATCACGAACACGATATGACAATACTTTCTTTGATTCTGGAGCAGCTGATTTTTCAAGCTTTGCAATTAAAACCTTCCACTCCAATTTATCACAAGATAGCACATTATATGTGTTAACGTGTTGAGTAATTTTTCGCTTGGCATCAGGCACCATTCTTCGCCGGATAGCATCAACCATCTCGGATTCAATACCCTTGACACGATTGATATAGTATTCTGGCTCAAAGACATGGAAAGCCTTGGTTTTGCTAGAAAGGCCTTGAGGCAACTCATCGGCTTGTTTGAATTCGTTTATGAAATCACTGAGCGTACCATCATCTGCTGGTTGAACCTTGATCAAAGGCTCAATCTCTAACATCACGTTGGCAAACGACGATGCTCTTGATTTCGATTTTGAGGACTTTTTTTCCTTCATTGCTGAAGAAAACAAGCCAAAAGCTTCACCGCTCATTTATTTATAGAACTATACAACCCGAAAATGGCTTGACTGCAACGCTGTGAACTACTGTCTTCTTCTTCTCGACAAGGTATTCTTATTCGGGAAAGGCTATCTTTATTTTACTTGAAAAGTCAGGTGCGCTTTATTATGCGTCCTTTTTGCACTTTCAAGGAGAAACGATTATTTGGTCGTTCGCATTAATGTCTGACTCACTTCAAACT